ATAAGGTCCGCTATGTTTTCCTGTCCGCTACTATCCCGAACGCCATGCAATTCGCCGAATGGATTGTGAAGATGCACAACCAGCCCTGTCACGTTGTCTATACTAACTATCGTCCGACTCCTCTCCAAAATTACTTTTTCCCTGCTGGTGGAGAGGGTATCCATCTCGTGGTTGATGAAAAGGGAGTCTTCCGCGAGGAGAACTTCCAAAAAGCAATGAGCGCAATCGCTGACAAGAAAGGCGACGACCCGGCCGACGCTTTAGCCAAACGCAAGGGCAAGGGCAAGGATAAGCAAATCAACAAAGGTGGAAATAAGGGCCCCTCAGACATCTTCAAGATCGTCAGGATGATCATGCTTAAGAACTACAATCCCGTCATTGTCTTCAGTTTCAGCAAGCGAGAGTGTGAAGCAGGTGCTTTACAGATGAGCAAACTGACTTTCAACGATGATTCCGAGAAGAATATGGTGTCCAAGGTTTTCGAAAGCGCCATCGAAATGTTGTCTCCAGAGGATCGTCAATTGCCTCAGATCCAAAACATCCTTCCACTTTTGCAACAAGGTATCGGTGTCCATCACTCAGGATTGCTGCCAATTCTTAAGGAAACAATTGAGATTCTGTTCCAAGAGGGTCTCATCAAAGTCCTGTTTGCAACTGAGACTTTCTCTATTGGTCTCAACATGCCTGCGAAGACTGTGGTTTTCACCAGTGTCCGCAAGTTCGATGGAACTAGTCAGCGCTGGGTTACTCCATCTGAATTCATCCAGATGTCTGGCCGTGCTGGTCGTCGAGGTCTCGATGACCGAGGTATTGTGATCATGATGGTTGGAGAAGAGATGGACCCAGCAGTCGCGAAAGAAATCGTGCGCGGTGAACAGGACCGACTCAATTCCGCATTCCATCTTGGCTACAACATGATTCTCAATCTGATGCGTGTCGAGGGTATCTCGCCCGAATACATGCTCGAACGATGCTTCAAGCAGTTCCAGAACACTGGAAGCGTTTCAGGCTTGGAGAAGGAACTCGAGGGTCTTGAGGAAAAGCGCGCCAATATGGTCATCTCAGATGAGGGGACCATCCGCGAGTACTACGACCTACGGAAGCAGCTGGACGCATTTGCCGACGATGTTCAGCATGTCATTACTCACCCAAATTACTCTTTAGCTTTCATTCACCCTGGAAGACTGATCCACGTCAAGTACAAGGATGCTGATTTCGGTTGGGGAGTGGTGATCAACCAGAAGAAACGCAAGCAAGCCAGTAACGACACCGAGAAATTGACTCCTCACCAGTCTCATATTGTTGATGTCTTGATGAGAACATCGGAAGGGTCATCCATTGGCACCAAGTCTTTCCAGGATCTTCCACCAGGTGTTCACCCCGTAAAGGAAGGTGAACCTACTCGCAGCGATGTTGTGCCCATTGTGCTGAGCTGCATCACGGAAATATCTCACATCCGCATTATGCTTCCGAAGGATATCACGTCGCCTGGCTCTCGGAATGAAGTCATGAAGTCGGTTGATGAAGTTAAGAGGCGCTTCCCAGATGGTGTTCCGCTACTTGATCCGATTGAGAATATGCAGATCAAGGATGAAAGCTTCAAGAAGCTGCTGCGGGTAAGAAACTATTCTGATACTCTAACATATGATTCACGCTGCTAACCATAACATAGAAAATCGAAGTCCTCGAGTCTCGCCTCCTGAGTAATCCTTTGCACAATTCGCCCCGCTTGACTGAATTGTATGAGCAATATGCCGAGAAGGTGGAACTGACTGCCAAGATCAAGGCGATAAAGAAGCAGATTACAGAAGCCATGTCAATCTTGCAGCTTGATGAGCTGAAGTGTCGCAAGCGTGTGCTCCGTCGTTTCGGATTTATTAACGAAGCCGAAGTCGTTCAGTTGAAGGCTCGTGTTGCTTGTGAGATTAGCACAGGTGACGAACTGATGCTGAGTGAATTGCTGTTTAATGGTTTCTTCAACAATTTGACTGCTGAGCAAATCGCTTCTGTTATGAGTTGTTTCGTGTTTGAAGAAAAGGTCAAGGAAGCCCCTGCTTTGACCAAGGATGAGTTGGCGAAGCCACTGAAAGAGATCCAATCACAGGCCCGCATCATCGCCAAGGTGTCGCAGGAGTCTAAGATGGCCATGAATGAAGATGAGTACGTTACGAGCTTCCACTGGGAGCTGATGGAGGTGATCTACGAGTGGACTCAGGGCAAGTCTTTTGCAGATATCTGGTAAGCATTCACCCTAAGCATTCGCCCTCAGCCTTGGAATTATTTCAGTATACTAACTATCCTAGCAAAATGACCGATGTCTATGAGGGTAGCTTGATCCGTGTCTTCCGCCGGTTGGAAGAGTGTTTGCGGCAGATGGCGCAAGCTGCCAAGGTGATGGGTAGCGAAGACCTGGAGAGCAAGTTCGAGGAGGCCCTGGGCAAGGTCCGCCGTGATATTGTTGCTGCCCAGTCCCTGTACTTGTAGATACGATATCCCTTTTATGATCGGAGTCCAAAGAATATGATTAGCCACAATTTTCCATTTTCCCCTATTACGTAGAATGTACTCCATATGTTGTAGATGGATGATGCGGGTATTCGTATAACCTTGCCCGAAAGCAGAGTAGATTAATCTGACACATTTGATGAAACCAAAAAGAAAGACATACATGAAAAATTCTTTATAAGAAAAATATTTTCTAATCCATGTCATATATCTATGTCCAATCCCTTGTGAGGCACAGATCCCTTAAAAGCTGCGTAAAGGGAGTGCGTTGCCACCTGCAACGCCTACTTTTTCTCCACCGCTACCTTTCTCTACCCTTCTTCTCCCCACTTCAAACCCTTTATCTCCTCTTCATTCTTGCTTTCTTGCTATTCTTGCTGTTCTTTCTTTTTCACTCTTTTGGATATCCGAGTCCTTTGGATTCCCACATTTCTTCTTCGCCATCCGGCTGTCACCATGAACAGCTTGGTGGCTACACCTCCTGTTCCGCCTCATTTCTACGAGAACCCCCGATTCTCTCCCTCCCGTATGAGTAAGATCTTCTCTTCTCGGATATTGAAAGAATCTATTCTCTATGTGAGGTGGCTCTCTTTGATGCATTTGTAAACTGACAAAGCGGCTAGTGTCTACACCCTCGTCGTCGTATGCCAGCCGTAAACGGAAATCCGACGAAGACGATCATGATGGACGCATGTCTGCTTCGCCCACAAACTCTCCCGCCTTTACTCCTCGACAGCTCCCTCACAATTACCGCAATATCAAACGTGCCCGACCGAACGTTTCAGGCCGACCCCTGCCTCTTCCCCGTCTGCTAGAGACACTCGATACAGATGCCTTGCGGACGGTTGTACGGACCATGTGCGAGCGTCACCCTCAGCTCGTCGACGAGGTTGTGCACACATCTCCACGCCCGAATGTATCTTCAACCCTTCAAGTCCTTCGAAACTATCAAGCCACCCTCCAGTCATCCTTCCCGTTGGGTGGCAATACCGAATCGGACTATGCCTACAACCGAGTTCGACAACCGCTCACCAACCTTCTTGACGCCTTGAGTGACTTTACTCCCAACTTCCTTCCTCCAAACGAATCCCAAGCATCCACATCCATGAGCTACCTAGATGGGGCAACCGACATCATTCACGCCTTGCCTCGGTGGAGCACGCCACAGAACAACATCGAACGAGACTCAGCTTATGACGAGATGTGCAAGGCATGGATTTTGGTCATTCGAGAAGCTTCAAAAAGAGGTGGCGGCATCCAGTTGCAGTACGGAGGTTGGGACCAAAAGCTGGCCAAGCATAACCAAACCTCTGGAGGGAAGCTACAGGGAGCTGTCAATGAACTCGGCCTCAACTTGGGATGGATGAATGGACCTGATACACCATCCCACGGGGCCAGTGGCGACATGGGCTCCATACGGGACCAGCTCTTCTCTGGGACTTATGGACTGGGAACACCAGTCAAGGTCGGACCTTGGTGATGAATCACGCCACTCCGATTTCCTTATGAAAGACCATTACATTTACACCCCCTTTACGTGTCGGCCTCACGTCCCCCCATTCATGCCGGCTCTCATCTGAGCTTGACCGACGGTCCATACCCCTTTGACCGCGCAATTTTCGACGTATGTCACGATCACGATACCTGTTACATGACCCTAGAATCGACATGGTCAGGCGTTACAGTATTCCAGGCGGATAACCTACAGCTTTTTTTTCTTTTCTTCTCTTTTCTTTTTTTTTCGGCTGGAATTGTGGAAGATGGATGCTGTTTTAGCTTGTGTGATTTCAAATCCTTCAATGAACTCAGACTCGGTACCTTTTTCTTCCTCCTTGCTTTGCTCATTCGTCGTATTCCGATTTATACGCATGATCGTTCTTTCCCCATTTCCTTTCTGTCAGAATCTCAAATCTTTTGATCTGTGTACTTCACTCCAACTCTGATACTCTCTTTCTATATCTACTGGCGCCCTGGTGTCGCATACATTTCCTTGTCTTTATCTTCTTCTCTCTTGCTGTTGTAGCTTGCCTCTGTCTGTTTCGTTTTTATCCGCATATTCCAATGGTGTCAGATAACTTCTGTCTTGGGCTCTCAAACCCAACCCTTGCGCTTTTCAGCTTTGAAGAAGTTGGCGGAGATTTGAACCTATTCTATACATTAGAAGAGGAACACTCACCATCCAACGCGATCTACAGCATACGTTCTGATCTTGCCATATCGTACAACATATTTTAGATACGTTGTCGGTTGATAGGGCCCTTTATTCACGCTAGCTTGTTTTATTGGAATCCTATCAGTTTTTCTGGAGTTTTTGGCCAAGTAGAAAGATGTAAAACCCAGGGCATTTCCCGATTCTCTTAGAAATTTTGGTTGGCCAAATATAGCCAGCTTCATAGATATTCCAGACGAACCTAATGAATAATCAAGAGCAAATCAAAACAAGACACTATTTACAGACAACCATCCCAAGAATTTGCTCAATGCACATTCGTAATTCATACCAACGCCCGCTTCATCAAACGAAGCAACCACACAGCATCCTCCCACCCACCCTGGGTCCCAGGTTTCTCAATAGGAGCGGCACTACCGGTAGTGCTCTCCCCATCACCAAGAGAAGAATCATCAGACAAATCCCCATCCCTAACCGAACCAAGCGAAAGAGCATCATCATCACGTCCATATGGCAAATCAGGTTCCTCAAATGTAACAGTAGTAGGAGTATCCGCCGTACCAATGCGCTCAGCTGCTGCCGCAGCAGGCACTGCGGCAGGCCACTCCTCAGCTCCGAAAAGCGTCCACTCAACCAACCGATCAACCCAAGAGCCGAGTCCGAACCCGCGCTCCCGCGTCAGCTCCTGAAGATCAGCCTCATCGAAGTTATCTAGCGTCTCGTCAGAGCTACACGAGTACTCAGACGAAGTCTCATCTTCGTCTGAGCCCGCCCCATCCCAATACACAGAGCCTTCATTTAGCCCCCGCTCGCGGTGCTCTAGCGACGCCATCTCGGCGCGGATGCGGGCATCCACAAAGTCAGGCACTAGAGGACGACGGCCGCGCACTTCAGGACTCACCGTGCCTGTATCTGTTCCCGAGCTGACGTATGCCTTCTCTGATGTCGCTGAGGTAGATGGTACAGCCGGGAGGGCGGTCATGGTTAGATCGACTCTGCTGCCACGTCTACTGCCGGTGCGGGAGCGGGAGTTGCGACGGGAGAGGGCACTGGCTCCACCTGGGGTTGAGGCTCCGGAGCGGGAAACCCGTGAAGTGAGGCCTGATCTAGTGCGGTGGTGGTGGCGGTTAGTGGACGTTTCATCGAGGGGCGTGAGGCTTGTTGAGCTCTCGCGTTTGGAGAGCCAGCTTTGGCCTTTTTCCTCGCGGGTCGAGGTGGCTAGGGCAATGCCTGTGCGTAGCATCCATTCTGCGTCGGATTTGGATTTCGGCGTGTTGTCTGGCAAGGGGCGCCGTCCATGCGAATGCGAGATGCTGCGATGTTTCTTGTGCGTGTCGTGGATGTGATGGAGGGCATGGCTTAGTTCCCGTTTGTGCAGGTTTGTGTCGCTTAAGTGTCCTGCACCCGTAGAGCTTTTGCTTCGCATGTGGTGGCGGCTTCGCGAGTTGCTACGTGAGTGTGAGAGGATCGGCGGCGTGCTTGGGACTGAGACACTAGATAGATATGATGATGTCGGGGGTGTGCGGGCGCCACTGGCTTGAGTTTCATGGTCATGATGATTAAAGTAGTCTGTTATATTTGTGTCGTCATCAATGGGAAATCGTGGGGTTAACGGTGCTAGAGAGATGTGGTGAAGGGATGGGTATGAGCGACGGGAGCGGAAGCTTCCCGAGGTGTTCAACTATATATTCCACGTTAAATGTCCAGTTCTTGTTGTTGTTCAGAATGTAATATTTACCTCCATGATGGGTTTTCCAGCTGAAAGCTCAAGCAGAATCAGAGAGGAAGAGCTCGAGACGGGGGAAATGCGGAGTTGCTGCACGTGCGGTTGGCATGTGAAAGTGGCCGAGCCCCGGCAATTATGTTGAAGTTATATTATGCCCGAGGATACGGAGTAGAAGTGTATTTAATAGATAGAGATATTTTTCTCGCGGAATGGTGCTGAATGTAAATACGTAGAGTGAGATGGAATGACCGATGGATGACGGATCTATAGAATCCGGTATTGCGAAGGCCAGTTGTACAACCAATCATACGATTACACTGTGGCATGTTTTTGATGTAATTGGATTGAGCACATGAAGATCGAGAGTTTTATTTCTTTATACAAAATAATCATCGAAATACTTACAAGAGCATATCAAAATATATCACAACCGTTTACAAGCGCGAATCTTGAAAGTCCAAATATCCCCGACCCTTGGCCTTCAAATCTTCTAGAACATTATACTCCATAATCCACTTCATGCGCTCCATAAGTGCATCTGGATTGAAGTTGCTGGACATCTGATCGGGAGAGTCTGAGCTAGCCAGCTTGCCGGCTTCGTAGCTAGTATTGGTGACCCGGTCTGTCCGGGGCTTGCGCAGGTCCTGGTAGAACCCGAATGCAGCCTCTAGGTCATCCGTTTTCCAGTGTCTAAGCACAGTTGCAAGGGCAATTCCAGATTCAATCGCCATGCATGTTCCTTGACCTGTAGTATACTATTAATATATGTCCCGCAATAGGACTAGACACCGATAGGATGCAACATACCTTGATGAGGAAGAGTCGAGTGCGCCGAGTCACCCAGCAGAATAATACCAGCATCATGTTGCCCACTCTTCATTTCATACCACTTTTCGATCGGATCACGCACGTACAGCGCCTGTTTGAGCATCTTACCGTCCTCGGAGCTCTTACGGAGACCAGCAATGATATGCTGCACCTCCGGACACCAGTCATGGACATGCTCCTGAAGACTATCAATATCCGAGCGGGACATCCAACTCTCTGAGTCCCATGCCTCAAGCGGCTCAGACATAAAACCGATAATGGCAGCACGGTCTGTCCCCGTCTCTTGGTTACCAATAGGCAAGATCAAGACATGTCGCTTAGGTCCACGGAAGTTAACGGTCTTGCGCAACAATTGCGCTGTCTCAGCGGGTAGGTCCTTGTAGTTGACGAATCCACGATACACAACCTGGCCAGAGTAGTTGGGGTCATCTCCCAGGCCCATATCCCGACGCACATTAGATTTGATACCATCACATCCAATCACAATATCTGCCTCGGCAGTGCTGCCATCCTGGAAATGAAGTGTGTATGGTGCAGCACCGGCGGTAGTGTTGCGGTCGATGGATGCCAAGTGCTTACCCAAGTTTAAGTTTGATTCGGGCACGCGCTCCTTCAGCGAGTCCAGTAGATGGGCGCGATGCAATAGGCGAGCGTGTGGATCCGAGAATTCACCAATGTGACCTACGTAGTCTCCGGTCTTGTAATTGTGGTATTGCATATAACTGGGCAGTTTACGTGAGGACCTGCGCATCATGCTCTCTTGCAGACCGAAGGCGTCCAGGACCCGGTTTGCGTTCGAGGTGATGTTAACACCGGCACCGACTTCGCCGAATTGCGCTGCTTGCTCGTATAGTTGCACGTTCTTCAGGCCGGCATACAGTGCGGCATTAAGGAAGGACATGCCTCCTAGGCCGCCACCGATGATTGCAATTCGCTTGTCTTCAAACCCCATTGTGAGAATGGCGTAGTTTGGCAATTAAATGAAGAGGAATTTGGAAGTACTGAAAAGGGGGTAGTATTGAGAGAATGATGATCGATACTCTAGGTACTCAGGTAAGCTATATATATTCTCTCTGACTTCCCCTCTCTCTAATAGATTACCCGATCGACCGTCTTAGAGATGCCTTTCGGGGCGCGGAGTAAGTGTGGGGTGAGCTATGATTCCGAGATTCTAGTTCGTATTTCCCGAGTTCAGGCATTGATGTGGAATACATACCATATTTTCCAAATCTCGAGAATCAATTCGGGAATATGCAGCTTTTAAAGCTTTTAATGATCAGCATATTCTGTTTTATACCACTTACACCTAGGTAGTAATGCCGGATTCGGTAATGCAAAGCAACTCCAGAGGCTGAGCGTAGATATTGTGACAACATATGTATATATTTCTTGAAATAGCCCTGGAGCCTACAGATAACTGACAAGTAGCAAGTATAGTATACAATATATTCAATCCGGATAACCTGCATAAGAACAAGATAAACTCATCTCCCAAGAATCGGAAACCCCAGCCATTTTGGAGGAGCAACATCCGAAAGCCCTAAGGTCATCGGATCGTCTTTTGATTGGTTCACCCACAATGGAGAACCCTAAGTCTGACTGACTCCGTTATATCAAATCATCTCTCTGTCATTGGCCGGGTAAAGGTCAAAAAATTACGCTGGGACCCACGGGATATTTCTATAGACTCCGTAATTAACCGCTTTTTACTCCACAATTTTTCCCTTGTTCACAACGAAGCCCTCCAATGCGGCAATAGCCGCCCACAAACGATTTTCGGCCTCAGGGAAGACCAGAGAGCGCGGGCTGTAGAAAACCTCGTCGTCCACTTCTTCCGGGTGGCGGGGCAGGCAGTGCATGAACTTCCAGCCCTCCTTAGCGCCACCGCGTTTAGCCAAGTCAGCAGTGATCTGGAAGCCCTCGAAGGCCTTCATGCGCTTCTTGGCCTCCTCCTCCTGGCCCATGGAGACCCAGGTATCAGTAACCAGGATGTCGGCATCCTTGACAGCTTCCTCGGGGACGTTGGTCTGGGTGAGCTTGCCAGGCTTGGGGACACCCTCACCAGCGCGCTGGATGATGTCAATCATATGCGCAGGGATTTCGTAGCCCTTAGGAGTAGCAACAGCAATATCCACACCCATTTTAGCAGCACCAATGGCCAGATCGAACAAAACGTTGTTCGCATCACCAATCCAAGCGATCTTAAGACCCTCCACACCCAGGCTGGAGAGCTTGTGCGCCTGGGACGGGAAAGTCTCGTAGATAGTCAAGAAATCAGCGATGATCTGGAGAGGGTGGAAGGAGTCGCACAACGCATTGATCACAGGTACAGTGGAGTGCTGTGCCAGACCGGCAACATCCTCGTGCTTGGCGACACGCGCAACAATGCACGAAACCATGGACGAAATCACGACGGAGGTATCGTATAGGGACTCGTTGACACCGAGCTGGATGTCATCCTTTCCGAGGAACATGGGGTGGCCGCCCATCTGGACGGTGGCGGCTTCCGTGGATACGCGGGTGCGAGTACTACGCTTGTTGAACATCATGGCCACGGTCTTTCCGGAGAGGGATCCCAATAGGCTTTCCGGGATGGCTCCGGACTTGATGGCACGCTTGTGCGATGCAGCATTGCGGACCAGGGTGGCGAATTCCGTGGGGGTCAGGTCGGCAATAGAGAGAAGGTGACGAGGGGCGAAAGGGGAGGTGGGAGGTAAAGTCGGTGTCTGGTGGGCAAATCGTCGGATTCCATTAGCCTGGAGTGTTCGACGCAAAGATGAGGTGGAGCCGGCCAATTGGTTTACACTTTGGGCGCCATAACGGGCGGCAGCTGTGAGACTACTAGCCATGATGAACTGGGGGTTATTGGTGAGGAATTGGAGTGTTGTGGGACAGGGGGAAGGAAGGAGTCCTAGAAATGAAGAAGAGTGACTCAATAAATTATTTAATCTGGTGGATGTGGGAGGGTACTTCTGCCTTGTCGCCCTATAGTTCAGGTGCTAAGGTGTCGATATCTCCACAGTTCCATGGTTCTGTTATCGACGCGGGCGGCTTATCGTCATCGAAATGAGCGCCTCTTCCGACCTTGGAACGTTACATCTTGTTTTCTATCTGTCTTTCTATCTGTTTGTTATGTGCTTTGAATTCACCCATTTCATTCAACTGATACTAGCTTGGGAGACTACAACTTATTGTGATTTATCTATACATTTAGGGCCACGATGGCTGACGAGGCAACCCGGCCTCTACTACCAGCCCAGTTCGGCTCCGAGAGAGCATCCGACGACCAGCCTAGGCCATCACATCAATTAACAACTGACTCATCACATTCTTCGCACCCCTTCGAAGATAAATTACCGGTCTGTACAACCGAGCAAAAACCAGGTTCTTATTCGGGCGGGGCCACGATGGCGGACGTGGCGAACCAGTCCAGCCCTATCGAACCCCCGGAGAGGCCATCCGTCGACCAGCCCAGGGAGTCATACCAATTATCATCAGAGTCGTCGAATCTTTCGCCCGGTGAAGATGACATGACGGTCTATAGCAACGAGCAAAGATTATCGCGATCTTTCTCAGGCGGGGTTCAGGATAATCACATACTCCAAGCCGTGGCTGCTGACGAGCCTAGCCGACCTCTGCTGGATGGACAGTCTAGCCCTCCCGAATGGTTCTCTAAGAGAACATCCGTCGACTGGCCTAGGCGATCATATGAATTGTCATCAGAATCAACACCTCTATTACACCGCCGTGAAGATGGATTGATCTACGGGACCGAGCGAGGGTTGTCGCGATCATCTTCATTCTCATCACGGAACTCGCCTGAGGACCGCGTCATCAAGAAGCGGAGCCGCGTACCATGGCCGACGGTCATCTCTCTAGCTCTTTTAACGCTCAGTGTGTTGGCGATACTGGTACTTGCCTTTGCTGCTCCGGCGGCAGTCAAAGAGTATGCGCAACAAGCCGCAGTCTTTAAACCGACGGCAGTATCAATCGATTCTACAACACCCGCTGGTATTCGAGCCCGGGTTCAGGGCGACTTCGTGATGGACTCGGGGCGCGTGAAGAATAAGTCAGTTCGAGGTATTGGTCGATTGGCGACATGGATTGCCAGGGAAGTTGAGACGGGTCCATCGAATGTTGAAGTCTATCTCCCAGAATATGGAAATATCCTGGTTGGAAATGCAGCGCTGCCCTCCATCAAAGTGAACATCCGTAACGGCCGTCATACCAATGTCGACTTCCTCACTGATCTAGAAGCTGGTGACATTCGAGGAATCCACGCGATAGCTATTGATTGGATTGAGGGAAGATTGGGCCGCCTTAGTGTCAAGGGCAAGGCGACAATGAATCTCAAGTCGGGGTTGATTGCTTTGGGGACCCAAGTCTTGACAGACAGTATTATCATTGAAGGTATAGTGTATTTCATCGTTTTGGGTTCTGAAATTTAAAAGCTAATCGCTTTTCAGAACATGATTTCCCTGCTCTGCCGACGGTCGATATCCTCAAGCTGAAGGTGCATGATGCAAACAGTGGTGCAATGGCAGTAGATGTCTTAGTTTCATCTTTGATTGATTCTCCCGTCGCTCTGACCATTCCTGCCCTCGGGTTTGACATTCTGGTACCCAACTGTTCACCGGGTGATCCGTATATTCTGGTCGCCGATGCGAGGACAAGCGCGATAGACATTCACCCTGGCCAGGTAACCGCAGTCGGCGTTGAGGGTCTCATTCAAAGGCTACCCGATGAATTGACCTCGACCTGTCCAGGACGAGAGGGCTCTCCTTTGGATTTTTTGGTTTCGAGCTTTATGCAAGGTCTTGAAACGATCATATACGTTCGTGGATCTGATGCACCATTACCCAATACCCCGGCATGGATTGTCGATCTGCTGCATAGCGTAACCGTGCCTCTTCCATTTACGGGACATGCGTTGGACAACCTTGTGAAGAACTTCACGATGTCCGACGCACATTTCTCCCTGCCTAACCCTTTCGCGGAGCCAGATTCTCCAGAATCGCAACCTACAGTGTCTGCTCTAGTGAAGGTTCTCGTTGCTTTGCCGCAGGAGATGAATTTCCAGGTAGATGTCCCGCAAGTTCGTGCCCTTGCAGATGTCTACTACAAGGAAGAGAAGTTTGGCGTGTTGAACATCAGCCACTGGCAAGACGCCAACTCTACAATGGTGGATGATCAAGATGGCTCTTCTGCACTCCTTGTGGAGTTTGAACTAAAGGATGCACCATTACAAGTCACAGATGATGGACTTTTGGCAGAGGTCATCCGAGAAATGCTGTTCGGTAGCGAAACAGTCGTACTGCGGGTTGCTGCCACCGTAGACACAAAGGTCTCAACTGGTTTGGGCCGGTTCACAGTGCGAGGGATCCCTGCGGAAGGGAAGGTACCAGTGAAGAGTATGTTCTCGTGAATTAGAAGATCTTAGTACAAATCAATAATATGTTGGCCATTGACCATGTCATAGCTTCTATCGGCAACTCACTTGACCAAATCAATCCCCGCATCGTCTCATTACAACTAAGAAATACGACTGAATCTTCGATGGTGGTATCTACGCAGGCGAACTTTACCAATCCAACGAATTACTCGGCTACAATTCCCTTCGTTGACTTTCTCATACTTTACAATGGCACTGCTGTGGCTCACATCACCGCTCAGAATATCTATGTTAGGCCTGGCAACAACAGTTACGTGCCCATCGACTTCTTCTGGTGCCCGTTAGATGCAGCTGGAGTGGATGGCGTTGAGGCAGGGCGCGCGTTGCTTTCATCCTATATCTCAGGTCGGCTCCTTCCAGATGGCATAGATCCAAGTGGTATATTAAGCTGATAATTTCATTCAGGCTTAAATACAACAATCACTGTCAAAAGCCATCGAAACACGGTTCCATCTCTACCAGACCTGGGCGAAGCATTAGCAGTCCTCAACGTCACCGTTCCTGTCCCTCACATATCTATGCCTGGTTCCCCAGGTAGCGATGATGGCGACAAAAAGCCTCATTTTATCCAAGATGCAACCGTACGTACCCCTTTCACTCGTACCTTGAGAGAAGGAAGAACGTCCCACTAACACTTATTCACAAATCTAGTTCTACCTCTGGTCCTCCACAGCAGAATTCACCCTCTCCTCACCTCTAACAGAAAACAATATCCTGATCACCTCGATCGACGCAATGGCTTTCTATGAGAAAAATGAGCCAATCGGCCGGATCAATAACCGTAATCCCTTTGAAGTACCGCCTGGTATATCTACAAGCCCGCGCTTGCCAGTCGATCTCGACATGGGCGGGGTTGGGTACGACGCCCTGCGCAAGGCACTCGGCCAGTCGTTGGAGATGGATGCTATCGCTAAGGTTGGAGTGCTGATTGGGAACTATATGGATGTCATTTCATACCATGGAAAGGGTATTGCAGCTAAAGTGAGGTTTTAGAGTATTTTGGCTACCACAGCCTATATAATGGAGTTGGGAGTCTTGGTCTTGGGATGCACTCATTGCTGCAGGATCGGTAATGCCCAGGTGCGATGTTTGGATGACTGGTTTATGGCAAATTTTCTCGATTCAATCAATCCCTAGCTAGTTTTGCGTATCTAGACTGTTCTGAATTTAAATTCAAAGACGAAAATCAAGTGAAAGCTATGTATCAATGCAAGAGTAAGAAGACGGAATCATATATAAGATCTAAAAGGACTCCTATGGTCCTATAAATAACAGATGAAACATAACACTCTTGTCCTGATAGGACAGGACCGAGCGGGTAAAACCTCGGTCATGGCTTACCAGGATCAATTCATTTTTTTAGTTTGATAATATATTTCCCCAGGGAACAAAATTGACGTCCAAATCGGGCTTGCGCGTGCGTTTCAGCGTCGCCTCATCCTTTCTCGAGGATTAAATTGAGGACCCCCTTCCAGGTCATCAAGAGGCCGTCCTCCCTCTTTTTTTATTATTGATATATTTTTAACATATAATACCGTGTAGTGATTATGTACTTTGTCTGTAGTCTAACTTCGGGATGCACCATTGACATGCGCTATACACTGAGAATCCATGGACCCTATATATTATATATATGTGTATGCTGAAGGGTTTCCTAGCAATCCTGAATCTTATTTAGTCATGAGCAATTACAATTAGATGAAACTTCTTTCAGATGAACATATGGAGTGTTTATATTGCTTTGTAGTTTGTCTTGTCAGGTTATCACCCTGGTAGCACTATCACTATAGACCACAGGCTGATACTAGAATATTAGACATAGAAACACCGATCAAATGCTATGCCACGCTAGTTATATTTTATGGAGAAATGTTGCTTTCCTCGATTAAGAATGGCTGAGAGGCTATTGGGACTAAAAGTAGTGGAGTATGTATTCCGTACAATCTATGCTGTACGATCTAGGCAACGCCACAGTATATCCAGTGAATAACCGCACACCGCCACTTGAAGTATCATAGAAATGCCCCGTACTCCGTACACCTAGTTATATTTGGAAAAGCAAGTGAGGTAAACAATAGTTGTAATTTTACATACAATGGCCAAGCCATATTTTCAAATTAGATCAACTCCACGGGAAAGCTAGAAGATATACAAGCTAAGATACCAAACCAATCCTGTTCGGGTATGTAAATTTTTGAGTTAGAAGTTCGATATATAGCTTAGCCGGGGGGGAGGGTGCTGGCATCGACAACGTCGGCAGCATCCTTCTCGATCTCCTCGCTGTGCTCACCCAGAGGAGAGCGGGGAAGGGCCATCAGACCGGTCCGGGTAGACTCGAGAATACCGAAGGGACCGATCAACTTGAGGAAAGAGTCGATACGGGAAGGCTTGGCGGAGCTGTAGGATGTCGAATGAGTCAATCGTGACAAAAAAAGAATGAGTCAGGACAAGGAAAATACTTACACCTCGACAATGCAGTTGTTAGTGCTGATATCCAAGATCTTACCACCAAACTGGTGAGCAAGGCGGGTAATGGCATCCAAGTGCTCGTGCTTGTGACGCAGAGCCTGACTCTGGGGAAGGTGACGGGGGTGGTATTGCTGGGCGGTCTGGTCAAGGCTGTGGTGCTTGTGATCCGGAGAGTCTGGCGAGGTGGTGATCTCACGGTGGTGCTGGAGAAGCTCCTCGAAAAACTCAGGACCAAGGATAGAGACCTTAGCCAGGAGAAGCTCACGCTGCACAAGAGCAGAGTCGGTGTAGTCCAACACAGCCCAGACGGGGACGAGGTCGTCGAGCTGGCGGCGAGCCTGCTCGACGACACCATCCTGGCCCTGCAGCACGATGGTCATGCGCGAGAGATCCTCAACCTCGGTGTTACACACCACCAGACTGTCGATGTTGAAGCCACGGGCGGCCAAGATACCGGACACACGGGACAACACACCGGGCTCGTTCTGCACGAGGCAGTTCAGGATGTGCCGCTTGGGTGGGTTGCTGGGTGCCACGGGAGTCTCATAGAGAATGGAGGAGACAGCAGTCGGAGCATCCCATTGAGGGGAAGCATCGGAGACCGGCAATGGCAGGGGAGACCGACGGTGCAACGCCTTGTAGGCAAGAGCCGAAGTTGAGCTCGATGATGCACGAATAGAAGTGAATCGGGGAAGCGCAGTAGCCCGGGCCCGGGCAGTAGCTGCAGCAGATGATAGCTGCGACGCTGACCCTAGGGACAGCGTCAATGGGCGTCTGAAAGCCATGAGGAATTCAGGTAACGTGAATGGGTTGTGCGATGATTCACCAGATTCGCCCCGGGGATATTCTTTTTGGTCGGCCGACCTCGGCGACCGCCTGCTGACTCATGTAAGCTAGATCTAAAAAGGTGTAGTGCATCTGCTAGTAACAAAGGCACGTGATTTATTACCACGTGACCTTCAATATTCAATATTGCGAAAGGGATTGCTAGAAAACGAGGCCATCGCTTGAAAATGAGAAATATTTAATATTACTGACTCTTACCATCACCTTGGGCATTTCAATTTACTAAAAATCTCTCAGTTTTAGCTTTGGTAGCTTTGTTTGTTGGCTGCTCGGCCCTCCGCCTCTAAAACTCCTTCCCGCAATTGATCTGGACCTTTTTGAGCTTCTTTTCCCCGACCTCTCTCCTTCTTCATTTTACCCCACTTTTCGCCATGGCGGACGATGAACACCGAGTCAAGCGGTCTCGCTTTGACCAAACTGAACCTGAGCCTAGACGATCCCGATTTGACCGACGCTCTCGATCTCCGTCCAACCGCCAGTCGGAGTCGGCCCGCACTCGTAGCCCGATGAGTCGCCCATTGAGTCGCAGCCCTGGCGCAGAGACTCCAGCAAAGCCATCTGCAGCAGATCCAGCTGCAGCCGCAGGTGCGTTATCTTCCGGTTCAGATGTTGTCATAAACCAGATTATGTGGCTAATTCTTGTGGTCTTTATAGCGGCAGCAGCAGCCAAGATTAATGCGCAGCTTCAGGCTAAAAAGGGAATTCAGCATGTTGATGTCCCTCCAATCCGTTCTGTGAATATACACTCACTTCAATTCGTTCTACCCAACTTCTAACACTGCTGGGCAGGCCGAAAACGCGACAGAGAATTCCCAGTCGCCCGCCGCCGAGGGCGCAGCCAAGTTGAATGCCGAAATCTATGTCGCAGATGGAGACTACATCAAGGATATTGAGATCAATGATCTGCGCAATCGCTACACTCTGACGAAGGGATCCACCCAGAAGATGGTAAATATCCCCTTTGCCACTTGCTGATATTCCAGCTATGTTCCTCGGAGAAGACTGGGGCACCTTGAATCTTACTTTCTCATCGTTCTGCTCTCTTCTTTCGGACTGGATGAAGCTTACCCTTCACTAAAACATAGCATCCAATTCACCCTCTGTTGCATCTGCTGACCTCCGCTGCGTAACTTACAGATTCAAGATGAAACCGGCGCCGGTACGACTTCCTTTTATATCTTTAACTTTAGGCAAAGAAGGTCTCACTCACTTTTTCTCTCTCTCAAGATGTGACAACCCGAGGAAATTACTACCCCGACAAGAACATGGCGACTGCTGCAGTAAGGAATCCCCTTCAGAGGTTGACGAGGTCAAGTACTGATTATTCCGATTTAGAGCCCTCCCCTTTATCTACATGTGACCAGCACCAACAAAGAGGGTCTGGAGAAAGCAGTCGCTATGATTAATGACCTGATGCAGAAAGAACTTCCGAACCTGGTTGACGAACGACGTTTCCGTCGCCGAGAACCCGAGCAGCAGGTTGAGCGGGATGAGTATGGTCGTGTATGGGACTGTTCCTTTCCCTTCTGTTAACATGAAGATTTGGCTAATTTCACATAGCGCAAATGGCCGGATGAGCGCATCCCCATTGATCTTGAGCCAATCCCCGGTTTCAACTTGCGCGCTCAGGTCGTCGGACAGGGCGGTGCTTATGTGAAGCACATCCAACAGCAGACTCGTTGCCGTGTTCAGATCAAGGGCCGTGGCTCCGGGTTTATTGAATCTAGCACTGGTCGTGAAAGTGACGAAGCGATGTTCCTCCATGTGGCGTAAGTTGTTATCTGTTTTCTTACTGACTCTTTTTATCACTTGGTTTTTGCCTGGCTCATTTCTGCCACACTGATGAGCTTCTACTGACAGTCTTTCAAGTGGCCCGGACGCCAGCGATGTCCAGCAAGCAAAGGAGCTTTGCGAGGACCTTCTAACCAATGTCAAGGAACAATACCAGCGTTTCAAGGAGAACCCACCCCAGCACAACTACGGTGGATACGGCAACCGCGGTGGTGATCGTGGTGACCGTGGTGATCGCTACCAAGGTGGTGGTGGATACGGCGGTGGCTACAACAGTCGCCAGCAGCATAATACTTCCTCTGCTAGCCCTGCAGGCCAGGCTGGTGCTGCTGCTGTTGCTTCCCCAAGTGCTGGTGCCACCCCTACTGCTGCTGACTACAGTGCCCAATACGCCCAGTATTACGGCACTAGCGACCCCTATGCTGCCTACGGTGGATACCAGAACTACGTCGCATACTACCAGTACTATCAGCAAATGGCCGCTGCTCAGCAGCAGACAGATGGCGCTGCCCCGACTCCGGCCAGCGAGGCCCCTCCTCCACCCCCTGGCTCCGGATCCCCGCCGCCTCCGCCTCCCGGTGCAGGTAGCAGTGGCTACAGTGCGGTACGTTGTTCGCATATCATTAATGCTAATTCTGATTACTGATTTATGAATTGCAGGTCCCTCCACCCCCTGGCCTCTAAGCCAGGACTTGTTTTGGTGGGTTAATGTTGTACCTTCCACTGTCCAGTCGCCACCCATTTGATATTCACGGCGAACAAAAGCATGCCCTGGTCTGTTGAATAAACGAGGGTATACAGCGATTTCTTTTGCGAATCTTTTTCTGATCTCTTTGTGTTTGCTAAAGAAAGTCTAACAGTCTGCCTTGTTCTAACCTTTTGACTTACCTATTTCCATACTCGGTAAACTTGATAATTGTGTTCATAATAAAAGGCTTGCTTATTGACAGTGGATTTCTTTCTGTGACTTAACTCTTTAGAAGCGGAACTGGTTGCTGAGCGGTTCGGATGCTGGATTCCATGTCTCTGTCCGTGGTATATGTGAAGCACAAAAAACATCCCCCTGCGCCATCCATGCAGTTAGCGCCTCGGAAATGCAAGCAGAAAACTCGACTGAAGTAACAAGATGACAAGAAAATAAAGAAAACACTAAATCAAGCAGCACAGTCAAATAGAAGGTGATATCACTCAATCGAAATCAGCGTATAGGAGAGCCATCTGAGTCTCAGATGCCATTTTCTCTCGGCGCTTTGCCAACCCGGCACGGCCCTCTTTGCAAAAATCGCAGGCGAAGTCGCAAGGGGATGCGCTCGTAACAGACATACCCTCTCGGGCTGGCCGTTGTGACCCCATTTCTTCTAGCTCAAAATCGCCAAAGAACTCCTTGATCAGTTCATGTCTACACCTCCTAATACTCTCACAGTATCGAATGACCTTGCCGAAGCTTTCAAGCTTAGCCTCTCGATTTTCGGGCCCATGTGCACGGTGAGATTCAGTATCACGGTAGATCATAGTCTCTATGAAGTTCCTCTCTTGAATTCCGTAGTAGACAAGTGAGGCAGCGGCACGGCCATCTCGACCTGCACGTCCTGACTCTTGAACAAAGCTTTCGAAGCTTCGCGGTGGTGTCCAATGCACGACAAAGCGGACATCTGGATTATCGATTCCCATTCCGAAAGCATTGGTTGCTACAATAATGGAGAAAACGGGTGTCTTTCCCCCATCAATTGGCTGGAACGGCCGAGACGACTTCCAGGTTGATTGAATGTGTGCACGCTTATTGGCTTCCACGCCGGCGTGGTATGCTACCGCCGTGACCATCCCATCCGAGGAATTGGATAGCCGGCTGGCAAGATGCTCGGCCATAGCTCGGGTCCCCACATATACAATTCCTGATATTGGAGGGAGGATTGTCACTTCACTACCAAGTCGAGCCTCTCGTCTGGTTTGGATACCCCTAAGCCATCTGAGTAGGTTTTGCAGCTGGCTGTCTTCTGCGCCACCATTGTCACCAGCGAAGTCTGCCAGATACCGTACCTCGTAGTGAATATTCGGACGATCTGACGGAGTGTTGAACATCCGGAGATTTTCAACATCCAACCCCAAGATGTTGATCATGTCTGAGCGAACACGGGGGGTCGCAGTTGCTGTCAACGCAGTGATTGGGACTGTCGGATTGACAAGATTTCTTCTAAACCAGCCCAGCTCTTTGTAGGCTGGGCGGAAGTCATGGCCCCATTCGCTTATACAGTGCGCCTCGTCAATGGCAACACGGATAAGCTGGCCTTGCTTATGCACCACAAGCAAGCGGCGGCGGAAGTTGTCCGTCTGGCACAACTCCGGTGTGACATAGAGAAGGCGTGTGCACGGGTGGCCACAAAGCATGTCCTCGAAAACTCGCTGCCTCTCATCATGAGTAGTATTGGAATTGATCGTAGCGACTGATACACCAAGAGCTTTCAATGTATTCACTTGATCTGTCTGCCAAGGATTAGCTATGTAATTGTAGATATCCTGGAACCACACTCACCATTAGTGAGAGAAGCGGACAAACAACGACAGTCACTGGAAATATTCAAGTCAGGCTAATCCGTCATGGAGAAAAAGAGACTCTGGAAACTCACAGCCCCAATCTTTGAGAACTGCAGGGAGCTGATAACACAGGCTCTTTCCGAACGAAGTACATGCTTGAAGAAATACATCGTGTCCTTCTATAATAGAGGAGATAACTTCGCGTTGAAGTGGGCTATTTGGTGGAGTAAGTAAATTGAGCCTCTTCTCTAGTTCGTCAACTCACCGAAAATCATCCTTTTTGAAGGTGTGTTTCAAGACCCATCGCATATTGGCTGTTTGGCGCGTCACCGCCGGATTACGATCCATTGTGCTCCATAACAGAGAGATAAGTTGAAAGTGGTAGGTGAAAGTGCAGTAGTAGAAGAAGATTGAGTCTGCAACCGCGTATCAGAACGCGGTGTCACGTGGTGACCTGTTATTTCCTCTTTAGGATTGATTGGACTTGAATTGGATTTACTTTTGCGCAAAGACTTCATGACGGCGTAAGGAACTAGAGTCTTTAGAATGGGCTTGATCTTTATGTAAAATAATACATTCGCGCCAAACACACGCTAGAAAGAGTCGGTATATGGTAGATCTATATGGAAAATAATGTACAAATGCTGAATCCAATTTTCAGCTGCTCTTCCTTCTTGTTCAGCGGTTCCGATGTGGATCCCTGGACATCTGTTTATCAAGTTCTTCCTTGATGGCAAACACATCAACCGCTTTGCGCTGCTGAGGATGCCAAAGCCGCTCAAGTTGCAACCACACCTCGAGGACCTCCTGGGGGCCACAGCATGTTCCAAATGCTTGCAGGATAACAGTGATCATCCGACGTCCAACAAAAAGACCATTTTCGAGACGCTGCTCGGGATCCCAGGGTTCTTCTTGTTCTGCTTCGCCGGGTAACTGCAAACGAGGGTTGAAGACCTCATCTACATCAAGTTCCTCCATTTCTGTGGTTTCATCTTCTTTTTCATCCAACCCAGGCTTTTCGTCTTGCTCGTTGTCTTGAGAATTGTCCACGGCAGAGCCCTCAGCAGTTTCCTCCTGTCCCTGTGAATCCCGAACTGTATCTGCTGTTGGTAAAGCCATGTACAGCCCGTTGGGAGAATCGGTCACTGGTAGCTCCTCCACATCGATTGTCACGCTCTTAGCTAGTGGGTTCTCCCATGTCATCTTTCGGTTGTTCAAATTTAATCCACGGAGTCTTGAATTTGAGTCGCGCAGAGCCCGGATGTATGCATGCCATGTCAGCCGAAGGTTTTCTGCACTCCACTGTTTTTTCCTCCGACCATGAAGAGCGAACCCTTCAAAGAGGAACAGATAAATAATGGCACGTGGTGGGACGGCAAAGGTCTTCTCCATGTCACGCATAACAGCCATGAAGCTATCGAGCTGGCCAGTGTTGTAGGCGTAGTGTCGTAGGAATATATAAAAGGTTCGCGTGTCAGGTGCAATGGAGAGAGAATCCTGGAGAGCACGGTGGTATACAGGAAACTTTTCCTTGAGTGCCGACGATTTCTTCAATACGCGGCCTAATTTTCGGGATCTTTCCCGATATTGGGGCATGTCATAGCTCAGATTTGACTCGCCAATGTGAGGGCTGGATTCATCGTCCGAACGCGAAAGGCGTTTGTTGTTGCTTGATTGTTTCTCCAGCATGCGTGCGTAGAGCTGCTCCGCAGTTTGAGTGTCGCCTGCCCGAAGGAAAGAAGCAATGAGGCAGTTCATGACAACTGTATCGACAATCTCCCCCGATTTCACAAAGTTGTCAAAAGTCTCTCGAATACCTTCAACATCCCGTATCATCCCGAAATAATAGATTTTGGATGTCTTTCCACACCGTGAAAAGCTCAGCCCCCGCTCAGTCATTTCCTCCTCCAAACGATCAGCAACTTTGAATGCACCTGCTTTAATTGCGATGTCGAACAGGATGTTGAAAACCACCTCGTCAGCCTTCACTCCAGCGATATGTTCCATCTTCTGCCACATGCCCACGGCTCGGATAAGATCTCGTTTCAAAACTTTGCCGTTGGCTCGGCCAGAGAGATGTATCGCAGAAGACCAGAGTGAGCGAGATAGAGGAAGTCGAGCAGTTACCATGTCATCCACCAATGCCAAATAGCGACGAGCATCGACCCATCGTCGATCTCGAGGATGCGCAAACAAACGCAGAAGAGCACCACGGGTGCGTTTTGAAAGCAAAGCTACCCCTGGGGCAGGAAGGTCTCTGTATAATCGGAACAAGTATTGAGTCGATGGATTTGGTTCTTCCCACAATGTTCTGACAAGCTTCTCAACCGAGTGGATTTCCATTTGATCCTGCGACTCATCTTTCCTCGTCTTTGTGTAACGCGAATATGGCACTACAGCATTGACTGCTTCCTCCCAATCATAATCTGCCAAGGACTTTTTGTACAGCTTTAAGGTTGAGAGGTGCTTCTCTTTCTCGGGATGCAGCCATGACGGGAAGGATTGACGGAGATATTTGTCCGGCAATTTGGGGTCGATTTCGGTTTCGATGTCGGTTTTGGTGTGTTCTGTTATCTCTATTCTGCGGTCGAAATCATATGTAAAATCAAATCTTTCACAGCGAGTTTGCGATTCCGCGTCCGCATTCTTTGCCGGCCACAATGGTATATAGTCGATGTCTGTCTCCCTCTCCTCCCGTGGCTCGGTCTCAATATTATACTCCTCTGTATTATCTTCATTCGTACGTGCCAATCCGTTGCTGATCAATCTTCTGGATTGCGATATATGAAACCTTGAGCTTGAATACTCTGGTTGTCGTCGGGGTGGTAGTTGTCTGCGACCAGTGGCGCCTTTGCTCTGAAATTCTTGGAAATTATGATCTGAGACACTCCAGGCTACTGTCGAAACCCCCCGACGATTCGGCGAATGTTCGTGGCAGAAGCTTGCCAGAACCAACGAGCCGACAAAAATATCTGCTATTGACGCGACGGACGGGCGAGGACGACGGGTACAGAGTCTTCGGACGGAGGAGGGTTGAGAAGGGGGTTGTGAGGAAGGCATTGAGGTTTGTCGAAAGAGAGGAAGCTCATCCAAGGCCTGCTTGGGGTGAATTCGCAGGCTTGGCGAGCTGGGGGACCTATTTGGATGAGGCATGAGATAACAGACATCGTGGCATTAGGTAGGCCGCATCCAAGAGAAAGCCCTTTGCCACTCGCACAAGAGAGAGCTGTCTACTTTCTGGGCGCAAAAAGCAGACGAAAGGGGAGAGGGTCAAGATTGGGAGGGCGTAGATGTGTTTTTCTGAAGATGAACGGCCTGCACTTTCTGGCCTGGCGGAGTCGTCCCTCGACCAATCGGAGCCGCGCTTTGCCAATCCCATCTTTTTCGCTGCCGCATCAACCACCTCGTCCCCTGCAGCGCATATCTTGTCCCTTGATTTGCTGTCTCTTGTCGCGTTTCAATTCTTTTTCTCATTTAAAGTTCTTTCAGGTACCGGCTGTGTCCGACTGCCATGGGCAAAATAAACCTCACAGCCCTCCGGGTGCGACAGACAGCACTCAACCAATTCGCCAGTGGAAAGACCAGCAAACTGCCACAATGGGTTGGTGTGGTCGGCGAGATCCCTCCTGCTGAAACTCTCATTCGTACTCGCCCTCCTCAGCATGAGCTTGTTCAGCAGCGGATGAAGACCGTCGCTGGGTCGTCGAAGCCGCAGGTCGTCTTCCAAGTTCAAGAGAAGCGCAGAAAGCCAAAGAAGCCCAGTCGACTTTTCCAGCCTGTCGAGCTCAAATATGAGGAAGATCAATTGCGAACTGAATTCTTCCGCGATCACCCCTGGGAACTTGCCCGGCCTCGTGTGCTTCTCGAAAGCACTGGCAAGGACTTTGAACACTATGACTGGAGCCGTATTCAGCAGCAAGGGAAACGTTTAGATGGTGAAAGGTGTGTTCCCAATGTTTCTGTTTATAATGTTTCTGTTCTTCTCAAGTGAGACCTCCCCGACGCTAATGTATTCCTTTTCCGGTACTAGTGTTGTCCAGCGACAGCTTTGGCTTTTGAATAACGTCCCGGATATGAACAAGAGTACGGCTTACGATATTGCTCGTCGAGAATTCTACCGACTTCGATTGCAGGAGGACATTCAACGTCGGGTGGCTGCGGAAGAAGCTGCGGCATATGGCGCAGAGTTTGGACCATCATACCTGGACATTGGTATGAAGATGGAGAGCGAGCAGTACGACAAATGGGTTGCCTGGGCCCGGGAAACATCTCTGGTACAGGACCAGCGGAAGTCAGCTCTTAGCGGTGCACCAGATCTGGGAGAGACTAGCGAGTCAAGTGACGTGGACAGCGAAGAAACGGAGGCAGTCACTCTGTAAGAGTCGTCTGAGATGTCGGCGTGGGCTCGAAAGCCATTATGCTATGCCTACTTTCCCAGGAATTTTTGATCCCCTGGTCTTTCATATTGATGGCCTATGTATATTATTTGATCTGTTCTACTGGATGTTGTACTTCCCTAGCTATATTTACGCGATAGCACATGCATTCTTGGTCAATTCACTTCTCATATTAATAAATAAATACTAAGCTATCTCTTAACATAGCCCTAATGTCTCGATATAGTGACGCAGGCGGAATCAAGGCATAGAGTTGCGGAGGTCCGGTGTTTGGTTGTGTTTCACCCAATCAGAAGATTTCCAGCCTCGCCCAACTTGAATGTCCTCAATTCCCTTCATTCCAGGAGCCAAGACTCGATTTCGTGTTGATATTCGTGTCTTACATTTAAGAGTTTCTTGCTTCTACAACAACTTTCCTCAACCTACCGGATCTCCATTGTGGCCAATTTCTTTATCGCGCCCGCGATTGTCAACCTCCGCCAGAGCTTCATTACACCATTTCTCCCGATCTCGAACAAGTCTGCTCCGAATTTGACTACTTGATACTCGGCCGACTCATCAGTTGGCGATTCTGATCCCTCTTCATCCGCCCCGACTCCATCCTAACGGCTGCCTCGAGCTACAGTCCCCTCCAATATCGAAATAGCCTGCCCCTCCGACTTAACCACCACCAACGATGCTTTGCGCAAGTGCCCAAAGTGTGTTCACATGGTAAGGGTCGCTGCGCCTGGATATCCTTTCAGTTTGTGGCAGTATATTCGTCAACAAAAGTGCTGCCTTGAAGTGTACCTGATCGAGAACATTCGGGCTTTTATCAGCCATGACATCCTCAACGACTCGGCCCGAGGACACAGTACGTGGACTGCGCTTGAACCGCAGCGAAACAGACGAAGATGAAATGGAAAATGGAACGCCGGAGTCAGGTAGCTTCCTGGCGTCACAAAGCGATGACTCTCCGTACCCCGACGAGGGAAGTCGACCGAGCACTGCTTTAGGAGACGCCTCAGAGACTACCAGCAAGCAACCGGCTGGGCTAAAAACTCTCAGCCCCGAGGAAACTATTGAGCTAGCACGACATGCTGTTGAAAGTGGAATTCAAGATACCAAGCGTTCCCTAGCAGGCAGCGAGGCCGTCACAGATGTGGTCAAGCCTAAGCTGACCATTGACCTTGGTCATTCACACATTGCCAGGATCCCTGAACCAGTCGTTGACTTGATCAAGGATGAGGTTGAACGGTACGTCGGAGCCTTGCTTTGAGCCGCTATAGTGAAGTCTTGCGCTGCCTGTTCCCAGGCTACGTATCACGGTTCTGAACTATACTGATCACTATAAAGGCTGTCTCTGTCGAACAACCAACTTTTCCATATTCCCTATCGCTTCGCAGAGTGCTCGCATCTACGATATCTCAATATTAGAGCAAATAACTTCCGTGAATTCCCCAAAGGGGTACGTACAATGATAAATTCGCCTTGTGCTTGCATTTCGCTAATCCTGCTTGCTAGGTATACAAACTACCATTACTCGAAATTCTTGATTTAAGTCGAAATAAAATTAAGGAATTACCAAATGAGATCAGCAAATTGAAATCATTGCGGGTTCTGTCAGTGATGCAAAATCGCCTCATCGATCTCCCAGCTGGCCTATCCGAGATGCATAAACTTCAAATTTTTAAGTGTGTTGGGAATCCTCTGCGGAAGCCACTGCGTGATATTCTGGAGGAAACCGAGAACGAGATGACACCATCTGGGATGACTGACAACGAAAAAGAAGTTGCAGCCACAACTAAACTTAAGAGATTTCTTATGAAATCGCGACAGCAGACGAGTACACCCGAGGCAGAAATTATTACTGATACAAGGTTTGTCCATCTTACGGTCTTGAGGCGGATATAGGCTAACACTCAATGTCAACGCAGTGATGCTACTTTTGAGCCTAAACCGGCACCAACACCAATACCTTCAAAGCGGAATTTGAGTGGTCGGTTTCCAGTAATTCCCAGCACCGGTGATAGCTCAGCAGCCTCATCTCGGTCCCCATCGATATCACGGCCACCACCAATCCCATTAAAATCACACTATCGCATGGCCTCTGGACAACAAGGGGCTACCTACCACCTGCCCGGTCTCCAAAGACCTGGCATAGCACCTCATTCTATCAACGAACGCAATCGAAGCAATAGCGAGGGCATAATCCAAGGATCATCTGTTGCTCGTAGCAAAAGAATGGGGCTGATAACTCGCAAGAATACTGATTTGGGTACATTGGATGAAACGCGCCCATATCGAAACAGCCATCTACGGGGTCTCAGTCATGGATCCGTGCTTCGACCGCGTCAGCCTGCGGCGCCAGGCGCCGCGAATGATAGTACTCCCCCGAGTCCCACCAGCCCAAGAGAGCGCCGACGTCCGCGAGATGGCTGGGTTAATCGGATGTCTAGTCTGCCTGAACACAAGGGTGAGCGTGGATCTGACGAACCGATAATCAAGAGTGCAAAAGGTATTTTGTTTGCCCTCGCTCAAGTTCATTCTCATATCGATACATTGATCAACGTGATCAAGCATGATGATACCAGACGCCACAGCCTCGAACTTGTCTTTTACAATGCTTCCTCACATGTTGACCAACTCAATGATGCCCTCGAGAAAGCATCAAATACTTTGCTCAATGACCCAGAATCAATCGTATCAGTCACAGAAACAGTCAAACGTGAATGCGAGACGTGCATCGCTGCCTACATTCACGTCGGCACACAGCTACGCAATAATGTCGCCAAGATCGTTTCCAACGGCGATCCGCGCTATGTACGATCGCTGATGCTGACGATGTTTGGCAGCCTGGTGGAGCTACGGAATGCTTGTGTTATTCTCAATGTTCCTCTCCAGACCATCAACAAACGTGGCTCTGCTGCAAAGCGCTTGATTGGCCCAAGCAACCCACTTCCCCCGGTCCCAGACCGATCTCACCTCCCGCTGGCCACTCCAACAAGAGATCCCACGCCGCCCACACGACGATTGCGAAGCGACACGACAATTCGACACCCTCAATATCCCATGACTATGAATTCCAACCAGACTAGCATCAGCTCTCCGTCGTACCCACGCAGTCGCTCGAGCAGCAGATCAAACATGATCAACTCGCTGGCAACCCCTCGCTCAGGCGAAAGCTTCCCTCCTATGCCGGTTCCCGCGGCACCCCGCGTCAACACACTGACTGGACTGGATGAGAACGAAGAGGAGCGAATATTCGAAAAGATCTTCCATCAGCTGACTGCTACATACCATGCCGCATACGGGGCACTTCCACTGGCCCGTCGGCAATTCATAAGGTGTTTAGAAGCTGCTCAACAATCACGAGATTCAGAGGGAATCCAAATCCTCTGGAACAATCTCATCCGTCGATGTCAGTTTTGTCTGGAAGTTTCAGACGCCCTAGGACAGCGTCTGTCGACCATGAAAATCAAAGAACCAGGTGGCGGACTCCGCAACCAGCGTGAGTTCTGGCAGCTTTGCAAATCATTCATGCAGTCGTTCGTCGACCTAGTGAACGAGATGCGCGAGTTGAGAAGTATGCAGCTTCTACCTGCCGACGTCATCATCCTTCTACGCCCAGTCCAAAAGGCAAGCCGGGAAGCAGGCCGCTTGATCGAGGTATCTCCTTGGGCCTACCTTGCAGACCCGGACCGCCATCCCGCTCCTAGTGCCTTATATGGTCCTCTGCTACAGGCCTCACACATGCAACACCATCAAACATCCGTCTCAACATCCGCCCTCACCAACAACCCATCTTTCCAATTTAACATGATGATGCCCCCGCAATCAGTCACCGTTCCTGCCACTCCGCTGAGTGCGGCGCTTGGCCCTGCTGCGCAGGCCACTGTTCCGTCCACGCCGGCCAGTGCATACAGTGACAAATTCTTCGAGGGTGATGTCTTCCAGCGTGCTGACTCGCTTCTCTCGGCGAACCAAGCCTCATTTTTCCGTCGCTAAGCGACTATGAAATTCTTTTACGTTCCATTTCAGAGAACTCGTTTTCTCTATGCATCATGATCACCCCCATGCTCATTTTTCTCTGCATCTTATGATTATGACTATGAGCAATCTATCGTGCATGCCAGCCACGTTACTTTGGCGGTTCCTTGTACCACTGTTTCTGTCCTGGCAATCCGATCCTCGATCTGTATTCTGTTTTTCTTTCCTTGATTTAGCGGGTTGATCTCTTTTGAAAGAACTGAGCTACGAGCAATCTATTGTGCATGTCATTGAATCTTTTTGACCATCGAACACACATGCATTTCATTAGTGCTCTTTTTCTCTTTTTTCTATGCATTATCGGTTAATATCCTGTGGAAGAACTGGGTCTTTGTTACAACAGGTCTCAAATGAAATGATGTTTATTTCCGTAAACTTCCACTTCATACATATAAACTCGAGCCTTCGACGTGTTCGAAACTATTTAATACATAGTACGCGGTCGAGGTGAAGGATTGAGACATGTAAGAAATATTATAATATGAAATAATGGTGTCTAGTACATCATAGCTAGACCACCCATGATCTGTGAATCGCTATATGAAAGGCGATTCATATAGCGTTTTCTGGATTCATGAAGAATTTTGAAGATTCAAAGGCTCCTTTACAGAGCCTTGAACTTCCCCAGCACTAAGTAAAAGAGGACGAAAGGTTAATTCCGAGTACAACCATACTAGCCATGAAGTCAATGGTCTACGGGTACAGAGTACATACCTGCAGCATGAGCTAGATCTGCCTGGGAATGTGCCAGGATATGAAGACTAATATCCTGGAGTTCGTAGAAGAGGTGATCTTTGTTCGATGTGTAGTAAGATTTGTCATGCACGCTTGCACCCTCGGGAACCCTACACGCAATCCCAACAGTCAGTACCATGTACCTTTCAACAATTGAGAACACCACCACCGAGGCAAGGGTAATGTGACACAAGGGTTCTCTACATACCAGGTGATAAAGACTAGCTTGCTTCGCTGGCCATCGCCGGCGGGAGAATCGTAGGTGAAGTCTACGACAGCGTATCGGGGAGCATCATCCTTGAAGTGGGCGAGGAACTCGGCGTAGTCTTTGTATTTGCCAGACTCGGCGACGGTGATCTTCTTGTCGTGTGCGGAGGCTTTGTAGATGACGTAGTCAAGGTTGTTGGTGCCTTTGACCTGGTCGAATACTTCCTCGCATTCGGGAGTGATTGTTGCGAATCCTTTTGTCATGGTGAAAGATGTGAGGTGTGAGATGTGAGATGTGTAAAGAGGAAGAGGGGAAAGTAGAAAAGAGGGAAGAAAAGGCAAACTTGGCTGTCAGGGGTGGCCTGATACATTGTAGTCATACAACAGGCACGAGATCACCTGGTTTACCCCATATTATGCGGGGAAATCCACTTTATGACGTATGAAAGAAATTTATATCACCTTAGCTACTACATATGTATGTAGACTGTTGGAAATTAGGCTATTTGGACATATAATACTACTATACTAGTATCTACTACTACCTAATACTCCTACCGAAAATGTATGGACCAGCTGGACCTCAATAGGTCTTACCAGTGGGGCTCTTAGCCTCAGGGAAGCCACCCGCAGCCCCAAGTCAAGCTTCATGACCTAAAATAAATTGCGACTAAACAGTTTGATTCATGATATGAAAATATAGTGAATATAAATAGAAGGCGTTTAAGCGCTGTTCTTTGTTGAAACAGACAAATAGCATCGTTCTTGTTTTTATCCTTGCCTCCTTCGTCCCTCATCGATACCAGTACTGGGGTGGCTGCATTGACTGGTGGGCTTGGGGGTGATCGCGAAGAACATGCGAAGACAACAGTGAAATTACCGTGTTCGCTGAATGATCATGTTATTGACCCCGCTGACAATGATGAAGGCCGGTTAGAATTGTTCCCTCCTCCAATTTTGTCGAGTTCACCGTTGTTGATTGATTTGAAATGAATAATACCTTTTGGTCTTGACCTCGGGGCCAGCGGGGAAATCCAAATCCACTTCATATGACATGAAAGAAATTTATATCATATTAACCACTCCGTATATGTGCTAGAGAATGAGGTTCTTTTTTATAAAACAGTACCTATGAACTAATACTTAGTACTCCCACATAAAATGTATATACCAGCTGGACTTCTATCTGACCAGTGCGGCTCTCAGCCTCAAGCCACCTGCAGGTTTAGAGGTTTACGAGATCAACACCCATCGACCTAAAATGAATTGCGCCCTACCAAACAGTTTGATTCGTAACGTGAAAATATAGTGAATAAAAACAGAAGTCCAATCATTCCCATCTTCAATTCAACAAGTTCCCCGCCTGACCTCACTTCTCTGCCTACACAGCCTCACTTCTCTTTACGCTAGCGCCCGGGCGAATAAATAAAGTACTAATTCCCATTTTCCCGGTCACAAAACGCAAGCACTTTCTCAAGTCATACTATTAGACATAGTATATTGACCAAGAGACCGCTAACTCGCGATGACAACGTCGCAAACCTCCTCACTATGGGCTCTGGCTCTATCATCACTCCCCGAAAAAGACCAACGCATCTTCAAAATATCAAGCAACTCATCCCCAGACACAAAAAAGACTCTAAATGATATCCTCTCGGCACTGGAAAGCCAGCGCGACCGCTGTATGCGGGATAAATGGACCACAATAAGTATTGGGGGAAAGGAGCTCATAATCCGCGATTTATGCGCGAAGATTACTGCGTATGTCAATAAATTCATGGAGGTAGTTGATGTTGCGGTCCAGTATGACCCTGTTCACGCGGCGTTGCCGTGGGCTGGTGTGCGTTTCTTGCTGAAGTTGACATTCTCTGGGTTTGAAGCTTTCGGTGCTATTGTCGAGGGATTGGAGAAAGCCACAGGATTGATAGCCCGATGTGGAATTCTTGAGGCCCTATTTATTCAGCATGGTAAGGGGACTACTGAGGGAAGATTGGCCTTGGAACGGGAAATGGTGAAGCTGTATTCCATTGTCCTGGGATTTATTTGCGCTGCTAAAAGGCATCATGATTCATCACGCATGAGTGAGTTGATAAGAGGTGGATTGCAGCGCGTTTGTATGTGTTTGCTGACTGTGAGAATTAGAGCGTACCTTTAACTTGACCTCTCGGGTGTCCATTCAAGAATCAGTGAAGCAAATGGAGGCTGCAGAGAAAACTGTGTTGGCTTTGAAGGGTCTCGTTGACAGCGAAAGTCAGTTGATTGAATATGGATAACCAGCCAATTTTCTTACATTATATTAGGGGTGGGAACCATCCAGGACGGCATTTCCATGATGCTCCTAACGGTGACCTCGACTGCTAAGGACGTCGAAAACATTCAAGCAAGACTGAGGGCAACACTTATAGATCTTGAGCGGCCTCTAGTTAGGATTGCGGATCAGGTATCTGATCTTCATGGTGCATTGAAAGGTACTATTCTCAGATAGGCGAGATTCGATACACCGAGGCTAATAATTTATGACTAGAGAGTGAGAGGAGCGAGCTTCTAACGTGGCTTTCCCCTGTCCGCGCCCAAGAACACTACAGGGGGGCACTGACATCTGTGCTATCTGGCTCGGGCAAGTGGCTCTTTGAAGATCAACGCTTCATGAACTGGAGGGACTCGAGTAGTTCCGAAACATTTTGGTTACATGGCATACGTAAGTATAAAGAAACTCCCAAGCCGGTATATGGAACATGTGTTACATGTCCAAGCTAACAGGGTACATATTTAGCGGGCTGTGGAAAGACAAAACTTGCGTAAGCTTTCTACCTCAAGAGTTGAAGCATATCTAATAGTGTGATCAATTGTTTCCAGGGCGGTCGTAATTCAACATCTACGCCAACAGAATTGTGGTGCATGTCAACCAGCGCCAATAGCCCACTTTTTCTGTTCTCAGAACCCTGCAGAGCCGGAACGAACCGACTCACAAGACATAATCCGATCATTGGTAAAGCAAGTTTCTCTAACTAGAGAAGGAAATGATTTTCGCGTTCGAACTCCGCTACTGAAAGCGTATAAATCACGACAAGCAGAAACGAGTCACACCGGAGAAAAACCATCACCGCTGACGGTAGAAGAATGTACTGAAGTGATGTGTGAAATCGGCAGAGAGATTCCGTTTACAATTGTTATTGATGCACTAGATGAGTGCAGCTCTCAGCAACGGCGCGTTCTCCTTGAGGCACTAGAGGAGATTCGACAGCGGTGTCGAGATGTTGTCAAGATATTCGTTTCAAGCCGGCATGAAGAGGATATTGCAGTGTCATTTAAGAAGGGAGAGATCTTGGAGGTGACTTGTCAAGCAAATAATGAGGATCTGAAGCAATTTGTCGAAACTGAGGTCGAAAGATTCGTGAAGAGATGGTCTACTATGCATGATGAGTCGACTGCTGTGCTGCAGAAGCTTGGGGAGGATATAAAAGAGGCACTTATGACAGGCGCACAAGGAATGTAAGTTAACAGGGAGGTCAAAGCCAAAGATAAACACGGCGTTAGTATATAGGTATGAACTTTACGCTGACCAATTTAGGTTTCTCTGGGTGACCCTCCAACTTGAAAGCATCAGCGATATTGAGCATGTCAAGGATATTGACAGTATTCGCCGAGTCTTGACCTCGCTGCCTCCGAGTCTCGCCAAATCATACGAGGCTATCTACAGAAGAATACATTCTATGGGAGAGAGCACGAGAAGAGTGGCAATTCAAAGCTTCCAATGGCTCTTATGCGCGAAAAGAAAGCTCTCGGTTTCCGAATTTGTGGCTGCTATGGGTATGCCCTCGAGCCAGTCATCCCACATATCAGCGAGGTCAATCCGCGATTACTGCTGCAACTTGGTGGTTATAGATAATGAAGCAGACACATTGCGTCTCGCTCACTTGACAGTCCGAGAGTAGGTTTTTTCATGAGCCGTAAGTTGAATGAAAATCTAACTCTTGATGCACAGATTCTTTGAGAAACTGCCCGAGTTCTCTATCAACGAGTCCAATGCAACTGTTGTTGACAGGTGCTTAGGATTATACTTGGCGGATGAGCGCAATTCTGATCTCTTGAGCTACGCTACTTGGTTCTGGCCTGCTCATGTAGAGCAACTCAGTGGATCGCCTCAAAGAGCAGCGATCAAACCAGCACTTCTCGAGTTTTTCACGAAAGAGGAACACTTTGAAGATTGGCTAGATGATATTGACGCACTAAACATTGAGGAGGGTCCTAGTTGGAGTACCTCACTCCACAGAAAGCTCGCTGCATCATTCGCCTCGCCACCATCAGCCTTATTTGTTATATCTTGTTTTGGCCTTGAGGAGGTACTTGAATCGTCGGGGCTTACTGGTACGATGGATGTGAATCAAAGAAACAAGCATGATACTTCCGCACTATACCTGTGTGCTCGTTGGGGCCACATCGAGATAATCCGGAGACTCCTAGATCTAGGAGCAGCTGTGGATGCCCCCGGCTCTCAATATGGAAGTGCACTGCAAGCAGCATCTTTTGCTGGATATAAAGAAATTGTGAAAATCTTACTCGAAAACGGCGCCTCCTTCTCCCTAACTGAAACTTCCCTAGCCAAAACAGGGGAATATTCGAGTCCGCTTCAAGCTGCTCTAGCCAATGGGCATGATGATGTCGCCAAATTGTTGATTGATAAGAAATGCAAATTGGCCACACAGAAACAGTTTGACGATACCATAGATGCTGCAAGCTTCAGGGGCAACATCGATATCGTAGAGCGACTTTTAAGTGGCAAGGCTGGTGTTTTCACGCCAAACATCCGGCCCGATCCGCTCCAAGTTGCTCTTGCGAGCGGCAAAGTAAGACAAGCAACGCGACTAATACAGGAATATGGCGTTGCTGGCATTAATGAAGAAAAGGGGTACTTTGGGAATGCTCTCACCGCCGCTATTTCCAGCCGCAAGCTCTGTCTTGTGCAGCTTGTCGTCGATGCTGGCGCCAATCTTGATGCTCGCGGACGGTTTGGCTCTCCCTTGCGGGCTGCCGTTATATCCAATCATCTCAATATTGTGGGATATCTATTGGAGAAAGGCCTCGACCCCAACACCGAAGACGAGAAGCTGGGTGACCCGCTCCAAGCCGCTGCCTCTGTAGGAAATGTCGATATGATGCTACTGCTGCTGGACCACGGAGCCTCTGTGAATGGATCCGGTGGCCACTTTGGAAACACGCTGCAAGCTGCCTGTTTCAACGGACATGAGCAAGCTGTTCGACTATTGATTGAGCGTGGCGCTGCATTGCCAGGTGAATTTCGTAAGGGCCGGTATCGTGATGCACTGCAAGCTGCAGTCTATGCTGGTCATGAAGATATTGTCAAGGTACTCTTTGCATCTGGTGTAAAGCTTGACTCAGGGCGGCCAACGTCTCTGTATCTTTGCAGCCTACGTTCTAAGTTTAGGAGGAGGATTGCGCTGCCGAGCTCAAGGACGGATACGGGCAGACTAGATATTCTGAAAATGCTGGGGCCGCTTGAGGTTGCCGCTCAAAAAGGTAATATCAGTTTGGTTAGGATTTTACTAGCCAAAGGGGCTGAAATAGATGCCAGAGATGCGTATTATCGAGGCAATGAGTACCAATGGGGGTGTACGTACACCGCATTGCAAATCGCGGCTTTTTGGGGACATCTACCAGTGGTGGAACTTATCTTGGGGCATGGAGCAGACATCAATGCTGTGCGAAAAGCTCTCGGGACTCCCTTACAAGCGGCTTTAGAGGGAGGTCATTTCGATATCGCAGAGGTGTTGCTGTCCCGGGGCGCAAAGATCGATCGACATTGGGGAATGCTCGGGTCGTGTCTCCAAGTTTATTCCAAACGAGGGCACCTTGACGTTGTTCAGTTTCTGTTGGATCGAGGAGCAAAAATCGAAGATTCGGGTGGCAAAAATGGCAATGCACTCCAGGTTGCCTGTGATGCAGGGCATATTGACATTGTTCGGTTCTTGCTTGGCAAGCGTGCAGATGTGAAAGCACCCGGAAAGCATCTGGGAAATGCACTGCAAGCAGCCTCTGCAAGAGGACATATCGAAATAGTCAAACTGCTTCTCCATCAAGGTATAGGAGTGGACGATGCTGCCAATAATACTGAAACAGCGCTCTGCCTCGCTGCAAAGAATGGGCAAGAGCAGATGGTGAGTTTTCTGCTGCAACAAGGAGCCAACATCGACGGCAATTTGGCTCTTGTTGAGTATGATACGAGTGAAGAATCAGAACAGACGAGTGAAATTCCCAGCATACAAAAGTTTGTTGCAATTCTGACGAGTGAAATTCCCTGCGTACAAAAGATTGTTGCAATTCCTCTTCATCTCGCCGCCATTGGTGGACACGAATCTACCGTCTCTATCCTCCTAAAAAACGGGGCAAATGCCCATCTGCAAGACAAATTACGCAATCAGGAAATGGATCATTCGAGGACGCTTTTATCAGCATGCTTTCGCGGACATGCTTCCATTGCCAAACGGCTATTTCAACACGACCCGTGGAGCTATGCATCTCATGACACGTTTACACCCGCACTTGAGGCAAGTCTGACTGGAAATAAAAAAGATATTTCAGCAATGCTGGTTCAAGAAGCAATTTATGCGGGATTCAAAGCCGAACACTTTGGTGGCGCATTCAGATACGCCTGTGCAGAGGGATACACAGAGTTTTTGAAGCAAATTTTGCAACATTTCGATCTTCAAAATTGGCCTACCGCTCTTTTGATAGCTGTAAAACGAGGCAGAGGCACCGTTGTTGAAGTTTTGCTGCAAAATGGAGCCGGTGTGGACATTCGCGACGAGAATGGCAATCTGGCATTGGACCTAGCCATAGAACGAATCAAGGAAAGCAGAAGACCCGACTCGCCCTCTAGCTCACGAAACTGGATCGAAGTCCTTGCGATCTTGCTCTGTGCAGGGGCTCATACAAAGGATCAATCTCGCAAAATTAAGGAGGTCTTCCCGGATATTGCAAACAGCGCCAGAGTTGATCATTTGAGAATGTTAGATCACTGCGGGTACAATATATTCGGTAATGTCACACTTTATTCAGATGCTTTGATCGAAGCCTCGGCCGACGGTGACATTGAAAAGATCTATTACATGGGTACAAAGCATGTCCCTTCGAGTAGGGATATCAAAGCTGCTGTTCTTACTGCAATAAAACATCAAGGAACTCGGACAAATCGGATATCAACGATCGAGGCACTCATGAGCCTCAGAACACCACTGCTGTTTGATGAAAATCAGGATGCCGAGCCATTGTTACTTGCTTGTAAGGAGAAGTATTCCAACATTGTTGCCATTCTACTCCAGCACGCTAGGCACGGCAGAAATGTCGTCGAAACAGCCTTGGAAGAAGCTATTTGCCGCGATAGCGTTAGTTGCGCACGCGCAATTCTTGAGTTACAGGGCTGGGAACCGGCTGAACGACTTGAACTTTGTTCTCGCTTTATTCCAAAATGCCTCCCTGGTGATTCTAAGGATATGCTTACGTATCTGTTTGACCAAGGGGTATCCCCGAACACAAGGGATCCTAAAACTGGCGCAACTCTATTATACACCGCCGCTACCGAGGATGATAACCTCAGAGTCAAGACTCTTGTGGCTCATGGCGCAGATGTCAACCTCGAAGGAGGCCAGTATGGGACAGCGCTACATGGAGCAGCGGTTGCTGGGTATTGGTTCATGATGGGGTTGCTGCTTTCATCTGGGGCAAACGTTAATGCACAGAATAGGCATATTGGTACGCCGCTAATGGCAGTGATGGTGCAGACTTGGAATGGAGATTGCTTAAGGGCGAAGGGCAATAAGTTTTGCTCATTGAAATGCCATCGGTGCTGTGCAAGGGTGTTGCTCGATTGGGATGCGGATGTCGATGCCAAAGGTGGAGAGTTTGGTACAGCGCTACAGGCTGCAGAGAGGGTTGGGAACAAGCCTGGAATAGAGATGCTCCTACACGAGGAGTGTATAATAATTTGATGACAGTAGCAGTGAGTCTTCTGCGTTCAAGGGATTTGTTTATATATCCAAATATTATGTCAATACTCGCGCGCACATGGTTACAAAAACCCATCCTACAGAAAATATTCCACTGCATCAAGGTGTAGGTTGGGTCTTTCAAGCAAGTGCTCGCGAAAAGCTTCCATCAGTGAACTCAGGATCCGTGGTACATATGTCAATAATCATAGACCATTCTCCTATTGATTTGTATTATCGGAGAGGATATGTAGTGGAGCTGATTTATGTGCAACTCCTCACCTGGGCATCGTGATGCATCGTGATGCATCATGACTCATGCTGGCTCATGATGACCCCCGACCGACACATATTGACCGAATCCTAAGTAACCTTGACCCAATATTACTCTTATAGCATACAAGTTTTATTATCGTAAAGTTATTCATGTGCTTGTAGCACTATGATGGAGATCTAGTAGCGTTTTGGTCTTCGAGGGCGGCTTACTATGAGGACGAATCGGTTTGGGTATTGGGTTTGACAGTATAGTTCCTTTTTTTTTAGAACTGAGTATAAATTATATCAAGATACCCCTCGTAGCTAGCAGGCCAGATTTAATCCTTCGCCAGAAGTGGTTGGTGTAATAGATCGAAATGGAGGTATATATATCTCTCAAGAAGGGGGAAGGAACATTACAGTAAGCGACTGGTTCAACTTTCGAATTTTTGATTTTATGCGAATAAAAAAGGCAAATGACGAAAAACTCCCTTTGAACCCAGAGATCACTTTGCTTTTGGTGATTTCCTTAAATGATGCAACATTTTTGTCGACATCGTCCGAAAGCCTTCCATTACTGTTATTCTTACGGGCCCAGCATGACGTTCTCAATCAAATACTAACTTGAGCCTCAATTTTGAAAATAGGAAAGAATTCTCAAAGAAATACACATTATAATCACCAATTTCGATAAGTTCAAAATCCAAGATACGCCCGTTGTCCCCATAATCAACGAGCCCTCGGAGCAACAACCACATACCTCACAAAGGAAAACATCTCGCGCGGCTTGTTCACAAAGACACTGTGCCCAGCCCCACGGAATAAATGATACGACACACCACGTTCCATAGCCCACCTACCCGCAACAGCAGCAGTAGGTGTGGCAGTCGAGAGCGTTCTAGCCGCCGGCGTATGTTTTAACAGGGGTTGTTTGGTCGCTGAGGGCGCAGCATCATCAGCAAAGAATGCGTTTTTCGGCTTCTGCGCGAAGCCTTGTGCACCGCGCCACGTCATATTCTGCAGCGACAGTTCCGCGCCAAAGTGGTTGATCAGCATATCCCACTCGCCCGAATAGATATGGAGCGAGATATTGTGCTTGGTAACCAGAGACGGGAGGATAAAGTACTCCGGCGGCACGGGAGAGGGCACTGAAAGGAGAGTGTTTAGGATTGTGGAGTTGCAGGCGCTGTAGAGTCCGCTGTTCTCGACGTGGAGCGCGGCCTGCACGTCCGTGCGGCCGAAGTACTCTGGCATAAGTGACAGCGGTGAAACTGTGCTGCAGTCGTGAGAGATGTCGTAGATATCGAAGCAGCCGCGGGTTGTGCGGTTGGTGGAGATGGCTGTTAGGTAGTCACTTGCTGTAGAGAAGGCAGCGCAGGGGCCGTAGCAGGTTGAGTTGAAGATTGAGGAGTGGACTGCTTCGGGGGTTGTGGGAGAGATGTTGCATGCGGAGTTGGCAGCATCTGACAAGTCTCGGCGGCGGAGGTTGAAGTACTCTGGGTTTCCAGGGATGTGAATTTTAGCCTGGGGAGGATATATGGCGGATTTTGCTAGCACGTCATTGAATCCGCAGGTTTCGTCTGCTTCGCTAAAGACAGACAGGACATCTTCGGGGATTTGGAGGAGGCTCAGCTGTGACCTGAGATATTTTCCCATTGTAACGGACGCCATGGCTGCTCCATTTCCCCAAGATCCATCACCTAGAGACATCGAACGCACGTTGAGAGGTAGTGAATTGTTGCCCTCGAGAAGCTCCGATGCAAAGTACGGTATGTAGATGCCTGCATATGACTCGCCTATCAAATGGATCTGCTTTGACTGCAAGTGCGGGAAATATTCGAAGAAGCCACGCAGCCACTGCGTAAAGTCCGTCGTTACCCGGACATTGTCCCTAACCGGGTAGGGGAAGCTGGCTGTGCTGAAGCCAGTACCGACGGGCTGATCAACGTAAAGCACATTGCCCAGCTTCGTCCATGAGTGAGGATTGCGGATTAATCGAGTTGAGTTGCCATCAAACGAAATGGGCCCATTACCGGTCGTCAGACCTATTAAGGATGAGCAGCCAGGGCCGCCATTAAACCAGACTATACAACCTTGTTAGCAACCGCCTTTGCATATACTTTCCCAATCGGACTTACTGATTAAATTGTCATCATAAGCCGGCTGCTCTGATTGGAATAGCCAGAAGAATATCTCGTTTCCATCCTCTGTCCCCGGAACAGGAAGGCGACCAGCCCAGCTGGGTGGTAGGTCCGAAATGCCTGGCAGAGTATGTACTTCAAACCGGGAAGTATTGTATGAACCAATTCCTCGTGAAAGGACAAAGCCAGGAACTGCCCATAGGACATTAAAGAAGTAGAACAATGCAGAGAGATTCATGATTCGAACTCGCTGTGCTTCACACAGCTATAGTAATCTTTTTTCTTCCCAGCAAATAATCGAGATGATAACCTTTGGAATAAAATATTCAGGATGCTCATGTAGACAAGACTCCACATGGCAATCATGTTTCCTTTTTATTTCTTTCTTTCTAGACATGGTGGTTATTGGGCTTATTGAGCGGGCGGTTGTTGAGCCAGATTCGGGTGTCAATAAGGCCAGGGGTATTGGGGTGAAAGACATGGCCAGTGGATTTGGGAGCTCGCCGGAGCTCATATCCGTCTATAAGCAGTGGATGCCTCCTGAATCACGGTAATCTTATTCAGATCCGAGCCGAATGGGAAGATTGATGGAAGTTGTGAAGTTGGTGAAGTATAGGGTTGCGTCTGTAATCCTGTGCTTCGCTTAGGCCGCTACCTACATGTATGTACCTAGCTCCAGACCTTGGGACTCCCAGGGACGTATTTCACATAGCTGCGCACACAAGCGAGCTGCGCAGTCGAAACACCATAGTAAAATCGATATATGCTACATACACTTATATCTCTACAACCAACCCTTTTTTTATTGACAGTAGTTTGCCGATAGACATTGATAATAATTTTTAGGAGTACATACTATCAATTTCGAGTAGATTAAAAACCTGCATTATTATGGTATCGAAAATTACATCTTTAAATCCTCTGAATACATATCCATGGATATATATCTCAGTCATGAATTTCTTAACCTTTCTTAAATCTCCCCAAACTCCTAAAAGGAGCAATTTATTATATGAAAAGCATCAGGCTGTAAGGAAGAGTTTGCAAAGACAAGCATTGTTGAGATATCTAGTTGTAATTTATCGCATTTACTATGGGTATCAGACTGCGCAGCTCGCATGTGAAATACGTTCACTAACTAGGCCAAAAGATCAACCTTGGACAAACAGAAGGTGTGTCCGTCATTACAACGGTATCTAGTTAGTTATTAGGCCCTAATGTTCATTAGGGACCACACCTCAAGGGATATACGTAGCCTTGTGTATCAGGCATCAAGGGATTAAGATATTCAGGTATCAAGGCACTAAGGCACTAAGGCTTGCCGAACCGAAAACATTCCGATCTCGACGAGAGGGGCCCTGCTTCATCTCTCCTCGATAACTCTGTGAACACTTGCCAAGTGTCCTGGATGGTATGGAGTACATGCTATGTAGCTGGTAATGCACAGAACGACTGCATCCAGTGGTTCCCCTAGAAAAGGAGACAACTCACGTGGCCAGTGCTGGTTTCAAGGTTCAAAGTGAGGCGAATACCCCCCCTTTTTTTCTAGATGGAACTTCAAATGCAGATGCAAGTTCACATCGGAAATGGAAAGATGTGACAATATTGAGATACAACATATACCTTTGTCGAGGGGAGTCTGCTCGCGGGTAGCAGCATAGGAATGTCTGGTTGCGTCCACCCGAATCCGGTGTAGATCGGGGATACACTCACTATATGAGTTCATCCCGGTCGCTTTGCCAACTCCTTTTCTTTCTTTTCTTTTTTTTAGCTCTTTGATTTGTCGATTGATCCTGCATCTTTGCACTGACATTTGGGCTTGTTTGCCTGGAGAGTATACACTGAAAATCCCCTGCGACAGGTTTCATACTATCTCTCTCCCTCTTGCACAACTCTTTGTTTAGAAGATTATATTCTCTTTTATTCGGTTTCTTATACTCTTTTTTTGTTTCAAATATTCTAATTTCCACCCCTTTTTTCTACCCTCTCCCTATCTTGGACCCCTGATCGGACCACGAGGTGATCAACGCAGATCCAAGCAATCCTCGGCTCCACAGGAATTGACAGCTCACTTGCATCACTTTTCGGTGACTGCGGATTGGCTGCCTGCCTGAGGCAAACAGGGGGCTATTAATTTGTGAGTTGCGAGAGTTGCATAGGGGCGTAATTCGCCTTGTTCTGTGCTTAGGTGCATGGCGTGGTCTCGCCATTGCCACCCCGAAATCTTCCTTTTATCTGACTGTCTGAGTAGGGGAGGTTGAGAGATATCGTACCCAACGATGGATCTCCAAGGAACAAAAGAAGCTCGGACACAGGAGGAGGGTGCTGAAGGTCCTCTAGAGGCCTATGGTGCTGGAGGTGGTCGTTCAAAAGAGTATCACAAGAACGAGGGGCGAGATTCTCACAATCGCGATGACCGATCTTCTATCAATCCCCTTCGACGTCGCCAACCGCCCTTCGCCTACCCCCATGGAGCTCGACAATCTGCATCGCCGATACCAGCCGTTGTTTCTCGGCTTCGAGAGCCCTCCCCATCACCGGAGGCTATCAGTATACCTCAAGATTTGGGACTGAGTTCCCGCGATCAGCGACTACTACGCAAGGCTCGGAGATCCCCACCGGTTACGAAGAAAACACTCAGCGAGCTTGATCTACCCTGTATCATGAGCAACATCAACCTCCGTATGGACGCCAACTTCGACCGCGACCTGCACTTCAAGCCAGACCTAGACGGAGAGAAGGGCCAACGCAAGCGGAAAGAAGCTGCAGATTATTGGGACTCTTTGGCCGCGGAGATTACCGTCTACTCTTTCAATGCTGCAACTGCCGATTCCACCGCCGAGGAAGTCGAGTCGAGTGATGGTACTCGACGCACCTTCGATCCCCGTTTGCCTGCCCTATTCGAGACATTGCAGGACGTCATCAAAACACTTGTGCCAGAACGGGACCACCCAACTATCATGCAAAACCTGGAAGTTCCATTGCTCATGCAGCAAATACGTAAAGGCGTTCTCGACATGCTTACGCTGGCGAAATGGCTGGCGAAACTCCTGAAAACTCATTGTGCTCCAATGCGAGACGAGTGGGCTGATTCTATGGTCGAGCAAATCGAAAAGGGTTCACAGTCTCAGGATCCTCGGGAGATTGTCAACGGTCTGCGAACATTGTTCTCTATCCTTGAGGCGATGAAGTTGGTATGTAAAACCTAAACTTATTCTGTCCTACAACATTCGGAACTAATTCATGATTTGATAGGACGTCGCCAACCATCAGATTCGAGCATTCCGCGTTCTCCTCATCGAAGACACAGTCCCCTTCCTCCAAGAATACTTCCAAGGCAAAATGAACCGCGGCAGCTTCCAGGTCGAACCCGCCCGCCACTGGTACCTATCAGTGCGCGAACAAGCCCGCCTAGACGATGCAAATGCAGAAGCCCAAAAAACAACCCCAATCCCAGAAACAGAGGACACTCTAAAACCCCTCGAAGCCCTCTTCCGCGGAATCTCCTCCCAACTCCTCCAATTCACCCCACCCACCGAATTCCCCGAAACCTTCCTCTTCGACTCCGAGCGTCTCTGGCAACTCCGCTCAACAGTCCAAAATCTAATCAACCTCGACATCGCCTGGTACATCTTCGAGTCCTACGTCAACAAGCACAAGCGGTATCTCTCAACCCCAGAAGAAACCTACTCCACCTTCCGGTCTCGCATCTGGTCCTTAATGGAAGACGGCATGGACCTGGAGAACCGTGTCGCAGGGAACCCAGACAACAACGACGACGATCCCGATCACCGTGGCGGAAAGCGCTGGACGCAAAATATGCGCTGTATCGCGCTGGAGATTGCCCGCTTCGCCTGTGCAGCGCTGCAGCTTGACCCTGTCGTCGCAGATGAGGTCATTGCACCCATCGAAGAAGCTCTTGAGTGGCATCTGTCAAATGAGTCCGAGCTCTTCGTTTTCTTCCAAAATAGCATGCGTGCCAAGATCCTTGCTACTACGCTGGCAGCGGCTCGGAGATACTTGCCGCTGTCCCCCTTGGCGATCTGTGAGTCACAACGCGCTCCAATGTCTGCTGCTGTGGGTCCTGCTGTGCCGCAGACCGGGACTACCAATGCGTCTACATCGACGAATACTTCGTCGCTGGCTTTCGCGCCGCAGCAGTCAGATGTCGAGCGTATCGGGATGCGTCTTGCTCATATGGGTGTACTGCACTGGCGTGTTTGGGCTCCCTTGTTGTACCTTCGAGACGAGATCGCGATGGTGGAGCTTGAGCAGCCACCATTGGTATAATTTGCTCTTGTTTTGGTCTTTACTTTTTGATCTTTGGTTTATTGGTGTTGGTTATTGTTTACTGCTGTCTTTCAAGTGTTTAGTTTGACATGCCTTTCAGCGCCTTGCATCTACTGCTTACTATTTGGGGGGAGTTTTATTATTCAAACCGGGTGTTCTACCGACACAAGGGGATCTCGGTGTTATATTCCTGGGAAATAGAAGGCGCATATAATCTCTATTTTGCTATGTCAAGTAGAGGTCCTAGAAATGACATTGAATTGACAGTATATTACCTATACTTACTATACTTACTATACTATACTCTCTTCTACTCTATCCATACTAAACTCCAAATAAACAAAAAACCAACCCTGGGAACTCAATCCTAGTGGGACGGTAGACGCGAACGTCGATAGGTCCGTGCACAGCAACCTTGAAGAATCCCCCCAGTCCCCTTTAAGAATTCCCCATGCATCCAGCCTAAAATTGCCGTTACAGGTCTACCGCAAAGCCCGACACGGAAATTCAAGACATATCATTCTTGTACCGAAAAATCTAGACCGCGACCCCAATGCGACCCTTGGCAAGCAACAAGCACAAACAAACCCATTGGGCCCAATGCGTCTTTCTGCAGCCCTGTACTCCCCAGCCCACCCTTGGCTCGCATGCTTGAAATCAGCACAATTGCAGCGCATCGCGCGCGCAACGGGCATCCAATCGTCCGGTACGAAGGGTGTTCTGATTGAGCGCATTGCAGCAGAGTTGACGTTGCATTCACAGTCTCAGGCGCAGTTGCAGTTGCAGTTGTCGGCTGCCGCGGATCGTGTCGCAGACGGTGTCACTAGTAATCCCAATCACAGTACTACCAGTGGCAATGCCGGCACCAGTCGAAGCCGGGATCAGCGGGTGTCGACGAAAAATCGCCCAAGCGAAACAAAGACAAAGACCAAGTCAGCAGACGTGTCAAAATCAGACCCCGCTAAACAGCCATGGAGTGTCCTCAGCATCGATATGGGGATCCAGAACCTCGCATTTGCGCATATGCTCGTGCCCCGCTCTGATGGTCCAGCTGTTGGGATAGACGCAACACATCCCCGACCGCCAGTGTTGACGGCCTGGCATCGACTCGCTCTTTCTGATCTATCAAATTTGAACCTCGTACCCGGGGGTAATATCAGTATAATCAAGCCCGCTGAACCAATATCAGGATCTGCGGACGCCACAGAGTCATCCCAAGCCACCATCCAACCAATAGAAACAAAGAAAGATCTACAGGTCAAGGTCGCTAAATCTACCCCAAAAGAGGAAGATCTATACGTTCCAGAGCTCTACGCTGCAAATGCGTACACCCTAATCACGTCACTGATATCTGCTTACCGCCCCACGCATGTGCTCATAGAGCGCCAGCGCTTCCGCTCAGGTGGCGGGAGTGCAGTGCTTGAATGGACGCTGCGCGTTGGCCTGATGGAGGGCATGTTGTATTCTGTCCTCCATACGCTACGACAGGAGCGGGGCGGGGAGATTGCGGATTTAGTTGTTCGAGGCATTGAGCCAAAGCGGGTAGTCAGGTATTGGCTTGAGGGTGAATCCGGGCCATCAGTGTCTAGGAAAGCAGACATGGATGAAAAATCAGTCGGTGAAAAGGTGAAGGAGAAGAAACTCAAGGCGCGAGAAGTGAAGAAGGCTAAAATCGATCTGGTTGGACGGTGGCTTTCTACTGCGATGCAGAATATCAATTCGGACACGGAGGGTGGTATTAAGCAGCTGGAGCTGGGTATTGCTGCCGATAATAAGATCGTGCTTGCGGATAAATCCGTGTCTCCTGCTTTGCATGGTGCTGCGGGGGCGTATATGCGGAAGTGGGAGGGCCAGATAAAGAGGTCGAAGAAAAAGAAAGAGAAGGAGTCCGGTGCTTTGAATAGTGAATCTCTTTCTCCATCGCCTGTATCCCCTCTGTCCGGTATCGAGGACGAGGCTGTTGCTGTTGATCTGGGGAAGCTCGATGATCTAGCGGATTGTTTGTTGCAGGGTGTGACATGGGTCGAATGGCAGATTATGCGGGAGCGGCTTGTCAGGGAAGGGGTCCAGGCGTTGGAGTTGATACCGTAGTAGATATTAATATTCATTCGTGGGGCGGGCTAGATGGCGAGCTCACGGATGAAGTTGAGTGTTCGACTTTTGTATAGTATCCAATTTGATGTATATTAATATTCTTAAATAAACAATGACACAAGACATCAGTTCAAGGGTATCCTAAACTGTGGTTCACATTTAGCTACCGACGTAGCCCTAGAAGATCGACACTGATCGACAACTAGACATGGACCAAGCCTTACTTTATCTCTCCAGGGTGGAGAGCCTCATACACTCTATTTCTACTTGTTATACAAAGGAAGCAGGAACTAATTTGTAGGCAAAAAGCACCATGTCAATTCAGGTTCTTTCCTCGGATACCGATATTGCTCACCCCCATCGGCCTTCCACATGGAAAGAAAAACATGAAGACGAAAAACAGCGCAAACCATGAGATCATTCACAAAATGAAGATCTGTAAAGATTAAAAAAGATGAATTTTCCTTGAAACACAATGAAAAAAAGAGAGAAGATCCAGTCCTCAAAGCAGACATGTCACCACCCGTCAAGACGATACGTGAGAAAATATTCCGAGTCCAATGAAAACTGGTCGTATGAAAGGATCAATTTCACATTGGAGAGTAAAAATGTAACGCAAGGAAATGTCACGCCAGAAGGTTTGAAGATTGGGCACCGCGGTCAATGATTGAAGTTTGCAGCCTGCAGAACGTAACAAGCAGGCAAGGAAACCTTGGGCCCAGAGAGCAATCCAGCATGACAAGACCATTGCAAGAATAGAAGTCGAAAAGAAGAAACATGGCAAAAAATGGAGCGTAAATAAGAAGTGAAATCGAAACCGTTTGTACCGAAACTTGTCAAAAAAAAATAGGTACAGTACCAGCACGCCTCTGCGTGAGTAGAAGGGAATCGGAACTTTCTCTCGGATCAACAACGGGTTCGCAACTCACTGCAATGTGGGGGTGGGGACTCCCCTCGCATTACCAGTGTGTTGTTTAGATGAAGCGGTGGCGCCAGTTGCTGAAGAAGTGCTTTCCGTGCTTTCCACCGGGGGCCTTGGTAGCGGAGGCCTGGGCGCTGGAGGCAGGGGTAGGCGTAACGCTGACGCTGGCGCTGGCAGAAGGAGTCCGGGTAGCGAAGCCGCTGGAAGAAGGAGTACGGGTGATGGGAACGCGGGTGGAGCCGGTGGGAATGCGGGTCTCGGTGGCGATCTCAGTGGTGGAAGCCGCGGAGGTGGTCTCAGCGTAGCTAGGCTCAGCGGAGGTGCTCTGCGAGCCCTCACCGTTGCCAGGGGCGGAGGTCTCAGTGGCGCTCTGGAGAAACGTTAGTTTGTGGTACGCTAGTTAGGGGAATGAGTAACACATACAGCAGTCACAGTCTCAGTGACAGTAGCAGTGACGGTAACGGCGCTGCAAGCACCAGACTCATTGCCAGAGCCAGCTCCACCGGAGGGAGTGGGGACCTCAACCAGAGTAACAGTCTCGGTCTTGGTGGCCTGGATAGTAGAGGTGTGAGTGTTGGTGGTGTCCTCAGCGGGCTTGGTGGCTGAGGCATCAGAACCAGACTGAGTCTACATCGAAGTTAGTATGGAAGTATAAAGCATTGGATATCAGATATAAAACATACGGCAGTGACGGTGAGCTGCTCAGTGGCGGTCTTGTAGATGGTGGTGGTGATGACGCTGGTGGAAGTTCCGGAGGTCACGGTGTAAGTCAAAGTCACGGCGCTGGTGGTGGCAGGGCTGCTGGTCACGGAGCTTTGGCCAGGGACGTCAGTGCCAGCGGGAGCAGACACAGCGCTGGACAGGCCAGCGGGGGCAGACACAGTGCTGGACAGGACAGCGGAAGAGGAGGGACGACCAGTAGGACGACCAGAAGGACGAACGCTAATGGGAGTGCGGGTGACCACGGGCTTGCTGGAAGAGACAACAGGCGCAGAGCTCACACTAGGGACAGCGACGACCGAAGAGGAGGCAATGCTTGGGGCGGCAGAAGAAGAATACTGGGTGGTATCCTCAGACACAGCAGTGGAAGAAGCCACAGGAGCCGTCTCGACAGGAGTGGGCACAACGAGGACAGTCGAGGTAGAAGCCTCGGAGCTAGGGGCAACGGAGCGAACGCGAACGACGCGACGAGCATGGAGACCCTCGTGAGTAGCTTGACCCACAGCAGCCAGAGCAGCCACAAGGACGACGGAGAACTTGTTCAAGACAACCATTTTGAAGTTTTTGGTAACGACGGTGGATATCGAGAATAAAAAGTGAGGATGAGATGAGAAGAGGTTAAGAGCAAGAGAGCAAAGTTAGCGAGTGTTGTTTAAGTGAGTGTGGTTGGAAAGAGCGACAGAGCAAAGTGCGAAATCAATTCGCAAGGAAGGAACGTATGGCTTCTCACAGAGAAGAAAAAGAAGAAGAGAAAGGACAAGATACAAGCTTGAAGAAGGAAAAGAAGAGGAAGTAATCATCTCATCTTAATTTTTGTTTAATTTCCTTTGATTTTAAATTAAATTAACCGTATCATTTTTTTTTTTTTTTAATTTATATAGTGTCTACTCCGTATGGAGTAGTATTATGTATGGAGCACATAATATTATAAGGATTCTTAATCAAAATGTTCAAATGTCGGTAATACCAGTGGATCTACAAGATGATAGTATCCACTGTCTCAGGCACGGGAATCTCATTGGACAATTGCAAGGATTACATTTATCCAAAGCCCGTGAGCAGGACCTTTAATCTCAAAACTTCCTATACGATATTGGTAACGCCTATCAGCCCTGGAGCCTCTTAGTGACATCAGCCTACCTCTCTTGAGGTGATGTGGCGTTGGTGGCGTTATTGACACCCCTAATCCCATCGACTACTTAAATAGGGGTTATTAGGCCATCTTATGTTGTGTACTCTCGTAGGGTCGTCAAACGGCTTTTCGGGCACGGACATTTATGAACGTGGCACAATCTTCAATTTTGACCGGTCACACTAGAAATGTGAGAAAATCCACCTGGGCACTCCTATAGGCTTAGTACTCTATAGGCTTAGTACTATATATTCCGTATTGTAGTACCTACGTTCCAATATGGAAACACAGCCCGAAAATCTAGACGATCATTGAAGAGATAGATACGGCCAGATTCCCGGGGCTTTCGGGAAGGATCAAGGAAATTCCAATGTCAAGCCCGACTCTCTCGGCTTGTAATAAAATACATATACAATACCTAACAGCCGAAGGTTTCATATAAATCAGGCTCCCGTGTCCCAGCGGAGACCCTCCGCTTCCCACCTTCTCGGGATATAAATTACTTTTTGAAAAGATGGACATTCCAGACTCCATAGACCAGTAGTATATCTACTTATTTCCCTACATATAAAAATGGGATGTACACAATTCACTTCCACCGTACTTATGGAGTAGAGTGGGGTGTATCAAATCTGGCCAGTCTAAGGGTGTATCGGGTGATAAAGGAGGCCCAGGCTAGAAGCACGGCCCACTGGACTTTGGTCTATCGTTTTTGATCAGCTCATTTCCCGTACTCCGTACAGCTTATGGAGTACTGAAGGAATTCGCACTATTAGATAGCCAAGTTTGTGCTAAAGGGCTTGGGATCGTCGATGCCTAGTACGCGAACCGACTTAGGAGAAGTTGAGTTGTAGAATTTCTCCTATCTTGTAGGCACGGAGAAGCTTTCCAAGATGAAACATCCCGCTTGAAATTTCAATTGCCCCTGTCCCTGCCCCTCAACTCCCCAAATTGCTAATTGCTTGGAATTGCTTTAGAAGATCCCAATTCTGTAAACTATGGGAAACGCTGGAGCTTCTGGAATATATATAGAAGTATCTTCAATCTTGGGATACTGATCTCCCTGGGCTAAACGTCCATGGATGTATGTTGAAGGCGGTGACGATGTGGTATCTTATCGCGATTACGACTACGTCCCACACCTCACCTGGGCAACCTTGGAACCTCACATATAGAGCACGACATACAGTCAATTGACAAGCATGTCCTCCTTCCAAGCCCTCCGAACCCAATATGCCTCACTACTGAAGCGGTTTTTAGCCTCGACCAAAGATTTTGAGGTCCTAACAACCATCCCACCCGACCACTCAGCGGAATCAGAGACCCTCTATGTCTTAGACTCGTCCTTCAATCCCCCCACCCGTGCCCACCTCCGCATTGCCAGCACAGCCCTTTTAGAAAACCCCAAGCCCCGCCCTCGCCTGCTCCTGCTTCTCGCAACCCAGAATGCAGACAAGCCATCCAAGCCAGCCTCTTTTGAGGATCGGCTCGTCATGATGGAGCTGTTCGCTCGGGATCTCCGCACCTACCTCGCATCGCAACCGGCCTTCGCCGCCTCGGGCTTAACCCATGCCATCGAAACTCTTCCGTTGATCGATATCGGCGTTACAAAAAAGCCCTATTTCGTCGACAAGGCGTCTGCTATTGAGGCGTCGGATTCTTACCCCGTTCCGCTGGAGCAGGTCCATCTTACGGGGTATGATACTTTGATCCGAATTTTCGATTCCAAGTATTATCCGCCCGAACATACCTTGAAGCCTCTGGAACCTTTCTTATCGAAGCACCGGCTGCGTGTGACTATGCGGCCGAGCGATGAGTGGGGTGGGAGAGAGGAGCAGCTGGAATATGTTGCTGCCCTTGCTAGAGGTGACCGGGATACTGAGGGCGGGCGTAAGGAATGGGCCGAACGGATTCAGCTCGTCGAGGGTCGTGCTCCCACTGACCGGCCTGTTAGTTCAACTAGAGCCCGCGAGGCATTACAATCAGCTCCTGGGGATCTAGACTGGCTTGTTCCCGAACAAGTGCGGCAGTTCCTGCTGTCAGAACATCCATATTCTGAGAAGCCGAAAGTGTAGATACATACTTAAACGAGGTAGCTACTGGGAGACTCCTACGATCTATCTTCATATGTATAATAATAATGCATGAATAATTTCATAATCAAATCCATGTCCACCGACTCCGAGACCTGAAGTCACCCACGTTCAAACGCACAACTAAACCACTTTTTTTTATACAAATATGGTGTACATGATAGAGCGTGACTCCAGTATGGCACCGCGGTCTTCGCATCATTATGAGTTGTCACCTCAATCATGACGCATCCTCTTCCTCCTCCCTCTTACCTAGAGTGTACGCCAACCCACCACCGACCATGTTGACCAAAGCCAAACCCATAGTCGCACCGCGGACAACACCTCGAACACCCAGTTTCTTCATGATGGGTTGTTTACGGCGGGCTGCGAGAAGCAGGTACAGTCCTGAGAAGGCTGCGCTGATGCCGGCAGTGTCCGTCTTGAAGCCCTGCAGGTTGGCATAGCTGGAGAAGAGCAGCACAGGCGGGAAGAGCATGGGAAAGAACTGGAAGGGGCGCATGTGCTGGGCTGCGATCAGGGAGGCGAGCAACGTGGGTGGGAATGAGTTTTCTGCATTGAGAAACGTCATTAACATTGCTTGCCTCGACGGTTGGCTGATCAAGCCAGTCTATTCATGGGCTACTTACCACCCCAGGCCCGGCATCGCTCAATTAGCGTCTGCTTGGTTTCTTCGACAGTTGAATCGTCCGCCGCCATGGTGAGGTGAGGTATTGTGCTTCGGAGCTAGACTTAGTTGATGAAACCGGAAGTTCGATGGAGCTTGGACAGCCAAGGATTGATTTGCTGCAGGTATGTTAATATAAGGCCGCAGTACTTTAATTGAACTTGGTGGACCTGATGACAACCTACAATTGAATATCACAGACTTGGAGATGTTGGCAGGTTTATCAGCTCGGCAAGTGATGTTATCGCAATATCCATCCCGGAGGGTAATCGACGTTCCGGTGCTTGGCAAAGACACCTAACACCACGCTTTTTCCCCAATTTATGCCCGCCGTATCAGCCACACCGGTCGCCCTGATCTTGCTGCATCTTCATCAGGCCGATATTTCACGCTGGCCATCTCATCGCACGTTTGATTAACCTGCCAGCTCAGCCATATCTCGTGCGGGACTGGTTCTCCTTTATCCGCGCTCACACGCCACCTTGCGCCTTTCAGATTCTCTCGACCCCCATCTTCCCTCCTACACCGGGAAGAAAACGCCGTCCAGAATCCGTCCGATATCCTCCATAATATACAGTTGCTATGCCCTCGGCTTCGGCATCTGGCTCTGACGCCAAGCGCGGAGGTGCGACGTCGCGCGATCATAAGCAAGGCAACCAGGATCGCAAGTACACGGATGAACAGAAAGCCGCTGTGCTTCGGATTCGAAAATGCCAACCTACAGCGTTTTACGAAATTTTGCTAGTTGAGCGTTCATCAACGGATAATGAGATTAAGAAGGCGTACCGGAAACAGAGTTTGTTGACGCACCCTGATAAGAACGGATACGAAGGCGCAGACGAGGCATTCAAGAGTGAGCAATGAGAAACCCCCTGACAATCTGTCAACATATTGATTCTTACGTGTGGTGGCAGTGGTATCGCGTGCTTTCCAGATCCTTTCCGATGAGGACAAGAAGTCCAAATACGACAAATTTGGCGGTGATCCTGATAGCAGGTTCCAGCCCCCACCGAGCACGGCGAGCGGCGGTGCATCTCCCTTCGGTGGGTTCGGCGGTGGTGGATTCCCCCGCGGAGGTCAAAGATTCGACGAGGAGGTCTCAGCGGAGGAGATGTTCAACCGGTTCTTCAACGGCGGATTTGGCGGAATGGGCGGCGGTGGATTCGGTACGACTACTTGTTCCTTTGAGATCATTTTCACCTGAACTAATAATTTGCTACTATAGGCGGTCCGCAATTCGTCTTCAACATGGGAGGTGGCCCCGGATTCCGAGTGCATCAATTTGGAGGCCAGGCTCCCCGCCGCCGGCCTCGTGCGGCAGCTACTGAGGAGGAAGCTCAGGCTGATAGCCGCAGTTTCCTTCGCCAACTATTGCCGCTTATCATTCTATTTATTCTGCCGCTCCTCTCATCTCTCTTCTCTGGTTCCTCAACCCCAGCCGGACCTTCCTATCGATTTGATACCCCCGTCTCCCCGCATACGCTCGGCCGCTCAACCCCGAAACTCAATCTCAATTACTTTGTGAACCCCTTGGAAGTGGATAACTTTAGTGCCCGAAATTTCCGGGAGCTAGACTCCCGGGTAGAGGTGGAATACGTCAGGAAACTGCGCAATGAATGTGAAGCTGAAGCCCATGAGCGGGAAAGGAGGTTGCAAGACGCGCAGGGATGGCTTTTCCCTGATGTTGAGAAGATGAAGAAGGCTCGCGCGATGGAGATGCCGAGTTGCCGGCGTCTGGACCAACTGAAGACGAAGAGATTTTAAATACACTACGGACTTTGGGGGCTTGTACTGCACCTTTTTTTTGGCATATTGTTCCTTTGTGGGGTTCTTTTCCGCGAAAGAACGTGCTCTAATATCATTAGCCTATCCACAAAGGTGACATCTATGGGAGTTTCAGTTCATTGTTGTACATTTTATTTTCCTAGAGTTTTGAATGCATCGAAGATCTTCCAGACTTCGTCTTTTTGGTTCCCCTGAATTGCGATGCTTGGGTTTGATTTCTGATCTCATGTCCTGGTGTAAGATACAAAGATATATCATGGCACTAATGTTCGTTAGGGTTGCTGCCATAAATCTGATGCATAGGGAGAAGGCCTATTGTGTGTGGCTTAGCTTATATATACCAAATTGTCTAATATTTCAAGATACAAAAGAGTATATTCATAGAAAGGACCATGGGATGAATATATATTTTATTCACGATACTTACATCTTTTTACGTACTTATGTAGGAAAAAGTGACTTTATCGGTACTTCATTTATGCGGGTGTTCCCGCGAACTGAGAAGTACCTGTCTTGTATCGCACGCCTCACAAGTAACCGTGGACCACGAAATTTGCTTAGTCAAAATTGATTACGGCGCTGAGTGTTGAATTAGAACAAAAGCGAATCTCGGCGATCATCACCGAAACAATAGTTCATCTTGTGAACATTCACGTTCAACGGATTCCAGACTCCATTCCCCCCACTTCGAGGCTTTGAAGCAGTCATCATTCTGCTTTCACGGCTCCTTATGATTCCCACACGGTCACGACAATATTGATTCTGCCGACCCGATCCACCAGATTAGCGGTCCTACTATCCTCACCAAAGCGGCTTATTGTCTAACTTTCAGCTAGCATGTCGGACACACTTTCCGATGCGGACAAGGTCAGTTACCTGTGATGCTCAAATTATGAAGTCCTCCCTCTCCCGCAGTGCCTCGAGGACTGACAATCTATTTTTGATATAAAAAAGATTCGCAACAAGCGACTTGCAAAGCTCTCAAACCCAGCTCAGCACCCAGTGGATGGCAACTCTGAATCGGCGCAAAGCTCAGCAAACACATCTCCATCACATTCACCACTGTCTACTCAGCCACCGAGCCGTCTGTTCAATGCGCCACCAACCCCGCAGCAGTCCGAAGGGAAACGGATCAAGATCACACCAGCCACGGCTACACCAGAGCGACCACGATCTACCACTCGGTCAGCCCAGAGCACTCCTCCGCCACAGAAAATTGAAAGCATTGAGGCCTTCGAAGACCGAACACTGAGTGCCGTGTTCAGATTGACCCTCAAGGAAGAAGGACAGCGTGATATCCATGGCATGCGCACATACTTGTCCGGACTTCGGAGTGAACTACAGGATGAGGGCCAGGAACTGCGCATCCAGGTCGCGGTTCTGGACCAAGCCCTTCTAGAGGCTGCGTCAAAGAACGAGAGACAGCGTCCCCTTGATTATCTACTGCCATGCTGGAAGCGCATCACAAAGTTGTACAAGGGATTAAGGCGGACGGGGGATAATGATCCGAAATATCAGGTTTTGTGTGAGGCACGCCGCCTGTGTATGAGCTATTGTATCTTTGCGATTACAATGCCAGAGATGTTTGGGTTTGTTTCTCTGGGATGTCACTGCACAGGCATTGGATACTGACTGTCTGGACTATAGGAGCGAGTGGACCCCACAGTCATCATTAGCCTCGTACCTTCTTATCGACCCTGAGGACGACAAAGGAATTGATTTTGAGTTTATCAACGAGGCCGTTCGTAGATTTGATGAAGATGAATCAGTGAAGCCCGCCTTCATATCTGCCGTCGAGCAATTGAGTGCACAGCTTTCCTCCATGGACGTTAATGATGACTACAAGCCTTACGCCATCGTAAGTCAAACGTCGAAATTCCCCTGGACCACGTCTGACCAGTTTGTTCAGGCTCTTCGAAATCTTGTTCGCAACGGATCCATTGCGGCTGCAATTACAGAATCATCCATTTTCAATAACTCCAAGGATCCTGCTCAATTCGAAAAAGCCACTCTTCTAGGTCCATGGTTCCGCCTCTCACCCCTTCAAGCTAATGTCACCTTGTCATATTTCTCTAGCCCCAAGACCCGGGACCAGGCATACATTTCCAATGCCCAGCGATCTCTTCGGATGACACAGCAAATGCTTAGCTCGGATCTTCTGGATGTTGTCAACCACCTCATTCGGGCATCGAAAGAGGCTCGGGATCGCGTGTTGGATTGGTTCGCTACTGCCATGAACATCAACCACAAACGACGGGCGATGCAGGTCGATCCTGAGCAAGTATCGTCTGATGGCTTCATGTTCAATATCACAACGTGCCTCGACCAGCTCTGTGAGCCGTTCATGGACGCAGCATTCACCAAAATCGACAGAATTGATGCGGATTATCTCCACCGCGATTCTCGCGTTGATATGCGAGATGAGACTAAGATCAATGCTGACCAGCATGCTTCCGACGCTTTCTATTCCAAGAAGGCTGAAGGAACTTCAAACTTTATCACTGAAATATTTTTCCTGACTGTCGCTGCTCATCACTATGGCAGTGAATCATTGACATCAAAGATGGAGCAACTTGAGAAAGATGTGCGACAGATGGAGAGTACAATTACTAAATTTGAGCTTGAGCGGGTTCGCTGGCTTAACAATCCAGCGCAATTGCGTACCTTCGATACGGCCTTGAAGAAGTACAAAGACAAGCTCGACCTGGGTATTGCTCTCAAGTACAGTCTCCAGGGTGTGTTGTTCGACGAGCAGTGGCAGGCTCGTTCGATGCTATTCATGCGATATGTTACTGTATGGCTTCTCAGACTTGTCTCGGGAAAGAACTTCCCCAAAGAGCAGGTTACCCTTCCTCTTCCAGAGGAGCAGCCCGAGGTCTTCAAATGTCTACCAGAGTACTTCCTGGAGGATGTTGTCAGTAACTTCAAGTTCATCATGTGGTGCATGCCGCAGATCATTACCGCCACCCAGGGAGATGAGTTGGTAATGCTGTGCATCACATTCCTGGAGTGCTCCGCCTATATTAAGAATCCCTACCTGAAGGCTGGATTGATCTCCATTTTGTTCCGAGGCACCTGGAAACGCCCTGGTGGCGCCAGTGGTGTTCTGGTCGACCTGCTCAACTCGATGCCATTTGCTAACGAGCATCTCCTCCATGCCGTCATGAAATTCTACATTGAGGCAGAGTTCACAGGAACACATTCGCAATTCTACGACAAGTTCAACATCCGTTACGAGATCTTTCAGATCATCAAGTGCATCTGGCCTAACACTCTGTATCGGGAGAAGTTGTCCATTCAAGCCAACCAGAACCTGGATTTCTTCGTCCGATTCGTCAACCTACTGCTGAACGATGTGACTTACGTACTCGATGAATCCTTCGGTGCTTTCAAGACCATCCACAACACTCAGACCGAGCTGAATACACAGGGCCACTCAATGGATGCCGCAACCCGCCAGCAGCGAGAAGAGCACCTGGCGTCAGCGCAGCGTAGCGCTAAAAACTACATGCAACTGACTAACCAAACCGTGTCAATGCTCAAGCTATTCACTGAGGCGCTTGCTGACTCGTTCACAATGCCTGAAATTGTGCAGCGACTCGCAGACATGCTTGACTACAACCTTGACGCAATGGTGGGACCTAAGAGCTCCAACCTCCGAGTGGATAACTTGCAAGAATATGGCTTCAATCCCCGCGCTCTTCTAAGTGAGATTATCGACGTCTATCTTAACCTGATCAACAAGGAAAACTTCATCCTTGCTGTTGCCCGTGATGGCCGATCTTACAAGCCAGCCAATTTCGAGAAGGCCGCTGATATTGTCCGAAAGTGGTCGCTGAAATCCCCTGAGCAGCTCCGTCACTGGAGTCAGCTGCAGAAGAAGGTCCAGGCTGCCAAGGAGGCTGATGATCAAGCAGAGGAAGATATGGGCGAGATCCCTGAAGAGTTCCTTGGTATGCTCCCCTTATCTAACATCGCATTTCGACAGCCGCTAACCTTTTTAGACCCTCTTATGTATTCCCTCATGGATGACCCAGTCATCCTTCCCGGCTCGCGGATCTCCATCGACCGCGCCACAATTCGCTCACATCTGCTCAGTGACCCCCACGATCCATTCAATCGTGTCCCACTGAAGATGGAAGATGTTTTGCCTGGTAAGCAATTTGATTTCCCAGATGTTGTTCCATTATTAACCATGTTTTCTAGACACCGATCTCAAAGCCAAGATCGAAGCGTTCAAGAAAGAGAAACTGGCTGGCAAACGGAGGGAAATGGTGCATGATCAGATGGACACATCTAGTTAAGGAGCATGGGCTTTTTTATGATCAAATTCACAAGCTTGCTTGTTTATGGGCATTTTCATTAGCGTTCACAAGACAAAATGCTACACTCCGTTTATCTGAAATTCTTCCCCCAGTTATTTACATGTGTTATTTTTTTTGTCAAGTATAGAATCAAACGAACCCAGTCTTATCGTTAATTTGATGATTATGTGCAATCTGCCCCTTTTGTCTTACCTTGTGTAGTTGTAGGACGGCATTCGTTTGCACGGCCTGTATTCGAAGTAACACATGCACTTCTTCAAGTTGACAATTAATCCAGGATCTCCCCAGGAGTCATCTTAATCTATGTGCCAAGCTGTTTTCTTTTTAAAAAAGATATACAAGACCAAAAAAAATAATTAAGAGGAAGATCAAGAAAGTGGTGAAGTGTAGCTCCTTATCCGGGACCCACCGCCCGCCTTCCACATCAACTTTTAAGCTTCTTGTTTATCCTCCGCGCGATCTTCTTCTCTTCTTTTCTTCAACTTTCAATATGGGTGCGATTATTTCCACCTGTTTGGGAGCTCTGCCTTCAACTGCAGAGCTCTTCCCTCCAACTCCGGCTGCCTACACACCAATTCTATACGGCTTCCAATACTTCCCCCTGGTCAGGACCCTGAAGCTCTAGAAGATGTTACAAGACTAACTCGGTTCATTTAGATAACGGTGGCTCTATGGATTCTATCCTGGTATCCAGCAGGAAAGACCTCCTCGCAGTCCGTGTTCAACATTCCAGGACGTATCGCCTGGTCTGTCATGGAGCTTGTCGGCCCTATCAACTTGATCTACACCATGACCAGCCCATCACCATATTCACCCTCATTCACTGATCTCCCCAAGCCCAACATTCTCATTGTAGCTCTGTACTGCACCCACTATCTCAACCGCGCTGTCATCTCCCCTTTCTTTTCTGCCCCCAGCATGTCCCCAATCCATGTCGTCGTCATGGCTGCCGCCATGCTCTTCAATTGGTTTAACTCAGCCTGTCTGGCTGGCTGGCTGCGCGGATATGTTGTGCCGACTATCCCCAGCTTCAACACAGCTACCAGTGGAAATCCATCTCCTCGGTCTGTGGTGGTAGAGCTCCTCCCCACCATCGGCTTAATCTTATTTGCCATCGGAATGGCCGGCAACATTTACTCAGAGACAGAATTTTTCCGACTTCGACGTGAAGAAGCCGAAAGACGCGTTGCAAAAAAGGTAGATGATGAATCTCCGGGAGGCGAAGCAAGGGGTAGTCGCAACAAGTTCTACAAGGTCTACGTCATCCCACCTGCCTGCGGTGTCTTCCGATACATCTTGTATCCGCACTACGTCTTTGAATGGCTGGAGTGGATTGGGTTTGCGCTCGCTGGTACGGCAGTTGCTCCATTCTCCGCCCTTCCTCCATCTACCTCCGCTCCTTTCCTGGCAATCTCCCCTCCGCTGCGTCTTGCGCCTTGGTTGGTGCCTGCCGCGTGGGCGGCTGATAAGCTCGCTGTGCCGCTGCCTTTGCCTGCTGTGATATTTGTTATCAATGCAGTTACCAATATGTTGCCCCATGCGCGATGGGGACGGAAGTGGTATGTTGAAAAGTTCGGGGAGAAGGCTGTTGCTGGGAGGGGTGCTGTTGTCCCTGGGTGCGCGTGGATGTGAAATAGAGCTCCTCCGGGTGGGCTTTTTTTTCCTTTTCTTTCATTTTATTTTATTTTGTTACTGGCTTCCAGAAATTTCGGGGTTTTCATGTCTTTGAATTCGTGGAAGTGAAATAATGCCGTTTATTGGCGAGATAGTCCAGACTTACCTTCTACAGATATATCCAACTACGATATTCAGTGCCGCTGAACTTAAAGTACTCAGTACGTCGTTTCAGGTGTCATAATTGGCGATTGGCGATTGCTTCATATCGTAAATCTCACGGCGGATGTCAACTGGAACCTAACAGACTCATCCAACATGTCGTCTAGGTCTCACTATGGCCTTCAGTCCCCAAAGCTATCGCTATATCCTGGCCTTAGGCTGTATCGAAAAATTTAGTGCGATAGTAGGGTACGATGCACGTAGTCAAACGGAAAACCGTAAACCTACTTAATACACAATCCCCTGAACGAAATATAGGCGGATGTACATAGGTTTTCTTGTTGGAAGACAGGTTGCACAATGACATATTAGCCTCCTCGGATATTTTAGCAGACACAGGAAGAAGGCAAAGATGATCTCTAGATAATCTTTCAAATATCTGGTACTACTGTTCTACAGTCAAAACCCACCACTGATCAGGGGTGATTGGGCCTTTGGCACCTCCTTTTCCAGATATAGTTGCCAATATCTTAGACTATGGGTGGGCCAACGGTGGTGTGCTCGCACCAGAATTGATTAAACACCTTTGCCAGGGTGCTTTCGGTCTTGTCGTTTTCCAAAATCTGAAATGCATTCAATATGTCGGCCCTCTCTCATTTCAAGCAGGTGAAAAATTAGGGCGTCGTACCCGCTATTGGGAGTACAGTGTGACCGCCAAATATGGAACCTACTTCACAACTTGTGTCCCAAGGACAAGATTCATTATGCCCATGTCTCATTTCCTAAGTGCATCATCCTGTTCACGATGGCTATTAGAAAATAATAGGCAGGGTCGATGACTATGTGCGTCTACCTCATTTAGAAGACTTGCATGTCTCGATGCTGGAGGTTGAGAATAAAGCCCATTCTAGTGGGAAGTCAGCTTTGATTGGCGGGTACGATCATTCGGCCCCTGTCCCATTAAGCTCCAACGAATCCATAAATGGAGATTTTCCAGTTGTTTTCTACTTTACAGCCATACATCGATAATATCAATGCTGGCGTTCACGAGTGCGTGCAGGTAAGTGTCTGCTGGCCATCTTTTCTTTGCGATAAAAGAGAAGCACTTTATTCGAACACGCTAAAGGGAATGTAGCAAGGCCGAAGACTCTAGCGCAGTACAAAAATGAGATATCTAACTTTTTTTTTTTCGAGGAGGATGTGTAATAAACGTACAGCAGACGCTTTGATTTTCTATGGAAACACATATTATATGTCCACATGCTCTATGGGTATTAATTATTATACAAAATCCTGTCACCTAGACATAACTCCTAATAATACAAAGTCAAACCCTATCATCGGCGTTGACGCGCAAGCCACTTAGCGAACCCATCCTCTTCAACTCTTGCACACTGGGACGGCTGGGCGGCAACTCTGGAGGAGTTTGTTCTCGCGAAACCTTGACCTCAGTTGTGCAAACAATGCCCTCGCCCTGAGCAGACAATATCCGCTCTTCGCTCGAATTGCTTCGTTGGCTTCCAGAATACTTTGCCGAGCCTGTCCCAGAACCAATCCGGGAGTGGTGAATCTTCGGGTCGGAGTCGAACTCAATGATACTGAGATTTCCACTTTTATGTGTTCGGGACTGTAGCGCTTGGCCCCTTGATCGAGACATTGACTGCAGTTTATAGTTCTTGCTGCCATAGTATTCGCGTGTTGTTTTGGTATTCGAGCCGTATGTGCCGAGGACTCTCTTGAAGAGTGGTTTGAGGGTTGGGAGGCTGCCGGCGATAATACCTGTGTTGCATTCCGTGCTAATATTGGTTAGTATGGGATTTTGGAGGGTGATTTCAGATGTTTGTGATAGCATAGACAACTTACACGACCCAGATTGTGATGTTTGTATAGTCCCACAGGAAGTCGCCGGTGCGGCCGTAGTTGGGTAGGATAGAGAGCTTGACGAAGGCGGCTGCGCAGGCACTGGGACGGAAGTAGAAAAGTCAGCATGATTAATGATGGGATTGAATTGAAAGTCACTTACAAAATTCCCAGGCCTAGGATACAGATTAGAGAGGCTTTGACCCGGCGATTGACTTGAAGATGACTGTCGATGATTCTATTAGCTTCATACCCAAAAAGGCGATGTCCATGAGCCGTACCGTAGCATAAAAACTGGTAAAACCGCGAAGATCAGATCAGTCAGAATATTCAGTGCTGTTCAAGTTAGAAAATGTTTAATTATACCTATAATGTGTCAAGCTCACCAGTGTTTGTATAGCTCAGAGTCAAAAGTTGGTGAGGAGAAAAGCACTTTGATTTCACTGAAGGATCCCAGTTTGCTCGGATGTCCTGACACTCGAAAATAAGAGTCTGTGTCAATGATAATCGTTAACTATTGTCCGCGATCGAATATGAGCATAGGATACGCACCAAAAAACAGATTGCAGTGTAGAGAGCCATGAGGACTACAATGAGCCAGATTTGTCAGTACTGGGCCACAGAGAGAAAAAGGGAGAGAAGCATTCACGCACCCATGACAACCCAGATAAAGATCCTGAATCTTTTTACGGATGCGAAACGAAGCAAAAACAGTCCAATTGATATCTTCACTAGGCCGATGGCCCACATGTAAATACCTTGAGTAGCATAATTCAAATGCATTGCCTTTACGGCCGTTTCTTGGACGTAGACCATATGCCTTCCTGCACCATATTTGACCTCGGGGACGATGATGGCAAATCCGCAGACAGATAGCAGCATCGTCAGGGCCATAGTATGATCATCCCACCCAACATTGCGAATAAGGTATATGCGCACGTAGAACCTAGCCAAAACGGTGATTAATGCGGCAGCGGTGGTAATAGCCGTGGCTATAATAATTTTAGGTCCATGATTCACATCTGGTGGGTTAGCGCCTCCGGCCTGAGTGTCCGACATGGCTGTCGAAGGTATTATGGAGGGCTAGGCATTGAAAGAAAAGAACTCGGACAGGGATTATACCAGGGTAAATTTGAAGGGTCATCAGAAGAGTCAGCAGACTTAATAGATTGTGCATTGCATCATAATTTTAACATTACATTCAGCTTTACTCCCTACGGAGGACTGTTGTGGCCCCCGAGGCCAAAGAAGGCGAATGGAAGGAGTTTCATATGGGGTTTTTCATCTACTCTACTCAACGCCACATCCAAATTATCCGTTTTTACCTTCTCTTTCAGGTTCGGGTCAACCATCTCCTTTCGGCTGTTCAAACGCCACCGGGGACATGAAAATAAAGCACAAAGCCATTGTTGACATTCAAATTAAGTCCAAACCCAGTCTAAGAGAGAAGCTTGAAGATATTTATGCCAATACATAATATCCTAGAATACGCCTCAGACCCGGCAGGCGGGATAGTAGTTGGTCATTAGAAACATGGCCAATGAGAAGTCTCGACGCCATCGGCAAGAAACACCTGGAAGCACCTGAGGGGATCTCTGAAGGAATTGAGCCTCGGGAATAGCCTAAGGTTCCGTCACCGACTTACAGTTTGTCTGAGTTAGGGCACCGGAATATCATCCCATATTAGTTTTGACTGAATTTTGATTTAGGATGCAGGTGTGATTGGTTTAGTCGCTTAAATGAAGTTGCCAAGTCGCTAAGGAACAGGGATACCACGTGGTGGCTGTTTCTGGTGGGATTGTGGCTTCAGATTTATTGGTACAATTTGGGTTCTTCCAAGGATTTTGTTTTCATATTTCCCCCTATTCTTTTGGGTGATCTCCAGGGTTTAAAAGGGTCGGTCCGCGAGTGATCCAATGGTTCAAAATGGGAGTGAACCTTGGAATTGATCTGTAAAATGTGTGGTATTACCGTCGGAAAATTGCCGGCATCTCCCGGCGGTGGAGAAAAGCGGAACATTGGCCCGGGTGCCCTAAATGGTCCCAACAACGGGGCGGCATGGAGACATATGCAGGATAATATGCAGGAATAAACGATGCTAGTGTTAGTGTTTTTAGTTCAAGTCAAAAGTCCGAGATAGGGGAGATTGGCATATGCACCTCAGCCTTTAAATCGACGATCATGCCCGGATTCCTTCCTGATCAACACTTCTCCTAAACTCTTGGTGTGGAACTCCCTGGTCCTTCAGAGGTTCAAATATTAAACTCGCCACCATGGTTGCCGTTTCAATTCTTACTCTGGGAGCTCTGTTCGCACAGGCGCTGGCTTTGCCCGCTGTCACGGAGAGTGCCGTTGTGACTGCCCCCACTGCTGCCTCCACCTCCCTGCCGGTCGCTGAGTCCCAGCTTGACAGCTTGGCTGGATTGGCATATGATGCCGCCATCGAGAATGTCTCGAGCGACTCTGATATTGAGAAGCGCGGTGGTTGCTCGCTGAGCAGCATGCGTGTTCGTCGCGACTGGAGGACTTTCACTCAGACCCAGAAGAAGTCCTACATCAAGTCCATCCTTTGCCTCCAGGAGTTGCCCTCGCTCACTCCCTCTAGCGCGGCTCCTGGTGTCCGGACTCGCTACGATGACTTCGTTGCTACTCACATCAACCAGACCACCACCATCCACTACACTGGAACCTTCCTGGCGTGGCACCGGTACTACATCTGGAACTTTGAGGAAGCCCTGCGCAACGAGTGTGGCTACACTGGCGACTACCCGTAAGTCTAATCATTCTTCCTATAACAAAAACCCCAATATCTAACATAATTTCAGCTACTGGAACTGGGGTGCCGACGCCGGCAACCTGGAAAAGTCCCAAGTCTTCGACGGCAGCGAGACCTCGATGTCTGGCAACGGTGCCTACGTCGAGAGCGAAGGTGACATTGAGCTCAGCCTGGGTGCCTACCCCGTGATCCATCTGCCCACCGGCAACGGAGGCGGCTGCGTCACCAGCGGCCCCTTCCAAAACTACACTGTCAACCTGGGCCCGGTCACGCTGATGCTTCCCGGAGGTGGAACTGAGGCCTCTGCCAACCCGCTTGCATACAATCCCCGCTGCCTGAAGCGCGATCTGAGCACCCAGATTGTCAAGGACTACGCTAACTTCACTGCGATTGTGGACCTGATCCTGCGCCACGACAACGTCTATGACTTCCAGATGAACATGCAGGGTGTTCCTGGCAGCGGCAACATCGGTGTTCACGGTGGTGGTCACTACTCCATGGGCGGTGATCCTTCCCGCGATGTCTTCGTCAGCCCTGGTGACCCTGCTTTCTGGCTCCACCACGGTATGATTGATCGCACCTGGTGGATCTGGCAGAACCTGAACCTCCGCGAGCGTCAGAATGCTATTTCTGGCACTGGTACCTTCTTGAACGGCCCTGCTTCGCCTAACACTACTCTTGAGACACCGGTTGATCTCGGTTTCGCTGGTGGCGAGACTGTTACTATGAACGATATCATGAGCACCGTTTCTGGTCCTTTCTGCTACGTCTATCTGTAAATTGTGATGGCCAGTGATTGGCTTTCTATGCCTAAGCCCTGGAACATGAATTGGACGATTGGAAGATGACGAGAATGAGAACGAGAATGAGAACGAGAACGAGAACGAGAACGAGAATGAGAATGAGTGGAATGGAACGAGCTATGTAAGTATATAGAGGATACGATTGTATATAGTCCATGATTTAGAACTCGAGATGTAACCCGTCAAAGATCTGGGAAATGCAATAAACTTACATCTCTGGACTTGTGCAGAATATTCCAATTTGATTATAACCTCGGGTCTAAGTAAGAATAGTGGAGCAATCCAAGACCTATAGCCAAAAGAACTCCTTACACCCTCCACCGCGAGAGCATTATAATTGGAACCCATAACCAAGACAAAGGAAGCAAAGAGCCCTGCGTATAGGACTCGGTCTTTCCAACCCCATTAGCAACAGCACGGTAAGGATCCTGGCCATAAGTTGTATTCAACCTAACACGAGCTTGGGCCGACCCATCTTCCAATCGAATCCAAGTCTCGGTGTCATCTTCAAGATTTCCCTCGTGGAGTAAGATCTGCCGCCCACCGCGAAGCAGATCACCGTAGCCGCCATACCCTGTATGCCGGCCATAGCACATATTGATACCATTCCCAGGTAGATCGTGATCAACGAGGGAACCGTCCCATTTAAAGCACCTGCGATATTTGATTAGCATTTGAGTTGTTCAAGCTACACTTGGTGTCTGCTAGAGACGCATACCAGTCATTTTGGTGATCGTGGCCACTAAATCCTGCGATTAAGCCTTCGGTGTGAAGGAGCGCGTGCATAAACTTAAGGTCCTGGCCATCATATCTCCAGTCGCCGGTTCCTTGCGGGTTCACGCGTTCGCGATTCACGCCAGGCGTCAGATGTCGATTTATGCCTTTTGTTTGTTGGTATTCGAGCATCGCGTGGGCGGGAATGTGGTAGAATGCTAGCGAAGGGATGACTTTGCCATACTCCTCTTTCAATTCAGAATTGGTTTCTTTGAACCAGTCAACAACCTTAGATGCAGCCAGTCAGTTGTTTCCTTCAAAGCAATGTGGATTAAAGGGCGTCCTACCGATTCATCAATCCAACTGGGTCTCTTAATAGGAGGCCCGCCCTCTCCTTCCTTTTTATAATAATGTCCACCTTTCGAATCGAAGAACCACAGTAGCAGCACCGGTGTGCTTGTATTCGATTGTCCGTGTGAAAAGACCGGTAGGTAATAATTCGTTATTCCGGCCTTCTCGCCGGAGACTCTACTCTGCGTCAAGCTGTTGGGGTACTTGTGCTCGGCCTTGAACATGTCATCTTTTGGGTTGAGATTAACCTCACTGTCATGGTTGCCGTAGGTCGATGCCCAGCTATACCCCTGGTCGACGAGGGGGAGACGACGGAGTCGATATATTTGCTCGAGTCTGCTTTTTGGGTTCTTTCGCCAGATACTAGGTCGCCGTTTATGACGACAAAGTCGATGTCTTCCTCTGAGAGGATGTTTGACATCACTTCTTTGGATTTCTCATCCTTTTCCTCGTCTGCGAGGATTAGCAGTGGCCGTCTCTTAATGGTATCAAGACAAACCCTCGGCAAAATGCAAGTCCTCAAAGACTCCAATCTGAAATGTTCCATCTTCTCTAAATCGCAGGGTTCGATCCTTGGGTGGCTCGAGAATGACTTGGTCCGATGCTTTGAGGTCCGGTCTGGGTACCATATTGGAGGAATATTAAATCAAAAGTGAACAAGTGCGGGGAGAATATAGGCTTTGGTATTTGGAGAGATTGGTGTCTCACAGTTTATCACGTCACAAGCTTTGTGCCAAGACATTCTATATTTAATCGGCTATTTTGCCCCTTGATAGAGTGGGTATTCTACGACCCTAAGATAACATATCTAACAAATAATAGCCCCTTTAGCTCAGAATGGGATTGATAGTATTAAAAATTCGGTTTCCTTGGGGTGTTTGAAAGGTCTACCGTGCTTATACTCATACTATTTCTGTCTATAAATCGTAACTATTACACTGTAACACATGGACTCAGCTTGACTACTTTCCAAGAAAGTTCAATTTCTCCATTATGTAATACGGCACACAGTAAGCTTGGCGTAAGCTTGGACAAACAGATAAAATATGTACAGGTAGCAGGGGAAAATGATAGCGCAGTCCTAGCCAGAAAGACAGGTCAAAAGTTCAAATTGGTATGCTCAAACAATCCAACGCCTGCACCGCTGATCAAAAGAAAGCAAATAAAGAAAAACTAAATATTAACCTTGGATGTATCCCCTGTCGGCGAGCTGAGATACCATTCTGCAAGACTCTTGAACCCGATAGAGGTGTCCTCGGGGAAATTGTAGAGTTTAGTAGTGCGCAAGACGAGGGCTTGGCCGTTGAAATAAGATTCAAAAGCGCGGGCACGTTTGCCCATGAATGAGACCAGGAAGACCTGCAGAGTACTCGGTAAGCGACTGGTAGAAAGCGGAAACAAAAACCAAGAATTACCGGTGCTTTCCTATGATGAAGGAGGCGTCGCTTCCTCAGCTGGCCCAGCATCAGGCGAAGAATAACCAAAAGCTCCCCACGAAGAATCGACTCATCTGTAGCGTCCATGTCGTTGTAAATAAACGCTTTGGTGTGCGGGAAACCCTTTCCACGGATATCCGATATCCTAAAGGGTCCAAATTCAGGCTTATGATCCTGATACAAATCCTTGTAAGGAGTATAATCGTCAATACTATCACACAATATTAGTTGTCATAATGCATTCAGGTGAAGAGGTTCAGGATAGTCATAATATCACTCTTTCATGGTCCACGGAGCATACACCCCGTAGGGAACATAGGATGCCCAGGGGCCTGCAACCTGACGTGCCCGGTCGACAGGCTGCGTGAAACAGGTGTCCTCAAATTCCAAAGTCGATCGGAGCTCATCAACAGTGTCATCACTAGGCTTCGGGATGCTAGAATGTGGCGCGAAGAAGGAAGGCTTGCGGGCTGAATCTTCTCTATCCAGAGTCATGCGCTGGTGAACAATACCAAGTCCTTCGAGTTCCGCCAGGTGAATTTCGTGTTTTTTGTGCTCTTCAAGCTCATCGATTACAAGCTCCAGATCTAATAAGACTCTGCGGTCCTTGTAATGTTCGGGTGATTCGGGTGATTTAGCGGACATGTTGTGTATTTGAGGTTGACCTTGAACAAGGCGGGAGATAGTATGGATGGCGTGGATGGAGAAAGTTGAAGGGAATTGGGGGAGTTGGTAGATTTAAATGGAACACGGTAAGCGTCTTTTATCCCTTTTACCGTAGCTGGATCTGTATAGAGTGACCATGAAAGAAGTGATAGTGAGCACTGCGGGGCGAAGTGTGACTTGGAGGTGCCCGTTGCCTAGCGACACGCCAAGAGTGTTAGTGGCGGCTATGGTATTATTAGCGTCCAATCATTAACCCTAACAAGCCCTAATTCTGATGATCTTGGTGTTGACCTGATTTTCATTGGCTTTGAATTCATATCTTTTAGACACGAGGCGCGTATCTCTTGATTTCTGATACCGCCTAAAAGCCACAAATCTTGGTTCTCAGCCTTGTTTCCGCCAATAGACGGAATCTTGTAGACTTGTATAGTACTAGTATAGTACTAGTAGTTATACTGAGCGCTTTTCCAACATTTCATATAATATATATACTATATATACTCCACTCTATACAGAGTATGTACATACGCTATATGCCAATGGGGTATTCCCTGCTCCGGCATGATGGCTAGCTCAACGGTTGACCCACTTTACACAGTAAGCCTCTCTTTGTCCGCGTTTCCGTATCTTGAGCATGCGCTGTTGACCCTATGTTGGATGTTTCATTTCCCGCCCAAGTGCCCATGTGATCCTCTGGAAAATTGTGAAACAACATTGGACTTGTTCCTAGTCATTGTTTTTTTGATTGGATACAAACAGTATAAGCGCTTTTATCCTTGTATGTATTGCTCTGCGACACATAAGTATCTCTCTTCGATAAGAGCTGAAATGTATGTTCATCACAGAGCGCGTATCTGATCACGCTGCTTGGTCGTACGGAATTTTGAGATAAAGTCGTATTTCTTGACCAAGATCTATGTGTACGAATGCTCCAGTAAGAAGGATTCCAGAACCGAATGATCACAAAGCCACACCTCCGTTCTGAAATCATCCGATTATGGCCAGTTGTTAAGCGCCACTCATTATCCGCCCATATGTATCTTCAACACGTGGAGAAGGAAGTGGTTGATAGGTTCTACCCCATGGCTTTGCATATAAAAAAGGCATCGTCATCCGTGTCTGGGAGCCATTTCAATCATCTCTACTCAGTACTACTGCTGCTTCTTGCAAAGACTTACCAATTTGTTTGAAACTTCATTTATTTACTTGGACCTGACCACTGTGGCAATGGATTCCCAGCATTTGCCCCAAACTTCGGACGAATGGTCAAATCTGATCCCGGAAAATGTCAAGGGCAAAACGATACACGACGCAGATCTTGCGTCTGCGTCCAAATTTGCCATGGATCAATTCTTACTTCTCCGGGTGCTTTGGAAGCAGTACGAAGACCCGCGTAGAATCCACGATGTGTTGGATATGAAAGGTTGGGTGGAACGTGCCTCGGCGATGCTTAATCGTTACCAATCATGGTCTACATACTGTGATAGCTTTGAGTCAGAAAGGAATATTCCCGAAGGAACGTTTGCAATTGCACGTCACTATCAGCTCGAAGTTGCAAAAACTGAAAATAAAGTCGATCCTCTTGCATTCTATACGCCTATTGCGAGGCGTACTCGCAATAGCTATGCGCAAAGGGGAAGGAATGATCTTCACCTGGTGACACCCATCAAAGTGAAGGTCAATTTCCCCGATTTGTCCATTCGGCCAAAAAGAATGGAGGCTAATTTTGACGATATCGAGGACGACGAAGACGAGGAGGACAGTAAGAACGATGGAGATGACCCGCTAACCCCTTTCAAACCCACAAGCCCAATGCCGCAAGAATTGGCAAATATTTTGTATCCTCCGACAAAAGACGAACAGATTGTGAATACAGCATTGGTGGTATTCCTCAATGCTCTTACTATCTACTTCCCTCTCTCCATGCACTGGACCTTACACCGAAAATCGTTCACTGCGGCTTTCGAAAATGCCGAGTTTCAAGCAAGAACGGACGGATATCTAGGTGATTCACAAGGAAACCCCAGTGTTCTCATTGAAGTCAAACCCGTTAGGAGATCTAGGAAGCTGCAGGTCATTCAAATGCAGGAGAGCGCCCAAATGGTGGCCTGGATCAAATGCGATGACGAAAAAGCCCAGAAAGCTCACAAAATGTAAGCTATACTTATATTTTTGCTCTAAATAGAGCTGACATAACACTAGGCGTCTTCATATATCTCAAGACCGACATGAGGTGTTCGTGACAGTTGCCAAATATGACAAGAAGTATCTGGAATACCTCAACAACCCTCGCCCTTCAAGTGATGAGGATGAGGATGGGGATGAGAATAAGGAAAACCTGTCCTTTTTAACCATGCACCAATTTGGCCCATGGAATACACTGGATAGATCGCACATTCGCGAGCTGGGACCAATTCTTCTGGCAATCACCTTGAAAGCTGATGCTGATAGCAAGGCTGGATGGTTAGATCGATAGGATTACGTATCCTATCCTTTATCCTATCCTGTCTGTTCTTTCCTATGTGTGGATATTTTATTTTTTACATGTCTTTGTTGCCCCTGTTACGCCTCTTTGTCTGTTATTATTTGTGTCTACATTTTTATCTAGCGATGCGTTACCGCCTTGATTTACTTCAACCTAGTCTAGTCAGAGCTTAATTTTAGTTTCTTGCGTTCTACAACCTGGACGGGAAATCTGTGTGCGTACAGATTAGAAGGTTATAAAAGTGGCGACAACTTGGATTGAAACCCCAATTTATCCACAGGCTCACCCTAGGGAAATCGATTACCATAGCTTTATAGGTACATAATTTGTGCGCAGATGTATTAACGCTCCAAATTACATATATATTATTTTCCCCTCCTCTTCCTCTTCTCTCCTTGATAAGGAACACATTCCCATTAATCTAGTAGACTTGGAAATACTGTTTAAAGTAAACTACACCCAACCGGTACAAATCTATTCGGTTAAGTGGTGAACAAGATGCTTAACAAGTCAGACCCTAGATTATTGTTGTATTGCGATTATAGATATGGTTATACTGGTGTTGAGGCCCTAGCTGAAGCCTGTACAGTTGCAATCCTACACATACTAATGTCCGCTCGTTTTCTTCTCCCTGTATATCACAAATATATTATTCCTTGACTGTTCCCCGCATTCAAATAGTTCCAGCAAATCCCATGGATTAACATAGAGCTCTCTTTGATTAATTCCAGGGTATCATTTCAAACATAGCGAATGATTCATGAAATCCACACCACGCACAGCCATTCCTAGTCTATAATACAGCAAACCGAGCAGCGACTCAATTGAGGTGATGGATAACCTTGAAAGATAGCAAAAGACTGTCTCGACGGTCTAAGAGCCATCTTCCTCCCTGAAACGTCTCTTCCACCCTTTCATACCGATAGTTATGAAGATAACACCATTCCAAAACCCACGCAGGGACCCCAACGTACTCACAGAGAGGAGAAGTGAGTATTTCCCATGCTTATGATGCATAAATTCCGCGATACGGTTGATGGTAGGTGCAATCCATGTTGCTAACATTGCAAGGAAGAAAAGCGATGGCATGGTCACATATTTCCTCAGCGACACACGTCTCTGGTTCGGATTTTGACGAGTTGTCGGGTCTTCCCTGGGTGCAGGCAAACGGCTTAACGTATTTTGTTCTGTTGTATCGCTTGTTATAGTAGATTCCGGGTTGAGACTAGGTTTTCTCTTAGAATTTGATTCCGCAGCTGGCGTGACGCTGCTGGCAGAATTGCCAGAGGTTAGAGCGATATGATCGTCATCGCTCAATTCGAACTCGTCACGGATTCTGCTTAACTCGATACCGATGAGACAATATAGTATTAGGACGATGAATATTACCATCCTGTTGCGTAATCATTAGAACAGCAGTTGAACAGGCGAATAGAAGTATACGCACCATACTGGTGCATAGTAGAAGATTATACGGAGGATCATCCATTTACGGGATACTGAGCACCATATCTGTAAATGTTTTATCAGCCTTAACAGGTGTTTAGTTTCAAGTCGATTAACAATACTCACGGCTTCATCACCGTATATAGGACCTTTTTCATGACCATGGACGAAGAGGAAGACAAAGGCCGGGGTAAATGACAAAGTAGTGATAATCAAAATATATTTGATTTCGAGTCTGCGCAAAGATTGAGTATCAAAATGATAGAAGACAACCAAGTATGTATCCAAGGCCATTGCAAATGTCCAAAACACATCAGCTACTGGAAACCTATTTTTTTTCTTTGGTTAGCATTGCGTTATGGAACAGTGTCTCAGCAACTCTCGGCAAATACCAAGAACATACATTTGAAGAGCAAAGCCTTGGAATTGACATAGCGATGAAGTATCTCCAGCTGTAGGTCCACTAGTAGATATTACCGTAGCCACAGAGTCGAACAGGTTATAGAAGGCATTAAAAAATATTATGCGATGAATAGGACTGCGGAAGTGCTGTGAAAAATAAAAGGCGCCGATTATTGTGAATGAACCTAGAATGGAGAAAACCGAGGAGACTCGACCTGCAATAGCAATCCCCTTGAGCTCCTCACGAGAGAGTGACATAGTAGTCTCAGAACACAAGATGAATAGAAAAATTGCAAACTCCCATATTTTTGAACAGATTACGATAAAGTTTTGCGATATCCCGTTCGATGAGGGTTCTTTATCCCAAATTATGTGACATTACATATTAAGGGAGACAAAGAGAAACAAAGAGAAATTGAATTGCATTTGATGCCAAAGAGGATTAACTGCAAAATTGCGCTATTCCAGTGGCTTTTAATCGTCAATAGCGCCATCACAAGAGCTCTTGATCATGAAGCTTCACGTCTAAACAAGCATTTTCAGCCAATCATGATAAAGTTTGCAAGGATCAAGTAATTTGTGCATATAAACAAATCAATAGCTAAAATTTGGCTAGATTTAAACAAAGGGCCTTACCAGTCCAGATGTTTTGCCTCCATCTAGAGAAGTAGCTTGCAGGAGTTCGCACAACAGAGGCGTAGAGTCACCTTTCGTCTGGTCGGTATCTTCCGTTAGACCCACAGAGATGCTGAATCCTTTCCAAACCCATGTCTTCAACAAAAGGCGTACAAGCTATCATTTGGAGTAATAATAATAATAAAACGCTATCCCACAAAGAGCCGCGGCAGCTGCAAGCTTGGACCCAACCATTCCAGAGCCTGCACGGCGTTGATCTTGAATTGTTTCCCCACGCTTGAACTTGGCCTTGGTCTGAGGTATTTTGGCTTTTTTAGCCGCACTGAACGGGGGATATCGGAACGATATCAGACGATCGAACCATTTTGGCGAACTCATGATAGTCCGCAGATGCGAAAATGACTTGAACCCATACGGACCATGATAGTAGCCATGCCCGCTACCTCCAACACCGCCGAAAGGAGCACCCGGGAAGCCCGCATGCAGGATAACATCATTTATCGTTACTCCACCCGAATTTGTGTTGTCAAGTACTGTTCCTTTTCGTTAGTGAAATCGCTCGAGGATCCAGAGACTGACAGGTGAACGCAACTATCTTGGATTTCAGAACTATCCGAGCTGAAAATGTAGAGTGCCAAAGGATGCTCTCCCCTGCTCCATAGATTAACAGAATGTCTTCGCAGGAAGAACAGATTTAAAACTCACTTATTAATTCTCTGACAGGCCTGGCGTACATTCGCCTTGATCACGGGACATATGGGACCGAATATCTCTTCTGATAACAGCGGGTCTACCGGTGCGCATTAGTATTGGTACTGAGCACAATAAAGAATTAGAAGGGTGTACCGTCCATATCAAGGTCTACGACAACGGCTGGCTCCATCCGACGGGATTCATCATTCCCACTTCCACCACTGACAATTGTGCCTTTTGTCTGGTGCAAAAGGCCAAATAGTCGCTTCCAATGCTGTTGGTTGACAATAGCCGTGGTGATTGTTTTTTCCCCGTGTAAAAATTGACTGTTCCAATATTGCAATCGGTCCACGAAAACGTCATGCACTGCTGCATCCACGAAGACATGATTGACCGTCAGACAGATTTGTCCGGCATTGAGGAATTTCGCATACGCAATACTTTTCGCGGCCCGCTCCACGTCTGCTGACCGACCGATGATGGCAGGAGACTGGCCACCTAGTTCCATAGTTACCGGCGTCAGATGAATTGCGGCGGCTGCACTAATATGTCGGCCGACATTCGCGGAGCCGGTGAAGAAAATATGGTTGAAAGGAAGTTCAAGTAGCTTTGTCGTCTCAGGGACGCCGGCGCAGACCAATCTGATTGCGGTGGGATCCAGGTATTGCGTAACCAGGTCTCGGAGGAGATTTTGACATGCCACAGCTACCTCAGACGGTTTGATAATGGCGCAGCAGCCCGCGGTGATGGCCGCGATCAGAGGCTGCAGCACTAGCAGTACTGGGAAATTCCATGCACCAATGATGAGCACGACACCGAGTGGCTCTTTTCGGATTCGTGCCAGACCAAGTCGCCTTGCAATGAAACTGTCGCCTATTATCTCATCCGCTGCCCAGGCATCTATATTATCCAGGTGATATATGATATCCTTCCGGATGCCAGCGAGATCAGTGAGATAGCTTTCGACCTCAGACCGGTTGAGGTCAGCCTTGATGGCGTCAAGGATGGCCTGTTCATTGTCCTCGACTAGCCACCAGAGCTGCTTGAGCTGCCATTTGCGCCAAGCTAGATCTTTGGTTTGACCCGTTCGAAACTTGCTCACGAGAATCGAATGAAACGTTTGAATTTCTTCGGCGCTCTCGTATCTATTTTCCATATCCATGTTTTCGGACTCCTCGACAGAGGCGCTATTGTTTACTTTGAAGTTTGCTTTCTTATGATTACGAAAAAGAGGTAATAGAATTGGGGTCCCTTTGCTTACCTCGGTATCATGAATTGTTTACATACAAGCCTTGTATAAAAATACGTGTTTAGAAAAATTGCAGTAATATATGTATTTTTCAAATTGGGCACCGCTGCTACATGCTCTCGGTATTCCGTAGGCCTTCGGCAATCAATCAAACCAAAGCTTAAAATATACGCTAACAATAGTACCTCGTACTTCCTGGATGCAACGGTCATATCGGAGTCTTTTGCATCTCGTATAATGCCCACATATGTTGTATGCAGGTGAGATATAGGTGTCCAAGCGCGAGGCGCCACGTGCATGGAGACTAGCATGGGTGGGAGACCGTTGTGCCAAGTGCGGCGGCAAAAGCTTGGATGGACTTCTATTTTTTGTTCATTATCCTGATAGGGATAAGCTTGCATGGAGTTCTATCGTGCTCGCTATATTGGACCAATCTCATAATCCCCGCCCCCTGTTCGTTGGCACGCACTTATTGGCCCCGGCTCCGACAGATACAGATATGCAACAACGTCGATCTGTCTTACTCAATATGCATATTAGTGCTTACTCTGACGGAGAACATCCCAAATCGGCAGAACGGTCAGACACTACGGTATTTCTCCAGGTAATGTCTCAGACGCTGGTTTTAGCAGGATCAACGCCCGATAGGCTGATGGGATACGACCTGAAATGATTGATATGTCTCGCAGCGAAAATCTAATGTGCATTCACTCCTTATCTTTGCTGGATTAGTTGTGGATTATCATTCCATATTACCTGTGCCAACCACTGGATTTCGAAGTGCTCATCAGCCATGTCTCAGGATTCGACTTCGACAAGATCACCGCCATTTGTTTTGTTAGACGGCGTCCCTAATTTTCGTGACCTTGGGAGCTATGCGTGTTACCCTTCCACTGCGCCGTCTTCATTGACCAAGACTGCCGACGAGACTCGAGTTGGAGAGTGGTGGATCCGACCAGGCTTCCTCTTCCGTTCCGCACAGCCCACTCAAATTACCCCTCCAGGGACGGAAACATTGACTAAGACCCTTCAAATCCAAACCGTCTTCGACTTTCGCTCAAAGGGGGAGATCCAGCTCGTGACTACCCGCTATCCCAACTCCCTCCTGGATATCCCAGGGACGAGGCGTCACGCAGTGCCGGTATTCCAGGATGGAGACTACTCCCCTGTTTCCTTAGCAAAACGGTACGGAGTGACCTCGGATGGACCCACGGAGGAGACGGACACCGAGCGGGGTTTCGTTAAAGCCTACGAGGACATTGCGCGCAGCGCAGCGCAAACGGGTAGTTTTCGCACCATTATGCAACACATCTCGCAAAACCCAGCGGGTGCGGTCCTGTTCCACTGTACGGTGGGAAAAGACCGTACTGGAGTATTTGCCGCATTGCTCCTCAAGCTGTGCGGAGTGGCGGATGAGGACATCGTGGCTGATTATGCGCTCACGACACTCGGGCTGGGCACGTGGCGGGAGCATTTGATTCAGCGGCTCTTGCAGAGAGGGGAAGCTTCGACTCGGGAACAGGCGGAGTCTATTATAAGTAGTCACCCGGAAGACATGCGGGCATTTTTGACCGATGTAGTAGCAGCCAAGTTTGGGGGAGTGCGGAAATACTTTGTTGACCTCTGCGGCTTGCAGGAGGATGAGCTCGATCGGGTCGTTACCACGCTCGTTGTTCCGAAGGAAATCAAAGAAGGGATAAAAGAGTAATTCCAGTATAAACACTTATATAAATAGATTCTAGCAAGTCTGTTTCTGTCTTAAAGCATGAGGAAATTCGTCAATGAAATCTACAAGAACTGATGCATCGTCTTGGGAAGCAATCGAAGTAACAAAGTAAGGACATAATTTCAAGAGTAACGCTTCATCATCCATCCACTGAAAGCCGAGCCAAGAGCTTTCGGATAGCGAGGTTCTCCCCCAGTCCCTGCTTCTCTAAATCATCAATCATTTCATAGGCTTCAGCCTTGAGGGTGGCAACAAAGTTGCGGGTATATTCAAATGTCCCGGTAGTCTCCATGTAGGCAACCGCATATCGTTTAATATCCTCATCCCGAGGCTTCTGCTTCAGGACATTAATCAGCTGCCGATTGGCGGGGTTGGAGCGAATGCTGTGGATTATGGGGAAAGAGAATTTGCCCTCGGTGAGATCTTCACATAGGCCCTTCTTCTGCAAATAGCTCGGCGACTTCAGGTTCAAATAATCGTCGCAAATCTGGAAGATAATGCCAAAGAGTCGGACTAGTGGCACCAAGTCGACTTGGACGGGGCTGCCAATCTGGAGCAGCTCGATGGCCAGGCTGAAGAGCGCGCCGGTTTTGTTGCTAACCATGTCCAGATAATCCTCTTCTGTGGGACAAATCAGCGAGTCACGCCAGAAGACATCCATGCCTTGACCGCGATGCAGATGGATCAAGGCATCTATGTAGATCTCAATCGCGCGTGGGCTGTTCAATTTCTGAATCTCTCGTAATGCGAGGAAGTAGACATAGTTGCCAGAATTAAAGGTTTGCGCCGTGCCAAATATGCTGTGGGCCACCGGCTGGCCTCGTCGAAGGAGAGAACTGTCCTCGATATCGTCGACGAGGAGAGATGCAGTGTGGAGCATGGAAATAACCTTCTTGACGATATCCAGGTGCTCCGTCGGGACTTGGAGCCAGGTGTCAAAGGCCTGCATGAATTGCGATCGCACATTCTTTCCCGGTAAGCTTTCGAGATAGTCAAACGGTCCCAATAGGATTTTTTCCTGGTCATCTGTCCATTCGCGAAGATAGGAAGGGCTCGAAGCACGTTTGGTGTCGGCCGATACGGTCTCTGTGCTCTCTGTGTGTTGATGTCCATTTTGTGGGTGATCCAGAATATCGATACTGGGAGTTTCTGGGTCTGCGGGAGCCGTCTGTGTTTTGGCATTCTCGGTTGCAGTGCCAATGGTAGTAACACCAGCCAATTCGGAACCGTTGATTGGTAGCCCGCGTGTACCATTGCTTTCAATTCCGTTAGACTCCGCATGATGTCCATTGGACTCGGAATGGTGTCCTTTTGACTCGACAGAGTATCCGTTGGTCTCGACAGAGTGTCCGTTGGTCTCGACAGAGTGTCCGTTGGTCGCGACAGAGTGTCCGTTGGTCTCGACAGAGTGTCCGTTGGTCTCGACAGAGTGTCCGTTGGTCTCGACAGAGTGTCCGTTGATCTCGACAGAGTGTCCGTTGGCCTCGACAGGGACTCCATTGGTCTCGACAGGGACTCCATTGGTCTCGACAGGGACTCCATTAGACTCGACAGGGACTCCATTAGACTCGGCATGATTTCCATTCGCCATGTCCGTGAGGACAATTTCCGGTTTATCATGTCCTTCTAGGGGCAAATCCGCCGCCCTCTTCAGAGCAGCCAATGTGTAGGCTTGCGACAACATTTCCGATTCGTATGTGACTTTCTCCACCCAGATACGTTCCGAGCCGACTATGGTGTCCAAGCGGAGGAAGGAGCAACCGTCGTGGATTGCAGTTCGGATCTGGTGACGAGGTACGTCGGGGAACTGAAATTCAACCGCATATGTAAGTAGGAGTAATGCATATGCCGTTTCCTCCTTGGAATCTTTAGAGCCCCATGAACCGGTTTGATTCTGTTGGTGCAGGACTGAGATCGTCATATCCCGTAGCAGAGAGGTAAGGTCCTCTTCGAAGAGCTCCTTCAAAGACAGTAACTCGGAACCTTGGAATAACAGGAGCAGGCGGGCGATGGCTTCAGTCATGAGCATCCAAGAATAAAAGGGGGACAGGTTCTATGTTCTGTTAGCCAAGGATCTATCATCATGGGAGGGGATTTGCGTACCCATTTATCGCGAACTTTCAAGTCTGATTCCCGGAAGTGGGTGTGCAGAAACTGGGTCGCCTTCTCGATCTGGGGTGCATACTGGGAGACATTTTCTGTGTGGAGCAATGCCAGTAAGACGTTACAGTTGGCCGAGAAGCTAGGGTCGCGCTCAAGAGGGTAGGTCTTGAAATGGTGATCTGCTTCAAATGCTTGCAACATCGGTTCCAGCGATACCTGCTGTTGAAGTAGCTGGAGTACAAGAATGGCTTTGGCTGTGTCATCTGCGTCGGCGCAAACATAGGGTGTAAAGCCCACCGTTCCTTTATCCGTGACAAGGGCGTCATGCAGGTATGTGCGGGCTTTCTGGATGGATGGTAGGACGTTTGGATCCAGATCAAACCCATTCTTGATGAGTGTTGAAAGTGTCCAATTAATTTCGAAGATGGTGGAAGGGAAGGCACTGGGTACACCTCCAGAGCCTTTCCCGGACGCAGACTGGATGACATGGTGAAGGTATTCCTCACACTCGTCATCCCATTCTGACGCATTCATGAGTACAGCTGATGTGGACGAGGGAGATGCCATAAAAGAGCCATTGACCTTGTGATGAAGAACACGGTCAAATTCAATCAATCCGATGAACGCCTCTAGTGAATGCAAGGCCGTGGTTTGGACCGGCATATAGAGAAACTGAGGCTTGAACCGGGCTAGCTTCTGGTCACGGACTTCAAAGAGCCGATCGCGGCCGGGGAAGGAAAAAGCAATGCTTTCATCTTCTAGATAACCAAGCAGTGCCGGGACGAGAATCTCGAATCCAACATGCAGCGTAGCGTCGACATCCCATGCGTGGAGCATCGCATGCAAGGCTTTTGTGGCCTGGTCAATGCGCCCCGCGAGATTTTCCTGCGAGATGGTACTGATTTGAAGGGGCGTGATAAAGTGGCGCTTCAACGACAGCAAGGATGCGGCTGTATTCAGAATCCCATCGATCTGGGAGGCGTATGTAGTCCAACTCCCATCCTCGAGTTGGTTTGACAGGATATATTCAAAGCAACCGGGAAACAACCACACAGTCTGCCCATCCACAGACTTCTTGACCATAGATACCCACGCCGTATCATAAACGGCGGGGCTCATAAAGCCAAGTCCATGCGAGTCGTCAAGTTGCTCGGTCAGTTGATCGATCAGCACCACGGCCGAATTTTGCAGGGAGATGGATTCCATCGTATAGCAGGTAGCTGTCCTCAAGACAGAAACAGAAACTTGCTTCTGTTCAGATGTCTATATGTTCTGAAAATCATGGTAATCTTTCCCCCACTACATAAATTTTAATAAAAATAACAAGAAAATCACCATTCCCGCCTCGGATTCCCCCGCAGTCTCGTAATCTACCTTTCTACGGCTTACGGTGATTGCTTACTATCCCGATTCACCGGCTTATTCTTCATGGTTGCATTGTACTATCCGGATTGTATATTCCATTGATTCCGGTAGATCTGACCCAGTCGGATCATTATCGGTTCCGCTGAGCCCCGCCGAGCCCCGCCGAGGTCTACCTATAAGGGCCCGATGTGGGCCGTGCAACTAACTTTTATAGTAACCTTTCATGCAGGGAGTGCCGCTAACATGTCTCACTTGCAGGTACCTACCACTACCTCTAATCTCTACTCTCTACCTCCCCGCACTTACGAATATGAGTAACCTGATGCCACTCCACTCCAAATCTCGCCAATAGATGGATGCAGGGTGACATCGAATCTGGAAGTTTGATCCGATACAGTGATCATTACCACCATACAGTACACTGTCATACAGATGAAACCCGCCAAGACACTACAAGCATTTCCCAAACTGGTCTCCCAGCAGATCCCGCCCCCACCAAGCTTGTTTCCCATTCGCCATCTCTGTTGGAATGAAATCTGATTCCCACGAAAGGTGAATGATCTACAAGTCTGCGTAGCTCTAGATGCTGACAGCAGTTAGGGGATTATTTAGCGATTGGAAGAAACAATACTCAACTATCAGATCCTTCGAGTTATCTGTCCGCTCTTGTCGAAGGGCTATTGAGGGGTAGCTTTTTGTCATCAAAACTGAGGGCCTGGATTGAATGCTGTGCCGATAATTATCCGTTGTCAGATTAACTCCACTGCGGTTCGTGAGAAACCAAAGTTCAGTGTCGCTGGGTGGCCTTGCAGGACACAACACAATCTTTACGGAACGAATATTAATCACCCTTGCGAACGTGGACAAGACCACATTCCATATTGGTCTAACAAAATTCGGCAGCGACAGACGCTGTATCTCATCCATTATGGCGACATCCTGGATATCTAGTCTGTCCCTCACGCAGGGGGTCTTATTGTCGCTGGGCATAGTATGTGGGACTAGGAGCGGTTTTCTTAAGTATTAAGTGAGATTCCGTATGCTGACTCTCAACCCAGGGCCTTAGTTACATAGTTGGAACCGTGATCTACAGAGTCTACTTCCATCCGCTCTCCAAATATCCTGGCCCAAAACTGGCAGCTGCCACCCGTTTATGGTGGACATGGCATCAGCTGCGTGGCCGATTCCCTTTAATCGTGCATGAACTTCATCTCAAATACGGGACGATTGTCCGCATTGCACCTACTGAGCTTTCCTTCACAGGTGCTGATGCCTGGAAAGAGATCTATGGATTCCGCGGTGGCTTGCCTGAGAATCGTAAAGATCCCGGCGAGAATACGGATGCTGACACAAGGCATCCTACAATCATTAATGCCAATCGCAAGGACCATGGTGATTTGCGCAAATTGTTATCTAATGCTTTCTCCGACAAAGTGCTGAAGGGTCAGGAGCCCGTTCTGCTGCACTACATTGATCTCCTTATCGGTCGGTTACATGAGGTGGCGGAGAAGGACGAGCCGGTCGATATTGTGAAATGGTTCAATGTAAGTCTAACATAAGACTATGGGAAATCGTTTTGCTGATCTCGGTAGTATGTGACATTTGATATCATCGGCCATCTGGCCTTCTATGAACCGTTTGATTGCCTCAAAAACACCGAGTACCACCCGTGGATGTCAATGATCTTCAACGCCATCATGTACGTGCACTACATCCGGACCTTGCAGCGATTCTTCAATATCCGAGCCCTCATTCTAGCCATAATGCCGAAGCGCATCGTCGAGCGACGCAAGTGGCATATTGGGCTCGTCGAGGAGAAGGTCATGCGCCGGAAACAGCAGCACCCTGATTACATCGACTTCATGAGCCACCTGCTCCAGGCCGAGGAGAAGGGCAAATTGACGACTCCCGATCTCGTGGCAAATGCGAATCTCATGGTAATTGCTGGAAGCGAGACCACTGCAACAATTCTCTCTGGAACAGTCTACTACCTGTGTACCCACCCAGCTGTGATGCAGAAACTGCTTGACGAGGTCCGCACCTCGTTTGACAGCAGCGATGAGATCAATATCGCGCGCATTAGCAAACTCAAATATATCAATGCGGTTATCGATGAGTCCTTCCGCCTGTATCCCCCAGCGGCAGGCAGTCATCCTCGCATGACGCCGCCCGAAGGTGCAAATATCTTGGGACAGTGGCTACCTGGTAATGTATGTTAGAAGAGGCTCCTTTCCTTTGACTTGTTTTATCTAACAGCCTCACCACAGACATCAATGGGCATGGCCCAATATGCCGTCTTCCGCTCGCCAGCCAACTTCAAGGACCCTGAGCTCTATCTCCCCGAGCGATGGCTGGATACAGAGGGGCCATATTCTCATGATAGACGTGAAGCCCTTCAGCCCTTTTCCTTTGGGCCTCGAAACTGCATTGGCAGAAAGTATGGACCTCTTTATCTCTCCACCTAGCAAAAAGTGATACTAACACTTCTACTCCACTAGTTTGGCCAATATCGAGCTGAGATTAATTTTGGCGAAGATGTTATGGCATTTCGATTTGGAACTGATGCCTGAATGTAGCAACTGGCCGAGGGATCAGTATATCTACACCTCTTGGGAGAAGATCCCACTGAAAGTCCGGGTTACGGCACGGGTGTGACCAGTCGAAAAGAATGTCACTGTCTCTCTGACATGGCAAGGAACGGCAGGTTGCCTGGGTACCCTAGTAGATTAGATGACTATTTCTCGTATAACACTTGAATATCGCTATTATAAGAATCTATGAGAATCAATCAATATTAACCTTCTTTGCTTTGATATCTTGGATATTCCGTTATCATAGTTTGATGATATTCCTATCTTACATAAATTGACTATGCACGGCCTTCGTGTCCCATTATGATTGCCAAGAATAATGTCATTCACCCGGGCATAGATAGTATCGAGTAGGGAATATTCCGCTCGGAGCATTTGTACAAAGTACATAGTACTACATGTACAAAGTGCAAAATCGGCATGACCCGGGTAATACGCAAAATACTAGCGTATCAAAACGAGACGAAACCCATACAGTCCCCCGCGGTGGAGACATACGTGCTTGGGCTTATGTGCAGATCAAGTCTGTGCTTTCCTAAACAACAGAGGGCGAAAAGAGAAATGTGAGACCAGAAGATAGGCCCCTCTAGGTCATTAATATGTTCGCTAGTGTAGTGCGCCGTACTATTTTCTAGGAAAAAAAGGATTGAAGGAGAACAACGATCTAGTTTCCCACAATGGCTGCCATGTCGACCCTGAACGTAGCGGTCGTCGGCTTCTTCTTGCAAGCGGCCTCATTCTGGCAATTGAGTCTCTCCAAATCAATCGCCGTGATTACAGGATTATCTGCAGTGCTATCTTTTGTCTTTCTGGTTTGCTGGAAGCTGTATCTGTGGCCATTGTGGTTCAGTCCCCTGCGCGGATTGCCCGAACCAGCGGTAAGTCCACCCCTGTGTTGGAGGGCGAGAATTAGAAATCAGAACCACTGACAAGCAGTAGGGCGGGCACCGTTTCAAAGGCCATGTGAAGCTGGTTCCGAACGAGCGATCGGGTATGCCCCTACAGGAATGGATCAATAACGTACCAAACAACGGGCTGATCCGATATCGCATGCGGTTCAACAAGGAGGTCGTCTTCGTCACCAGTCCTAAGGGCCTCTCGGAGGTTCTAGTTCAGAAGAATTATGAATATGCGAAGCCATACAAGCTGCGACTTGGGCTAGGACGGATTCTTGGGATCGGGTTGATCATCGCCGAGGGCGCGGAACATAAGGTATGTATGGGCTCTTTATTTGCCAGTGGAACAAGCAAGAAATGAACTGGAGCAGTCTGACAATAACAACAGACACAACGCAAGAACTTGATGCCCGCCTTTTCACACCGACACATTAAAGACCTCTATCCCATATTCTGGGACAAATCCGTCGCGCTAGCCCGAGCACTCGAAGAAGATATCGAACAGACCGAGGGCCAATCGAGCAAACCATCGAGCAAGGTCTTCGACGTGGCGGATTGGCTGGCGCGAGCGACCCTGGATATCCTAGGCTCAGCCGGACTCGGGGAGGAATTCGACACTCTCCACAATCCGGACAATGAGATCTGCCGTGCCTACCGTGATGTTTTTGAGCAGCGGCCCCCTCAAGGAACTCTGGCAATGGGACTTTTCCTATTGCGCGAGGTCTTCACAAGAGCCTTGCGTCTTCCCCGCGAAGACAGCATCACGATGGCCACCAAGACTTTGACTGGTGTTGCGCGCCGGTTGATCTCCAAGAAGAAGGCCATCGCCGAGAAATCTGATACTGAAGGACGAGATATCATCTCTGTTGCGCTGTCGTCGGGGAATTTCACAGACTCGATGCTGGAGAACCATCTCCTCACCTTCCTAGCAGCCGGTCACGAAACCACAGCGACATCGATGACTTGGGCCCTATATGCCTTGTGTTTGTACCCGGCGATCCAAGACCGACTGCGGGCGGAAATACGCGACCGACTACCGCATATTCTGGACGATGGCCCAACTACGCCAATGACCGCCGAACTCCTGGATAGTCTGCCGTATTTGCATGCTGTCTGCAACGAAGTCTTCCGTGTGTATCCCCCCGCCGGCCTCACTCGACGCGTGGCGGTGAATGATACCTCTATCTTGGGTCAGTTTATTCCCGCAGGCACGGAGATTGTGATATCACCACGCGCACTGAATGTGTCGCGGGAGTTATGGGGCGAGGATGCCCACGTCTTCAATCCCGATCGATGGCTGGGGCCGAATATGGCCAACACCGGAGGTGGCCTGACCAACTTTTCCTTTATGACTTTCCTTCATGGTCAGCATCCCGTATCCTGTTCTATATCTTTAGCATCTTCTGACTTTTTCTAGGTCCGCGGTCTTGCATTGGGCAGGGCTTTGCTCGTGGCGAGTTTGCGAGTCTAATCGCGGCGCTGGTGGGCACGTTTGAGATAACGTTGGCACAGGAGTCGGAGATAACAATTGAGACGGGATTGACTTCTCGTCCCAAGGGCGGATTGCGCGTGCAATTTTCTCGAATTTGATCACGGAACCTGGTATTGCAGATGATCAATCTATCAAAGAGTATACATAGGCTGGCTCGAAGAGGGTGTGGAATCGGCCCATAGCTGTACATTCACAAATCCCATTAACACCATTGCCTTACATAGAAAATAGATAAATATGACAGAGTCCATCTCCATTCTCCTCGCATTACAGAAGATAGATATATCCACAGCGCTTGATTCGTTATATTTCTACCACCATGGCAGGCTATATAGACCAAGAATAATTCAAAGTAAACAGATTACTTTACCTCCTCCATCGGCTGATGCGGTGAAAGAGTCGACATGACATCCTTTCCAAAATCCTGCAACGTCACCCGGATCCAATCTGGGAGCGCTCTTGTCGGCGGCGAAATATAAGCTGAAGCAGGCGTCATCCGATTCTGCGCCTGCCCGCTCCATATAATCTCAGCAACGACCGAGCCGATATCGTCGGGCTGCAAGAGTTTGACAGAGCTGGGCATCTGGATACCGCGGAACATCTTGGTCTGCACAGCCGAGGGCGACAAGCATGACACGCGCACGGCAGGCGCTTGGTAGACATGACGCAGTTCGGTATGGAGACCCTCGTATATGGCTAACGCGGCCGCCTTGGTAGCAGCGTAGTCCACCACGCCGGCTGTGGCTAAGTGGGCCGTCTGCGAGGCCATTATTAGGAAGTGGCCGTGATTCTGCGCAACCATGGAGGGAAGAAAGGTTTGCACTGTCCAGATCAGACCCAGAGTGTTCACGGCGAATGTACTAGAGAATTTGTCATTTTTTATGTTCCGATAGAGTATGCATGGATAAATTCTTACAGTTCAATGTCTTTTTGGGTGGCATGGAGTAAGGGTTTGCCGCGACAGATGCCCGCATTGGCAACCACGCAGGAAGGCGCACCGACCTCCCTGGATCACCATTAGTCCCTGAATTATATAATAGAGAAGGGTCAAAAAACGCACTGACGGATAGTTTCAGCGACAGACTCCAACTCCGCCCTGTTGCTCAAGTCGCATTGATAAAAATGCACATTTTTCGCTAGATCGCGAGATCAGCGAGGGGAATCAAAAATAATAAAATATTGCAAGAAGGTCCTCACGAGCATCATAGGTTAAGGGCCGAATATCAAGCACGATGATAGTGGTCCCACGTGTGGCCAGCTTTTTCACTGTCGCCGCGCCGATTCCATCTGAGCCACCTGTAACGAGCACGATTTCCTTATTCCAATCGAATGTAGCCGGAACACCGTTGTTGAGCGCGCGACGGTTAAGACGTCGGTTAATCCGGTAAGCCATCCATAGAAGACCTAAGGGGGGGATGATCTTCCAGACGGGGGTCGGTAGTCGGGATGCATAATGAGAGACGATTGCTTGCAGATCAGGAGCCATGGCGAGTCAGAGAAAAGGACATTAATTTGTCAGTGAGATTGGACGGCATAGCTGCGAACATATATCTTCCAAGTACGGAGTACAGGGGAACTATGTGGGCAGCCCCGCGGGATGTGAACCCCCGTCAGCATCACAAACCTTAGAATCCACCCCTCGAGGTACATACATATTTACATATTATTGTTTGTATGAAACGGTGTAAGTAGATAACCAAGTACAGAAGCAAGTAGACTAGCGTGTTAGTTCCACTTTCATAACCGGATTGAATCCGTCGGGCGTCCCCTGTTATGTCTAGGACGGGCGCATATACATAAGCACTAAAACGTTGTGTCCGTTCGACCCTCTTCTCGTATTCTATTTATCTTGTTTAGTTATTGTCTTTCCCATATAGTTGCTTATGTAAATATTAACATCCTGGTAACAGGGTTTTAGCTAACCATATGAGAGCTATATGATGATGACCATCTCATAATCTTCTCCCCTCTTTGTCCCTCCACTGGACGCTGCCTCTCCCCCCTCTATTCATTTCTAATCTCTGCCTACTTCTTACCACAAATCCATGATCTTTTGCCATTCCTTTGTTTTGATTATATCTCCAACCTATTCTCTGTTCACCCCTAACGTACTTCCCCAACATTTCAATTCTCCCCGGCAATATCCTCGATTCAAATCCCGGGCTCGACATGTCGTTAAGCATATACAATCAGCGCCGAAGCGTACCGTTTGGGAGATGATATGCAAGGTTATTATCCACTGCAAAATCGAGAGCATGAAGCAATTGATTTGATCGCGAGGGGGTATCCTGCTTGTCAAAATTTCCAAGAAATCTCTTGGTATATAGATCGAAGGATTTCAGGGCTTACGGCCTTCTAGAAGCTTCACACCAATTCCAGAATCACCTTTTGTATGCGGGTTGAAAGCTCGTATGGCAATGGGAGGAAATACTGGAAGAAAACACATCTCAACCTGAACCAACAGTCGGCAGATCACGAGCATGTCATCTTTCTCGTGTGCATATTGAGCTTAGTCTAATATGAGAGATGACATAGGGCGAGCACTGGTCGGCCCTATCCCACCAAACTTGCACGGTGGCGCGTTAACTGTAGAGAAATATATTCATACAACTTACTATGTTTACGATGTAATAGGCTAGGCTCGCGGTAGGTGGACTTATACTCTGTCTCTGTGAATGTAAATGATAAGAGATGCAAGTGAGAGGAAGAAGAAAAAAGAAAAAAGGATAAGATAAAAATCCCGCGTGTCGGTACTTGGAAGAAACGCCAAATCGGGCGTCCAAAAATCCCTGATTTGCTAATACGATTTAGTCCTTCGCCACCATCCACCTAGGGACTTATTAGAGACAATACCTCTGTATCCACTCACGAAGCGTATACAACTAGAAATTAAAGAGCAGGGTAGATCCTAGTCCGACCGGACACACCCAGCCGGCTTCCAATCCGCAGGGCTGGCCCCAACCTTGGAAGAGACTCAAAAAAGGGTTACAAGGTTCCAACGTAGATTTGCTTATAGGAGCCGCAATCCCAAAGCCGCTTTATTATACTCCGTATTAGATGCACCATTAAGTCTATGGGTTCATACCAGAGGTACTTTTTGGCCTAACCCCTAGTACACTAACACGCACCTTATATCTCTCCTATTTACTTCTTTTTAACGTTACTTTCATATTACTTCTATATTATGAAGCATTTTTTATACAATAAGACCAGCTATATAGCCATAAACTTGATTGATTTTTATATTGAATAACATAGGTATAGTGTTTGTGAAGATCGATATCTGCATAATATTACTTAGATGTACTCTACTATATGTAATTTGAAAGCATTTTTCAGAATCAAAGTATCTATATGAGTGGTGGTAGCAGAATTAATTATTCAACTTACTCTAGAGTAGTAGAGTATGTATAACATAGAAATTACTACTATTATAGTACAAGATTAGGTGATCCTACTACGTATGATATGCCTAAGTGTAGGTGAATAAAAGTCGTACCAAAGAGTAGCATAGTAAATGATTAGATAATAAATTAGGTAGAGCTCTCTCCCAGGTTAGGGTGTTTGGAGAGACCCAAAACTAATTAATTATATACGCGAATCTATGAGTCTGTGGGAGCTTTTTTCGAGTCTCTCCGGGCTAGAACTAGGTACCCGGACCACAAGGGAGCTCATGGGTTAGAAACGGGCAGAGAACCTGAGTGTTCTTCATAAGGTGTGTATTGTGGCGGCCATCTTGGATCAATACTCCCAGCCCATATGGGTCTGTGTTTGGTCCATGGAGGGATGGACCCCATATGCCGCCACACAGCCCAGTTTGAAATCCGCCCAAGGATTTCGATCCTTGTAGCTTTGGCCTTTCCCCCCCCTTTTTTTTTATGCAAGACAAGAGACTAGTCCCGGATTGTGCGGCTTTTTCGATCCCAGCTACAGTTAATATAAATCCTGATACATGAGCCTGGCTTCGGTAGACACAGTGTCTCTATTATGAGATTGTTTAAAAATAAAGCACTCAGCTCCCTTCTAGTATGGACATCTCGAATACACTTCCAAAATTCCCCCCTTCTTTTGACTCAAAATGGCATACAATTTGAGTCTCGAAGAATATTTTCAGATATCCCAACTTGGCAGTGATCAACCTAATCACCATCCCGGAACTTCTACTATACAACCACCTGCCTCGAGGGTCGAGCAGTCATCTGCATTATCTACCAATTGGCCTCTTTATGACCCTTCTATGAACTATGGCTCCGCATATGTCGACCCCAACTGGATCACGTACACCACCACTATAGGGGAACCTATAGCGGAAAGCATGTATCAGGGCAACATACAGCCTTCCTCCACCACACAGGCAAAGGCCGAAGACCATCCCCATCCCCATCAGACCACAATCCAGATCCAGTCCCCCGCATTCGCATCAAGTCACTCCACCAGAGAGTCATCTGCACCAAACGAGAACAACGTCACTCGTAATGAGCCCCAGGAACGAGAGTGAGTCGTATCTCCTCACTCTTTCCAGTTCATCGCTGACAGTCTTCCTTTTATCTCAGTGAATCGGACGGCGATTTCAAATGCCTCTGGGATGGCTGTACACGCCGCGAGAGGTTTGGAAGCCTTCCATCGTTGATACGCCATATCAAAGTACAGCATGGTGTACGTCGCTCTGTTAGGTGCCCCGACTGTGGCCAGGCTTTTGGCCGTCGGGATAACATGAGAGATCACCGGGGAAGACTTCATGGGATGTTTGACTGAGATTGATGGACTTTTCGGTTAGATAGTTTTTGTTTTGTTCTTGGTTTTTTCTAGAAAAAAAGATAAAGGACGGGAAAGGGGGGAATAAGCTGGGAATTTGAAATGTGTTTTAACAATATAGAACTTACATTGAAGTCTGGTATTTGTAGAGTGTGAAGTCAAACCGAAGCATCCACATCATCCAAATATGGTAGCCCCACCAGTCCCGTTCCTGATATCTAGCTGGGGAGTATCAACCTCGGTCATCCATGCCAACAGCCCTAGAGAATGAGAAGATCTCCACGTAAAAGAGCAGGTTAGGGGGCAGGATGTAAGAGAAAAGTGTTGCAAGTGATCTAGCATGTTGCATTTCATTGATAGAATGTACATAAAGTGCCAAAACCAGTGTTCTTCAACAATTTAACCTCTTAACAACCCATGTATTCAAATTGATGTCTATGTAGACCTTCTCTCTTTGATACTAACACTACAATGTATTTTGGATGTCTCCCCCTTCTCTTACCGCAGTATCTTGCAAGTTTGTAGAACCAACCCTCCAGGCATGTTATAGCGGAATTTCACATTGCTCGTTCTATGACTCCAAAACAACACAACACAAGTTTACGGACCATCTTCTCTTCTCAAAAGAGATGATATAAAACTACAACTACGAGGAACAAGATTATTGTTAATTGTATAATATTGACAACTGATTCTACATAATAGAAACAGTAGATCAAATCCGACAATGCGAATTTGATCAAGCAAGGTTGTAGAGCTTGCTGTATGTGGAAAAACCACACAATGTTGAAATGGTAAAACCAGCACCGACCAGACATCACAGCGAAAGTAGGCCGTGATGCCAGTCAGCGCCAGTTTAAAATCGTCAGTCATGTTGAAACTCCAGGCCCGCTTTTGGTATCCTCTAGAAAACCCGTTGAAACCCATATGTTGAACTTTTGGTATCATCGTCGTAACTCATCAGAAAAGAAAACTCCCCAATCCCGAGGTGACAGGTTGATTGTCACCTCCTCATTAAATTATTGGTAAATTGAAATAATTTACTGCGCATACTTCTGGCGGAAGTACTTAGCAGCGTTGACCATGGCGGTGAGAGCCGCCTTGGTCTCGGGCCAGCCACGAGTCTTGAGTCCACTGTAAAAAAGAAGCATATTAGCATCGAGGTCAAAAAATCAAGAGATTTGGAGTCAGAAAAAACGAACCAGTCAGGGTTGCACCAGAGCTGGGCGGGAGTCAAGTAAGCCAGCATCTCTTCGATGCGGTCCTTGATCTCCTGCTCTGTGGGAACACGAGGGGAGTGGATGTCGTAGACACCGGGGCCGATGTGGCGAGGGTAGGCCTCGTCGATGAAGACCTTGAGGAGCTTGGCGTCAGACTTGCTGTTCTCGATGGACAGAACATCGGCATCGAGAGCGGCAATGGCGTGGAAGAAGTCCTGGAACTCAGAGTAGCAGAAGTGGGAGTGGATCTGAGTGCCGTCGGTGACACCGGCGGTGGACAGCTTGAAGGAGTCGACAGCCCACTTGAGGTAGGCAACGCGAGCCTCACCAGTGCGGAGGGGAAGACCCTCACGGAGAGCGGGCTCATCGACCTGGATCACGGCAATGCCAGCGGCCTCGAGGTCAACAACCTCGTCGCGGAGAGCGAGAGCGAGCTGCTGAGCCTGGACGGACTGGTGGACATCGTCACGGGGGAAAGACCACCGGAGACAGGTGATGGGACCAGTGAGCATGCCCTTCATGGGCTTGGGGGAGATGGAAGCGGCGTACTTGGACTCCTTGACGGTCATAGGGGCGGGACGAGAGATATCACCGACAATGATGGGAGGACGCACGCAGCGGGAGCCGTAAGACTGAACCCAGGCGTGGGTGGTGAAGACGTAACCAGTGAGGCGCTCACCGAAGTACTGCACCATGTCGTTACGCTCGGGCTCACCGTGGACGAAGACATCGAGGTCGAGCTCCTCCTGGATCTTGACGACCTCCTGGATCTCCTTCTCGATGAACTTCTCGTACTCCTCAGGGGTGATCTCACCCTTGGTGAACTTGTTACGCTGGACGCGGATCTCCTTGGTCTGGGGGAAGGAACCAATGGTGGTGGTGGGGAAGAGAGGGAGCTTGAGAGTCTTGGTCTGCTCGGCGTAACGCTCGGGGAAGGCAGACTTGCGGTTGTGCATCTCAGGGGTGACAGCAGCCTGGCGGGCCTTGACAGCGGGGTCGTTGGTGCGGGGAGAGGAGGCACGGGCCTGAACAGACTTGGCGTTGGCCTCGAGCTGCTCACGGACGGCAGCGGGGCCCTCAGTGACAGCCTTGGCGATCACGACAACCTCAGCGGCCTTCTCAACAGCGAAGGAGAACCAGTCCTGAACCTCGGGATCGAGGGACTTCTCGCTGGCGAGGGTGTGGGGGACGTGAAGGAGGGAGCTGGAGGTGGCAACAATGACACGGTCCTTGCCGAGCTTCTGGATGGCGTTCTCGACCTTCTCAATGGCGGCCTTGAAGTTGGTCTTCCAGATGTTACGGCCGTCAACGACACCAGCGGAGAGAACCTGCTTGGGGCCAAGAGCAGCGACAACGGTGTCGAGCTGCTCGGGGTTGCGGACAAGGTCGATGTGGATAGAGTGGAGGTTCTGGACGTCGGCGAGGACATCAATGTTGTGGACGATGTCACCGAAGTAGGTGGCGAGGGTGATACGGGGACCCTGGGCACCGAGGGCAGCGATCTTCTCGTAGGTGGGCTTGAAGGCAGCCTTGGACTTCTCAGCAAGATCGAAGACGAGGACGGGCTCGTCGATCTGAACATCCTCGGCACCAGCGGCCTTGAGCTTGGACAGAAGCTCAACGTAGAGGGGAACGAGCTTCTCAATCAGAGTGATGGGGTCAACGCTCTGGCCACGGTCGGCCTTGGCGAGAGTCAGGAAGGAGACGGGACCGAGGAGGACGGGGCGGGTGGTGATGCCGGCGGCCTTGGCCTCAAGGAACTCAGCAATGGGCTTAGGCTCAGCAGCGAGCTTGAACTCCTGGTTGTCCTGGAGAGTGGGCTTCACGTAGTGGTAGTTAGAGTCGAACCACTTGACCATTTCCTGTTGATTGAGTCAGCATACTGAATCTAGACACGTATATATATTGTAATGATTTGCACATACCAGACTGGGGACATCAATGCCCTCCTTCTGGAGACCACGGCCCATGGCAAAGTACTCATCGAGAGAGTTGAGGTTGTACTTGGTGTAACGCTCGGGGATAGTTCCGAAGAGCTGGTGGTGGTCAAGGACCTGATCGTAGAAGGCGAAGTCGTTGCTGGGAATAACATCGACACCGGCATCCTTCTGGATCTTCCAGTGCTCGAGACGAAGACGCTTGCCCTCAGCGAGGAGCTCATCGCGGGAGATCTTGTCAGCCCAGTAAGCCTCGGTGGCCTTCTTGAGGTCACGGAGTCTTCCCATGCGGGGGAAACCCAGAATAGATCTAACCAAATAATCAGCAATTGTCTCTATAATTGTCCAGAATCGAGGCAACATACGATTGAACCATTCTGATGGATGTGTGTGAGAAAGGAGAAAGAAGAAAGGAGTCTCAAGGATAGAATTTTCACAAATCCGATGCCTTTGAGAAGAGAGAATGAAGGAAGAGAAGGGGGAAAGGTGTGGGAAACGCTCAAAGAAATATGGAGGGGAAGGAAACAGACTAATCCGAATGGGGATTTGGACCCAATGGGGATTTCGTACGCAAGTTGGAGGGGCAGCCATTACAGTATGATACATGATACAGTATGTTTGTGTAACTCTACTTTTGTACCTTGGCGTACCTCTTTGTACCTGGGGATCCAGAGGTTCCGGGTGGATTCCTTTTGGGAAGTTGTGTAATTTACAGTTATTTTCAGACCTCATTCAGTACCAATACCACATGGATCTCCGTGATCGGTCGCCATAGAAGTGATCACGCCATTGAACCACCGATAAGGTCTCTGCAGAGTTGTTTACGACTATTTGTCAATTAGTGTTCTTTTCTTTTCAGCAAGGGTCCTGTATGTTATATATCGTATACCGAAATCTAGCTTTTCTCGATGAGCGGTCAAGCCCATCTATATAAAAGAAAACATGCTGACAGGGAGTACGGGGCAACTACGTGACACGCTGTCAATTTGACCCCTCCACTTCACCCGCATCACAACAAGCCTGAAAGCTCATATTGATTCTTGTCAGTAGCAATTCATAGCTTTACCCTGTACGGAGTATTTTCCACTCAATTCTTAATGATTCTTCTGTTCTTCTAAAAAGGCAACAATATGACTCAGAAGATCCCATAACAAATCTTGGAACTCCCCGGTCTCGGGATTTATTCAAGCAATTGATCGGCCCACGTGATGTCACGATGAGAAAAGAACATAACTTTGTTTTCTTTGGGGGGAAAAAGAAAGCCATTGTCAAGACTCAATCTCAAAAAGAACAACAAAAGAGAATATCAGTCATCATGGTCTTCCCTGACCTGCTATTATCGCCCTCGATGCAGCCAATTCCCCGGAAGATGTCCGAAACAGCAAACAGCAAACATGCCCAGCACTCCGATGGAATTTCCGTGACTAATGAGGATGATCGCGACCTCCTAAAGCTTGGCTATCGCTCTAGCTTGGCCCGAGGCTGGAGCTCATTATTCCACAATTTCGCCTGCTCCTTCTCGGCCTTGAATTGCGTCGGATCCGGTATTCTTCGATATCGTCAGTAGAGGCGGCCTGGCTGCCACGTATATTTTACGTTTTCTGCCGCCTTTGATCACATCACTAACAATTCCACCAGCTGGAGCTCCTGAGTCTCCAGTAGCATACTGTCCGTCATCACAGCTGCCTGTCTCGCCGAAGCTTGATTAAGCTATCCCGCTGCAGGATCGATTTACTACTAGGTTCCGATCCTGGGGAGGCGGTAAAGCGGGCCACTTCGTGTCGTTCCTAATTGCCGCATGAACATTGGTTGCATGGACCGCCTTTCCCCCCGGGTGATTCGTTCGGAGTTGCCAACTACCTGAACTCCGAGATCGTCATGTTTAACCCGAAGACAAGCTTCCCATATGAAACAGCCGATGTCCGAGCGCGCGCAGTGGCATGGGCCATCTCCCTTTTCTTAGCCATCACTACACGCTAAATCGCCTGCCCCTGCGCATGTACTCCTAGGTGTTCTGAGCAGGTGTGAGAGTCATTATTATCGATATACTACTTAGCTTCATCTAGCTTTCCATGGGATTATCTAAGAAGTACGGCTTCCAGTCAGTCCAATGCGTGTTTATGTCTATATAAAATGGCGGGGATCCCAGTCCCGGAATGAACTGGGTTCTGTCCTGGTACTTGGTCAGCAGCTGCCTTGTGGGGCGGGATGCCTCGGGCCACGTTGCAGAAGAGGCAGTGTCGACCAAGAAAGCGGCAGCGAAAGGTGTCTTTTGGGCAACCGGTGCGTCTGCGCTGTGCGGCTTCCCCATTAGTATCTCAATTATCTTCTGCATGTCTCCTATTGAGACGTTCTACGACAATAATGTGCCCCGGCCGTTCATCAACATGTACGCGATGGCTCTCGGTCCCTATGCCCACGTTGTGATGACCCTTGGAGCAATAATCGGAGCAACAGGTGCTACTAACTGCTCTTCCTGGGGTGTAGATCTACAGTCTGATACAGACAGGCTCGGTGCCCGGCTATTTCTATGGCAGGCTGCGCTAGATTCCCGTTGCCCCTGGGGCATACGTGAAGTGGTGTTTGTGATGAATCGTCCCCTTCATCACCCACTTCCATTCCAGAATGCTAGCGGGGATTGGACTTACTTTATGAAGCCCAGTCGCAGGGGGGTCCGAGTGTTAGAGTCCAGTATATAACCGTCCTTGTGTCTACTAGACTTCTTTGATTGATCCGGTGTCTTGTAATACCAGATCAGCAAACTGTCTACATACTCGTAGATATGATCAAGAGCGTAAAGTATCATCACTATATCATTAATCTATTTCTCAAGCCAAACCAAATCTTAAGTCTAGTGAGCACCCAGCGCGGCCGAGATCAGCCTTTTGTATCCGCGCACCGCCTCTTCAAGTTCTCCCACGGTGATTGCCTCATCGTCACCATGGGCAACAAGGATACTACCCGGCCCGTAGAGATACCGCTTCACTTTTGGACCTCCTTGGGTATTGATGTTCAATGAGGGAATGTCAGTCCCATAGTTCACAGTAATCACGTCAAACCCGTCGACGTCAAAATCAAGATGCTGGGGTGGAGCGCCGCTCTCGACATCTCCAAAGTCAAGATAGACGCTTCTATCACCACCAGTCACATCTTTAACCGCCTTCCTCACAATTTCTCTCGTATCCTCTGGACTTCCAGCTGCTAGACGAACGGAAATCGCCGCCTCGGCATGTGCAGGAACAACATTACCAGCTAAACCGGCACGCATGACACCAATATTCAATGTGGATTGACCGAACTTCTCACTACGTAGAAGTCCACCTTTCTCTGGCAAAACATCTTCCAGTGTATCAAGGTAAGATAAAACAGGAAGAATCGAAGAGATCGCGCTTTTCCCGAGCCAGGGGTACCCCGAATGGGCTGCTTTTCCTTCGGCGATAAGCCTGAACCCAAGAGTACCTTTATGCCCCGCGACAAGCTTAAGCTCTGTTGGTTCTCCAAATATAACTGTATTGAATTTAGGTGGTGTTGGGTTGAGATCCGAGTTTGAGAAATGTTTCATTCCAGCGCCACTTTTCTCCTCGCCGACGTCAAACAATAACCCGATTGAGGCGTCGGGGTTAACATTCAGTGTTTCCAATGCAGCAAATAGTATGGCCGCGACACTGGCTTTGGCATCTACCGTGCCGCGGCCAGCGATAACCAGGTCTGATCGATTGAATGTCAGATTCTCTGTGTTACCCGACGCTGGTGGGTGAAGCGAATAAGGAATGAAAGGTGGCACAGTATCGATGTGGCTGGTCAGCAGAACCGAGGGAAACCTGTTTTTCCCGGCGTACGCATAAACATTGAATCTTTCTTGCTCGGTATCATTCCCCGGGGTGATGATTTGTTTCTCGGCGGTTAGGTTGTGTGAGCGGATGAAGTCCAAGAGGAAATTTCCAACGCTTTCTTCATGTTCACTGATTGATGAGATCTGCACAATGTCTCTGTGGAATGACAAGAGAGGAGATTCATCGATAATTTTGTTCAGGTCCACAGTTGGAGATTTCACGTTCTCATGGATCACTTTTCCGCTCAGGGGTTGTTGGGCTTCGGCCGCCAGCGCGACTCTTACTAGAGATGCGACAGCATAAAAGTAATCTGCCTTCATATTTCTCTGCTTATTGAAGTCTGACAAAGGTTACAGACTGAAAAAACTATGTTATTGAATCTTAGAAAGAGATGAAGTGTCCAGGTGAAAGGTGCCGATTAGGAATTCTCTCCCCGCAATGGCGTATACTCGTAGCCCTGCAGGACAGTACTTAGTTCTTTTCGTTGACTACCTTTCTGTACTGAATTTAGCAAGATGCACCATCTTGATCGGCTAATTCACTGTAATACATCAAAGTCATCAATTTGCCGAGCTTGGCCTAATTATTGCGTGCTCTGGAAGGATTATTCCCTTGGGTTTTGATCAGTGCTATATAAGATTAGATCTACAAAATTAATATCCTGAAATAAGAAAAGCAAATAAAAATTGACAGCGATGTTACTTTTAAATATTAGGAAACTATTCTAAACGTTAAATCAGAGCAAATAATCTCCACAGATTGTTTTAATTGTCTGGGCGATATGATGGACTATAAGCAGCATTCTGCTTTCCAACTTGAGGGGTTCCTCGACGCATGGTAAGCAAGGCATCGCAAGTAGTGATCTCGGCAAATGTATTCCAAAGGACAGTATTGTCAGCATAGGACACTAGGTAAAAAGACCCCTGCATGCCGCCATGCCAAGTAGTCCTTGCTCATCTTGCGCAATTCACATATGATATAACCAACTTTCGGTACTTCCTGAGAATGTGGAGTAGGGCAAATGTTAGAACCCATATAATGGCATAGATATCCCTTCAAAATCATTACAATTGCTTCAGTTGTACCTTTCTTCCGTGCATGAGCTACAAAAGACACCATGTCTTCTGAGATAGCAGAGAAAGGTCAAATTGGGACTATATCCACGGACAAAATATTGATACCAAAGAAAGGAAATGTACACTACGTTAACCGCAATGGAGACGACACTCCGCAGTCTATTGAAGAAGATCTCATCCCTGGTTATGATGCTACCCTGATGCGAGCGCGTGCGACGCTCAGTAGCGCAGAGGAAAAGAAGCTTTTGCGACGTATTGACTGGCATCTACTTCCACTGTTAGCTGTTATGTATATGTTGAAAAGCGTGGATTACAGCAATGTAAGATTATCTATTGAGTACACTGGTGGAAGATCACTGACCACAATGTTCTAGGTCTCATACGCCCGGGTTATGGACAAAGGCACACCACGTAACATCTTGACTGAATTGAAAATGACTTCAGATCAATACAATCTGGTTACAACTATGTATTATGTGAGATAACTCTGACCAAATTTCGCTATTGTGAGGTTGTACTAATCCCTTGGAGGTCCCTTACATACTTGCAGAAGCCCCATCAAACCTATTGTTGAAAGGTGTGCGACCATCGATATGGCAAGCTAGGATTATGGTAAATTGAACTATTCTACTTCTATCTGGTGTGGCACTAATGGCTACAGGTATCTTGGGGTATCGTTCTGTGCTGCCATGCAGCTGTGACAAATAGACAGGGTTTATATGCTGTCCGGTTCTTCCTCGGACTGTTTGAGGCTGGCCTGTGGCCAGGAATGCTTCTACAGCTCTGCTATTGGTATAGACCCGATGAGATTGCTCCAAGGATCGTTCTTGTGACACTACTAGGAAATTTTAGCACTGTGATCAGTGGTGTCCTTGCATTTGCTTTCAATGGCGTCGTTGCTGGTGGTCTATCCGGATGGAAATGGTATTTCGACCTTCTCGCAAAACTTTCAATTCCATACTAATGGTTATATTTAGGCTTATTTTGACGGAAGGAATCTTCACAGTCTTACTAGGAATTTTTACTTATTTCTTCTTACCTGATTGTAGGCCATCCTACCTAGCTTTCAGTGCAAGGTGTAACTGACCATCTGACAGTTCCTTCAACTGCGTCCTGGTTATCTGAAAAAGAAAAGGCCTTCACGCAAGCCCGCCTACCGAGCAATTCACCTCGGGCAGCGGAATCTAACTTCAATATGCGCGAACTCATCACGACATTGAAGAACAAGCGAATCTGGCTTTTCCTCTTCTGCTGGGCTTTCTTCACGATTGGTACAACGGGACTCACATTCTACCAACCCACCGTCATTTCCAATCTCGGATTTACGTGAGTTCTTCCAACTTGAAGGGAACAGTGCATTTCTAACAAAGTTCAAAGGTCTATGGGTGAAGCCCAGCTACTGAACATTCCATCTGCGGTCTTCGCAGTAATTTTGACAGTCGCATTCGGTATCTTCGCGGACACTGGGCGTATTCCACAACCAGCCATCCCGCTTGGATTTATGATTGTCATTCTAGCTTGTTATGGCGTGCTGTATGCCTTCCCAAATAACGGGGGTGTATATGCTGCGACGATTGTAGCAGGAGGTTTCTCGACTGCATGGTGAGTGCAACACTAGACCGACCATTATATAATACTTCAATGTCTCACGCTAAAATACATCAGGTATACAATGATGTGGCCCTGGCGAGTCCAGACAACCGAGGGTGCAACGGGATCTGCCTTTGCAATCGCATTTGCGAATAGTTACGGGCAGATTGGAGGGGCTGTTGGGTCTCAGCTATTCAACTCTCGGTTCGCGCCACGATATACAACCTCATTCGGGATTGCGATGGGATTTGTTGGTATGGCGATCATTATGAACCTGGTTACTTGGGCTTTTACTTGGCGGGTGGATGTTGATACGAGGAAGCTAAAGAGGATTCGACTTGCGGCGGCGAAAGAGAATCAGGCTGTGCTGGATGATGTTGATATTCATGCAGGAGAGAAGAGATAGACGTATATAGAATTGGGTGCATTAAAAGTTGAGAAAAGGTTGAAACAATAGCATTGATGCAATATCTTCCCTTCATGCAGAATAAACCTGATTGGTAGGCTATGGGCCCTACCCTGGAAACTCGACCCAACCCACAACCTATCAGTGGGGGCCTATAAGGCCCCCATTAAATCCCATCCTAGGCGGCCTCTATAATCACTGTATTACGACCGTCCACTAGGTATATAAAGTTCAAATTTATAAGCTAGGATTATATTAGCTACATAAATATATGTTTTAGTTTTGAGTGAAATCTAACTGATCGAAGTCGAGATACCATTAATCTTAATGTTTTGGTACGATATATATTTTGGGTTTGTGTAGCAGCACTACTACTTGTCAAGTGAACTTCTGTAATTTATAAATTATCTGAATAACGCGCTTTTTTATATTTTTAAACGTGATATAGAGAGATAACTAGTGATTGATTCTAAATCATTCAAATTAATAAAATATTAGCTTTAGGATAAGGCTTAGAACGGAGGTGAAACGAAGGGTAATTTTAAAAACCCTACAAGGGGGTTCAACTTCTGAATTCTCGGTATATTTGTCCTGTTTGCGGCCCATTTGGGGGCCCATAGTCCATCGGTGGGCCCGAGACCGGGCCCAAAACCCAGCCCATTTGCGGGTTGGGTCCGGGTTGGGCTTTGGGCTTTGTGGGCTCTGCGGAAGTCTACCAGTGATTGGGTCGAGGGTGACGAATTGAGTTTACTAGTTCAGTACCTAATAATAAGCTTGTTGGTTAGTCCAATAAGATCCATGGATCTCTTCTTGATCTATGAGGTATGTATAGAATGTTATCAACGTAAAAGAAAAGATGGTCTGCATTCTCCCGAGGTTTACCCCCTAGCGCCTCACCAGCCCTTCACTACAATGACATCAAGTGTGGGGGTGGATACCAGGATGATCATTCCCAAAATCGTTCGGGTTCCCCTCAACGGACAATGTCCGACTTTGAAATTCAAATTCTAAAAACTTCCCTTGTTAACACTCTGCCACTATTGAAACAAAATCTGTATATCATGGCATTCGCACGCAGGTTAGCCATCATGCCTGGTGGCCTCGGTATGGACACGGGATAAACACGACCCCGGACAAAACGAAACCTAACTTCTCCATAGGCGGCCTCGGTTCAAGCATTGGCCAAAAGTTGAGACAGCAAGGTGCCTGTCTCGCCATTCTCTACGCACCATTCGAAGCTGCACGTCATGACGAGCTACTCGAATCCGGGTACGGTGCGAGCGGCAATCTAGATGATGTACACACCTATGAATGCGACATCACCTCACCAGACTCCGTGCAGGCGGCCTTCAACTCTCTAGAGAAACAATTAATCGACCCAAATTCGACCTCTGCATCCGAAAGAGTCTTCCCAAGTATCCTGATCAATACAGCCGGATACGTATCTCTCAGCGACATGGAGATAACACCACCCGAAGAAACGCTCAAGCATCTCACTACTAACATCTACGGCCCGATGCTCTGCTCTCAAGCATTTGCTCGACTCTACTTCGCTGCATCCAAGGCCGCAGAATCATCACCAAGTGCCCCACCACCGGGAAGAATCGTGAGCATTTCATCTCAGGCGGCACATGCTGCGCTACATCGACATGGCGCATATTGTGCTTCTAAAGCTGGGCTCTTAGGTCTGACGCGCAGTATGGCGTCTGAGTGGGCTGGTCGGGGTATCACTGCCAATACTGTGTCTCCGACTGTGGCGTGGACGGAGCTTGGGAGGAAGGCTTGGGGGGAGACGAATGTTCGAAAGGCCTTTTTGGCGAGTATACCAACAGGCAAGTTTGCACTTCCGGAGGAAGTTGCTGATTCTGTGCTGTTTCTTTGTCAGGTATGTTTCCTTGGCTCGGTGGGTTATATTTCTGGCTCTGACTTCTGCAATAGGATTCTAGTGGCATGATCAATGGTGCGGATATTAGAGTTGATGGTGGTTTCACTGCTAGATAAATTCATCTAGACTTGGATATTTCTTTTCCTGTCAATATTTCAAATTTATTTGTCCTGAACCCTGGCGACAAAAGGTATCTAGTTCATTGCATATTAACCATTCAGTTATTCAATCATCTCACAATGCAAGTATGCACCTCAATATGACCCTTTCCGCAAGATGTTTTTCAAAAATATCTTCTGCCTCAAAACAAAAACTTTCCTAGCATCATTGATTCTTGCGAGATCCCACCGCTGCGGTGCCGTCTTGTCCATCCAAACTGACCAGTCACCCCAAAACGCCGGCCGCATAATCTGCGCATACTCCCAGTACTCAGGATACCATCCTGCGTATTCCCAGTCGAGAATACCGGTGACATTGTTCTGCTCGTCCACGATGATATTGCGCGGCGCAATATCTGCATGCGCGAAGACCGAGCGCTCCGAATGGGGTAGCATATCCAGTAGTTGATTTTCATACCGACTTCCCCCATGGTAGAGATATCGCTCGTAGATTCTAGACCTAGGTCTGAGTCGCTCGAAATTGGTCGACCGGGCTGTTGTAGATCTTCTAGCATCCGGTCCAGGGATAGAGAGCCATCCGCGGCACACTGATAAGGTCCCTCAAGCTCCTGTGGGCGAATTATCTTTCGGAGTTTGAGATCAGATCCCAGAGCTGGAGGCAGATTGACTCTCTAGCCTCGTCCTCTAGGCTATCCCATTTTTGCTCTAGAGTTATTCCGGAAATGATAGTCATCCCAATAGTGCCTTCCGACGGACGATAATCGGGCTTGAAGAACTCTTCTGGAGTTATTATCCCTTCATCAGGACTGAAACGAGTGAAAAGCACTTCGGGCACTGGAACATCGGTCTGCTTAGCGACAAGTCTCATCGCTTCAGCTTCGGGAGATCGCACTCCAACCCCAGACTTTGTGACCCAGGGACAGTCTCACTCAAGTACAAGTCTGCCCATTTTTTTATCGAGTACAGCAATGACCTCTTGGTCATTTGGGAGGTCGAGTGGATTCAGAGACCACGGACAGGGCCTTATAATGTTGCCCTTTTTAATATATCGGTACCCTTTATGAAGATTCTGTCGGTCATAAGGAGCCTCCTTTGAGGATTCAGTAATTTTTCGGGTATTTTCGTGACCCGGCGGTCGCATTTATCTGAATAACAATGGCAAGGGGGTGGGAATCTGTGTTTCTTCGGAAGAGAACCTGTCACCCGTCATCAATCACATGAACACGCGGATTTCTATGACCCTTGCTCATTGTCGAGATATAGTGGAAACCCAGCAATATATGCTATTATATTTTCGCACTCTTCCTGATAATCCTTGCTTCCAACCAACTCGGATTTCAAATCTTTGCTAATTTATATTTCTAGTAAGCCCCATGTGATGAACATAGTCTTTCTAGTATAATGCGATATAGTATACCAATAAGAAATCAAGCGATAATATTTCTCCCCCCTGCGGCCCTACAACCGTTGCGCCTATCCAATCCCCGCAAGTATAGGTAGATGATGATCGGGAGAGACTCCGCTCTTTCTGTTGTTACGGCAAGGCAAGATCAGTAATTGTAGAGGGAGAGAAAGATCATATGTATAGTTGAGTAGGTCTATAATCATAAGGGGTCTTCACACCACCACTGCAAGCATATACACCTCATGAAGATCCCTCCTCTACACCTACGTAGGCAACTACGTAGAAATATCCGCTCTCCAAGTCCAGTTCCTAGATATTTTCGCTTTCAAAACTCCTGAAGCCATGCTAACCCGTGATATCGTAAAGAAGATTGGTTTCGGTTCCGCCGGGATGGTTGTCTATACGCTGACACCGGGGAAGCAGTCGGCAAGACCCTTGTTGTGCTTGTTGGAGGCGTGCTCGAGGAGACTATAACCACACAGATATATGTTAGCCCATATACATCAACAGAAACAGACATTCGAAAGAGATCGGGTCTGGAATCACGTACGCAGGCGCCTTGGTGGTCTGGAGGAAAGTCTGTCTGCAGACCTGGCACTGGATGCTCATGGCCTTCTCGTTCTAGACAAGGATGTGGGTCAGTGACTGGAGAAACAACATGGGCGTTGAAGATGATGTTGACGCACGCTCTTAGTTTGCGACTTGGCGGTCTTGGTGTCCTTCGCGTTGCGCTCGCGCTTCATGTTTGCCTTAGCTCCCTATCGAGGATTGTTAATTCACTGCCCTGAGGGGCCCAAACAAAGAGCCCAGAATAGTCTGGCGTCATCTGCATGGCGGAGGGATTCCTTCTTACGTTGCCCATGTTTGCGGTATTTGACTTGACGTCTAAAACGAGAGGAAAGGTTCGAAGAGGGGAATGCGATGGGATGTGGGCGCGAGGGAGATCTGTAATTTTTTGTAAAAAAAATTGTCAGCCCCAGTGGTAAGCCCCACGTGGGGCGGGCGGAAAATACTGATTACTAAGCAGGTCTATATCCCGCAATTTACAGGAGTTCAATCCGCAACAACCGTACAACATATAGGTGTAGTAGGGAATTTATCTAGGAGAAGAGGGTTTCAAAACAAATGTTCAAAAGTGTATTCTAGAAGAGAAGATCTAGGTGTTAATATGGAGCTCAGCCTATGTAACGATGAGTTTAAGTCTATCCTTCGCTGGGAAGGAACGACTAAATTTCAAACTTCATACTAAACATGGATGGTCTATATAGATTGAAAACATTATGTATCCAAAAGCCTTGAAAATCGATAGAGAGCCTCCGAGAACTACGTTGAATATAGTGGCAATGGATCTTTCACCCTACGCTCAGAAAATTGTTATCACTACCATTACTTCTACGGCTTGATACCCGGAAAGATTAAAATATCAATATGGTTTCAATTGCTAGAGTCGCAAATTAGTGCAACTCAGGGTACTATCTGTTATCAATATGTAGATAACCTAATTGAGAGGGCTATCAACGCTCGAAAAGGCGGACAGTGTACCAGCTAACTAGCCCGAACGCAAGCATGAGCCACCTTCCATACCATTCATTGGAGAACGCATCAAATGGGAGCTCCCGACACGCACCTCTTCCCTTAGATGGGGATGTTTCTCCCCCTGTTCCCTGGCCTGTTCCAGCTGTGCCAGCCTGGCTGAGAAGTGATTTGCAACTTCCGGATGGATCCTTGGCAGACTTGATCGACGCCGCTCCCTTGAAATCGCACGCTGACTGGTCCTTCTTCTGACCCTGATAGTAGCGGTCAAAGACGTAGGACAGTTTGTCCTTGCTGGTGCAGACGCCGTAGGCACCGTACTGTCCCGTGGTTGTGTTCTGGGAAATTCCATCACAGGCGCTCTTGTCGCTTCCACAGACTATATCAAACAAGTCACCGTATTGGTCTGCATGCAGAGATTGACTGGCTACACATGACAGACTGTCCACCATGCAGGAACACAGTTCTTTGTTTGGGGAAGGTGGTAGGGGACTAGACTTTGACAACCACGCTTCATCGACGGTGGGACATGGGTGCGGAGTATTAGTGGGGGTATAGCTGCCACTATTGACACCAGTAGGAGTGGCAGTTTGAATTGCCTTCGAGTAATAGCTGAAATCTGGCTGAGTGCTGACTGATTTCCCGTCGACAGAGACAAGCCCGTAGTTGTTGGTACTTTGAAAGTACATGTAGACAATGCCACCACTCCAAAGATTCTCCATGTCAGGCCCGAAGATTGCAGCGACGTCGCCAAACTTGCGAGGCCTGATTGTATTGCATCCATATTCGGAGAAGAAGATTGGAACAGGGTAATCCTTGTACTGCTCTGTGAGATTTTTGTAGCCCGAGCCCTGGAATGTGTTGTCTCCACACCACTCATACATGTTGTAACCAAAGAAGTCGATAGCAGTAGACTGATCTCCACAACTGAGATAGTCGGAAAGCTTGTTACGAAAATCTGGTTGGTCGGTGGTTGCGTAGCCAAAGGCCAAGGACTTCCTGTATCCCTTTGTCTTGACGTAGGCTTTCATATCGCGCACAGCTGCTTTGACGAATGCTGTACCCATTGTCTGATTGACTTTGTCCACAACTTCATTTCCGGCAAAGAAACCAATAATATTATCATACTGGTGCAAGGCGTCAACCACGGCAGTATACCGATCGTACAGTTCGACGGTCCAGGATGGCGAGTTGGAGGCAATCGACAACTGAGGGGATGAGAGATCGGCGATCACATAGATTCCTGCATCGGCCAATTTCTGCATACAATCATCATGATTTTTGGTCGGGTCGACAGCGTAGATGCGAATGACGTTCGTCCGCAATTGCTGGAGGTACGGGATATCACGATCGCAGTGTGAACCATCTACCAGAGGATCGGTGTACCGAGTATCAGTCGACTGGCCGGTACCTCCCGCTCCTCCAGCATTGTAGTCCTCTATATAATGGTTAGTTTAGGGGCATAGAATGAACTGTATTGTCTAGCATGCATACCCTGATAGGCAACTCCACGAATGTAACTAGTCGTGGGGTTAGCACCTGAAGCAGTTAGAATATTCCGTCCACTCACAATTGGTTTCCATTGTTCGCATAGAAAAACTTGGATCCCTGTGAATCAATTTCGTCAGTTAGTTAATTCTCTAAGCAGTGCATAAAGTCTTGCCTTGATCTCAATTTGCGGAACACTAGCTATGGCTGTGGCCAACAGCAGGAAGAGCCCTGCTAGAAGAAGATGGGATCGCATCTTGGCTGTATTCTGGTCAGTTATCAAGATTTCTATGGTAGTTATCATAGGATTGGCCAACATTGAAGCCTTTTGATGCAAGATCTGAGGGGTTCTGTGCAACAACGCGTTGTTTACAAAGGAAACAGAGAGAAAGCAGAGGGCGCGGGAAACAAATGTACCACATGCCCACCTGAGCAGTTCCATCTACCTATACTCTTGGGGAAGCAGCGAGGCGGTACCTGACCGCCGCACATTCTGCACAATTTTGATGCTTTGGAGAGTCATCTTGAAATGAGTGGCTGCGCATAATGATGTCTTTATTCAAACAAGGGTAGTATTTTGATTTAGTATCGAAAATCTGACTAGTGGTACATGTTCCCAAGGCTGTCGATTATGACTGCAACACAAGCCTTGTATACATTAGCCTGTTGTTTCAAGCAGCGCCCGAAGTGCATCTTCTTCGGGTACCTGCGGAGGAAAACCTTTCAGATCTGATCGGGTTTATACTTGCCTTTTACCTCGATATCCTCCTCTCAGTATAGTCAGCCTTTTTAAATTCGATGGGATATACAGAAGGATTGCTTAAGATACTTCGCAGTCACTTACATTGACCAAGCAGCGGAGTAAAGTGGAGTATAGCTCCGCCGATCAAAACGATCTGCTCCCGAGGTCGGTAGAGGATCCGACTTCGTAACTGATCCACATCCTATTTTTATCGACTTATCTAGTGTAGAGGGGTATCACGTGGTTTCGGCTTCAGACATGATTTGGCGGTCGGAGACGGCGAAATTAATTTCCCATGTACATACGTAGTTCGAGCGCCACCAGCGCTTCTATTCCTATTTGCGTAGGACATGAGGCTCCGGGTGGCTGTGCGCTCCTTTGTAGGCGGCTAGAAATCTCAAGCTTGACAATATAAGGCTATCAATACCTAGGTATAGTACGGAGTAGTATGGCTGGTCTTGTTCGAACATGTCCATTACACAGAACACGGGCGTCAGCCACAATATGACCTCTGGGATACACGGAGTAGATATTTCAATTTTTCTTGGTGGGAAATTGGAAATGATAAATGTGACACTTCATTGATACACCATCCTAAACAACATAAACCGGAAATAGACAAAACTCCTGATGGTAGTTACATAGTATGTTCCTTAGAATCTTCAATCTCGTCTTCGAAGTTCTAGCGAACAATAAAATCCCGCCTGGGGAAGTAAAAAAAAAATGGACAAGACAAAAGAAATACAACTTGCTGCTCTTCACTCATTATCGTACCTTTAATCAAGTCGCAACGGCAGCATCAGCAGAAGCAGAAGCAGGTGGTGGTGGTGGTGGTGGTGGTAGCGATGTTGCCTCTTTCGTTGCCTCTTCCTGTTGACGTTGGTCTTGTTCTTGCTTCAGCTTTTTATGCTCTTTGGCTTCCGCATCTTCCTTCTTCCACGAGCCCTCGTAATGATGCGTCACAAGAACATCGCCTTGATCCGTCGGGTTTCCGTTTTGAAGAGCAGCGAAAGAGACGCCAGGCATGACCAAGACTTCACCGACTAACTTAGGCCGCTTAGTGAGTGCGTAATCACGATCATCGACGGGCCTATCGAGCAATTGTTCGAGACTATCCATGAGCGCGATCGCCATAATCTTAGGCCCCGTCACGTTGACGACGTCTGAGAGCATTTCCAAGGTAATCCCTTCGATGCCCACGGCGTTTTCTTTGGCAATGTTCTTCAATGTTTTAATGACAGTGTCCACAATAACCTGAAGATTGCGTGAAGACTTCCGCGCGACAAATATCCAGTTGCAGAACTGGGAAGCAACTTTGAATATATTTTGTGGGTTTCGTTGGAAGGTAAACACGATATATCGTGAATTGCAAGCAACAACAACCGATTCAAGTACTGTGTCCCCTATGACCCTTTCCAAGAAGAGAATCTATACATCGAACACTCCGACTAATAACACTTCTAGGCTCTTCTCCAACCCCTTCCACTGCGATTTCAACAACAAATCAATTCCCCACAACTACTCCAACTGAAACAAAGTCTCAATCAACAGTAGGTTTACCAGCCACTCAATCACCAACACCTACTGCGGTCCCAACAACAAGTTCCAGCAAAGCTTGGATTGCGGGCGTTGTCGTTGGTTCTATTGTAGGTATCGTAATTATTGCAGCCGTCATAGTCTGGTGGATCTATCACCAAAAGCGAAGGCAACACTCGTTATCACAAGAACAGCTGTTTCTGGGCCACGGTCCTCCGCAACCACTACAACCGCCCCCGAGATATCCATCGCAATCCGCGTGATATCCGTTGGAACCTTATAAGCAAATGCACGAGATGGGCACAGCCCAGACTCCGCGTCTACACGAGCTCGGTCCAAATGGTCACAGGTAGAAAACGTGTGATAAACTTGGACTGGCTGAGATATTTGATGGGTATGAACTCCGCCATTCTGGTGGACATGGTCTTGGAATTCAATTATGTGTTGATGATTTGAACCTGGTCTTATGATGCGTCGAATTGCTTTTTTTAGATATTAATACGAGAAAGAAGATATTTTATACTTGTCCATAAAGCAAAAGTTGAAGATCTATTATTGCTATCACAGGATTGGGTCGTTCCTTCCATATCGGGTGCACCTCCAGCCCACAAATATCTTGGAGATAAACAAAGATCTTTGACCGCCATTTTTGAATGCCATTGGAACATACCTCGGCCGCTTTTATGCATCCCTCTCGCCGGCGTGTTGGCTAAATATTTCAACCATTTCGTCTTTGCAGAAAATAATATGTGGCTTGAGGTTCGGGACTGATCTGTTAGTCTCTTTCTCAATCTCTTCAATTCGAAATCTATATACTATACCATCGTACATTACAATGGTACTACAGGCCGGAAGTGTTGGGTATATTCAAGGTTCTACACAATATACTTTGAAGCATATTGACCGGGAATTATTTGCGATATTTGTAGCCTAGATTCCAATATATCCGACGTTGTAGGTTACTCTACATAAGTAAAGACAGTGCGACTAGGATCCATGACGGAGTCCACAAGCTGCAGCCAGAATGCGAATTCGACTTGGTCATTGAGGAAATAAATGTCCTAGTGGACATCAATTGACGCTTTCCTCGCAACTACTCAAGTATGGGGTCGAATCGCCAACTTTATCCACTTGAGATCAGTCTAACTCGATCATATGCAAAAGCTATTCTCCTATTTTTAAAACTCAGTGGAAAAGTCAACGGTGTTAATATATCACACACGAAAAACAAACATGGCTACTGTAAACTTACTGGAGTACCTTCGCTCACGGACACAGGTGGATATTGACACCTACGATATTGAAGGTTGGGGATCTTTTCGCTTGCATTATGCAGAAGACTAATGAAAATTTCACATCAGCTTCCAAGGAGATTGGGCCTTTTCAAGATGCAACAGGGAATCAAGTATGAGAATATATCTCTAGATGCTATGTCTTAGTATGTGCTGATTAAAAAAACAGTTTGAGATCCAAGCAGAGATTGTTAAGCCCAACAGAAGCGCCGTGCTGAAGAGATCACTAGAGTTAGCGACCACGATACACCCACAGTTCGCCACTATCACCCTCGAAGAGCTTGCTGTGGAGGTGGCGGTAGGTCCTCGTTGAATTGATCGATCCAGATATCTAGAGCTGACTGGTCTAGGGTATCGAACTAGCCCTCGAGGTGATCCAAACTGTCCATGGAAATGTACATGTTATGATCAACCCGAGCTACTCTTACAACACCGAAGCAATAGTTGCAAATGCTCAGCGTAAGAGAATACTGTTCACTATATACACCAAGAAAAGAGATGTTTATTTGCGTTCTTCAGGATTCCATCTTATCTGTCAAATCATTGACCCCGGTTTCGACAAATCTCGCCTGGTCACCAAGGTGCCAGCGACATGGGAAGGAATGAAAGCTGCGCACCAGCTCAAGAGAAGTGGAATAAAGACTTTGGCCACGACTCTCTTCTCGATGGAACAGGCGATCCTTGCGGGCGAAGCCGGCTGTATATCAATTTCACCGTTTTTGCATGAGCTCAAAACCGAAACTTACGAGGGGTGAGTGAGATGTATCGACAAATGCGAGATTATTTCTAATACCTCGGCAGATACAAAGACACGAATCCAATTCTTGGGGTCTGTGTGCAAGCACAGCAGTTCTATCGCCAGAACTCTCTGCCCACACGGCTGAAAGCTTGTGTAGCGCTGAACCTTGATGAGCTGATTATGCTCGCTGGGGTCGACGCACTAACTATATCACCAAAATTTCTTAGGCTTTTGGCAGCTACAGAGAGATCCCGAGAGGAGGTGGAGAGTATGTCCTTGTTTGCGAGAACTGCCAATGCCACAGAGGCTGTCAACTACCCTTCATATATCGACTCCGAGAGTCAATACCGGGTTCATTTTGCTGCGAGTGAGGGCGGAAAGGCGCAATTCAAGACAGCACAGGTAAGAAGGCATTTCCAGCTTGTGTCTCTTGCGCAACCGAGATTGACTAATCTCGAATACAGGCAATTGCTCTATTTTGTGATGCTCAAACCGCGGCGGAGTTGTACGTCAAGTCTCAATTGGAGGACTCTTCTTACACCCCAATCAACCTATGAAATACTATTATCGCTTGGGAATCACCTTTCTATTTAATGTTTGCGAGCTGGAGTGGGCTTCAATGAACCTATTGAGGATATGCATCGACAGGAAATCTCTAATCAGGTGTCATTAGGTTGTCAGTCTATTTGATGTGAAAATTTATATGAAAATAAAAATGTCATATTCTTATCAAAACTAGAGGGCTTTTCTACAGTCAAACTGCATAAATAATATTCTGGTGGACCTGGTGGTTTTGGCTATCAGGCTACAGAGCGCCAGTTTGCCCGGATATCCGGCTTCTCTGTAGCTATTACCCTTTATTCTTTATTCCAACAGCTGAACCCGCCTTGTTCAATGGTAATTGGCTACAGCAGACGCTTTCAAGCCTTCGCATAAAGGAACTGGAATAAGTCGATAAGAATCTCACCAGCGGTACTGAAAGATGATGTTCAGACATTTGTGGGTTGGTGAGAGTGTTTGGGCACTCAACATAGAAACACAGTCTTTCAGACACTGTGATGTATGCTGTACTGTGAAACCTTAGAGCATTTAAACGACTACTTGAGCTTGACCATTTGACTCCGCTGTAACCTTGAAGCAGTGACTGGGTGCGTTTAGAACTGGAATGTAGTAGATGTAATATGTTAGCTGCGATAGATACTGGCACTGGGGCGAAAATAAAACAAAACCCCGTCCTGGCCTAGCTTCGTAAAATTTATTAGAGGTGCTAGAGGATGCAGATGTAGAGAAAGTCGATGAAGAGCTTCCGAGGGCTCAGAACTTGTTAGGAGAAGTCTATGTAGACGTCTAGGTGCACGGTTTAATGCAGGATGAGATTGTTGATAGTTGTAGAAGCTAAGAGCTAACTCAGGATCGTGACAAAGATGCTCTGGTCTAAGGTTCCTGGCCACTATTGTTGAATATCTAGCCATTTATGGCTAGAAAAAACTTGATGTCTTTGTCGTAGATTCACCAGTAGTCTGTAGTACAAGGCTTGCTTGCACTGCAGTCCTTTCGTTTGCCGTAGGATACTACCTGGAACCTTGGGCTACAAAATAGGGCTTTATGGGGCCAGACTCACTCCTATTACTACCTATCACTTCTGTTGTGGGAAGAGAAGATCATGAAATCTCCAATCATGTATCCTAGATCTTTATAAATGGTACGCTAATTCTTCAACATATAGAGGCAGAAAGTAACCCATATTTAGTTTGTTTTCAAAAGTGGTGCTTGTTGAAGTGGGTTGATCTTCTGTATAGAAGATTGAGTGAGAAGCTTCGAAGTCAAGAGATCTAGCGTTAGACAACGATATATAGCGATAGCAATGGAAAGATACCACAATAGGTTGGCGGATGAGGAATGCGCTAGAATTCACATGAAATGTTCGCTGGAAAGGCCATGCTTCGCATGCCCGTATCAAATGGGAAACATGAGATGACTGACATTTTTGGATCATGCACAGCTATGAACGAGCTGATTGGCAGAGGCATATAAGTACCTATATAGATAGTTCATGGCTAGTTCCAATTGTTGAGCCGGGTATCAGTGTTATATTTATTTTCATTATAATCCAAGCCTTCCATCTTGATCCAATGATACTACTTTTTTGCCTTCATCCGTGAATATTTTTGGAGTTCAAAGGCCAGGGTATACTGCTTTATGGATCTAAGCCGTCTCAATAAATAGCAAGAGCGACCCTGTGATCGTCTAAAATGGAAGGCAAAACACGTACTGACGATAGTGCCTTCCCCAAAATATCTATAGGAAGAGATTTACGAACACATAGAAGTTCATCTTGTAAACACCTAATGTCCAAATGCTTTTCTTTATATGCCCTCGTCTCCGAAGGGGACATCGCGCTGACTCTCCAAATAATTTCGCACAATTATATCAAGCTGGTCAAATGGAGAATGTGGATGGTCGCAGGGAACAATCCCAAGGCAAGGCTCAGCCTAATACTTGATTTCAAGATCGCTTCTGGCTAATTTAAGATAACGCAGACCCTTCGTCAGGATCAACTGCAACCCCTGTTCGAAATCAGAGACGTAAATCTACAAGTCTTTCACGTCGGCTCCGCCATCGATTCTCGAGAGAATCCAGACAGTCCGCAGAAAACCGTCCCATTTTCCCCTTCTCGCTCAGGGCAAGGCCAAATGCACCAAAAGCAAACGCAGGGGTATCCATGGTTGGGGATATGGGAAGCAGTCTAATGAGCGCAAGAGGATATGACAGTGATGCCCAGTATATCGGGAGTCCCCAGCATGCCGACCGTATGAGAGCGTCGCCCAAAAGCCCGGCGTTTCGCAGAATGGGGTTGCATGATCTAATAGAGCACAGTCGTGAGCGAAACAACTTGGAGATGTGGGCGAACGCTAAGGACCATGATCAACCTGACACCCCAGGGACACCCTTTGGGATGCATTATATACCCACGCCACCAGGAAGTCTGAGGGGGCGCTTAGTTCACCCCAGCTCTGCAACCGAAAACATAGCTGGCCAGTCTATGACTTCGTTCAAAAATGAACAGTCCGGTGAGCAAAACATGTTCACAAAATCCCTCCCGAGTCTTCATGCCAATCAAGAAGAATTGGCTCCGGCAAATCAAAATCGTTTCCGATCTCGAGAAGGCTTTATAGGCAGCAGCAGCGGTGGGAACCTTCAAAATCTTGTGGCTAACTGGGCTCAGTACATGGGATCAAACCCCAATGACCATCGTGCGGCGTCTTCGGCCTCGCTAGCCAGGGAAGATCCGGGCATTATGGTTTCTAAAACACGACATCCAACAAATCCCCCCACCTCAAAGCCTGAGACGCGAGTACCGCATCTTGGTGATCTAGACCTTTCGCACAGGCTTGCGGGGACAGGCATGAGGTCCGGCCCGCCATCAACTACTCCATCTATGTCGGAACTGCCACGTCCGAATAGATATGGGCCACAAATGGCATCGCAAGAGAACTTTCAACCTTATGATAGATCTGGAACATCGACAATCGTGGATTCCGAGCCCCAGAGGCAAGCTATGCATCATCAACGAGATGCGTCCTCTTTCTATTCGCGCCAAAGCAGCAACGCTTCACGGGGGGCATCTGCCGTTCAATCACTGAGAGTCCATGCTGCAAATGCAATGGATAGCTTACCGAATATTGATACACAAATGATAGCTGAGGCTAGCACAGTGCAAAATGAACGGGAACCAGGTGCCGAGGTTTTGAAAAGCAGGTTTGTTGAGCAACTTGATGCGGCAGACTGGGGATCACCTCAGGTTCATGGAATTTCCGATAGCGGCAATGGTGTCAGACCACATCGCAGAGTCAGTCCCGGCTGGATGACTGGAGGCCGGCGAATGGGCTATGGGTATAACTTGGTGGACAATGCTGAGGATCACTCACCAACAGTTGGAGGGAACAGCAGTCCATTTCCGAGCGGGAATTGGCACAGAGCCACTCCAGGACCGAGATCTGGCAGCGCTGGTGAAAAGGGGTTGAGATCATCGATCGAGCATCGGACCGACCTGGCATCATCAGCCCAGCCATTTACTCCTGACCATGGTTCCAAGAGGTGTGACAGCCGACAGTCTCCTATGGACAAACCTCCTACCAACGCCAATGGGGAACCTGTCTTGACACCAACTATGTGGGCCAAAATGAAAAGCCATTCAGTTCGAGGTAATCGTCACGCACCACTGAGACTGGATTTGACTGGCGAAGTAATGGGTGCAGGTGGAGCACGCCGTGCGCAGCACATTGAGTCGCCAACTTCTGTAAAGTCGCCAATTTCCGCAAAGACACCGACTTCCACAGGCAGCTTTTATGTCGAAGACGTCGATGAAACGTTCTTAAGTCGATGGGCGAAAGGCAGCCGGTCCATACGCAAACAACCACAACTAAACACGTACCGCGATTCAACCCACAGGGGCAACGTCCGTACTCCAGGTGCTTCACCAACTGGTGAACGCCGCTTCTCAATGGATCTGACAACCAGTCGGCCCTCTGTATACTTCGATCCGTCGAATGACAAAAGTGCAGACAGGTTAAACGGAGAGCCCTCCCGCTCTCGTAGTGGACGTTGGATACTAAGGTTTTCAAGAAACAGGGAGAGCAAGAGACGTTCGAACCCCCCTCCAAAAGAACCATCTCAGGAATCGCCAATACAGTACGAAGAGCGTCCATCGAGTGACCTGGGACGAGCAAACTCTACCAGAAGCGATGTGGCAGAGGAGCTCGCGAGTGCGTATCGGGAATGCATTGAGATGCCCGGGGCTTTTTATGGAAGCCGGTGGGCGAGCCGAACTAGTCTGGTGGTGGAGGCAGAGTGATGAAGATGCACAGCAACGATCATTGAAGGAGTAACGAGGGTATATTGGTTGGACGAGCATAAAAATACTGTTATCGAGGACCCTGGTCCCAATTTTGCTGTTATTGTTACCCGGAGGGTGGAGTTGGTTTAATTATAGTATGCTTCCCAATCAGGTGTCATTAATCGTACAGAAATATGGGTAATCCATCGCTAATATATCTTACACTTCTGGCGTGCACACAATAAAGATGTAGTATTATCACCAGTAGAGAAGTAAATCATTCATCTCCTCTGCCGCTTGTTGTCTTTGTCGCTTGCGCCACTGAGTACGCTTGCAGACCGCTTGTGATTACCCTCTCCATTGCCCTGTGTGTTCTGTGGGGCAGTCGAATGACCCAAAAGCCCAGTGTCGCCTTCTTCGGTCTCCTTTTTCACATGGGGATGTTCGGAGTCGGCACCTGGCCCCGAGATACCAGCAGCTTCTCGTGATTTGCGCTCGCGCTCCATCTTCGCGGCTTCGAGTACACGGATCTCACTTTCAACCTTTTCGGACACCTTGCGGGCATCGAGAAGGAGGTTGACAGACTGAATGAGTTTCTCGAAATCCTTGCACACGCGTTCGGTAGGCATGAAGAGGCGTACCGGGATCTCGAGCTCGGATAGAGCATTGGCCAGTTTCTGGGTTTGCACGTTGGACTTGGCCTGCGTGAGTCGCTGGGCACGGTCGCTGCGGAATTGCACGCCTGCTGAAACACGCTCGTGGTGCTGGACGCCGTACTTGGCTTCCTCAGCTGTGGTGAGCGTGCGTACCATTTGAGTGGCATCCTTTGATGTGATAGATCCCTTCTTGTTTGCGGCCTGTGTGACGGGGGTCTCGGCTCGGCCTAGGCCACCCGCCGTAGTTGGAGTTTGACCAGCGGGACTTGGGATAGCACCATCGCCGAGGATGGAGCGGCGTTTCTTGCTCTTATCGGCTTGTAGTAGAGTCTGCAGGAGCTGGGAAAGACCCGCACTGGACTGATACATTGTGGTATTTCCGACACTGATGGGAACCTCGAGACGAGAATAGAGTTCTCGGCGTTCGGTGATGAAGTTCTGCTCGTTGCTTGTGATGCGCTTCAATTCTTCGAGTAGCATTGCTTCCTCGCGGACCTCGTCGGCGGTGCGATTGAGCTGAAGGGCGGCTAGTTCTTTACGGTCGCGCTCTCGGTCGGGATCAAACTTGAGCATCTTCTCGTGTAGCTCAAACTCGGCTTCTGACATCTCTGATGGCGGGTGTTCTAGTGAGAGCATTGTTGCAGCGATGTAATAGTATCGGGCTTTCATCTGCTCCATTGTCCGATGGTGCTTTGCAGGTACAATGGCATTCGCATCCGGCTCTGTGTCCATTCGTGGTTGGTAGTCGTAGCGATCTGCGATAAGCACCCAGCGAATGTCATACTCAGTAACAAGATCCACTAGATAGTCTGTTTCCTCGCGCGACCAGTCATCGCTCTGAAGATGTCGATTGTACTCGTCGTCTGTGTATCGTTGGGGCAAACGCGGTTTGACGTTGTACTTGGCGAAGGCATATTCCTGCTCCAGCAGTTTCGGTACGTCCTCTTTCCCTTCTTCCTTGGGCTGATCCACTTCCATTTGGGATTCTTCGGGTGCGGGTGCAGGTGTGGGAGCAGGTGGTCGCGCGGACTCGTGTTTTCTCTGCCAGTGGTGCAAAACCAGGCCGTCGGAACGGGCATTGTTCGTGAATGGGGCCATGCTCCTATACGGGATTTCATGTCAGCGTGCATTCGAGATCTCCAAAGAGTCGCGTCTCCAACGTACCACGGTCGAACGCGCAGCTTGTTCATCCATTTTGGACGGCCCTTGTATTTGTTTTCATTAATGGCGATGGGCGGTGCCCTTTCGCCCAGTAGCGCGTACAATTCACGGGTAATACCCTCTGCAACGGAAAGCTGTCAGTAATTCATCTCATTCCTGATAGAGCGCACAGCACCTACCTGGTCGCTTTTCGACCACCTTCTGCTTTTTGTGCGGTCTGGGCTGCCCTTCTGCGGGCAAATCCAGCATGTCGCGAACATCGGCCGCGGCCATATTGGCGGTTCGATCGAAGTGGTGATCTGCCTGGATACGATGCTAAGAGGCGGTTATTCGGTATTTAGCAATTTAAAATTTAGAAAGCGACCACTGAAAGATATAAGTAGTTTTGTTTGATGAAATAAAGACCAATGAATGTCAAAATTGAAGAGCCCATCGACAGAGGCTTCCCGCTGGTAAGGGAGACATTCCGGAGAGGGTAGGCGGTGAGGTGCCACGGTCCCTGATGTTGACACCTTCACGGAGAGGAGGACTTGGCCGTGCGACTATCCAATTGCCCATTTCCTCACCATGGTTTTCTCTGGGACATCCTCGTCATGGCTGGCATCAGCATTGACGCTCCTCTCATTGTTTTCTCTGCTCCTCCCCACTAATGCCCTGTACTTCTACATGGAGGGTCGGCAAACAAAGTGCTTCTTCGAGGACCTGCCCAAGGATACTCTAGTAGCTGGTATGTATCAACCCCTAGACCCTTCACGAAGTAATTTCAAACTAACCCCTGATTTTCAATCATAAATAGGCCGTTATGAAACAGAAATCATCAACACCCAGAGCGGCACCTATGGAATCGACCATAACATGAAGGTGCTCATCACCGTCGAGGAGACCTTCGACAATGACCACCGCGTCGTTTCCAAAAGGGACAGCCACTCTGGTCGCTTCCACTTTTCCGCTGCGGACGCTGGTCAGCACAGAATCTGCTTCACGCCTGAGACGGATGCCACCTCCGGCTGGATGTCTAACTCTCTGGGCGCCGTCAAGCTCACTGTTGACATTGCCATTGGTGAGACCAGCAAGATTGAGACCGAGGATAAGGATAAGATAAAGGATATTGTGCAGCGGGTCAAGGATTTGAATAGCCGCTTGCACGATATCCGTCGTGAGCAGGTGTACCAGCGGGTAAGCATTATCCCATCTCCAATCCATGGATATAGTGTCTGTGGATTATCGAAGCGAACATCCTAACTTTTTTTGCTTTCCAGGAACGTGAATCTGAATTCCGTGACCAGTCTGAGATCACCAACTCGCGTGTTGTCCGCTGGACTCTTATTCAGCTCGCCGTTTTGTCCGCCGCATGCGCCTGGCAGCTCTCGCACCTGCGCTCATTCTTCATCAAGCAGAAGTTGACTTAGATGCTCCGTTGTCTTATTCCCTACAGCATATGCCGTTTCTTATACCTTGCATCTTCCTTCTTCCTCTATTGTGGTCACGCACGCCGATTTACGTGAATATTGATGATTGGTTTTTGCATGTGTTGTTATACTGTTTTCCTGGCGAATGGCAGATCTTTAAATTCTGGTCGTAGGCATTTCGACTTTCCGAGGTCTCTTTGTGAACTCGTTAAACCACACGACCAGTGTTTGAGCAAAAAGGGTGCGGAGTGCTTTGAGCGTGGTCAGATTGTCGATCTAGATAATGGGTGTAATGATGATTTTTCTTTATGCTTTCGGATCCAAGGCCAGAAAAGCTAGCCAAAATTCTCACTTTTATGGCAATTCCTCAAAGTGAGTGACTATCTTGCGTGTATAATTTTTGGTTGATCCAAAAAAAGGATGACTTTTCAAAAAGCATACACAGGCGTAGATCACGGGGTTTATCCCCGTTGCCGCTGGCCTTGAGGACCAATGAAGGTGACCTGATAGCTGCGCCTACGCTTATGCATCGTTTGTTATATCCATGTATAGGGCCCAATGCATCTATCACAAGCTCAACTGAGAGGGTTCCCCGCTTAACCTTAACTCACTAACGTTCTGTGTATAAATGTCTTGTCCGTGTTGATGCTTTGTCGGATTAATCAAATTGTATCATTACGATAGTTCAGAGAAAGAGCTACCTCTGAAACAATATTTCTCAGTATTGTTGGTCACGAGAGCTCCGTCAACCAAGGGTTGCATTGTGATTGATCACAGTAGGTTGAGAACCTCAGTGACCTGGTAAATAACAAGGTTCCCCTCTTCAACTGATGAGATTCGACGCACTCAGCCGCATGTACGCTGCCATTTATCTTCACAGATACTCTGAACAAAGAGGAAACGCCCTCGATGGGGCTGATCCATATACTTTTCGCATCCATAGCGCACGGATAGGGGGCCTTGGACCCCGATTGGGTTTCGCCGAAGCCTAATGATCCACAAACCCACTCAGTAATATCGATTGATTGGTGTTCATGAGCTATAATTAGCGCCAAATATAAGGGCCGTCACCCTCGAGTTTACAGGGAGACAGCCTCAGTAATCCCCGTCAAAAACAATCTGATACTCACAACATTACACTTAATAACTCGCCTAATGTTATACCCAGGTGACCTGTTATGTCTATTACTCCGCTTTCTTGTTGTATAAAGAGAGTGTGAAAGTAACGAGTGTCTCTTGAATTTTTCAAAAATCACTCTCGTGGCTTTGTTTCCTTATCTGGTCGACAGACTACCTACTCTGCACGGTCCCTATTGAATTTGGATTTTCAAACCTTGATCGTTAAACCCCACTTCTCTAAACCGCTCCTCTTAAGCGTACACCCAATTGCCAGAGTCCTTACGGAGTACAAGTGCAGTACACGTGCCCTCTATTGCAGCTCGGTGGTCTCCCAACTAATATATATATAGTCCCCGCCTCTATAATAACTTCCGAATCCGATATAACCTATCCCGTAGACGCGATCAAATATTGCACCTGCGGTCAGGAGAAGAGCATAGTCTATACAGATTGTGGGGCTTGTCCTTCTTGCTGCAGTTGCTCCAAGAAAAAGGACTGAATAATCGGAGGCGGGAGGGTGAATAGCTCCAATAGCTGCAATTTTTGAACTGTCACTGAAGCTGTTTGACCGACAACTAGTCGTAAGGATTCTCCTAAATAATAACTCCGCGGGCTCTCCTAAAACGGTTTAAGAAATCCACCGCAGCGCATAAGGGATAGGAGAGACCAAGTAGCAGGAATTTTACATATATATAAGATTCTCGTTCTGATATTCATCTTATATTTGCGATTGTTTGTAATCCACCGTCCCTAGATATGAAATTACGTGAACTCAGGCTCCTTGCGAATCCAGAGGTTGCTGGCGTCTACAATACAAATGTAGTCCTTTCAGTGCAGAGCATATTTCAACGTCGTCAGAATGGCTTGGAAGGCTATAGGTATCATAATCCAGCCACATTTGCCTTGTTCTCGGAGATTCAGCATCTGCCAATGGTTTTCTGTGAAGTGCCATGGTTAGACAAATTCGAGGATCGATAAAAGCGAACTTACTCATTGCCATTGAAGACTTCAAAGCCGGTGGAAATAATAAGTATAGGCCGAGCAAGGTCGGCGATAATCTGCTTCACTGGGGCGGCAGCAAAGGGTGATATTATGATCGATTCCTCGTCAATTTCCGCGAATCCTCCTGCACCGTGAGTTCCAATAATTTTGAATTCCTTCTTGCTCAAGACCTCTTCCGTGAGCTCTGTATAATCTGGGTCCTGGGTAAGTAATAGCAATGTTTTATTGCCACGACAAAGTTGAGCGATAGTGAGAGCCATTGAATGCTGGATCATATAACCCATAATATTTTTCACCTCAGAGTTCTCATCCCAAGAGCCGTGCTGCCTTTTTAGCCATTCAGGCGCAGAGCGGCAAAAATCACCGAGCCCGAAGCAGAGAACCTTCTTCACAGTGTTTGTACCGAGTATATCTTGGACCAAGGCTGTCAAGTGCTTGCAGGTCTTGCTATTTTGCCATAACAAGTGTTTCTCATCAAAGACTTGCATAGGCTGTGCTATAAGCTCTCGGAAGTTTCGTGCAGTCTGATTGCTCCAATCCACAATATAAGAGCACAAATAAGTTTCAATTGGGCCGTTGGGTTGTGCTTTCACAAGTTGCCAATATTCTTGATACTTGACATAGGGTTTCCTAAAGAAAACTTAGATTTCAGGCTCAAATTGGGTCAGAGGACTATACCCACGTACCAGATAGGATTCTGTACTTGGAACATAGGATTGGAAATTTGGATTATACTTCCATCGATTCGACGGACTGAAAATCGCTCCATTGCATAGGATTGGCGCAATTGTTGTTCTATGTCTTCGAGATCTTCTTTCTTCCAAAGCCTGGTACCAGAACTGTACAGATCTGCGACTCTTTGGCTACTGATACGCCAATCCGTGCACCCGTAGTCGAGCGGTCTTAGAGTTTGTGGCATATCTGTGATACTTGATGATTGTCTGCTTTTGTGTATGGGTACCAGTGTCGGATACAGTGACAACGTTTGCTTTTGAGGGATCAAGAAAAATTCGACCACTCTGCTGCTGACTACTTACCTAACTACTTAAGGTCAGTTAGTTAGGTAGGTAGGTAAGGGGGTCGAGAAAGACCCCATGCAAGAGGAAAAATAAAATACCGATCACCGCATTACGGCAGTAGGGGGCCACATCCAATGCCCCCGTATTTCGTCGTGCAACGCTCTGCAGCACGGCTTGACCTATCATATTTCCGAGCAACCTGCCCCCGTATATGGATAGGTCAAGTACCTCGCATGTGTAGATATACTAACTATGTGTTGGGCTGCGCAGCTGGCTTACCGAATACGTTTAGTCTGTAATCCTTTGGAAAGAGGAATGCGTTGTAATTTTATAATTCATCTGCCTCTAGTGTACTCCGTACAAATTTTGAATTTGCCGCTTGCAGAATGCTGTCGATTCCCGGGTTGTATGTAGGACACGTTTGGAAAATGAATTACTAGAAAAGACGATTTTGGAACAGCGCAAGTTTATGGAGCCACGAGCATCATCTGAAACATGAGCATTTCAGTTAGATGCTATACACACAATCAATCTTTTCTGTATCGAGTATATCATCGCATAAGCTACCAATGTAATCCTGGGGGTAACCAAGAATGTCATATGTGATGTTCCCTTTCCGTACCCTCAAACTCTTGATGAACCGGGTTGGGTCGTTTGGCGGGCCTCTGGTAGCCAAAACCTCCGGAACGAACAGGAGGAGATTTCGACGGCTGGGGATTTCCATATATCTTAATGCGCCTATTTGTCCCATAAACGGATATTGTATATCCACAAGGACAAATACAAGGTTGGCAGGAAGATATCCTAATACGGACTAGTACGGCGCAAAAGCATACCGATTTTCAATTTCCTGGTCGCGAATCATTCCTCTTGGAGGAAGAAATGATTCAATCAGCGAATCAGGCATCACATTCTATAACAAACTCATTGATTCCCTACTTGCTAGGGGAATCACGCCATGGGTCACTATATATCATTGGGACCTTCCTCAGGGCATTCATGATCGATACGGAGGTTGGTTAGATGTGGAGGAGTCACAGCTTGACTTTGAGCGCTATGCACAAATTTGCTATGAGAGATTTGGAGACCGAGTCAAGAATTGGATCACACTGAATGAGCCATGGATTGTTTCTATCTTTGTATGTTTCTCCAAGTCCATTATCTTTTTTTTTCAGACAACAGCTGACACATTGTTCAGGGATACGCAACTGGTGGAAATGCGCCCGGACAAAGCAGTATAAATCCACAGTTCACGGAGGGCGATACAACTCCGGAGCCATGGGTTGTCGGGAAAGCCTTGATTATGGGCCACGCTCGCGCTGTCGCTTTGTATAATCGGAGCTTCCGAGCTTCTCAACGAGGCAAGATTGGGATCTCTCTAAATGGAGATTACTACGAACCTTGGGATAGTCAGGACGAGCGCGATCAGCAGGCTGTTGAGCGCCGAATGCAGTTCCATATTGGATGGTTTTCGAACCCAGTTTGGTAAGCTTTTGTTTGATTTCAGACAGCACAAAAAGAAGGAGATTACTGACACATCTGACAGTCTAGCACAAGACCACCCCAAATGCATGAGAGAGCAACTCGGCGAGAGACTCCCTAGCTTCAGTGAGTCAGACCTTGCTCTGCTCAGGGAGGCCGACATGGACTTCTACGGAATGAACTATTACACCTCTCAATTTGTGCGGCATCGTGACACGCCTGCGCTTGAAGCCGACTTCATGAGGAATGTGGATGAACTACAAGAAAATAAGCAAGGCGTACCAGTCGGAGAGAAAAGTGGTGTGCATTGGCTCAGATCAACCCCGGATCTTTTCAGGAAGCACTTGACACGGGTATATCGTACATATGGCAAGCCCATATATGTCACAGAGAATGGGTGCCTATGTCCTGGTGAGGAGAAGATGACATGCGAAGAGGCTGTCAACGATATCTACTGAGTCCAATACTTTAGAGATCATCTCGATGCAGCAGTCGGAAGGGCACGCACAGAGGACGGCTCGGATATTAAAGAATATTTTGCGTGGTCATTGATGGACAACTTAGGTATGTGTCTTGCTCCATACTATCAGATATTTGAGCTACTTTTTCTTCTAGAATGGTCTGATGGATACGGGGTTCGCTTCGGTGTTACCTCCACTGATTATAACACCATGGAAAGAACCCCAAAGCAATCTGCATCGCTGCTGAAAGGAATGTTCGACGAACGCATGGGTGGCGACGCTTCTAAATCCCAATAGATCGACGAGACGGCTTCTGATAAGCCTAGGGCAAACTGTGAACTGCCATGAGACTAGACGAACATGATTTTGTTAGATATTTACTCGAGTGACTATATTTACTTGAATTTCTACATTGTATAGCTCGACATCTGATAGAGTAAGAGACAAGACATTCAAGCCCGTGTTGATACATTTGAAATAAATTAACTAATTAATTAAGCTTCAGGAATACCCCACGCCAAGCCAAGCCAATAAATCCGGAGAAATGCGCAAAGCATTTGGCCGAGGCTCATCCCCAGGGGTCATTCCCAATTTCTCAACTACCCTAACCTCCGAGTTTTACCGACAAATAATATATGATGGCCAGCCCTGCATCTCGTGCGCGCTCATCGACTAGAGCTTGCGATCGGTGCCGTCGGAGAAAAGCAAAGGTATGATCCGAAAATCGACTTATTCGATCTAAACTAAATTATCATAGTGCGACTGCTCGGGTGAACCGTCAATATGCACCAACTGCTGTCTGGCTCGTATGCGATGCACGTTTGAGGCGCCGATCGCCAGATGTGGGCCCAAATCTAAGCGACAAAGGTCGCATGATACGGCTTATCCAAATGTTCTGCGTAGTCCCCTAGCATCAGCGCTGCAGCTATCGGAACACGGCTCGATAACTCAAAATATCAGTTCTTCTGCACCTGTTGCAGTTCGGCTAGATGCATGGGACGCCGATCTCTCAGTACTCGATCCTGCTCTGTCCCCTGAGACGGTGCATACAGTCCAATCATCTATTTCCGATGTCGCTTCGACAAGAATCACCTCAGCGTTACAGCGATTGCATGCTTTGGAGCGGGTAATCTCTGCGCAGAGGTTATCAGCACACCTAGAGCATACTATTAATCATTGCTTCGAGCTATCCTTTGAATATCTATATCCCTTGACTCCACTGGTTCATGAACCCAATCTCCGAGATGGGTTGGCATTTTTCGTAACGCAAGGAAGAAATTCGAGAGCAGTTGGCCTCGTATATGGAGTCAATAGCCTCAAGTATCCAGAGCTGTGGCCGGATCTTTCTTTTACTTTGATCACTGCTGTCTGCGCAGAAGCGGCCTTTCTCCTTCCGAAAGACATCTTTCCCGAGGCAGATAGAATCGCAGACATATTTCTATAAGCCTCAAGAAATTGCCTGGCCACATAACTTGAAGCTGATCTTGAATACCCAAATGCGAACTCAGTTACCATTCGATACTTCCACTCCAACTGCATGCATGCAGCCGGCAAGCCGCGATTGTCATGGCATATATTTGGGGAAGCTACCCGATTGGCCCAAGTGATGCAGATGCACGAAGAAGATTCTCTACAGGGGCTCTCTTCTCTCGAAGTGGAGTTTCGCCGACGGGCATCCTGGATTGCCTATATCGGCGATAAATCGGCAGCCATTCTGAATAATCGCCCAATCACCATTCACAAATATTCATTCAACTCTGGCATCATCATCGGTTACCCAACAGGTATCGAAGATGAGACAATTCTGACACCGGGCAGTGCTGTTCCAGATATCGAGAGTACTCAAAAGAGTTTCATTGCAGGATTCAATGCCAACATTCGACTCACCAGGATCGCCAATTCCGCCAAGCCCGCACTCCACTCTGCTGAGCCCGAAGCTCCCCTATCCAGACATTGAACCTAGCGCCTTTCGCGTAGCGTATTCTCATGTCTTGCAGCTTTTGAGTGAGCAAGTCGTTCATTCCGACAGAAGTTATGATCAAGATATTTTCGTGAAGTGCAAGCTCACAATAAAGGACTTCGCTGAGTCGCTGCGTGCCTACTTTGATATTCTCGGGGAATTTCATCCCTGCATTCCAGAAGATGCATTTTGGAAAGAATTTAAAGCAGGAAAATGCAGTCCGATTCTTCTTGCAGCAATCGCTTATCGTGGTCTGGCTTTCACAAATGCCCAAGAGAAGTTTAAGAAACAACAGTCCCTCCTCGTGATGTGCATGGGCAAAATCTTAGAAATCAAAGTCGACAATACCGGCTCTAGCTTAGTCCCTCTTGATGATCTTGAAGAGGCAGCTCTCATGACAGATTTTATCCACATGGATGCAAAATTCTGTCTTAGTTACTTGCACCAGTGGAACTTCGTTATGGCATATGTCTCCCTTGTAAAGGGGACGCTGAAGCATCGGGATCGTGAGATGATGATATCTGGCCCGTCGAGACTCTTAGAACGTGTTGAAAAGCGTTACACGCTCTTCTGCTTCTACGTGTATTCTGTGGACTCTTTTCGGAGTCTTTCGCTAGAGAGCATTTCCCTTCTTCCAGAAGATGACAGGAGCCTGAATGAGGACAACTCATGTCAGATTGAGGAACATTATCCCGATTCCATGCTCAGCCTTGCTGTCATTGCCCGAGACATATGCCGGAAACTTTGTTCTCACGCAGCCACTGCTAGTGGTATCGATTGCGGGGATGTACTCTGCCTATATGAGCAACTTCATGACTGGCGTGTTAGCAGTTTATCCTTAGCGCTATCAGAGCCACAACGCGGTGTGGCCGAGAGCTCACCGGAAAACCACTCTTCTCGGGAATTGGTTCCAGATCCCGCTAGCAGATCAGTTAACCTCTGTCGCATGATCTTGTGGGCTCTCCAAATATACTGCTACTTGAAGATCGAAGGCTGTATAGGTCGACACGGCTGGAAGGATGAAGATTCACTCGCTACAGAAGCAGCAGCCCACCGTATAGATTACGAGAATAATCAGGCTGTGTTCGAACCGGTAGATTAGGCCGCGTCAATTAGGCAACCTCAATCTGTGGACCAAGGCTCTGTCAAAAGACCGTTGGTTGATCTGGCGCCGTCTGTACTGCGGAATATCTCTGTAGACATATGCAAGTGGGTATGTGATCGTGCTAAAAGGCATTGGGATCTACAAGCGTCCAAAAGCATGGAGAAAATGGCTTCGTGACCGGAAAATTCGGACCAAGTGCTTGAAATGCACCGACGGCAATTTCTGCATTATGCTGGAATCGCGAAGTTGCTTAGGGATACGGTGGCCGCCAGGCTTTAGCTCAGGAATCTTGAGCATTAGTTGCCTTATTATTGTTGAAGCTTCTTCGCGTTCCCGCGGTTCCCTTCGCCCCTCTTAAAAAAGAAGCTAGCACCTAGATGATTGGTATCATTGAGTGAAATTGCCACAGTCCGAGGCATTGTGGATTTTCCTGCCCCGGGCATTCCCTGTAGCCAGAAAATACATTTTTGGGACGGTGACATAGCCCATTCCCTAATGTGCTGGAGGAGCTTGGTCCTAGTGCCTTGGAGACATTGTACTTCATCTCGATCGGAGAATGACCCAAACTCTGCCTCCAACACACCTTCCAACTTCCCAAAATCTAGATTTTGATGAATGTGATTGATGTTTTGGGCCACGTCGACCACCAGAGAGCTATGCAGTTTTTCAATCAGTAATGCTGAGTCAAAGTATCGTGTTTGAAGAACATACGATTGGTCGACTTGGAGAGATAAAAGGAATAAGGATTTCTATTTCTCAAAGTCCTGAATTTTGCCTTCCAACTCCCCGCGCTTCAGGGGCCACTTTAAGGTTCGCAATCTCACCTTTCTCACTTTTGTTGTTAGGATGATCTGGTTCCGCCTGGCCGGCCCGACCCAACCTGATCTTATCCAAGTGCTTTACTACTTGTCGGCATTGGGTGTCGAATTATGCGAATATGATGCCCTCCAAGATTGAAACTTAAGTTAGAGTTAAGTTAGTTGAGCTTCTGTGGATAATAATAATGATTTAATTTCGGACTGTGGGCCTTTGTAACCTCTTCGTGGTGGAACATGTTAGATATTAACACAGGTCAAGGAAGTGAAGACAATTTGGACTGATTCTGAGAGTTAAGATAGTCGCTCTGACTACAGCTGGAACCAGATCTCATTTCCCACCCCGACCTCTGAATTTTCAAAATATCGTTGTCCACTGTAACTGTAGAAATGGCATCAGTAGTTGATCTAATTCTCGAGGGCGAATTATATACCTCCAAAAAGTAAGACCCATTGCGATATTCTTGCAGCCTTCGTTAAAAATGGACGAAACGGTGCGAGATCGACCAGTGGTAGTGCACCGTACGTTGTCTTCAACTTCGTGAAAACTCCTTGCAATTTCTTGTGCTAGGCAGAAGCTCAGTTGCATTGCCTGGTTACAATCAAGGCCTTCGTTCAGCATAACTACAGTAACGAGATTTTCGATTTGGTTGTCTCTCTATAAAAGTTCCTAAGTGAGCTGTTGCATTCACGGTAGGCGATGTAAACTTACTATTTCCTTCCTGAGGGAAAACATGTCATTTTGTCTCGGAAGTGTCAGTATTGAATGTAGAGCTGAATTGTATGAAAAACCCACATATGCACCAGGTAGGATGTATGCCTCCACAAAAGCGTCATAAGATCGGTCGCCAAATCCGCCTTTGAAATATCGTAGCCGTAAATGAAACTGCCTATTATTAGCCCGACAAAAATACACGGATAATCCAGTATCACATACGGAATTGTGGCCATCACTGGGTAAACCCCTGCAGTGCGCTCACGTCGCCTCCAGTACTGCATTAAGGATGGAATTGTGTCACCACTGCAGATTGCGTCGACTGTGTCCACACTAGCTACGTAGAAGATCATTTGCTCCAATAGGACTTTACGAGTTGCTGAGTGTCTCAATAACCCGATATTAGCTTCGTGTAATAGATTGAAGACGGGGAAAGAAGAAGCTGAAGAAATGGGTTGGGAAACTTGCATTTTGAACAGACTTCACAAATATGTTCGGCAACTTCGTCCCAACAATGCAAAGCATTCTGAAGCTCTTCTGGATATCCTGAAAGATCTGGGAATTTGCCATCTGCACACAAGACATGTTTAAAGTATTCCACGGTTGTTGCCCTGTAACTCTTGATGGCTTCCATATCATGGGTAAGTAAACCGCAGTCGAACACTACAAAATGTTAGTTAAAACCCCTCATAAGAAAAACACAGCAATCATACTGTCGTCCCAGATAAAGTACTATCAATATTGTTAGTCTCCTCTCGCAGGTGAACAGGCAGGCAGTACATGCCCAGGCGAAAGACTTTGCTACTGTGCACATTTTCTCAAACGATGTGTCAGCACACATAATGGCCGCAAAGATCCCGAATTCTGCCTTTTGAAGCTTTCGACAGGTAATAGGATCTTTGACATAACTTCTCTATGTCAGTATATTACTCAATCTATACACCCATATCGGTCAACTAGCCATTCAATCCACGGATTGAGTACTTCTTCGCGAGCTCTCCGATATTGTGGATGTATCCTCACTTTCCATTCGGGTAAAAGGGAGTAAAGATTCGGCAAGTACACAGGTTGACCTTGCAGCGATTCTCGAAATTTGAGGTGGGATTGCAATATGGTTGTTTGCGCCATGGGAGATACCCAGTCTTTGACCGAAAAATGAAAGAGGAAATTTGCTAGATAACTACTGGCCTTGAATATATTCAGATTTGCCTATACTCAGTCTTTATTTATAGTTATGGACAATGGCTTCTCTATTCCGTTTTACCCTTGTTGCGTACGATCGACACTTTGCATATACATTTCACAATACGGGGAGAAACTGATACCTTGGAACTTCCAACCTCCTATGTCGACTTATAGGACTCAGGGCTCAAAACCCCGTTTGAGGATGATTTGATGCCTGAATGCCTGACTTTAGAACGGCAGAAAAATGATAATACCTGAATTTCTATTACAAAAGCCTTAGTAATCATAGTACCCTTCCAAGGTTATTCTCTTGTGGGTTACAAGTGTCAAATGAAGCTTTTCATCTCCATGCAAATGGACGTATCTCCATATTTATGGACGATTTGATTTTTCACACTTCCAAATCTTCCGAAAATATCATGACACGTCCATTGGTATAGAGATGAAAAGCTTCATTTTGGACACTTGCAGATCGTCCAAAAATATGGAGATACGTCCATTTGCATGGAGATGAAAAGCTTCATTTTTGACAGCTGTGGTATTAATAAATTTACAATACACTATATAGAGCGGTGTAAAAAGCGGTGCTAAATAAGGCACTCAGGCATCAATTCCCACCCCAAAACGGGTTTTGAACCCTGAGTCCTATAAGTCTTCGTACAACCTCCTATGTCGAGGTTACACAACGAGTGACAGTAAAGGGCGCGGGTCAACTGTAGCATATACGGGCAACACCTCTCTTGTCAGCGGTGTGTTGACCGCCACCTTAAGGAAGGAAATATGGTTCCCTGCACCCGCATGGTCGACAACTTGGAAAACTGTGGTACGAGGCACTGCATCGACAGATGGGTTATGGAATACTAAGCACGTGATAATGCCTAAGGGTGTTGTTTCTTGTTGCGTACGATCGACAATTTGCATATACATTTCACAATATGGGGAGAAACTGATAGTCCGGAACCTCCAACCTCCTATGTCGAGGTTACACAACGAGTGACAGTAAAGGGCGCGGGTCAACTGTAGGATATACATGCAACACCTCTCTTATCAGTGGTGTGTTGACCGCCACCTTAAGGAAGGAAATCAGGTTTCCTGCACCCGCATGGTCGACAACTTGGGAAACTGTGGTACGAGGCACTGCGTCGACAGATGGGTTATGGAATACTAAGCACGTAATAATACCTAGGGGTATTGAGTCAATTGGAACACATGATGCATCAACAAAATGATAAATTAACCAACGAGCCCTCTCGAAGACGTGAATTATACCGCCACTATTCGTGACAAACAGCAAAATTCTTTCTTGCAAACGTTCGTCTTAGAAATATGTCTTCCGCAATCTTAACCCAGTGTGCCCGTGACCTTGTCCAAAAGGTCTCTACAGAGATGAAGTTGGAATACGGGATGTCTTCGATGGCACCGTCAATATACGACACAGCATGGCTTGCTATGATCGAGAAAAATACGGATCAAGGACCCCAGTGGCTTTTCCCTGGATGTTTTGAATACCTCATTGAGCACCAAAACGAGGAGGGAGGCTGGGATCCCTTAGAACAGGCCACTAGAACCGTCAAATATCCGGCCAATGTCTGGCTGCCAGATTGCATCATCCATTCTTTGGCTGCTTCCCTTGCTCTGTGCTGGCATATCCGCCGCGCGATGCCCAAAGGAGGTGACGTCCCTAGTGATTCGCTAGCTCGGTTGCTCCGCGCAAAGAAATTTCTTGATTCCAAGCTGCATGTATGGCAGCTTGATGGAACCACTCACTTTGGATATGAGTTGCTTGTTCCGGTACTCTTGCGACTTTTGCGGGACGAAGGTATGACTTTCGAATTTCCGGCGAAGGAGGCCTTGATGGAGAAATATCAAAAAGCCTCTGATATCGATATCAGTTGGCTTTACAGCAGCCCATGCAAGATTCCTCTTTTCTGTCTGGAGGGGTTCCTTGAGAAGCTTGATTTTAGCAGGCTCCAGCATCTAGTAACCTCGGCAGGCATAGTTGCCTCGCCTGCCTCCGCCGCATCATACTTGATCTATTCTCCTCTATGGAGTGATCAGTGTGAAGCCTACTTACGGCATGTTGTGTCACATGGGCAAGGCAAAGGGAATGGTGCGGTTGGGGGAGTGTTCCCAATGGAAATATTTGAGCCGTCCTGGGTATGGTGTCGTCCCTAAAAACGGAGCCTATATTGAACTCTAACAAACTCTCAGGTTCTGACCGCACTTTTGGAAAATGGATTCACGGTGGAATCTTTGGGGCGAGAACAGGTGAATGATATGGTTCAGATGATCCATCGAAATTTGGAAAACGGGGTCACCGGCGCGAGTGAGTGCAAGCCCGTCAAGAATTCTAGTCTCACTTTTGACTGACATCTACTCAGCCGTTGAATTCCTCCCGGATGCGGACGATACTTCAAGAGCTCTTACCGCTCTGAATCTTCATGGTTACCAGATTAGCCCAGCCGCCATGGTAGAAAAATTTGAAGTTGATCAATGTTTTGAAACATTTGACGCACGGATGCCTAACCGCGTGAAAAGCGTGAGCGTAAACGGCAACGTCCTGAATTCGCTCCTACATGCCCCAGACCCGAGTGCTTTTACTTCTCAGATTGAGAAGATTGCAAAGTTCATGTGTGGACGATGGAATACCGACAGGAAATTCGAGGATCACTGGGTACGTTGTTTTGAAGGGCTGAACCCTGGACGGACTTATCTAACTGAAAGGTTTACTAGAACCTGTCTGAGTACTATGGACTCATGCACATGGCACAGTCGCTCGTACCGTTACTGGTTCTTTGGGATCAAGGAGGATTACCCTCGCTACCAGAAGATTTGGTTCAGAGCGTAATTCCGTCCTGCTTGCAGGAGGCCATGGTGCGAATCCTACAACAGCAGAATTTAGATGGATCTTGGGGCGATATTCATTCAAGGGAAGAAACTGCTTATTCAATCATTGCCCTAGCAAATCTGGGCTCTCATGCTGCGGTTGGCGATGACTTCAGTCGAGTCGAGTTGGCCATCGCACGGGGAAAGCAGTTTCTGTTAGAGAATTGGCAACTGGGTGATAAGCCGGACCGGATTTGGACAGGAAAAATCTTACATGGTATATCATACGTTCAGGATGCATATGTTGTGGCTGCTTTGAAGGTCAGTCGCGTAAATTTGGCAGGGAAACGGGGACTTTGTCCCAATTAAGGGTGATGATATCCTGGCTCACCTTATCTCCGTTGAAAGCAAAGAGTTAGAAATTCTCCTGATAGATAATATTATGAGAACAAGAATAGCCAGTAACTCAATTCCTCATCTTGATATATTCGTATGTGGGATGTAATATTACATAGCTTGGTACTGTAACTTACCAAGTCGATATACTTCTCCCCTCAATTTAAAGCAGCCCGCTCAATACTTCATCTGCGCTAAGGCCTTGGCGATGGGGCTAGAAAAGAGTTATGGAGAGTGTATTGGTCAAGGCGATTTCGAGAATGACTGTATACAAAGGTGACAGCTTGCGATAGGTAGTAGTATCTCTAATCGATCAACTGTACGTCACGGAAGCTAATTTCGAGCGCGCCTGTAACATAAGCGGCCACGTGGCGACGGAATCGATTTTCAATACTGGCGGGACGGACCGCGATACGGACCCCATATATTTAGGACGGTGTGCGGTGATTGGTGCGGTAAAATAGTGCGGTAAATTAGCCAAATAACCGGAACGAGTTGTCGTGCGCGGCAATTACTGTCAAGTTGCGCAGTTTGCCTAAGTGTCAGATTTGCGAAAATTCCGATTAGTTCGCCATGTTTCGCAGTTAAAGACCTCCCACTCTACCCTTTTCCAAGAACACTACCACCCTTTTGTCGATTTTCAGGGGACTCGTTACGTCTGCACAACGCTTCACTATGCTCTCCAAACCAGGAGCCAAACGGAAGTCCTGCGACTTTTGCCATGAGCAGAAAAGGAAATGCGACCTTAGGACTCAGATTAAAACTAGTTGCTCAAGATGCATCAAGCAGGGAGTTGAATGCAAATTTGAAATATGTGACCCCTGGCCTGCGCAGTGACCTGCTTCAATCTTCTTCCCTGTCCACGAATGAGGCCACTCCTGCTTCAAAAATGAGCCTAGGCCGCAGTTGCTTAGACTGTCCCTAAGCCCAAATGGGGCCGAATTCTTGCATAATGTCTTCGGCTTGCATGAAGGACCCCCGAAATTTCGAGATGCGAGTCTGTCCTTCGTATCTCCAGAGCCACAGATCTTCGACTCTGGGAAAGTGCATCCGATTTGCGTTTAGAGATACGATTGTGTGATAGTCACAAAAACGGGAATTTACTTCCTCGTCAACCTCCCACAGGAGAAGAAAGTCACAGACTTGACCATCTTTACGTGCTTTTTGCAACGTCTCTCGATGACTTGCCCCCCTTCTTACAATATGATCAACTCATGTCAAACGCCAACAAAGACAACCAACGCCTGTCTAGACTCATGAAACTGCACACTATTCAAGCAGCCAACGTCTACGTCTCGTTGCACTGTCTCAAGATAGTAATCACACAGAAATTTGAAGAGTTTAATTACTATCCTCCTGCGCCAAATGAAATACTGCTACTGCGGAAAACTGACATTGCACGCGGTCTTCTGCGAGTCATTCGCGATGCCCCTTTTTGGGCATTGCAGATTAAGGGCGAACCATATATATGTCACAAGTCATCCCGTCCCTTCTGCCGTCCTGGTATCAAATGAACAAGTTCTGATAACTGTCTAGGTAGAAAAGATCAGACTCATAGGAGCTTGTCTGCTCGAGATTATCGATCAGCATGAAGCATCTCCTCTGTCAGCTCGAGCGCGAAACGATCTGTCAGTGCTCCTTGATATATTGACCCGTTTAGACTCGAAAGCATCAGACACTTTACGACGGTTGCTATGAATAAATCTTCATAGTGATATATGCAAAGTGTATATTCAGTGACTAAGATACATAATATAATTACAACTAGAATATAAGGACCTGTGAAAAGGACGCCGAAAATGACCACTTTTGGCGCCAGAAACGGCCGCCTTTCCACCCGTAAATTTAGGGGGCGAGCGGGCGCTTCACCGCCCACCGTCCAGTACCATCCCTATTTTGCACCCACCTAGCGCCGTTAGTCATCGTCTTCCGGCCCAGATTTTTGGCGCCCGTTCAACAGTCATTCTGACAGAAAAATAGTGATAAAGACAAGGTATGGTAAGGTAATCGAATATGCATAACTCTAACTAATAAAAACATAATAAAAAAAATTCGCGTTTTGACAATCTGTGTGCGGCTTGCTGACTAATCTCTAATACATCCATGGATGCTTTTGTAGGGGATACCGAGTACTGGCTGTCATATGACAAATCAGCTGTTTTCACCCAGTAGTTAACTAATATATGCCGTATTTCTGATACATACCCTTAGACTCCACCTACTACCAAAACGACGCCGAAAATGGCTCCCTTTGCAGTCCCGCCGTAGAGCCCTCGCTTTTCGTCTTTCCTGGCCGGGCGCCTATAAAATGCCTCTTTTCCTCCCTCTCTCATGTTCTCCTAGTTCTCTCCTCATCCCCAACCCCCACTCCCCAAGCCGACCTCAACAAAGTTGTTGCCCGTGTTTCGAGATTCTAACCTTGCTCATTTATCATAGCTTTTCACTATGGCACGTGTACTCGTTCAGTCGGCTTAGGTGATAAACATCAATACTAGACTAGAGTGCGCCAAGGACCGCAAAACCGCAAATGGTTCGGTTTTTAAGGCCAGTTCTAGAAACCATTGCGGTGTTTGGTTTTCGAGATTCAAACCGCAATGGTTCTTTGGGCCCAAATGGGTTTTAAAGTGGGATACATTTAAAACGCTAAATCACGTGTATAACACCTTACTGGTTTAAATCTATTTTAAGACCCTTTATAGGGTTATATTTAAAGAATTACGTATATCTATACAATTGTGTGCAAAAATTGTTTTTGTTGCCCCATTGGAGAATCGCGATGGTTTGTGGTTTGGTTACGGCTTGGGCGGTTAGAAACCGCAACCACTACGGTTTGGTATCTGGGGGCACTGGAGGTTTGCCCACAATTGCGGTTTTTGGCGCACTCTAGTGTATTGGTTGGCTCTCGGTAGGCCATCTGTGTACCCAGCGGGGCAACCATCGATTGCGGACGGGTAGTTCCGTAACAGCGAGTATAACCCGGAACCCTTCTAACCTAAACGTGACTGGTAGGTAGTGCGTAACAAAGATATACTATAATATTGTGGACCGATTATAAGAACCTCATGTTTCTTATGATAGCCAAAGTCCTTTTTCGATAAGTGATAAGCAAGATAGGCTAAGACCCTTCTAGTTATAATCTAATTTTAAAAAAACGAATCTTATAAAGGGTCTGTGCGAGGAGCTTTGACTCATTTTGGAAGATATCCGGACTTCCTCGGCGGCTAGCCAGACACGACGAAGAAATCCAAAAGGGGTTCAATGTCATCCTTCTTCTCCATCCTTTTTCTCTATCCTTTTTCTCTATCCTTTTTCTCTATCCTTTTTCTCCATAAACATCATCATTGTCAATACCCCCTCTGAAGAGGCCCAGTCATCTTCACGATGGCGAAGGCGATGGCCTTCTCCGCCAGCCCTAATATAACAAGCTATTTTAACCGGGGACCGCTGACAAGCACCTTCACCCCGCCGACAACATGTCTCCAGACCTTGTCCATTAATTCTTTTTATGTGGGGGGCACGCCTACGACCGCCACATTCTACGGGAACTGGTTTGGGTTTGAGACGGGTTACTCATGCTTACCCACAGGCACTATGCCTGGCACTCTACTGGCTTCCCCGACATACTGGGGTACATACTGGTGTAGGAAAGCATCTAAAACTTTCCGTAAATTTTTACTTATATTATGCTTCATAGACTCCCCAGGTCTTTACTGTCCGACTGGATGGACTACTGCAGGCGAATTGGGTCCATCATGGAATGGTTTACATGTGACCGGGAGCACAAGTGGTGCTATTTGCTGTCCGTCGTAGGTTTTCTCTTCTCTATGGGACCGAGCAATGCTGACACTATGTAGGAGCATGAGCTTTTACGCGACGGGCCATCAATGTAGGGAAGTTCTATCAGAAAAAGACACTATCACAATTGAAACATCCGGTGTAGTGGTCACATCTACCCTGGCAACACCAATCACTGTTTATGCGGACGGAATCCCACTCATCTGGGAGAAGTCCGATCTCCCCAAAACAACAAGCGCATCAACAACACCCTTGTCAACACAAACATCAACCGCAACCGGTGCGACAGGATCAAACTCGCCTAACAATAATAGAAGTGGTGGCTTATCAGAAGGAGCCAAGATCGGCATTGGGATCGGGATCCCGATTGCGGCCATTGCGATAGGAGTAGCGATCTTTTTCTATTTCCTCAAACGACACAAAACGGCCAAAGAGGAATCTCATGCAGAGCTATATGATTCTCTACGAGGTCGCTCAGAGCTTGCGACTAAAGAGAATTCGGAGCCATTTGAGCTTGGTAGTAGGGGAGATCGCTCGGAGCTTCCTTCGAACACTCTGACTCATGTGCATGAATTGGCATAAATTGTAGACCAGTCTCAAGTTGCGTCTTTAAACGAGACTCGAAGGCCTTTAGGGCCCAGCCATGTCTAGACTCTATCTTGTGTAGTAAAAGGGCACCCGCAATATAGGATTTTGCTTCCTGCGGATCGCTGTCAGGGATATACATGAAATGAAGCATACAGGATTTTTGGAGAAATGATCTGCGGGACCCACATGGTGCATATAGATTTCCCTGAACGCGAGGAAGCCTGTTCCCTTTGCTTCCTCGCGCTACGTCCTGTATCTAGAGTCAACTATAGTGGTTCTTGATATTGATTGTTCATATCAAGACACTATCCACCTCTACAGATACGTGAGACCCTCACATTACGTAGACGAAAAGGCGCACTAGCAGAGGGAGACCTAGATATCTTCGTAGCATAGTGCTTAGTCACTACCCTAGGGAAGGAGTAGGGTTATCGATACGAAAGAACAGGATGCTGTATCATCCCGGAGGTTACGCTCCCGGGTGATAGGCATTGCAAGCTGGATATCGGATCATGCGGCATCTCTGGTAAAAAGATTAGGGGGCAGTGCGTCGAGCTGAAAGCAAATGTGCAGTGTACAGTATTCAGTGGAGCCAGAGTAAAAGAAAGGGGGCGGCGATGAGTGCAAGATAGAGAGGTGGGAAGAATAAAAAAGTGAGAGAGGGGGAGGATGAGCAACGAAGCCGGGTCTTTTATATCGGCGGTATTGAAGGTAGGTTACACGACAGCGTATTGGGGGCGCTAAATCCAAAGAGACGAAACTCACCGGATACAGTAACTCACAAGTCTGCCGTTTACAAATGAAACAATGTCTAGAGACATGCTTCGCTTGGGAACTCTCAATCAAGTAAGTGATCAACGTCTAAGGAACATTCCCCGCGCAATCTATAATTCCCCGATTCTCCGTTCCCTTCGACTAATTTATCCCCGTAAGAATCCTGGTTGAAGATCTCATCCTATAATGGAAATAGATTTTCATAGCCACAGGCTAAACGGCCAAAAGCCCATATGCATGTACATTCAGCTCATTATCAGATTCTACCGGGATTTTTCAGGGGAGAGCTTTTTGAAATGCGGAGACCCCAGAGGTCCTGATGTGATATAATTTGTCGGAAGTTCGGGCAAATACGTACTTCATGCTTCAACCCAGAAGCACATGGTATGTATTTATACGATCAAAATATCCGTTACGATGTTTAGCCCAGCTCGTTATTCAATTATTTTCTTTGAGCAATCGCAATATGCGTCTCCACGAGAAATTCGGTCATGTCTTAACATTGGCAACACTGGTCAATGCCATACCATCGAAATCCGGACATACCAGTGAGCCCTCATGTCGCTTCGCGCACCACCATTCCCAAAAGCAGAACCTCCAGTATTCTACTTCCTTCATCAATGACATGCTGTATTGGGAGGGCAAGTTCCATCAGAACAATATCTCATACAACAGCAACAACGGTATCTCCTACGATGGCAGTAACATTGACTGGGTGACCGGGGAGGCAACAGAAAAGCACACGTTCAGTGCTGCTAGCAAAGAGGTTGGTTTTTATATTTCCTTCATTGGTTGGAAGTCCTCAGCTCATATTCCAATAGTCTCTTCAAATCATGTTGTACGCCCATGCCATTGCGGGATCTCCAGAGGCTGCTCGATTCCTCTCCCCTGAGAACCTAGCAAAGGCCCCAACAACCGCTGCTTCTACTATGCAGAGAAAGTTGCAGACTTATCTCAAGTTTAACGAGACTTACCCAGGCTTCGGAGGCTTCTTGCCCTGGGTCACAGCAGATATTCAAGATATAACTCCTAGATCAGACTGGGCTAACGCGTGCCTGGACTCGATAAGGGGTATGTAGATTCTTGATCGTCGTTCTGGTTTCCGGATTAACAATAAATATCTGTCTAATGAGCTTGTATGGGCTGTATATGGTTTTATTCAGGCGCTTGAGAACACACAAGAACTATCGGGAACTCGCGCAGAGATGGCAGGTTTGGATGGATTACACGAAGACAACTGCTGCTAAGGTACATATTTCAAGATCTCTTCAATTTTAACCAATCAACTAATCTTCTATGCCCATCAGATCTTTTACAAAGGCGATGGCCGGGTTTGTGCCGTTGTTGAAATGAAAGATCAGTCCCTTCCTGTCAGCCACTCGGATCAGACGTATGTATGTGAGAGTAAAGACCTCCTCGATGACCCTTTCGAAGGCGAGATTTTCACTTTCTGGCTACAATTCTTCGGCGGTCTGTCGAAAGCCGACAAAGAAACGCTATGGGAAGTTAAAAAGCCCCAGTCAGTGAGCGTGGACTATGAGATGGGTGGTTTTGGGCCTATCACTATCCAGAAAGGTTTGTGGATGCCGAAGGAAATATGAGAAGACGGCCACTAAATTCTGATATAGGATTTTGGTTCTCTAGCCACAAAACCTGGAAAGTAATGCAGATGCCATACTATGACATCGACATTGTGCGGTGAGACTTCGAACCGAGGGCAGAGATCGGTTGTCATATACTAACAGTCTCCTATTTAGTCGCGTATTTGAGAACGCCGAGCGAGTTCGGACTTGCAACTCAGTCGCCACGAAATTGCCCGGCATGTTCCCCTCAATTAACAACATCACCGATCCCTCCACTGGCGATGTAACCGGCTATATCTCAAACGCTGGTATCCTTTCCATCTCGAACCAGACAGTCTAGGAACTAGACGTCAGTACGCCATATAGTGTATTCCCGACAATCTTGGTCGACAAGTCTGTCGGACTCGCCTAGTGGAGAAATATGGTTGTTGGCAAGAAAATGCAGAGTCGGTGAAATCTTTCAAATCTCAAGGCTGTCTGGTGATTAGTCTGATGCTAATTGAAATGACCCTCCAGATATCTATGGCAGCACTGAAGCCACTCGTGTTGACGGAACTGGAGTTTCTGTACTTCTCACATGGGACAGCAAGATCACCACGGTAGTTGCAACTTTGGGGGGAGTGAATGGCTTTGTTCGTCAGAAGATGAAGGCAGATAACTTATATGATGAGTTTGTGGACATTATTGATGTTTGTTCTCTGGGCCCCAAAGGACTGTATGTAAAGGGAAATTGCTAACTGCTTCCAAATAGGCTGAGTACTCTCGGGTCTTCAAGCATCTTAAAGGAGAGAATGTCAACTTCTGCCTACCGCAGGAGACTGACTGTTCCTGATGTAGGATTGATCGATTTCACTCTTTGCAAATAAAGCGGCCTAGGTTAATATGAACGGATGGTGGGATGGTTTCATATAGAATACAAGAATAGTATAACATGTGGTTATTTCATTACTTAGATTAAGTGATTCTGTATAGTGTTGGGTGTAAAGCTGCGTAGAGTGGAAGCCCTACGGCGAGGACCCGAGTCTCAACATGTCTACATGTCCATTAAATAATATATATATGTAGTGTGTAACTATCGCTTGTAATGCATCATCAATCATTGTCTCCAGAATGGGGATAATAAACATAAAATGGGCCAAAATAAATGACGATTATGGTATATGGCAGTTGAAAATGAATAGGCCGCCGAGTCAATGCATATCCTAACATGAGAGGCCCCTGGGCCAACGGAAAAAGCAACCGGGGATTTTGTACATGAAAAAGAAAACATCCGCATCAAATGGGTATATAATGGTCTTGACGTGGGAATCCAAGAAGAAAGCAACATCATGATCAGATGACGGGTCTAGTGGTTATACTAGGATTCAAATAACGGAGTTGCCAGTACCACCGCAGAATTCGAGAATCAACCGTTCGAGGTCAGATAGTTTGTAGGGTTTCGTCATATAGCCTTTGATTCCCACTCGGGAGGCGCGGTTTAATGCCTCGTCGCTAACATCGGCACTCACGGCAAGAACAGTGGGAGGTGGTGGCATATAGAAGCTGTTGGGGATTGGATCCATTTCCATAGAATCAGGGCTGTTGGGGTTCGGTTGCTCGAAAGCAGCATGTTGGTCCCTATGATTGTCGACCATCTGGAGAATTCGTGAGGTAGCTTCATATCCGTCCATTTCAGGCATCCAAAGATCCATCAATACAACATCGATTGGTTTTATTTTGGTAGCCAGTGGCTTATTGATGACGCCTTGCATTGCGCGTGCTTGATCGAGACCAGCCCCAAGGACAGAGGACTTTGACGCAGAGAGAATTCCTTGAACGATCTGGACGGCTTCTTTGCCGTCAGCCGCTTCGAGTACATCGCAGTAGCCAAGTTTTCGTAGCATGTTCACCAGTACGCGCCGGTTGATTCGATTGTCTTCGGCAACCAGAAACCGCAGCGGATATTTCTCCCCAAGCTTCTTGTCATATGCATCGCCGGAGATATGTGTTCGGTGCAAACGGGTCGGTCGCAGGGGTGTCGGGCTTTCAGACATGTTTTCGTCGGAGGTACTCGGGGTTGGTTGTTGCAGCTGGCAGTTTTGGGGGAGGATAAATGGGGAGTTAAAGCAAGAGGAGGGATCGGACAAAGTGCTAGTGACGCTGCCCTGTCGTGTTTGCTCCGTGGTAGATGGAGTCAAAACACTCTCAGCAGGAGTTCCAGGGCGGAGTTCAGCTTCACGTTGGTTTACAGGAATTCGAATTCGAAATTCCGTACCACGTTGAGGACCAGAAGTTGACGAACGCACACAGGTTAAGTCGCCGCCCATTTTTCGTGAAAGGCCCTTAGCCACAAGGAGACCGAGACCCAAGCCATCTTTGCTTCTTGTGGTCGATGCATCCTCACGAGCAAATGGCTTGAAAAGATTGGGTAGGAATGCAGCGGGGATTCCCGGGCCAGTATCGCGGACAAGAATAAGAACATCATTCCTCTTTGGATCAATAGTTGCGCAGACAGTGATGGTGCCGTTGTTCGTAAATTTAATCGCATTGAGAAAGACACACGAGATCAGTTTGGCCAGATCACGGTCATCGGCAAGAAGAGTGTCCGGTAATGAAGGGTCTACAGACCAGTCAACAACCTTGGTAAACAATTCACCATTCGAGGACCGCGACCGTATCTCAATCCTTTCACCAAACGCGGTTGCATTGCTAACAGCAGAATCCGGTCGGCCATCAACATGAAGAGACTCATTGATCACCAAGCGGAGAAGATCTCGCAATTTGGTAAAACGCAAAGCAGAACTTCTCATGTTCATATTGATACCCTCAAGAAGTAAGTGAGGTGCGGATCGTCGAACAGCGAGAGATGGGCGCGGATCGACCATGTTAGCCATTACAGCTTGGAACTGGCGAGCCGGGGTGGTCGCATGTACGATTTGGTCACTTTCATGAACAGCATTCTTGACTTCTTCGCTGCGAGGCGAAAGCTCTTGCCGCGACGAAGCCGCACGGAGTCTTTGCTTGCGTACTGGTCGGGTATTCATTTCTGGTGGTAGGCTCCGCCGTCGTTTGTATGGATTTACGGCGATATTGTTTCCTTCAATGAAGATACTCGGGCGGCTTTCAGATATAGTAGATGGGATTGCGAGACCGCCTAGTATCTCGGGCTCCTCCCGGAGTGGTGTTTTGGGGATTTGCATGTTAAGGTCATATGCATGAACGACGTTGTCAGCCGCTTCGACGGCACGTCTCGCGCTATCTTGAACCATCTCAATCCCCTCCTTGAGAGATTGAAAAATCCCGCCCGATTTGACAGGAGTTTTACTCTCCATCGCCTCGCGCACTGTAGCATGCATGACATCAAGCATGCCCACAACACCCTGCATCGGGGTCCTCAGCTCATGGGATAAGCTCCGGGCGTAGGGTTTGAGGGGATGTGAGTTGAAATCTGAAGCTTCATGGAAGGAGGTAGTCTGGGGGTTGTGGAGATCGGAGATATTTGTCGTTGGAGAATCTAACATTTCATCTAGAATTCGTTCCCCTGGGCCTAGTCGTTGTACAATCAGGTCTTCGAGTGAGTGGAGAATCATCTCCAGGAAGGACCAGGACAGATTTCTATGCCGAAGACCTTCTTTCGACCACATCAACCCGAGGTGCGCCAGGCACTTTCCAGCTGAAAATAGGGGAATCGCCAAATAACCATCGGCAGTGAACGGTAATTGATCATCGCCGAACGATACAAGTGAGCTAAGATTATCGGGGATCAAACAAGGCCGTTCATGGTCCATATGCAGTAAAGGGTTCCCGCCCGCGAAATACCTGTTTCGCTGTAAACCAACAGTCTGGTAACCATCGTTGTAGTAGAAAACCGCACCAAAAATCGACGGGCGCCGCCCGCCTAGTTCTGGCATGGGCTCACTCCCATGCACCCTCCGAGCAACGAACCCATACTGAGCTTTGGTTATAGATGTCATGTCCTCCATAAGCCGTTTCCAGAACAGCTCAGTGTCAGATGCCCGCAAACCCTGTTTGAGTGTAACCAAATGTTCAATGGCAGTGGTCTGAGCGCCATCATTCCATGTTCCCAAGTTGCGTTGCACATCTCCGTCGTCATGAACGGTATTCAAACCGTCACCGGTCATACATTCGGATTTGCAGGAGGGGAATGGCATGCTGGAACAAGGTTGGACAGCATGGGAGACATCCGGCTCGGGCGTGTCGGGCATAGTCCATGTGGCAAGTGAAGGGCGAGGATCGGTTTGAGGATTCGTGTTTCGGGCACTCTCGTGGTTATTTATGCGAGGGCAACGACCATAGCATTCAATTGTATAAATAGGTACGGTGGATGGATCGAGACTCCGACGTACACCCACCAGAATATGAAATATTGGAGAGAGAAAGCCCAGAAGGAGGGGAGAGGGGATTTTCCGTTTGGGGGCCGGGCGGTCTAGACACGGGCCTGAAACAGGAGATCAGGAGCTCATGTATTTTGATAAAGAGCTAATAATATTTCTATACCGGAAATGTTTGAGGCTTACTCTAGAGCATGTAGTTCTCTTTGATTATGGTTCTTCTCTTTGTGTGATGTATTATTTATTTTTTCTCGAATCCTGCAGAGGTGCACGGAGGGCTGTGCAGGATCAGCGGGATCTAGACCTGACGGAGCTCGACAGGTACTCGGTACCTGGTCTACACCGATATTTCTATTGAGATGTCAGGTACTAAGTACAGCCCGTTTATGGAATATATCTATGTACGTTTACTCCCTACATATATGGCATCTTTCTGGTTATACGTCTTTTTTAGGGGTTATTCCCTCTCAGTTTTATATCTAGAGAGATGAAAAGGCGGTGTTCAAACCCGTATAGCCGAACGGATACATATAAAGCCACGTTAAGGTCTTCTTCGGTCCAGACACGGCACATTAGGCACTCAGCAAGCCTTCTGGCTCCCAATATACTCAAGCAAGGCGACGTACCAAATTCTTAGTATTCACTCCTCGAAATCTCACCATTATGGATGGTTCGTGTAATTTCACCATGAAACAGGTTTTGGTCAACCTCATTCCAGCGGGTCTTCATATAGAGCTTGCACATAGAGCATTCTTTGATTGGCAATTCTGGGAACGAGATGCTCGGAATTCCGGGGATATGCATTCATGGGGGCAGCTGAAAAAAATGCCTAATTTTTAGGCAATTGTTGTAATTTTTTATTTCTTATAAGTGATTTCCCGTTGGGTATAGACCAGTACTACTATGTACCCTCAAAGGACTCCATCTCGGCAGTTAAATATAACTTGTGGTATGAGGAATGGTAGAGTCTTCTATGCCCTTAAATCTAACAAAGCAGTTGACAGCGTGAATTTTGCTCAAAATAGGAAATTTTAACTGGAAGTCCACATCGGCGGAGTTTATATCTGGGAATGGCAAATTCTTCTGCCAAAACATGTTGATAGCATTTGTAAAACGAAATGCAGCTGAGGGCGAGGCAAACTTGAGACTGTATAAAGAGCAGGTGAACAGTTTAGCCCACTATTTCTGGAGGCGGGTTTGACATGGAAGGCTTTGGGTAAAGGACCCCGAGAATATAATTGAGAGCTCCGAGCATGGTGTACTTCAGAATAAGTAACATCTTCTTAGCAAAGCAAGAAATACCCGGACACCTTCTCTTCTGAGGACTAAAGCCTGGACATTGTGAATCATCATTCGGACACTCAGACACCTGTCCACGGGCTATCTATGGAGGTATGTAAAGTTAACTCCAGGGCTGCCCAGTATATTGTTGGCGATCTTAATATGTACATTCATGGATTTGAATGAGAAGAGAGAGAAAATATCTAAGAAGAAAGACTACTAAAAGGCTGCCAAAAACAATGCCAAAAACAATTCTATCACAAGACCACATTTTCAAATGTATACACCCATACATACGATACATATGGAGTATCAAAGTTGGAAGGTCGTGTCTTTGTCCTAACGCTGAAGATGCATCTATTTTTGATATGCGGAGCGCATCTGTCCAAATTGACTCACCTTATACCACAAAATCCCATCCTTGCACATTAACCAATATTAGTACTGTGAAACCGAGGTAACTATCCAAACCTCCGTGATCAACGAAGAAGGCCCGAGCGCGATTGTGCGCATACATATGCATAACTGGAGCAACTAGCTACATCCCCTACATCTCGAGCAAGAAACAGTACTGTGCATAACCCCGCAGAAGGGCGCGTAATCCGATGATGCTGTCGTACGGGAGTACATATGTATATCATATGTACATAGGGACTACCTTGCCATTCCAATCATCCTCATGAAACTCTCATCTTGACATTATCTACAACCATGGCCTCAGTTACCCCATACAAAATCGCCGTTCCGGACGAGAAACTCCAGCAGCTCCGCCACAAGCTGGAGTATGTCGCCTTTCCTGATGAGCTCGAAGCTTCGGGGTGGGATATGGGCGTTCCTCTCCTTGAAATCAAAAGACTTATCGCCGTGTGGCGCGAGCAGTTTGACTGGCGGGAGCAAGAGCGGAAGCTGAATGAGCAATTCAAACAAGTCAATGTTCAAATAGGAGTGGAGGGCTTCGGAGAGTTGAATATACATGCTGTGCATCATCAGAGCGGAAATTTGAAAGCAATTCCATTGCTTTTTATCCATGGGTGTATCTAGCCCCAAAGACTTTCAAAATCAGTGTCTTCATCACGCCTGCTAATTCATCGTTCTTATACCAGGGCCTGGCAGCTTCCTCGAATCCACCAAGCTTATCCCACTACTCACTAAAAACAACGGGGATGGCCCAGTATTCGATGTCGTGGCACCTTCGTTGCCAAATTTTGGATTTTCACAGGGAGTCAAGAAGGTATGTTGAGTGCAATGTATCAGCACTAGTCGAAATCATCCTCACAACCGAATTAGAGAGGGTTCGGGCTGGCACAATACGCCGAAGCTCTCCACAAAGTGATGATTGTGCTTGGCTATGATAAATATGGTAAGCATTATCTGTTCCTGCTAAAACAAACCAACTAATTCCAGAGCAGTGGTTCAAGGAGGCGACTGGGGCAGCATGATCGCCCGTACCATGTCTCAGTACTACCCACAACACATCCAAGCTATTCATCTGAACTTCATACCCGTCATACCGCCCTACCCATGGCGAAGTCCCTACCAGTTCGTCAAATCGCTGCTATCTGTGCCATTCTCGGCGAAAGATCGTGGCCATATCGCCCGGTCATTGGGATATTTCACCGGTGGTAACGCATACATGAAACAGCAAGAAACCCGACCACAGACTCTAGGCTACGGGCTTCACGATAGTCCCGTCGGATTACTAGCTTGGATCTATGATAAAATGCACACATGGGCCGACAACTACTCCTGGACAGATGAGGAGATCTTGACCTGGGTGAGTGTATACTATTTCTCTACGGCCGGCCCAGCAGCGTCAACGAGGATCTACTACGAGGGTTCGGCGCCGAAGCGTGATGGAAATGCGGTTGCGTCGGAGGAAGGAGCACAGAAGGATCTGCGAGGAAAGACAGGCCTGAATTACATGTCGACTGAACAGGTTCTCGGGGCTCGGGCACCGCAGAGTGTGCGCTTTGCAGTGGCGCAGTTCCGGGAGGAGATTATTATGCTTCCCATGGCGTGGTACCGGTCCATTGGGAATGTTGTGCAGGAAACGGAGTATGATCATGGTGGTCATTTTGCGGCCTGGGAAGTGCCCGAGTTGCTGGCGTATGATATCAAAAAGTTCCTAGGCAATAATGGACCAGCCTATGGGGTGGTAGCTGGTAGAGATGGGTATTGAAGGACTCACTGGATTTACCATTTACCAGGGCCTTTTTGAGATAACTGGGTCTTTGGCTGGAAAGGATATATGGCAACATGTCAGTCGTTTTGAAAAGAAGGAACCCGATTTTGTACTTGATCTTATCTCTTGCCCATATGCTTGTTTGCCTTTATAGTTCGACCAATTTGTTAGTGTTGTTGTTTTCATACCAAGCAACCTCACAAACAACAATGCAAGCTTATGGTGGCTGAGTCTATGAAGCTGGACTCGTGGATAGAAAATAGTGTATAAAAACTCTACCTTAGCCAGACAAATCCAGAATATGGATAGGCATCTAGAACTTCCCTGGACGTGGGCAAAGAGTAAGTTACGAGGTCTGAAGAAAGATAAATGTCAGTCAAGGCAGCAGATTGGGATGGTTACTGATCCTCGCAAATTGGACTTTGTCCGATTCCCTGTTTAATATCTTTAATTGATGGTGCAAACTGGAACACTGCCGTGACGTGACAACGGGGGCCTTTATTATCATGAGTAGGAGTAAGAGAAACATCGAGTCAAAGAACAAATTTGCCCTTCGGCTCAGGTATCAACCGCTCTCACATTGCTCTCGCGCTATCCCATCATTGATTGGCCGTACACGGCACATATAATCCAGTGAAGACCGTAGACGCCGGGATTTGCCCTCAAACCAACGGAAAGCCCAAAACAACCACTTCCCCAAATCTAATCCTGTCGTCCCTTCAATAACCGCTGGGTAACCTTGTCCTTCTCTATAATGTAAACCTGGGCACCCCAGCCGGAGAGGGCATCTCGGTCCACGGCGCTAAGCAGCGCTTGTGAGATTGTCTCGAAGAGGTCCTCGGGGGCCTGTAATGACAAATGTGTTAGATAGGGAATCTAGTTGGGGAGGAGATATGATAACACCAATAATACATACCAGATCGGGCTCCCACAGACCCTCGCAAGTACCGAAGAGCTGGTCGCTTGCTGTTCCGCTGACAATGAAGTCCTTGGCGAAATCGATACAGCCAATGCTGTCAAAGCCGCAAATGAACGGCTTCCCCGTTGTGGGGTTGATACCAGCCAGCACAGGACTGACGAAGTAAGGACCGAAACGCTTCTCATACAGCGATGAGCTCACTAGGTTGGCAAGGGTCTGCGGTGCGATGTCGCGCTCCTCGCGCAGCCGGTACATGTTGACCTTGTAACGGAAGAGATCGGACACGGTGTTGACATCGGTGGCGAGGCCAGTCAGGCCGAGATAGGTGGATGGAGCGTAGTTGAAGATCTTGGGGAAGTTGTTGGAAATGGTCAGGGACTGCATGCCCAGGCGAAGGTCACAGGCGATGGCAACGCAGTCCTTGCCCACCATGGCGACACAGGCACCGCCATCTGCAGAATGATTAGTATTTTGGTTTGTTATTCACAAGGGACAAGGTTCCGGCATACTGATATCGAAGGGGTTGGACTGTGATGGATAAGTCGGTCAGCTTTGAGGTCCAGAGAACCGTGGAGGATAGGGACAAAGGTGTATTTTTCTTACCATTATTGCAGTATTTCAATACAATTCAATATGACAGAGATATCCTAGAGCTAAAGCACAAGAAAAAAGAAGAGGAAATGTGGTTGAGAAGGGGGCGGGTTGGGAGAGGTGATGGAGGTGAGTTGATGACGGGGAAGCTCTGAGGTACGCGAGAGCTCAGATGACGCCCGCACCGCTGCCTGTTTCGTATTCCCTTCGACTACTTTCTGGACTACTCTGCGCCCTCTTTCTCCCCGCATTCGAGTTTTCCGCTTCTGCCTTTGATTTATCTTTTTTAAATCTCGCTATTGAGATATTAAATCTTTTCTATTTATTGCTAGAGCTAGTGTTCTCCATACACAATGAGTGCCCACGTTGTCGTGATCGACGCGACAGCCAGGCGGGCGACAATCAAGACTACTCCCGCCAAACACTTGACCGATATCCTACAAGAAGCATGTACGAAACTTGGATACAATGCTAGCCAGTATTCATTAAAGTGAGTTAGTGTTCCTGTTTCTCTGATGACAACACTGACCCGGTCTCAATCTGCGCAACAGACACAATCGCAGGCAATTAGATCTTTCTCTTTCTTACCGACTGTCTGGTCTCACCTCTGGCGCAAAGCTTGAACTTGTTCAACTCTCTCGCTCCCCATCAGTCGTAACTGTCGGCCTACAACTGCCCGAAGCTGAGGCTCGTGGTGCCCCGAATAACCGTATACTTGATAAGTTCCCTAGCACGACTACACTATGGATGGTACTACGCAAGTTCGAGGCAGGAGTTGCAGGCAGTGGCCCTATACGGAATCTCACTTCACGTGCAGTGCCCTCTGCCGAGGGCGGAGATGTCGCCGGACGACTGTACTATGAGATCCCTGTCCTTCAGATTATGGAACGTGAACTATCGACCTTCACGGATCTACAAAAAACCCTAGCTCAGCTAGGTTTCAACAGTGGCAATATTCTTATTCGACTCAGTTTCCGACGGACGGAGGAGCCTATCGAAGAAGCCATGACCAAGATTGGCGAGTTCTTCAAGGATGAGGCTCCTTCGGCACAGGATAAGAACGCAGTGCCCTCAGCAGCTCCCACCGACAGCACAAGCAAGGAGCCTGCTCAAGAGCTCTCCAGCACATTGCAGCCTGAGCCCTCCAGCGTCACCACCGAATCGGACGAAGTTGTACCTCCCCCATCTCTCTCCGAACCAGCCACTTCCACAGCCGACTCTAGCCGAACGGTTACTGTCTTCTCCCCTCCCTCAGAAGACACTCCTTCGTCGGCAAAACTAGACTACAATGAGAGTGATTACGTACCCTCCATTGAGCACGCAAAACTGCATCAGCGGTTACTCAATGAGTCTTCTCGCCCAAAGCGCTTACCAACGGACGCCGAGATCGCCGCCAAGGCAGAGGCAGAAGCGGCAAAGCGAGCAGCGATCCGCGAGGTCGATGTGAAGATCCGTTTCCCAGATCAGAGCCAAGTTGTCGCCAAATTTGGGGTCTCGGACACAGGACAGTCGTTGTATGAATTTGCACGCGGGTGTCTTGCTTCACCGTTCGCCAGTGAGAGCTTCATTCTAACTGTCCATGGCGTATCCCGATCCAATTACACAACCGCCATACCGTCATCAGATAAGAAGCGACTTATTAAAGATCTAGGGTTAGCTGGCCGTGTGCTCGTCAACTTCTCTTGGGCTGATAACGCTGCCTCGTTTGTTCATGCACGCCGAGCGGAGATCCTACGCCCCGAGCTTCGGAGCCAGGCTCAACAGCTCAAGGTGGAGCAACCGCCAGAGCTCAAGGAAGAAGATGTGCCTGGTCCCTCACAGCCGGGTCCAAGTAGCTCCCAAGGCGGCGATAAGCCTAGCGGAGCACGGAAGAGTGGTACGATGCCTAAGTGGCTGAAGCTACCAGGCAAGAAATGAAATTGGCATAATGGAATGTATTTAGTTCAGATGAGTGAGATGTGCTGCTCTTGATGATCATGACTTGACTATGTGACGGATCCCTTGAAGACGCTTAACATCTCAGATGTGCGGATAGACTTGAATCACATGCCTCATTTACATATATAGTCTAGCAATACATATTTGACAACAAATTAAAGGTGTATATTTATGTAGAACCATTGAGAACCTGATGACTCTGCATGTGCACACATGAAGGCAGATCTCACTCAGCAGATACTTGAGCAATCATACGCTTTTCCATCTACAGTGTAAACCTTCATTTAGAAAGTGGCTCAATTGCAAATATCAAACGTGAAATGGTTGAATAATTGTTTTCATTATGGTTTCACTCCATACGACAGAGAAGGAATCCCATATTTGCCTTCCCCTTCATGCACGCCCAGTGGCCACGAAACCCCTTTCCGATCCGAGAATCACGCTTTTTTGCGTCGAGTCGTTAAAACGAAAGAAAAACAGGAACGGGTTGGAAAATTTAGTGAGCAGCGGTACGGCGAGACTCAGCAATGATCTTCTGCATGGACTCAACCTTGGCCTTGCCGCGGCCGAAAGTACCGAGCTAGATACGAAGTTAGCAAAAGTGTCAACTGATAGGATAGATCGACTGGGCGGGCTCCGGTTCTAATGGCAATCGTTTGATTTTGGTCATGGATCTCGGTCACTTGTGAACAAAACAGTAATCGCATAGGCTTGTCCAAGCAGAGATCGAAATTCATCGCTCTATGCAAGATTGACATGCATGACCCATACGTTACGAGTCTGATACACCAAGGCCTTGACCAAATCGATCCGAATCCAACGTAATCCAAGTAACAGAGCCAACCAGACGAGATCGGAATAAGGATTGAGAGTAAACATACGCGCTTCTTAGCGAGCTTGCGGGCACGCTTATCCTGGGCGTTGCGCAGCAACTCAATGATGCGGCGCTCGTAGGGAGCGAGACCAACGACCTCCTGGGCGATTTCGCGGACGAAAGCGGTGCGGCGGGAAGACTTGCCCTTGGTGCGCGAGATGCGGGTCTTGGGGGTGTTGAGGGCGGTGGTTTTCTATATCAAAACCCAGTCAGTATGTCTGTTTCGCTAAGTCATGTAGCGGTCTCAAGTCCCAGTGGTCTCTTCTATTCGCGTTCGTGTCTGCCTATCGGAGTGGTCCCATGGCGTGGTCGGATCAGGGTTCCGTGCAAGGCGAGTGCTGGCTTCGGAGCCAAAGTCGAATCCAAAAAAAAAAGTGTTCCCGTGACATCGAAATTTTCCCCAGAGAAGCTCTGATTTTTCCAATGGGCGATTCAATCACAATCCTCCTTGCCGTAATGATTCCCGGTGTTGCCGCGATAAACCTTGACCCGGCTGGTCCTGAATGGACCAACAGACTGAATGAAAGAAGAAGAGACCTTGGGAGACCTTCAAACGACCGAAAAACATGGTGCAGAGAGACAGTAAGAACGTACCCGGCCCGCGTTAAGTCCGACCACAATTCCGGAGCGTTCGGCCATCTCGACGGTTGTTGACTGAAGGGGTTGGCGGAGGTTGTCGAAGAGGAGGTGAGAGAGCCGTGTGAAAATCGCCTGGTCTTTTGCCTTGGAACCGCAAAATGGGGTCTTGGCGTTGGTGCGGTAGGCGAGTGACTAGGGCTAGGGCTGCGCTAATCGGGACTAGCGTACAATTATGATACCTCAGGCATTAAGAGCAATATGTCTTGGCATACGCACGTGATAGCTGTTGCCCTCTTTTGTACGGAGTATAGATCGACCTCTTACTGGACTGCATCTGACTTGTCAATATCAACTGTCATGGATTTGGTTTACATATACTCTAACTATGTAACTTCATGGCCACATGATTCATTCTTTGCATTTCTTGATATTCAAAATTAAAGCTTGGCAGCCAGCACTCCATCAAGTGCCTCCTCCCAGCTCTCCCTCAGCTCTCCGCAGAATAATTCGAGCGCGGAGTCGTCCATCGTCTTTTCTATAACATCTTGAAGAGGCTTCTCGTATTCATCAGTTGTATCACCACACTTGACCATGTCGATGAGTGTACTGAGAGTAGCTGATTCGATAAGACTCTGTTTCAAACTTCGGGTGTTCGAGCGGATGTCCTCGAAAACTTCACGGACAAGAATATTGAGTCGCTTCATTTTCTCGGCATGGAGTTTAGCAGTCTTTATGGACTTTCGAGAATCCAAGTCGAAAATATTCCATAGAGCCTTGAGGGTCTCCACGAGGATCCAGATGGCATGGAAATATTCCCATGTTGGTGCACCTGGGGTACCTGGGGTGAACTCGATAGTCGTTCTCTTAATAAGAGGAGATTTCTTAGTGTCATCGAGGGCTAGATCCTGTTTCTTGACCTTCAACCAATTCTCTACCTCGCCAAGAGCGGCCTCAATTTCGGTAGCAGTATGGGCCTTGGATCCAGCCATAAACATAGCCACTTTCAACAATTCTAAGTGAATCTTGGTTGCATCCCTCTCGGCGTCAGTGTGATCATCATCAGTCTGGGAGAGCGACAATTCGCCGATTGCGGGCAGGTCTAGCTTCAAGACAAGGGGCTTTTGACTGCCAATGCTCTCGAGAACGCTGAAAAGTCGATCAGTGAGCCGGGCGGATGCTAACCAGTTTTCCTATATTGACATTAGTCGGTGCCGCGATGTCGCTCAAGCAAACAAACTTACCCCGGGAATCGGGCCTGTGCGCAGTCTGTGCTCAAATGGAGATTGTTCACAACGTTCCAAGTTCATGAAACCGTCATACTTCCGCTGGTCTCGAGCCGGCGACGTATCCTGTGCTATAGGGTAATCAGTATTTAAGTATATCAGGAATATATGAGAGGGCGAAAATTGCTGACCGATGTTCTCGTGGAGGGCCAAGTGGGTTCCTTTGCGGATTCTTTGCATCCGCCGTAAGTCCAGAGCCCACATTCTCCGGCAGATGCTGTCCCTGATACGTTTTTGAAGCTCGATGGTGTCGTCTAGATTGACATAAACGCCATCATTGAGTCCTTTGATCAAGGAGTTCTTGATAGTAAAGTTCGCATTGCGATAAAAGTCAAGAGCGGCAATAAATGTAGCTTGCGGGTCAAAGTCCTTGTACTCTGCCCCCTCGATAGGAGGCGCGGCATGAGGGTGGATGGTGGCAAAGCGGGTGAAGAGATTATGAGCAACACTTTCATACTGCATTTGCTTGACAGACAGTTTGCTAAACCACCTCAAAGCAATGGAGCCAGCACCGAGAAGAAGATAAATGCGAATCAACATAAGAATCGCCTCGTAGTTATGAGGCGAATCGATTAGAAGGTGTTCCAGAATCCCGGCTGCGCGAATCAGGGCAGTGTTGCTGACTTTCTCTGATTCCTGGCTAGGCTGAAGAAGAGCCATGGCGGCAATAATGCAGAAGTCATCCGTAGGCCGACTCTCCATCGTGGAAGCAGTATCTGGTTGGCTTTCTTTCTCTCGGTCCTGGGTCTTTGCTAGAAGGGTGAATGCATCATAAAAGTAAATGCAATTGCGGACAAGAGTCTCAATACTGGACTTCGATGCGCTGTTGTTGCCTGAAATCCGGTCGCAGTATTGCAGCTTGTACGCATTAATCAATGGAATGGCATCATCCTAGAAAGTTGATTAGCTCGCATTAACCAATTTTAGTAGAAATTGCACTTACGGTGTTCCCTTCGACACTGTCCATGCAATCTTGAGATACTCGGTGAATCAAAGCGCCATCACGGGTCTCCAAGGCCCCTCGCAAGTCTTTAAAGGCATAGAGCTTGTGCTTGTGTTGGTCAAAGTATCTTTGACACGCAGCAACCAGATCATCCTCTGTCCGCTCGCCTCGTTTAAACCCGGTTAGGGCTGTGTCCATGAGAGCAATGTGTGCATTACGGGACTTTGGGATGAATTCGATGAACTTCTCGATATGCTGTTGGGTTTCAGAGAGTAGTCTATGAACGCGTAATCATTTGTTAGTTGTGGATTTAATGGTGTAAAAGCGAGATATTGAAATACATACCCTGGACTTTTATCAAGGTGTCGCACGGCTGCGATGAGCAAATTCCAGTATTTCCAATCATCGCGCTCATGCAGAGTATTGCGCTCTGATTCATTTTCGGACACGGCGAGCAAACTTTTCGCGTATGAGTGCCCTTCTTCCCAGAGTCCTGCAGCTCCCAAGGCAGTGACTTTGGCTAACATAAAGCTTCGGTCGTTATTAACAATCCGAGAGCTGAGACCAACATTCTCTCTATTAAGAACCTGCACAATCTCTTCCCAACGGCTCTGCGACTCGAAGATTCGAAAAACCAAGAGAAGTTCCTCGGCGGTTTGTATGGCTCTCGGGGGGCTTAGCAATTCGGTCTGCAGTAAGTCATTTGGTCAGTCAGTCATTCATGTCCAAATATTACGTCGAGTCTTCACTTCCAATGAGCATGCAGTTCTTGGAAAAATTCACATACCGGGTTAGAGGGGACCTCATCTACTGTCTTTTGAGCAAAGCGATAGGCAAGTGTCCCAAACAACTTGCGGTCCATGTCCGAGCTAGCCTCGTCATCTGAAACGAGATAACAAAGGAAAATAGCCCAGAAATAGTACTTCCGCTCCCGAGGAAAGTTCTTTTGAAGACTCATGGCGGCCTATGATAAGAAATGTCACTCGTTAGCAACTTGAGCCTTGATATGATGCCGGTGTCGCATAGGCTTCTTCCCAACTCACTTTCTGGGCTGACTTCCAGTCACCAGCCTCATATCCGAAATTGAACCACCTCATCTGAAGAGCATGGTCTTGTGGCTTCGTCTTAGCTGCCCGTTCCCATATCGCGCTCCGAAGCTCGGTATGGTCATCCATCTTCTGTAGCGTACGGTGGAGTATGTCGAGAGAGTCCAAATCCGAGATTGGTGGATCGGCGTTGCACAGCGCGAGGGTCTCTGCGATACCTTTCTTTTTATGGGTGTCGTCTGCATGGTTGAATAGGACATTCGCTTTCCAGGCCTGCTTGCTTGCGATCTCACATGTTAGTTGGTTTCATACAGCTGACACCGCCACGACAGTGGTGAATTCGGAATGAACAGCAATAAAGATGACTCGCCTTCAGGAAATGCGTATTCTCGCCTTTTTTCATGCGCTTCTCAATCAGCTGCAAGGCCTGCTTCATGTTCTGCGAGTCAATGGCATCTTGGATTTGGTTGTTGCGACGCAGGAACACCGCGTCATTGCTGGAGCTCATGGTGGATGTGTTGTTCAACTTGCGGGAAAACTATTCAATTGACGTCTTTCGCAGAATGGTCTGATCACTGTGCAAAGCACAGCATGGGCTAAAAAGGGTCAATGATCCTAGTTAAAGTGGAGTGATCGACTCCGGTCACTTTTTTATTTGGCGGGGAAGGTAACCAAATGAGAAGGCGGTCAGTTGGTCCCCGCACCATACTGCCGGCAAGAAACCAACATTTGGAACATGCCGTATGCGTTGTATGCACCATTGTACATTGTTCAAAAATAGAAATGATATGAATGGCAGGTTTAAGAAAAAAAAATTGAATTTTCGATCATACTTTATAGTTCAATTTATGGTACAAACTATATGTATCAATTAGGATAAGAAGTCAACACTTCAACCCCAAACTCTTGAGACACGGTTGCTACGAGACCTCTGAGGCTGGGTATCTACATGCTTCCAACCTTAAAGGGTTCATGTAGTTTATATAGTTTGCTTCATGTATGTACGAAGGTTGTATTCGACGGAACGTGAAGATCACTAGTACGGAGTACACCGGACAAGATAGATAAGAACGCAAGGTTACGAAAAGGTTAATATACAGACTTAAAATCATCTAACAGATGGTCCGATGCGCCATATATAATTCAAGGCGCAGGAAAACAAACCCCAAAGGAGAAAACCGCTTATCTCGCAGGTCAGCACCGGACCATGAAACGTTTCGACTTGCCAAAAATGGAATATTTTACCAGCCTAGGAAGGTTGTGGTTCCCGACAGTAGTTTGAATGTTTATCACATAGCGTTTCACATGAACAGAAGCTAAGAGATAGACTTTGGAGAGTTCTGATAATTGGATTGGTAGAAGAGCACACCTTATGCAATGGCATGCAACAACTGGTTTGGGAATATCAGGGATCTTGCCAGCCAGGAAATTTGTTGATCTGTTTGGTAAGAATAGTCTGGGGTGATAAAGACGTCTCACTTTGACAGAGGCGTCAAAGAAACTTTCTTCTGGGTGAGCTGTGCCTCGTTAGCGACCGAGTATACTCCGACACGCATCAATCGAAGTCAATGGATCTCGCGGATAGGATACAACCTGCATAAGACAGGAGGTTGAGGCGATAAAGAGGAAAATATGTATATATTGAACTTACCCAGTTCTTTTTGCAATCACGATAAGCTCTAGAAAAGGTAACCAGTCAGTGAGAAGCCTCAGACATATAATAGTCATGACAATATTGTACGAGCTGGCCAGGATTTGATCGAAAGCCAGATAAATTTCACAGGGGGCAAGTCAAAGTATTGCTCAGATCACATAAGAACTTCTGACATACTGGAAATAATCGTGGCACATTTCGCGATCGGAGGCATTCCGTTTCATACACTGGAGACTCCGATCCGCGAAGTCTTGGCATGGGTCGTAGTACTCGCTAGCATGTTTACTATAATCGCAAGTTAGCTATCAGTATAGATAAGAGCTACACGTATTCAGCCCAATTATATGCAACCATCGGGCTAGCTTGTGTTATTATGCGTTGGCTCTCAAGACCCCATTGTCCATGTCAAGGGGATCCCGTGGAGAACGCCCGCGATCACTGATGACTTTAGAAGCGTCATACATATGCATCACATTTTGGGAATGGAAAAACACAGAAAGAGGAGGAAGGAAGAAACATTGAAACATACTGTGTGAACCTCTTCTCCGCTTTCGCCCACGCTTTGTCGTGAGCGTCTCCTTGGGTTGACTCGGACGCCATGGGTGCGGTCAGTTCGTATGTCCCCGTTTTTGCAATGGATAATTAGGAGAAGTGATGTAATCAATAAAACAGAATGCCAAAGCCTCGAAAATCAGATTGGAGGTCAGGTGGAGGTTGATTGGAGCAGAAGTTAGCGTTCGACGCAGGAAGAATTGGAGATCCCGCGGTCTTGGCGCGGAGATCTGTCAATACCCCAACCAAAGTCCGCATAACACTTAGGCATCATGTTTTTTTCTATTGCTTTGAGTTTCATATAATTCTAGAAGGAAATATCTGCATAGGTAAAGCTCTTAGTTAAGTCTAATTTACCTACAGTAGTAAATTAGAAGGCCTTATCTTAAAGTACAACTTTTCAATCTATGTATAACTCGTTATATATATATTTGTGACCATCGCAGCATTTCAACGAGGATACCGAGGGGGAAAGCAATTATATATATTCTCAGGAACTAGCAAAAACACATTATTGTAAGTAGTATTATGTACTTGTTTTGGAAGATCCGAAAGATATTACTGCGGTGCTTTGCGAGGCTATCTATTACTGCGTTCACACGGTTGTTTGCTCCGATGGATACTATGCCAAGAGATGCGAGACTGTTCCGTAGAAGCATGCAGAGTCGGTCAACAAAGCCGAGCGCTTCCTTCCTCGCCGATTTGACCTCTCAATGGTGACGACCATCTTTGAATAATTATGTAGGTAAGCTGTCAAGACCAAATCCCTCGCAAAGTTCTAGAGGTGCCATTGATATGCACGCCAACTTAAGCAGTGAAGCGCATAGTACATTCTATGTGGACATTCCGCAAAAAGGTATGCAAGCTCAAGTGGTAGCCTATATTGAAGTTCAGACCGACTGAGATGCATACATAGAGTAGACGATGTAGCAAAAAAGCGACGGGATTGGCCCAAGGACCACGTGCTGCAGCCTTGTTATTAATTATTATTCCACTTACCCATTTAGCCTTCTCCAAATACCCCACTTATCCAACCTTGACTACTAGTAGTATCAACCTCCGCGTTTGTGTAGGTATCACATGGTCGCTAAAAGAGGCGTTGATAGACAGCTCATCACGAAGCATATCTGTGTTGAATTGCTGTACTATATACAGGATGTAACAGGCGAGTGCATATACCTATTAGTAACAAACGTGGATTTGTGTTTGGGGGTTGACAGCTCTCATAAACGCCACTTGAGTTGTCATGTGTTATTCTCCCATTCCTTTCTGACCCACAAGATACTTCAAGAGTTGGAAAAAGATTGCGATCTAATTCTAGGCATTCGATTAGGTTTGGCACTTCTTGTTTGGCATATTTTTTCCCCTCCGTAGAGCGACATTACAGATATGGGTTTAATAACTACGTGCGTGAAGTCCTGAAGGGATGAGATACTTCCATACTTCAGAGAATTCATAAGCACCGGAAATAGATCCGGCCAAGAAAATAGACCCGGCATAAGACTGAGGGGATCGAATCGGATATCTCGAATTGAAACACCGCAGAGAGATCAAAGATAGAAACACGGGCGTCAACCGTCCTTCCTAGCTGCATCTATGGGAAGGACGGCACGGAGGCCGCTATCAAACACGACAGCCCTGGAGAGATAGCGACGAAAGTCCCTCTGATAAGCAGCCGCATGGAATTGTCTACCCTAGTCTACATCCAAAACGAGTCAAAATTTCCATTCAATAACATACCGGAGCGTCAATGTTAGTATGATATCGGTGTCTTCTGTGTGGCGTTTCATCCCCATACCCCACACGCCTTGAATTCTAAGAAATCAGATGGGATCCTTCGATACCACGTAGCTCAATGTAGATCATTCAGATAGTCACTCACCATTATATCCTAGAGCCTGTTATGATGAGTTCTCCGGGACGGTATTCGGTAAGGCTGGATGAATCGGCTTTTATTTCCACTGTTATTCGCTTGCTGTGGACCTGTAGCTAAATGTGTAAGTTTTGAAGTTGCTAGCTTTGTATACACCACCCGGGATTTCATTCTCTTTAGGTACTGTGCGAGTGCAACCCTCTCAGTCTTGCCGAAGCATACTATGAACATCCAAATTTGGAGCGTTAACATGTATGCCTATATTGGAGTCCCCCCACCTCCGAGCTGCCACACCTATGGGTTCGTGAGTCTTGCCACCAGCGGAGAGATTTCGCAGTTATAAAAGCCAATGAGAATAAATTCCCCGGTGGCATACCCTGTCACCCGGAGACGCCAAACCGAAATTGGGAACTTTTTCCATAGTGGGATTGATGATTTTTGGAAAAATTACAAATATGACTGGAGGCAATCCTGCATGCATAGAACAGAGAACCCGATGGGCTCCGTCCCCTGCTTATCTAGCGCATTAGATGGACCGTTATGCAGGAAGGTCGATGGAGTCACGGATAAACTCTCGTGTCACATGGAACATCAATTGATATCTTTGTCGTGGCAAGATATAGAGGTGCAATTGGGCGATGAACATCAGGTCGAAGCTATAAATCCGTCATTGCCGTCTGCTTTCTGGATGACTGACATGCTCACTTCTATTCTATATACATACCTGGCAACAAGATAGAAAACTCTTCGATCCTTCCCAAATACCGAGGTCTGGTAACGTTGAAGTTTCGAACCAAAGACAGCAAATGTATGTTCAATTACATCTAAGCGGAACCGAAAGTAATGCTTCTTTTGACATACATATCATTGGATGTCATAGGTGGTGTTTATTTCGGGTTTGAAGTTATGAAAGAAAGCCATGAAGCTCATACTCCAGTAGAAAAATGGCGACCGTGGAAACATTGATCTCCGCCCCGATACCTTCCTCGCCAGCATGGCTCCAATTCGGCAAGCGGCCATTGCTGGCCAGTAACAAAGAGGTCTTCCCGTCGAAGAGGGTTGCCTCAATGTCAGAACTTGTCACCTTTGATGCGTCGAAACATCTCAAGTTCACCCCGCCCTCAAAATTGTACACGATGGAAGAGCTGGGCTTCTCTGATAGCAAAGGGGTTTCTCCTGTTGGTGTCTCGGAGCCATTCTCATTATTTTCTGCCGAAGCTATCCAGCAAATGAGGAAGGAGATTTTGAACCCGGAGGTGCGAAAGAAGTATGAATATTCGAGCAGTCTGGCTCAATGTCAACTGCGAGGATACGCAGCGGAGTGAGTCTACTATGTTGATATACTCATGGGGCGAATTGCTGACACTTTGGAAGCTGTGCGCCGTTCATTTATGATGCGTGGAAAAGCCCCGAGACCCTAGAGATTATCTCAAGTATCGCTGGTGTCGACCTTGTCCCTGTCATGGACTTTGAGATTGGCCATATCAACTTCTCCGTGAGCAGCGAGGAAGATAAATCGAGAGATCTTGCTGCTGAAGCAGAGAAACAAGAGCGCGAGGCCAGGAGTGAGCAGCAGGAAGATGAAAGTCCTATCGTGGACTGGCACACTGATAGTTATCCCTTTGTTTGCGTGACTATGCTGTCCGATTGTACGGACATGATCGGCGGCGAGACTGCTCTCAGAAATGGAAATGGCGAGGTGGTGAAAGTTCGAGGGCCGCAAATGGTAAGCATTTTAACCACCATATCACCGGTACTCCAAGCTTACAATGTTCCATAGGGCTCGGCTGTGGTTTTGCAAGGTCGGTATATCGAGCACCAAGCGCTTCGGGCACTTGGTATGACAGAGCGGATCACAATGGTGACATCTTTCCGCCCCCGATCGTCATCCATCAAGGATGACAGTGTTCTCACAACGGTCCGTCCTATCTCGATACTTGGTGATTTGTATCATCAATTCGCGGAGTATCGCTTCGAGATGCTCCAGGACCGGTTCCGTGACGCCAATCGGTTCATGCGGGACCAGAAAAGAGCAAGACGTCAATTTGATACGGTTAGCCTCAAGGTTTTCATCCGCGAACAGATCGATTTCTTGGAGCATATGGACAAGGAGATTGTTGAAGATGATAAGGTCCAGAAGGGCGTGGTTGATGACAGCCATCTTCGCTCGGAGGAACTGAAACAGCAATGGCACAAGAAACAGGCCCGCGCTGCGAAAGAGTAGATCTCAGTGCCGGGAAAGCTAGAAATACTTGGCTTACCCTTGGCCATGTGGCTCTGAAGAGTTCATGATGAGACGACCATTGTTTTAGTTTTAGAACGATTTGATCGTTGCTTTCGGTCTGAAGGTCCTTTTTGGGGGTCTTCGGGTCATTATTCGGAGTTTTATTTCGTATAGTAAATTGAAGTTGTATGTTGGTTTTTACTAAAGAACATTAATGATTGTAGTTGATTCCCTCGGGCCTTGCCCATCTCGCGCCGATTTAACGACCGCAATCAGAGTCAGAGTCATAGCGTAAATTTAAGTCCAAAATAAGTAAATTTCAGTCTGAGCTCATTGAACTTGTTCTGCTCATCACGTGACATATCACCATCCGGCACAATGAAAATGATTGGCTAATTTGACCTATCGTCTTTTTCTATAGTTATTTTTCATCTTAACTGCATAAACATAGATGTAAAATTTTTTTTTATACACAAGAATTGTCGGCTGGTCCTGTGTTTTCTGCCATTGACGATGTAGGTATATTTCATCCAAGATGATATTTGGGGCGTTATATGAACTTCGGATGTTTTTTTTTGTTGATGTCCCACTGTTTATGAAAGTGGTTAAAGCGTAAACTATGCAGAAGATTCTTCTATGTATGATAAGTGACACCAAAGATATTAAACTAAGACCATTTAGCGATTTTAAAGGGTAGGCTACTGTGACTTTAAGAACCCAACTTATAGAAATCTCAATGTTCTATAGGTACGTGTAGTATTAACGATGGATTCATTATGTCTAGAATCAGATTACCTATTGCATATGCATTAGAATTCACGACAAGATATATAAAGTACATCTCATGAGCCTTATATATTACCTCAGGCTCATATCCCACATCACAGTGAATTCGACGCCTCATTCTTGGTAATCACAGCACTCTTTTCACAGGACTTTGGATAGTGATCGAATCCGGCTTCCAACCCCTCGAGCATTACTGGGTCGGCGCGATTCAATTTGGGATCTTCGAAAAGAGCAGCGAGCCCAACTTCAGTCTTTCCTTTCGTTTCTGGAAACGTGAAAAATATTATCAAAGTCTTCGTAGAAAACATTAGTGCCCAAGGTATGGAAACAGTAGTAGAAATTGTACTCACACCAAGTAGAAGCATTCCCAGGTAGAAAATATAGTAGTAAAATCCAATGCTATCCAGTGCAATGGGATTAACATATTGGTTGACAGTAAGTGCTGCTTGTGAGACAGCCACTTGAATACTCAAACCCTTGGCCCGAATTGCAAACGGCAGAAGCTCCGTTGGATAGCAATAAAGAAGTGGGTTGTTAGCCAAATTAAAGGCCGCGTTATAGAGAAAAAGAAATACAACAACGGCCAACGAGGCTCCCTTGAATCCATGTTGGGCATACATGGCCGATGATATAGTCAATGGGACGTTGACGATGATCATCCCGATGAATGAGGTCAACCAGAGAGTTCGTCTGCCGATTCGGTCCGCTAGCAGAGCTCCTGCTAGGGAGAGAAACAGATTCCATATCTGCAAACCACCGTTGATGCCGGTTTGCTGGGGTGTAGAGGTGATACCAATGCTAGTCAAGATAGGGCTGAAGTAGTATGCGATTACGCCCTGACCGTTCCAGAGCGTCAGGAGGGCAACGGTACACACCAGGGCAATTCGTTTCCTATTTGCTGGCGACGTGTAGAGGATACTCCAGCTATTTTGACCACTCTTTTGGACGGCTGCTTCAGTCTCCAACAAGGTATGTATCTCTTCCATTTCATGAATCACAAGAGCTGAATGCAAATTGCCGTTGCTATGGTAATTTGCAAGCAGTTGTCGGGCTTCTTCCACGCGATTGTTTGAACAAAGCCATCTCGGACTTTCGGGCAGACCACAAAGAACGGATAACATGACGAAGAGTGCGGGAACTCCCTGAATGAGCGACGGTATACGCCATGACCAGCTGGTGGACATGTATCCCGTGCCGAACGTTGTCCATGCCGCTATGATGGAGCCAACGTACCAAAGTACGTTGAACTAAAAATATCAGGGTTAGCAGAGGATGCGATGGATAGCTTGGATATATTAGTAAAAGGTCATACCAAAGAAGATATTGTGCCACGCATCGCCGGATGGGCCAGTTCGAAGAGCAGTGAGGGACCAGCAATACATGTGAAGCTAATTCCAAAGCCAATCAAAAAGCGACCGCCAATAAACATACCAGCATTTTGTGCAGCTGTTTGGATGATAGTTCCCACGAACGTCAAGCTTGATCCAACAAACATGCCTACTCGTCGCCCGAAGTAGTCCGCAGTGGGTGAGGCAACCAGAGCACCGACAAAACCCCCAACAAAGACAATAGCTGTGATGAGTCCGATTTTGGATGGATCGGGGCTCCCCATATCTGGCAAGAGTGGTATAGTCAGTTTCTGTCTCGAAAATTGTACAAAGGATCTACGGACCTTTAACCCAAGGCTTCATGGACTGGAAACTTCCGACCACACTTTCATCGTAGCCGGTGGTCATTTGTGATAGAAGAATTGTAGCCTGCCATGCTAGTAGCTTGCGAAGACCAAGGTCTTTCCGCCATTTGTCGAAGCGATGAGTTTCAATTTCCTGAACAGGGACAGTCATTTTGTGAAGATTAAGAGGGAACAGGGTGACATAGTCTGGAAGAGCCAATGAAATCCATTGAACTTATATCTTGCCATGATCAATGGTATCTGAGAGCATAGTACGGAGTAGAGATTCATTGACCATATAATAGTCAAAGGGCTTATCGATGTCCATGAAAACAGTCAAGAACCTTCAACTCGCGCGAGTTTTCGCGCGAGTTTGCTTATCTACGGAGACGCGGCAGCTTCCGCCCAACTACTCCGAGGCACATCCATAACTACATATGTATACACTTCCAAGGTTAGCTTAAATAAAGAGGATATATCAAGGTGCTTTTATCGAAGGGGAGTATTTCAAATCTAGCAATATTATCTTCAAAATTATCACCCGATTTTGCATCTTTTGTATCATGCCTCATCCAACGACCAATCAAATCACTGTGGACGATTCCAAAGTTCACGGAGATTGGCGAGATGAATTATTCCAAAATGGATACGTTGTGGTGAAGAACGCAATCTCACCAGCGCGATGTGAATACTACATCGACAAGATGTTTCAGTGGTTGGAAAGTTTCCCTTTCGGGTTTGACAGAAACAATCGCTCAACTTGGACTGAACAACATTTACCCACACACATCAAGGGAGGAATGTATCATGGATATCGTGTCCAGCATGAGAAGTTCATATGGGAGGCCCGGACGTAAGTCTTCAATCCTATATCTAGCGAGACGCATCTAAGAATCGATCTTACAGGGAAGAGGGAGTAATCGAAGCCTTCGCAAAACTGTGGGGAACAGACAAGCTTCTAGTCTCTTTTGATGGAATAAACTTCACGCTTCCATCTGGTACTACTCTGCCACAAACGCAGCCTTGGCCACATATTGACCAGAGCCCACTGCGAGAGGGCATGCAGTGTGTCCAGGGTATTCTCAACTTTGCACCAAATGGTCCTCAAGAAGGGGGTCTTCTCGTCATGAAGGGATCTACAAAGCTTATGCCCGAGTTTTTTAAGACTCACTCGGGTACAATTGGTCGACCAACATGGGGACCTAGCGATTGGTTTGGCTTTGACGAGAGCGAGGTGAAGTGGTTTGAGGAAAGAGGCTGTGAGATTCACAAGGTGACTGCTGAGGCTGGCGATCTTATTCTCTGGGACTCTCGCACTATGCATTTCAATTGCGTTCCATCATCTCAGAATCTGCGCGCCATTGTTTGTGGGTATTCTTTCCCCATCCACATTGGTCTCTCTAACTGTGTCGTAGATGCGTGCTATACACCAGCTTCCTTTGCAACGCCTGATATCTTGCAGCAAAAGGGCGAATTTTTTGACCAGCGAATTGGAACAGTGAGTATCCCATCTCTTCTGTATCGAGGTAGCTTGTTAACTTATTGAATAGACACATTGGCCCCATGACAATCTATTCACTGAAACAAGTCACTCAAACCTCCCAGAAGAAGAGGAAGGGGACGTGACAAAGCGTCTTTATGAGGAGCCTATTGAGACCGATCTTGTGTTGAAGTTGGCGGGAAAATTTTCTTATTAAATTTTTGATATCAGATCTCTTGCGTACGAATACCTTCTGAAGGGCTTTCTCAAGACTCCTGATAGATCGCGCACCAGGAGTCGGATTTTTCTGTAACCTTAGGTGTACATCGCACCATAGCTAGTCAATACCAAAAGTCCCTCATTCATCCGAAAACTCGCATTCGCCAACTTATACTGGTCAAACCCCTAGTAAGAATTCGATCAACATGATCAACCCTAAAATGACTTGGCGGTTGAGCCCTATAGGCCTTGCTTGATAAGGAATCTAGGGGTATTGGCCAATCATGGAATGTTCTCAAAAGACCAATCGGATCAAGCCTCGGGTCATAGATAAACTTAAACCTTTGTACCTTTGCTGGAGTTGGTTTTCGCATACCCTCAATTAATGGCGGCCACAAGAAAGAGCCAAAAGGCACCCACTGCTTGTTCCAGATGTGCTAAACGTCGGGTGAGGTGCGACAAGCAGGTCCCATGTGGAACTTGTCTTACAAAAGGCCTTGAAAGTACGTGTGCAAGAGAAGTTGTCAACGCCAAAGGCCGAGGCATCAGGTGTGTCAAGTAGTACGGTATAGGTATACCTAGACTAGTGCTAAATAGAGACAGTGCAAAGCAGAAAGAGCCAGTTTTGTCGTATTTTGAACTTCAACAAGAAAATAACCGACTAAAGGCTGAGCTATTCAAATCAAACCTATTTAAACAGCGGAAATCGACATCTTCTACATACCCTAGACAGGAGAGCTCTGCTGAAATTCTCGAACATCAAACGAATCTGCAACACGGCAAAAGCGTCTATCATCAGAAAGTGTGGAATCGAACAGACATCTGGATGCCAAGCAAAGACTGCAGTGATGTTTTACTGCATCATGGCTTTACGTGGACCTCATGGATCCATTTTGCAGTTCATCTGCAAACATTCGAGCTAGAGCATGAGTCTGCTTGGATGAACGGGACATTCCTTGGTGGTGATGCTCTCTGGCTTGCTGTATATTTTGGCTTCATAGCAGTGAGGAAATATTTCCAGTCTTTTTTTAAGCAAGAGAGCTAATTAATCATAGATGAGTCTTATGTTTATGGATGAGGACGAAGCTAGAAGAGCGGGATTGCCCCTAGGTTTGACTCTTCACTTTCCTCAATCATGTCAATACTTCCCAAGTTTAACGCATCTTAGAAAACACGTCTGAGCTTGTTCAGAACTGGTACGGCACGGCGCTATTTTTCCTCAACGAGGCGAATTTCATGCGGAACCCCGATTTCAAGACAGTACAGGCCATTGCCATACTTCTCGGACTGGCCAAAAATGTTGGGGACTTTGATCTTCAACCAGTTCTTCAAGCTACAGGTATAAGGATGGGCCAAATTCTGGGAATGGATCAGGAGCCTCCCATGGTGTCTGACAACCCTGTTACACAAGAGATCAGTCGACGAGTTTGGTGGACCTTGATCATCTGTGAATGGCTGTGCATACCAGCCCGTCCGCCCTGCATCCACGAGGCAGACTTCAATGTCAGGCTGCCACTGGTCTTGTCAGATGTAGAGTTGTCAACAGGATTAATTGACGAGCCAAGTATGGCGGTCAAGAGGCCACGTCCGGTGGATTATCACAATGCTATGATCTTCTTAGCAAAGTCGAACTATCGCTTTCAAATCCAAATGGGGACCATTGAAAATATGGGTGGAGATAATCTTCTTGAAGACCTTGTTCTGACAACGGATGAAGCCCTAGCTAATATTATCTCACAATTGCCAGCCCATCTTCTCGAGCTCTCTGGAGGACCAGCCAAAGACGGGGAACAATATCCACCCTGGGTACTGTGGCAACAAACCACATTGTCTCTCTCATTTTTGTTCTATCGAATGAAGGTGAACCGAGTTCTACAACATCGATGGGCCTACTCTTCGGATGTGCTTCTTGCAAGGTCAAAAGCAATATGTTTAGACTCGGCCAACACTATTGTGTCCATGGTCAAGCAACACAAGGTTGTGTTGGCACGCCATCGTCCGTGGTGAGTCTCAATTCTTCTGCTTTCATTGATCCTGTTCAACTAAATGTTCCATTTCTTCTTTCCTCGTATTAGGGCAACAACCTCTGCCCTATTTTCCGCTGCTTTGACCCTTGCAGCAGAGGCAAAGCGTCTTGACTCAGACGCAGCAGTGGAATATATTGACAAAATTCAAACTTGTTTCTCATTTTTTGAATATATCAAAGATCACAGTGCTCTTGCAATGCGAGTACTAAGTGAACTGAGGATATTTTGCGCTGAAATATGCGGTCATTATTCCGAAGCCACTGATAAGACGTGATTATCGCCAAGCTTTCATGGATTTCATTGCATTGAGACAAGAGACAACATATTTAGATTTATCCAATTTACTCAATGAGCACTAAACTGGAAATGGAACACCAACAAAAGAGGAAATCCTGTTATAATATACAAACCTTAGGAGAGTACGATCTGTAAGTAAACCGAACCAGTTGATGCAAGATCTAGAGGTGTAATGTTGAATATACTTTGATCGACTATATTATTGAACAGAAATAAGTCATTATTGAATGTTCTGGCCTCGTCCTAGGAATCAAAGAAAAAAGGACGCCAAAAACCGGGCAACGTCTGTGTCTTATAATATCTCCGGACCCTCACTCGTAAGGAGTAGGTGATGTGCATTTGTACTTGTTATACAGGCTATTTCAATAATAATAACCTTTGAGCAAGATTGACAAGTCTAGAATAAATGACTGTCATATGAGGATCATGAGAAAAAGTGACAGGTCACTAAGTTGTCAGGTCAAAGCTCCTTAACTAGTTAGAGCCCCGGGGCCCTTCCTCATGATTATGTGATTGCTTGCCTGAGGCCACCAAAACATCTGCCCTCTGACTTGAAGAATCTGTATCAAACTATTGCTCTCCTTGCGCCTTTCTCTCAATCTTAGACCGTCAAGCTATTCTCGCAGCATTACTCAAATTCTTAGAGTGTCTCCGCGAAAACTTGTTGATCACATCTTGCCACTTCGCGAAACTTTTACTCTCCGGAACACCCCCACCCCATTCTGTCCGCCCTCGCGCATTCACCCCAAGACACCTTAAGCGCATTCTGGTTGATGGGACACGCTCCTGGTGTGGAAAATACAGCTCTTGACAAGCCCCAGAAGGTCAAAATGGCGGCTAGAAGTGGTTCTGGGGCTGAGGCATCGGGGGTAAGTCAATTCCCGCGTCTGGTTGAAATGATCGAGAAGTAGACACTGACGCGTGCTATGCAGCTGGTCCACACCCTCCAAGGCCATGTCGATGATATTCGCACTCTGATACAGTGTGGTATCTGCATTCGTCCCCTTTACGAACCGTTTACTATCGCCTGCGGGCACACTTTCTGCTACTCAGTGAGTCGCTTCATACTATTGTACTATTTTGTTAATCCCAGTATCTGACCAGGATTCTTCACATAGTGTCTATCATCATGGTTTGCTGGTGGAAGATCAAAGCGGACATGCCCGGATTGCCGAGCACCAGTCAAAACTCAACCAGCGCCAGCTTATTTGGTGGGTTTTAGCAATCTTCAATTCGTTTCATTGTATCTGACATAGTTTTTGTGTTTCAGGTCCGGGCTGTTGTACAGATGTTCACAGGTCGAGCTGAACTTTTAGACAGAGGGGAAACGACTACGGAGCATTCAAAGAACCAAAGGGACGAAGCGGAAAAACTGGACCAGGACAAGGCCAATGATCACCCAACCGAAGGAGGTTTATTCGGGGGTCTTTTTAAGCCAAAGCCTCCCCCACTCAAACCTGTCATTGACATTGATGACGGAGTGGTTCGATGTCCGCTCTGTTCATGGGAACTTGAAGGAGATAATTGCGCAGGGTGCGGCTACCGATACCAGCCGGATTCCGAGGATTCAGATGACAGTGGATCAGCTGACTTCAGTGATACCGACTTAGATTCCCTGGATGATGATGAAGACGACGAGGAAGAGAACGGTGAGCGTGAGCAAGGGGAATCTGACCACTTCGATGACATTGAAGACCATGATGGCGTTTGGGGCAACTTTGCGCTTCAATATTACAGACCTACCTTCCCCCCGCGGCTTCCATGGCCCCCAGGTGCTGGTCGGCTTTTTGACCGGCTTGAAAACTTAATGGAAGGAGGACCTACCTTGATCCCAATGCCACCAGGGGTTCCAATGAATCATGGACACTATATCCCTTCAGGCAACACCAATGGGAGTGAATACGAAGAAGAGGAAGAGGAAGAAGAAGAGGGAGAGAATGAGTATGACGAGTCAGACTCATTCATCGATGCCGAAAACGACCATCCGCCCACGAGTTCCTTCATTGAAAACCAAGGCCATCGTCTCGGGAGTGGCGATATGTATGAATCGGAATCAGACCGTTCCACCGGAACTGTTGTAGATGATGTTCAGGGTGGCCACCATCCCCTACCGATTGGGCTCAATTACAGAAACACCACGCCTTACTTTGACGACGAGGATTCTGATGAAGAGGAGCAAGAGGAAGTCTCAATAGTCTCGGACGACAGAGAGATGGTCGATGAAGATGAAGAGGAGGATGAATCCGAATCTGAGGAAGACGCAATCCTGACTACTGCACCGCGTCGTCAAGCTAATTCATATCCACACCGGTCCCCTTGGTTCCAAGCCCCCAGCGATGCTCCATGGCTTGCAGCAAGGCCTTCGGTACCCATCCCTGACTCATCAGAAGAATCGGAATCTTCGCCGCCTACCAGACCTTCGATACCAATTCCTGACTCATCAGAAGAATCAGAATCTTCGCCACCTATCAGGCCTGCTAGACCCAGTGCGCGTCGTTCCATCCATCACGGCAGCACTGCTCAGAATGTGATCACCCTTGATGATTCCGACGACGATCAGCCTGTCGGCCCAGTAAGAAGGGCCACACAGAGGCGACGTGCCAGGTTCTCTCCATATTGAAAGAAATCTTCCAACCGCCGATGCGGCATTTGCTTTCGAATTTTATCGGCTTACTTAATGTTTTGTTTTGGCTTCAGCGCGGCGCTTGGGTAATGCTAAGAGGGCTGTGGACATGGTTGGCGTTTTGTCTTCATTTTGATATTAAAAGCATGCCCTTTTGTATGTTTTTCTTGCCTTTTTTTTGCTTCTGATGCCTTCAACTGCTGGATCCTATCTTCATGCTTTGTTTCTTATCGGCTCCACCGTACTCTACAAATACCCATATTTATCCTTATTCGATTCAACCTTGACATTTTGTGCTCCTTTGTCAGTGAAGTCGAAGGACCTAGTCTCTTCGCACTCAACAAAGCGCGGACGCAAAATCCGTCATCAGATTCATAAAGAAAGCCACCAGGCTTTACTTTATCCAGTCCTTATTTTCCACATTGTATTCTCACAAACTTGTAGAGCGCAATAGCTTCCTTCGTATTGTCATTGCTAATATTGCTTGTGTCTGAGTGATGACTACATGCATCTACAACAGTCCACGAGTCCATTCGAAGTAAAAAAACGCATCTGCCAGTAACCTACCTAGTGGGGACCCTACTTACTCGCAATCAAAGTAAAGCAATGGGAACAGCCAACAAACACCACCACATAGCGCAGACCCGGCTATTGGAAGCACAAACCTTGCGAAATTTGAGGGAAGGAAGTTTACACATAAGATGTGCTGTGTATGTAGTTTTTCTAGTCGTTTACCCCAATCAGAAAGCTTACTCTTCAGGGACAATACTGCACGAAATAGGGATATGATTGACTTCAATGCACCGAATATATCCGGTACTTATGCAAAAATGGTAAAATACACAGATGTGACTCCAAATACACCTGACCCCGAGCAACGCTCCCCATTTTACTCTCGGCCAATGGCCAAGATCGAGACAGAAGATTATGAACAAAATTTATACATCAGCCTTCGTTGTGTCATTAGTAACAAACGGAACTTCGAAGACAACAGCACCATTGCGGCCTCCCGAAGTGGTGCCCTCATGGAAATTGTTGTTGAAGCACTTCCAGCGAGCCAAACGGTGCTCCTTGCCGACAGCGGCGACAATAGACAACCCACGAGGTTCCTGCTCGGTCTCAGATTTCCGTTTGTCTGCACCAGGCATATCAGATTCAGGGCGTCGTTCGAATACTGCGATGTCGTTGATGACACCCTTGATCAAAGGCTCTGGCTCTTTTTGATCCGCCACAGGGGTTGCCTCGAGGGCAAGAGTCTGGTTGAGTTGCTGCGAGGGCGTGTCTGGTGTCACAGTACCAGGTGAGCCTGCACCGATGGGACCCAGAGCGATGAGTGTCTTTTTATCTTCTGAGACGCGCCATGCGCGGATGAAACCATCCCAGCTGCCACTGAGAACAACGTCGGTACCCGGTAGAGTAGCGAGTGCTGTGATCCAGCGAGGCATGGGTCGCATGTGGCGCGTGTTGTGGGCGGCAGTCGCCTCATCTGTCTCGGGTGATAACACATTCAGAGGGGGAATTGGGTCCAAGCCATGAGCAAGACGAACGGTGTAGAGTGGCTTCTTCTTGTGGATCGACCAAAGGCAGAGGGAGCCAGAATCCGAGCCAGTGACAAAGTGAGTGGGTGGAAGGGGGGCAATGCAATCAATGTTACTCTCATGGTAAGGGGCATTTCTTGAGGCGCCACCACGGAACACGAGCTGTGTTTCCTCGACAACCTTCCACAAGCGGGCGGTGCGATCCCGAGCACCTACACTCACACATTCGTCAATGGTCATGGCAGCAACTCCGGTGACATGATCCTGGTGGCCGAAGAGTGTTTCAACATAGGCGTGGCCCGCTCCGCTGATAGACCAAGTCTTAATTGTGCGGTCGTACGAGCCGGAGAATAGCTGCTCTCCGGAACTCATCGCTGAGATATGGCGTGCAAAAGACAAGCTGCAAACCGAATCTCTGTGGTGCAAGAAGGTCTTGCTTGGCGTCAAAGTCTCTGCGTCCCAGATGATAAGTTTATTGTCCGCTCCACCGGTGGCCACGAATTTTCCAGAAGGCGAGACAGCAACAGATAGAATGCTTCCTGTATGTCCTTGATCTTCGCCTGATTCACCAACTTTGCGCATACCCCGAGCGTACTTCACACGCTTGGGCTTCTTGCGCTGGGGACGCGGAGGCCGCTTAGAAGTATCATTATCGCCGTTCGATTCTGTAGACTCTGATACACTAGGTGTAGCCAATTCCCACTTGGTCAAAGTCTTATCCTTTGAAACAATGTAGACAAATGGTGGATGGACTGCGATGGCAGTGTTTGACTGGGTATCTGAACGGAAAAATGAATGGGGCGCTGTGGGGATAGATAATTTCGTAGCGATTTGACGGAACGTCCGCCCTTTGAACTCATCGACGTCCTTCTTCAATCGCTCCGCAATCAAGTCTCGATCGATATCCGCAGCATCAAATCCAGCTTCGTCGACTTCTTCCTGGATGTTACTCAAGTAGCGTTCAGCGAGTTTCAATCTTCGGTCCGCCGCGGTTTCGCCATCTTCCGAGTCCGATCCGCTTTCGTCGCCTGACTCTGCCGTATCGATTGCGGCATCTTCATCCAAGTCACTACCCGAGATCGATTCTTCTCTCTCTTTCGTGCGTCGACCAGCGTCGGTTTTGGCATCTACGCCTCGCTTTTTTGATCCTGGGGGTGCGGCGCGGTCGTCTCTCTTCCTCTTGCGCTGCGAATTGGGTACAGTGAAGAAGGATGACATGGCGACGTTTGGTCAAACCTGTCAGTTCTTGATCTCTGTATAAAGAAATTGAATGTATGGCGTTCTCGAGAGACTCGGACTGCGGAGATCGAAACTTCAACTTTTTTTTGGCAGAAAAAAAAGCGCTAAGCGGCGGCTGACTCAGCAGGTAGCTGACCTCACGGGAGCTCCAGGCGTCAAGCTCACCGCGCGGTCCTCCTCACTTAACCACTATTCCCCTTCGTCTTCTCTGATCATCTACTTGCTTTTTGTTTTTTTATTTATCTCTCATATCGCAAACATGCAAGTTTATGGTACTCTTATATTACAAATGGCCACTAATAGTTTGCTAGGGAGGTTCTTTTGGGTATCGCCGGCAAGGACTTCGTCATTCTTGCTGCATCCAAGGCCGCAATGAGAGGCCCGACAGTTCTCAAGGCTGAAGATGATAAGACACGACAGTTGAACAAGCACACATTGATGGCCTTCTCCGGCGAGTCTGGAGATACCGGTATGTAGCTGCTCCTCCATCGAGATAAACAAGATGCTAATGAGCTACATATGCTAGTTCAATTTGCCGAATACATCCAAGCCAACGCTGCACTCTACAGTATGCGCAATGACACGGAGCTCAGCCCCTCCGCCGTTGCCAATTTCGTTCGGGGAGAATTGGCGCGTAGCTTGCGGTCACGGAGTCCCTACACAGTCAACTTGCTGCTAGGTGGTATAGATCCGGTCACTGAGAAGCCACACCTGTTTTGGATTGACTACCTAGCGTCGCTGGCGCCCCTACCATATGCCGCCCATGGCTATGCCCAGTATGTTTCATGGCCCATGATGACGGACGATACGAAAGTATAGGCAAGAGATAACTAATGCTGACTCCGCTAGATACTACTGCCTCTCTATCCTTGACAAACACCACCATCCCGACTGCACCCGCGAGGAGGGCCTTGCGCTCCTCACCCTGTGCACAGATGAGCTGAAGCGCAGACTCCCCATTGACTACAAAGGAGTAAGTTCTTGAGGAAGCCCTCAAATGCTGCTATTCTGACACTCTCATTTACAGATGCTGGTGAAGATGGTGACAAAGGATGGCGTGGAAGAGATCACCGTGGATAACGATAAGGTGGTACGGAGTGCTTGAAGGTCGACATACCATGGCGTTTGTTGTATCACATCTTATGACGTTTTTCTTTGATTCCGAGATAGTCGAACGGTCGACATGATTTAGGCTGTAGCAACCTTGGAAGTCAAGTAAGAAGTAGAGTCCTAGATAGACTTGAATAAATAATTGCCAAATACAGCCCTATGAGCTCACCGCTTCGAATGAATAGCATTATGTATATAGAGGGTACACCGCTTGGCATTTGCATTCAATGGGCGTTTGATTTGTTTGCAACATTGCTGAGTCGCATCCCGAGCTCCAAGAACTCCGTGATCACCAACTTTTCGAACCAACCCATCTCACAATGTCGAAAAGACCCGCAGAGCTCCCCTTGGAGCAAGACTTTTCTAGCTCACCCATGTCGAAAAAGGCGCGCGTTGAGGACGACAACGATCCCGATTCTCGCAACGGCGCAGTGCCCGCGGACCGAACGAGCGGCGAAGAGCTGAAACAGGACCGTCGCAATGCTGTGGATGTTCAGGGAGCAGCGCAAATAGAAGGAGAGGAGCTTGAGGAGGGTGAACAAAATCTCTCTGGACTCTCAGATATTGACGAAGATGCGCCTGTACTCAGCGCTCCGAAGCGGCAAAGCGCTCCCATGGAAGGCTACGGCGACCTGTACCTCGACACGATCAACCGCGAAATCCTGGATTTCGATTTCGAGAAGCTGTGCTCCGTCAGTCTGTCGAACGTCAATGTATACGCATGCCTCGTATGCGGCAAATACTTCCAGGGTCGTGGCCCTAAATCGCATGCATATTTTCACGCCCTTGAAATTGGACACCACGTCTTCATCAACATTGCCACGAAGAAGGTCTATGTTTTGCCTGAAGGATATGAAGTCAATAACAAGAGTTTGGAAGATATCAAGTATGTGGTTGATCCGCACTACACAAAAAGTCAAGTGGCGAAGCTTGATAAGGAAGTGCATGACGCCTGGGACCTTTCTGGGTCTAAGTACAGACCAGGTAAGAGAATATATCACAGGGTCGGAGCTTTCTTTTTAGCTAATTGTCTTCCTTTCCAGGGTTTGTCGGCATGAACAACATCAAAGCCAACGACTACGTCAATGTCGTAGCTCAATTACTGGCACATGTTTTGCCAATTCGGAACTTTTTCCTCCTCCACGAGTTCCCCACGCCTGGCACACCGGAGATAATTCTTCGTTTCAGCACGCTGGTGCGCAAGCTATGGAACCCTAAAGCTTTCCGGTCACATGTGTCTCCGCACGAGTTACTACAGGAGATTGCCGTACGATCCTCGAAGCGTTTCACTCTCACCAACCAGGCAGATCCCGTGGAATTTTTGTCTTGGTTCCTAAATACCCTGCACCTCGCCTTGGGAGGGTCCAAGAAGCCCTCACCAACACCCACAAGTGTTATTCACGCAGCGTTTCAGGGCCGTGTACGGATCGAAAGCCAAGCTATCACCGCTCACTCCGATACCCAAAATGCCCGATTAGTATTCTCTGAATCTGCAACGATCAATAGCCAGGTCACTCCTTTCCTCATCCTCACACTAGATCTACCCCCCACACCCCTCTTCCAATCTACCAGTGGGGTGTCGAGTCTCCCACAGGTTCACTTGACTACCCTCTTGAAAAAATACAACGGCTACACAGCGTCAGAGAAACTGGCCCAACGTGTCCGACACCGTCTCCTTCACCCTCTGCCTCCCTACCTTTTCTTCCATATCAAGCGCTTCAGCAAGAACCGCTTTGTCTCTGAGCGAAACCCAACAATCGTTACTTACGACTCTCCGCACTCCTTGGATATGTCCCCCTATGTTGAGCCAAATCCCAATGTTTGGTCACCTGGCGAGCCAATCCTCTACGATCTTGTCGCAAACATCATTCTCGACCCCGCTATTGCGGCACCGGGTGAAATGGATGATGCTGTGGATAAGGGCGTTAACTCTGCGTCAGGTGCCGGCGGTTCCTCCAGCGGAGCAGGTGGCGGCAGCAAGAAGGTGTCATGGCTTGTACAACTTCATGATAAAGCCATGGAGGCCGAGAACACCCGCGCCAAAAACGGCGGTTCCACGGAGAAGCAGCAGCAGGGCCCGGAGTGGCTTGAGATCCAGGATTTGTTCGTCAACAGCACGCAAAGCGAGACGCTGTTCACTCACGAGGGGTATCTCATGGTCTGGGAGCGGCGCAAGGTGCCAGGGAGCAAAGGAAAAGGGCGTGCATGATCTGATGTAGTTACATCTGACGAGTTCCGAGATCAATCAATTAATGTTCAATTAATGTTCAATTAGCCTGTTGCAGTCTAACTAGTTGCATGTCACTATGCGGGCGCTTCATCCAACTGAAGCAAGAACTCGAAGCCAAACGCTGAGTTGGGATCACTCCCAGAGAGTACATAGATGCCAGTTTGTAAAAGATTGCGAAATCAGCCCATTACTATACATAAGATATATAATGAATGCGATAGAGTGCACTCTCTAGCCTTCATCTGTCAATTTCCACTTCTCACTCTCCTCTCCTATCCACTGCATCCTCCCCGCTTCAGTGTCAATTAGTAGTGTTATTATCCTAGCCAGTTGGACATATTTATCGACTTTAACCGAGTTTTTCATTTCACAGCTTCAATTATCGCCATTGGCTAATACCCATTATCTCCCACACCTAGGTACATAGACCCACGGCTATCAGTTCACCATCATTGTCCTCCTCGAGCACCACATAGTAACGTAGCGGGTGGCCTGCGGACTTGACACGATCTTATCATAGTTAGTTTCCATAATTTCAATTCTATCAAGTTATTCCCACAGCTTTGTCCGTCTTGTTCAAGATCAAGGCAGCCGAGACAGATCGGTGTATTTGTGACGAAGAATCGCAAGCACCAAAGCATATTCTTATGCAATGTCCACTCTACACCGAGCATCGCGTGAGGATGTGGGGACAACTTGATAGAGTCGGAATCAAGGAAATTGACATAATAAGATCGTATCCAACCCGTAGGCCACTCGCTACGTGGTTAACTCCATGCGTTCAACATGTAGGGCTTGAGGAGGACGACGACGACGAACAACCGATAGGGCTTGCAGCTATGAGCCTAGGTGTAGAAGACGATGGGTATTAGCTAACGACGATAAATGATGCCAGGGAACGAGAAACTCGGCCACAATCAACAAGCATGCCAAACAGCGGGCTAAATCATCAATTGAAACCGAAGCAAGGGGAGAATGCAGAGCATAGGAGGAAAAAAGTGAGAAGTGAGAAGTGGGAGCGGGAGTGGAAAGACGGAATGCAGGGTGCAATCTATCGCATTACACATATTTCTTTTATATGGGGGTTTTGGGGGGTAGGGCTTGTGGGTTTTAAGAGATGCAGGAATGGACTGGCTCCACACTCTTTACAAATCAGCCTCTGCATACTCCCTAGGAGAGATCCCACTTGGCGTTGTTCCTTCGAGTTCTTGCTTCGGTTGGATGACGTGCCTGCATAGTACAAAATAGACTGTAAGAGCTTAATTCGCGATTAATTGATTGATACTAGCAGCTGTGGCGATGTGGATTGTCTTCATCGGCAACGAGTTCAGCGGTTGGCCTGCGCTTCGAACTTGCTATTGTCTTCTGCATCTTCTATGTTTCTACTCTTTGAGAACAGACTCAACATACAATCAAATAATGACGAAATTGGATTTTTGTTTTTGTTTTGTTTTTCAATATCTTCCACTGTACGGTAAGTTAAGGAAATCATGAAAAGAAACACGCAAATGCTACACTCGAAGAGAAGAATATAATGGCCATAGAAAGACAACCTCCATATGTAGCAGATAGCTTTGTATCTTATAGCCAGAACCTTGGAATGGCAAGGGCTATAAAACAAGCAAGAAACGGCTGTCGAACATGTGCCGTCACGGTATATTATATCAATGATCTAGATAACGCTAGATGTGTGACTCAAAAATTGCGGAAATGCATACTGTACAGGTGAAAAAGTGGTTGGGGTACAAAGGTTTCATCTAGCCTAGTTAAGATACACATTATAGAACGACATAGGTATTGATGCGGCGAAAACAAACATATAGATACTCATCACAAGGTTCCCCAACCGCAGAACTTCCGCCCTATCCTCATTGTCGAGCCTACCAGGAAGCCCCAAATCCCCGCTCTCATCGCAACTTGCATCCCTCTCATCAGCATGAGTCGGCCGGAATAGGCAAGTATGTCTGGCCACGTTCTTCCGCCAAACCAAAGACCCAACGGGTGGACATCTGAGAGACGGATAAGGGAGGAAGGGTGTGATATGATCCAGGATCGGGTCAATGAGCGAAGATAGTAGGCTTCAAGGGGCGCGAGTAAGATGCCGCTGATTGCAGCAGCCAGATGAGATGCGAGGGAGTCCACTGGGTATGCCGAAAGAAGGGTGACGCGATGGACTTGCGACAATGGGTTTGTCAGTTGTCCGGGCATAAGAGAAGAGGGTAGAATTGGCTGGACCAGGGTGTCGGATTGGGTGTCTTCATTATCGTTCGTATCTGCCACAGGATTTGATTCATTTGGGGGCTCTTCGTCATTTGGTTCTTCCACGCCATCTGGGAGAATGTTTGGAACAACGGACTCTAGTCGTTCCTCGGTTGACTCTAAAGTTGGAGCGTCGGTGGTCTGGGTTTCTGGAGCCGGAATTTGAGGGTCTACTTCCGGGGCACCAAAGTCTTGAAGGGTTATGTTGGATGGTCCGGCACTTGAAACGTCGTCTGTATCTGTTGCCGCTACGGGCTGTTGCTCCTGTTGCTGCTGCTGTTGCTGCTGGCGCTGGGCCTGACTTAAAATCAGAGCCTCGAGGAACTCGGCTATGGATCGTCTGTCCATGGCATCTGGGTTTGTATTTGATCCTGGCACATCATTACCTGCGGGTGCATGCAGCCGAGGGATATTTGAAGATGGGATTTGCGGGTGACGGTTCCGATGACCCATCAACTCAAGCTGCATCGTGATGACGTCGGCGCTCTGGTGAATCAAAGATGCTCTTACGCGAGGCGACGTAGGAGGTGATGTTTCTGGTGATGATGGGCGAGAAAAGAGAGTGTTGGATCGCGAGTTATGACGGTCCGTAGCAAAATCTTCATCATTTTGCAAAGGGGTTGTTTGCTCCTGCGGAGTTGAACTGGCCGAGAGACGGCTCGTTCTTCCCGCAGTAGCTATCTCGGAGAAATAGTCACTGCTCATTTCTCCAGGCGATTGAGACATACGATCTTCATTTGTAAGCACTTGATTCAGCCCAATGACTGATTCTGCTTGGGTCAAATTCGTGGGCCTTATTGCATCCTGTGGTCGTGGTTGTTCTCGTGATGCAAGAGCAGCAACCTGGGCATCGGGGGTGATCCCCGGCGGCCTAGGTGGGTGATTGTTTGGTCTTTCTTCGCCAATCAGATTAACTTGGATTCCGTCAAGTTCATGTTGCAACAACTCAATCGAATTGCGTAGATTTTCAATCCTCTCGTCTCTCAAGGACTGGATAGCTTGTTGCTCTGCTGATCGGTTCGATCTCAGTCCAAAGAACGATGATACCCACCTTCGAAAAATGGCTAGTTCGAACTTGACATCTTCAAATAGCGAGAGTTTGGAGCGGTGTAATTCTTCGTCTGATCTACGGCCTAGGGTAGGCACTACCCACTCTATCAGGTTTTCTTCGAAGGCAACGCGGACTGAGAGTTCATCGGGAAGAGCTGGCTTTGGAAGGTGTCGCCTGATCAATCGATAGATACGCTCCTCCAGCTCTGGTCGCAAGTAGTAGCCATAAAGGAATACTAAAACACCAGGGGAGGCCAGCAACTGCACGAGTGAGGTCCCCAGTGAGTGAGCAGAGAAATCGGCGGGCAAGGGTGGCAGTTGTAGCAAGGATTCTCTGCTGAAGGGAAGCAGAAGATGCGCTCCAGGAATGCCATATGGAGACACAAGGGAAAGAGATTGGAGTGTGGAGTACATGTAGAACTCCATAGACAACATAAGCACAGAATTTCGCGCCCTTTACTCATAATTAGTTGTCTTGTCAATTTGAATGGACGATGAATATACTCACACTGTATATAGAAGCCCGAAAAGAGAACGAACGCCAATTGAGTCGCCCGTCAAAGACTGAACGTAGTCCCGAAGAAAGACGAACACCCGTTTCAGTGGGGTTTCACGAGCTATCGTCAAACCACTGGATATTGCCCAGGCAGGAATTCCAGAAAAATAGAAATTAAGAATCCCTATGGTGTCTCTCTCAGACTTTATGACACTGAATAATGCGGAATGGGCATAATGCCGATAAGTCTGAATATTAAGTCCCGAATGTCAGCCTAATCAATATAGAGTAGTCGATATTGCATTTACCTGTACGCGACCAGTGACTGAAGAGGTCCACCAGGTACCGAAAAAGATGAACAGTTGATCAAGAGTTGTTATCACTAGTCCAAAATCATTTTCACTCGCAATCTGGTTGATCTTTTGCTGTTCATTGGGAATACTAGAGTTTCGGTCTTCTCCACTGACGACAATCCCCATTGTTGAAAGGATGTCGTTTTTTGCCCTCCGGAGTTCTTTCCCAAGTGCTCTGGATTCGGGGTTAACAGGGTGCCCTCGAGTGTCATATTGCTGCATATAATTGTCCGCGTGGACACTGGAGATCCGTCGGACTGGATTGGAGGGGTCAACCGCCGCATTGTCGGGAGCTTCGTATGGAGACCGGCCCTTTCAATCAGTCAATATTATGCACTACCTAGTTTATAACTAGGCTCAATTAGGCATGTAAGGAAGAGGCGTTTGGGATGGGGTTGTATATCCACATAGAAACAATGAGACATGTAGTGACTGGTGTTCAGAAGTCTTCAGGATTCTCGAGATAAAGGGTGATCCATCGCCACATCCATAGACCCAAGATTTCTCAACTGCAAATATAGGGGAAGTTCGTGCGTAAAAAGGTGAAGCTTACCAATGCGAGCCGGTTCAAATAAGCCTGTCGACCCATATCGTGCAAGATCGCTGGGCTAGTACTGTAGCCACGCCGCCTTTTATTGAACCATTGGTAAAACCTGTCAGAGCCTCTGGATTTAAAAAGATTTATGTAACAAGCGATGAAGTACAATCAGATGAAAGCCCGCTGAAGGTGCACATGTGGTCATGCGGCCAAACTTGGCCTGAGGCAGGAGCCATATCTTATCACCAAACAAACAGTGCAAACATCAAAAAAAGTTGCCCGCTCGAGCTGCCGTTTTTTGCGATCGTTCAATCTCTACGGCTCTTCGACTGGCCAATGGCGTGCTAAATTCTACCTTTTTACGCCGAGATATTATAGAGTCATGTCGAAAGCTATCGTCAAAACCACTTTCGAGGCGTCCCGCACGCTCCGCCCCATTTACACCGGTGGTAGCACAGCGCTGGATGCCAGTGGGCGCATCTTGCTGAGCTGCGTGGGAGAGGATGCCTTGATCGTTGATTTGGAGACTGGTAACCAGCTTGCTAGCCTGGAGGGGGTATGTTTTTTTGGTCTTGAAGTATTCGTCAATTGCAAAGCGCTAACCACATGAACGTTGCAGGATGGAGAAATTGTCACAGGTTTGGCCAGTAAGTATTGTATATCCTGGAAGTGAGAATAAAACACTGACAATTCGCCTAGTCACGCCTTCCGCCTCACACGCCATTGTCTGCTCGCGCTCGATGTCCATGCGAATCTACAGCCTCCCAACTTTCGACGAGACTTCCCAGACCATTGAAGCAAAACTTCTCCGAACCCTTAAGCCTCACACAGCTCCCGTTGTGACCATTGCTGTTGACCCTACTGGCACACTGCTTGCCACTGGTGGTGCCGATGGCTCAATTAAGGTTTGGGACATTAGAGGCGGTTTTGTCACTCACACTTTCCACGGTCATGGTGGTGTTATTTCTGCGCTTTGCTTTTTCGAGGTTCCTACTGCCGATAGTGATGCCAAGTCATCTAAGAAGAACAAGTCTAAGCAACAGGCTACGGGGGATGATGATGAAGATATGGAGGAGTCTACCCGTACGGGTTCTACAGCTGGATTCCGCCTTGCATCTGGCAGTGAAGATGGCAAAATGCGTGTGTGGGATCTGCACAAGAGAAAATCCATTGCGTCGCTCGAGTCACATGTTTCACTTGTCCGCAGTTTGTCCTTTTCACCGTCAGAGAACGCATTGATCTCGGCCAGCCGAGACAAGACTGTCATCGTGTGGGATGCGCGTACTTGGAAGACTCGCAGAATCATTCCTGTTTTAGAAAGCGTGGAAGCCGCCGCTTTCATCGCGGATAGCGGGCTGTGTGTTATTGGTGGAGAAAATGGCAAACTGCGAGTCTGGGACTGCAATCGTGGAAGCGAGATCACAGAGGAACAGGAGGCTGGAGAGGAGTTCGAAAGCGTCGTCGCTATCCATTATTCAGCTGGCTTGCCTTTCGTCCTCACTATCCATGCAGATCAGACTCTCCGACTCCACTCGCTCGAGTCGCTGTCCGATTATAAGCCAGGGTCAACTTTGGAACCATTGACGGTTACCCGCCGCATTTCTGGAAATGACGACGAGATCATTGATCTGGCTTACATTGGGCCTGATCGGTCGCTGCTTGCTTTGGCCACTAACACTGAAAGTATTCGTGTAGTTTCGGTTACTCCCTCAGAAGACCGACCCTCAACTCAGGGAGAGGAATACTTCGGTGCTGATGTCACACACCTTGAAGGCCACGACGATATTATCATCTGCATTGATGCGGACTGGTCAGGACACTGGCTCGCAACTGGTGCTAAAGACAATACCGCCCGTCTTTGGCGTATTGACCCGAAGACATCCTCTTATACTTGCTTTGCTATTTTCACTGGCCACGCCGAGTCGTTGGGAGCAATCGCCCTTCCGCGCGTGCCACCTCCTGTTGGCAGTGCCGCATATAACGACCCCGTGAACCACCCACCAGCATTCCTAATTACTGGATCGCAAGATCGCACAATCAAGCGATGGGATACAAGCAAGTTAGCTCCCCTGACAGGAGAAAAGCCACACACTCCCAAGGCAATGTATACTCGCAAGGCTCACGAAAAGGATATTAATGCCATTGATATTGATTCTACATCTGAACTGTTTGCCTCAGCATCACAAGACCGCACAGTGAAGATCTGGGCCGCCGACGAAGGCTCGACGGTAGGTGTCCTCCGTGGCCACAAGCGAGGTGTTTGGTCGGTGCGATTCGCCCCGCAAGGCACACCGATCATCAACTCAGATTCAAAGACAAGCACGAGCCGCGGTCTAGCAGTCACAGGCTCGGGTGATAAGACCGTCAAACTGTGGAGTCTGTCTGACTACAGCTGTCTCTTGACTTTCGAGGGCCACACCAACAGTGTTCTCAAAGTCCTCTGGCTCCCACCTCCACAGGTCTCGAACAACCAAACCGACGATGACGAGGATGACGAAGAGGCTGCAACAGCACGCAAAAACGCCATCCAGGACCGCCCCCTTATCGCCTCTGCCGCCGCAGACGGTCTGGTCAAGATCTGGTCCCCTTACACAGGCGAGCTCGAAACCACCCTGGACAACCACATCGACCGGGTCTGGGCGCTTGCCAGCCCCTTCCCATCCGGCTCACGCGCAGACGTGAAGCAACACTCCTCCAAGCTCAACACTACTCCCTACGCCATTGCCTCCGGCTCTGCCGACGCAACAGTGACATTCTGGACTGATACTACATCAGCCACCTACACAGCCGCTGTCAACGCCAGCTCTGCTCGCGTCGAACAGGACCAAGAGCTGCAGAACTACATCCGTGCAGGTGCCTACCGCGAAGCCATCACCCTGGCCCTGCAACTTAACCACCCCGGTAGACTGCTCTCGCTCTTCACCTCCGCTATCAACGCCGCAGACGACCCAACCCTTCCGGCTGAGGAACGCGAGCTTGCTGCAACCAGTCTGTCCGGTAACCCGTCCATTGACGAAGTCCTGCAGAACTTGGACCCTGCCAATCTGCGCACTCTCCTGCTCCGTCTCCGCGACTGGAATACTAATGCACGCACCTCGCGTGTGTCACAGCGCATCCTGTATGCTCTGTTCCGCTCCTACCCTGCGTCCACATTCGTGGAACTTGCGACCCAGTCCGTCCGCGGAAAAGAGGGTCGTGCCGCGGCTGGTATGAAGGATATCCTACAGGCATTGGCTGCATACACTGAGAGACACTACCGCCGAGTTGAGGAGCTGGTCGATGACAGTTACCTAGTGGAGTGGGTTCTCGGTGAGATGGATGGTGGTGTTGGACTTGGTGCACTACGTGATTTGACTGTGGGCGATGTCAGTGACGAGGAAGAGCATGAGAAGGACGTTGTTATGTTGGAAGCATAGTCTGGCTTTATAGTCTTTTACCCTGTTTGTACATTGAATTTGGCGCTTTCGTTCTTGGAGTACCATGGGTGGGAAGGATAAAAGCCATCTCTTTATAGAATTGAACAGTGTATCATGGAAATTGTTCTTTGGCTAAAGCCATATATTTTGATTGTTCAGGGTATCTTTATTTGGCTGAATCTCGTGGTAAAATAACTAGGAGTCAATATGTAGCTCCTAAAGAAGCAGCAATTTGTCATGTACAAAGGCGTCAATGTCTTTCAACCCCGCTAACCAAAACATAACCAAAACATCCGGCCTCTAATCATCGCGACGACTCCGACGAGAGTCACGATCACGATCACGATCTCGGTCACTCCGAGAGGAGTGAGACGAGTGCCGCGAGCTGCTGTATCTGTCATCTCGAGATCGATGGCTGCGGTCCCTGTCCCGTTCCCGATCTCCATCTCTCCTTCGATCGTCCTTATCATCATCACGGTCTCGGCGGCGATCCCGATCGTGGTCTCGATCACGATAGGAACGGTCGTCGCGTCTGCTTTTATCATCATCGTCATCATATCGAGAGGAGCGGCTAGAAGATTGGCGGCCACTAGACCGACTGCGGTCACGTCGCGAGGACCCAGTCTTCCGGCTAGAACGATCCCCCTCGTCGTCATAGTCGCGTTTGCGGTATTCCCTGTCTCGACCGCTCTTCTCAAGGTTACGATCCCGTCGCTCACGCCAATCGTCTTCCTTGGGAGGCTTAGACTTGGCCTCCTTTTTGTAGAGCAGCGAGTTCCTCTTCGGTGAGCTGCTCGCCAGTTTTCTTATTCCGCATCATGATAGGCATGTAAACACCCTCAGCCTTGTCGTTATCCTCCCCTTGCTTCCTCGATGCCTTGCGCATAGCCGCTTTTCCCCAAGCTCCGAACTCAGCTTCCGCTCCTTTGCCGCCGGATGAATCCTTTGCACCAATACCGAGGAACACAGGTCGTCGTTCTGGGACACGAGGGTTTTTCGCCTTCTCTGCAGCTGTGGCACTGCTGTAGTTGCCTCGTCCAATAGATTGACCATCCTTCCAGCCCATTCCTCGTAGCAGCGCAGCACCGAATTCCTCAACGGGGATGGCATTGTAGGCGTCCAAATTAGCAGGATCAGGTCGGGATGCCACATCTGTTCGGAAAGATCCGAGCTCGTTGTATTGGACTGGTGCTTCTTCATCTCTATGCTTAGCAGACTCAATCACAAGGTCTGATCTCCGTTCCACTTCGCCGGTAGTTTCGCGAATCAGCGCTTGCATGGCAATCTGGTCGTCGGTGAGGGGCTTGGTCTCGACGGGTTTCGCATCAGGCATGGCCTGGTCTTTGTCCACTACCGCGCCTTTCTCTGCCTGGTCTGTGGACTGCTGTGCAAAGCTCAACCCGTACGCCATACTGGGTGTAGATGTCTCCACTGTAGACTCCCCGGGGGCTGCTTGTCCGTTCTTTTGCGCTTCCTGCATAGCCTGCACTTCGCTAGGCAGCAGATTCTTCTTGCCTTTCTTCACATTAACACCCGCCCGGTCGCGCCAGTTGTTCTTGCTCGTAACGGGAATGATCAGTGGCTTATTTGTGTCTTCAACTGCCTGTCCATCTGCGGTAATGGCGGCACCCGTGAGAGTGTCGAACCCTGAGATTTCCTCGTGGGCCGGAGGGGCCTCGTCAGAGTCAGAGTCATCGTGGTAATCGAGCTGGTGAGGTCTCCGAGGCAGTGACCGGCCGTTTGCTGGGGAATTTGTGGAACGGCCACGATTTGAGGATTGGATGTTGAAACCAGTCTTTTTCGGGGGACCATTTGAACTGGACAAAGATAGAGAGATTGGTTTGGACAGCGGTTGTCCCCCCTTACTGTGGTCGCGCGAAGACATGGCGATGGTATCTTAGTTTGAAACAAATGGAGTGCTTAGTAGGGAGAGAGAGCTCGAGGCGCAATTGATACTTGAGAGCGACCTCATGGGCGGTGGCAAAATTGGAAGCGCGGCTAAATACACAGATTTGTATGGACAGCGGTAATCCAAGCCACGCTCGAGGGCTGCAACTCTACTTTGTACATATGTACCGCCTGGCAGTCGAAACCTTTCCCTTTCCGTTTTAGTGCTCACCCCTGCCGCTTTTTGATCACTGACCTCAGTAAAACTGAGCATGTCCCTGACCCATTACAACTGAGCTGCTCACTGTGCATCACCTGATCATCCCGTGAGCACCACTGATCATCATTTGAGCTAAGCTTCTCCAAAACCCAACTTGGGGACGGCTTAGCTTAGACAGCCATTGCATTAAGGCTTATAATCTCATTGGTAAACTGGCTAAGACTGCTACCCCTTATCTCGCTACGAATTTTGATCGTCATGATACGCTGGCATCGTGATGTTATTCGGGAGATATGACTAGAACGTGTGCCTCCTACTACCGACGCGTTATCGACGCGTCTGCAATATCTTGACTCTAGGATATGATCCTGTCTTATGAGAAATTGCCTCACCCTTTAGGTACTCCTATCGATAACGATCCGCGCCGCTACGCCTATAGGCTATGGATGAGAATACCACGCTGACACCGTACTGCTAACACGTAACGAACATGCTAGAATTATACTAACACCCCTATCGACAATGCACCGCGCCGCTAAGCTTATGAGAAGACTACGCTGGCACCATACTGCTGACACGCAAGGAACACTGCCTTCTCTAGGGCTGGACTGGTTATCACCCTGCCCTTATAATATTGAGCGGTGTCATAATTTCAATTCGGGCACACTTCATGCTATCGCAGAGAACCAACCGCTGTCTACGGGATACGCATAGACTAAGTAAGTCGCGAACCCCATTGCCAAGGCCCTAGCGTAGTTCATCTATTGGGTGAGCCTCAAAGTAAGGGCCGTAGTAAAATGCCTTTTTGTTTCCCTATAGACAGTGAACGTGAAAAATATTAGCCTTCGATTAAGGCTTATCGTGTTACTGAAAGCTATGATTTCCTACCAATCTCCATCATATAATGTCCACAGCTTTATGCTTTGATTTCTTTCAAAATGACAATATACCGTAAGCAGCATTTTTCGGCGCACTTAAGTTAAGCGCCGGTCGATTAATGATCGGCGCCAAGGAGTTGGCGGTCCCGCAAAAAGTTATTCAGTGTTTATCGGCCAAGCCGATTTAGAGAATGACTGTAAACATGTGCTGTAAACATGACCGGTATTTTTCAACTGATAGTCCTAAATGTCACGATCTGGCTGTTATCACATGTTTTCACATGTCAGGGATTGTTGCTTCCAAGGTTGCTATTTCTTTGTTCAAAAGTGCTAAGCCTAATCTGGAAGGAGGGAGTTTGCTTGCATGTGAGATCCTCCAAGTATAAGAACCCCAGGATCTCTCTCTCTTTATTTCTCTCTCTCTCTCTTCTTCTTCTTCTTCTTCTTTTTTGCTTTTCTAGTTTAATGCACTCTTTCATTATTAAAGACCTGGCTCGTAACACTACTCAGTATCTAAGCGAAAAATGATTCTGTTACATATAATTGACTAACCGCCACAGATATCCAATTGGCTCTGTAGTCATAGACATCGTTCCTGACCACTTACAGGGTTGACCTGTTTCACATACACCAATTATCTCTCCCTCAAAATGGGTCTTGGTAATTCCGCCCTAATCTGACCAGACTCCCAATTCCTAGCGGCTACTAACATTTAGGATAACAGGGCAGATCAGACTATGAACACCGTTGAAAGCTCCATGATAGATCTCGAGGCCCAACCATGGCAGACACGGAGAAATAGATTTCGATCTTGAAACAACATTTGAAGGTGTCAAACGAAGACTAGGAGCAGACTATTGACCAACTACACTAGGAAGTGGGTCATAGTCCAGTTCTTCTACTAATATCGATTGATCACCTGAGAGCGGGGTAAACTGGGGTCCAGTAGTAGCTGGAAGGATTCAAAGCTGACTTCCCGGCCTCTTCAAAACCAGCCTCAACACGTTCAACACTTCATAAATTCAGTTATTTGCACATCGTCTGAATAGAGGCTGTGGTATTGACCCCTTTGACAGCCACACACCCTGATTTCATGGCAATGGATGTTTCTCAACTTCCGGACATCACCGGCTTGCTTGTCAGGCCAGATAACCCTCCACGAGAGGATGTCGAAGGAATGGATTACTCACGATGTGTGGCTCTATACAACTACCTGATACAATATGCTTGGCTCGCTGAAGGCCGTCCACTGGCAACTCTGAATAGCAACAGCACCAACTTTTTCACGGTCCACGGTGCTGAAGCTGAGGCTATTCGTCCAAGACTTGATCCGTCGGTGGTGGCTTTCCTTGACAACGCTATAATACCTCCTTGGGAAGATTTTGGCGAAACGCCACTCTCTATTTTCGCATCGGCACTCAATTGGCCACAATCACTTTTTGCGGAAGTTGAAGCTGATCTTGAAGACCAGCCGGTTGACAGTATGCTGCGCTTGTGCTATGTGGCCTTATCAACCGATGACAGTAATGGGGGTGTTATCTACCACCAACGCCACCATCGCGTCGCGATATTTATGCATACTGATGACTGGGGCTTCGGGTTTCCAGTCAAGGATCATCCAGACGTTTGGAACCCATTCGAGACAGTGCTCTCCCACTGGATTGACATGATTAATATCGGAAAAGTCGTGGCTGCGCCTCATGAAGAGCCAGCGCTATTCGAATTCGAGAAGATCGGGCCCTGGGAGTGGCGGCCCTATAGCGAAGCCCAGATTACTACGTGTGTTGACGCGTGGGATCGGTTGTGTCAGGCTATCGAGACACGCATCTCGCAGCTACCAAACCCACCATCACTAATCAGTTCCGGTTCCAGGACTGATACGGATAATCTAGAGCCACTGGTCGCATTAAGCGTCCTAGACGCCGCCTCGGTGCTCGATCCTTGCTTTACGCGTTCATTTCTATCACGCGCGAGACGACCCTCGTTCCAATATATCGCTCCAGGCCTTCTCCTGCCCCCAGCTGACTTATCTGGGTTTGTGGCGCTACAGACATTCACCGCATTGCCCCTTTCCCAGTATACCGTACCGCCAGTGTGCCTTTTCCCCGCCGATACCGGATACCAGCGTCCTATCGAGCTTACGAGATTTACAAGTCCATGGGTATTAATGGAGGATTTCTATTCATCGTCTACTGATACGCATACACCCTCTCATATCTCTGCGGGTCTATATACTACAGCAGTGGATAGAAAATGGGATGATATGGCCGAGGATGGATTTCAGCTGTTTCTCCCGTTTACCGTCAATGCTGGCTATGATAGGAAGGTAGGCGCACGAAAAAGCGATGGGGAGCTTGTTGATAGGGACAGTTTTTCAGGACTCTTTCAGCATGGATTCAAGCCTTTTGGTGGTAACTACTACCGCCCTCAGCGGCTGGAGCGTTTGTTGGATTGTTGGCGCAAGCTGGTTGAAGATGGCGTCTGGTCTGTTGGGCCGGATGGGGTAGAAGGTACAATTGATACTTTCAAAGATGCTGAGACGGAGAGTCGTTGGAGGAATTATTATATTTCTCCCACGTGGTAGATATCCCAATTCCATCCCGCCTTCAATCCGGAGACTACTTCTGCGCTCTATTCTGTGGGGATGGACCAGGTAGTGACCCGAAGACGTCCTGAGAGGGATATGCAATTTCATAAGACCAGTCACGATCATACGCTATTCAAATGTTCAAAAATCAAACTGAGGTGATTTATATGCAAATTTCTCCCAATCCTTCATTTTCCTTTTCTATCTTTTCCATCAAGCTAAGAGCCCGTCAAGGTGGAGGGCATCAAGTAATGTACAAGAAAGAAAGCTCCATTGCCATGTTTAATGCAGTCAAGGGATGTACACAAACGGCGCGTATGTCACAGTGCTTAATACGGTTCCCGATCTCGTCTCGGAGCTAGTCGTCCTCGCTGCGAACGTGGGTCGGGACTCGCTGCCCGCCAGAACACCCGTGGTGACAGTGACGGTGGTAGGATCAACAGTCACCTTATCCGAATTGTAACTTTTAACCGCCTCCTTGGTCCACGAGCCAGCATCTGGGTCGCCCATATACATGTCCACGACATGACCATCCTCGTCAAGTACGAGACGCACTTCGGAGCGTGGGCCATCGTCCTCGTAGATGATGTTGCATGTCCGACCGTCGATAGGGTTGCCATCCAGATCGACGAAGTAGAGATTATCATAATCAAGGTCGAGATAGGTATCCTTTTTGCCATTTCCAAGGAATTTGAGGTCAGCGTGGCAGACGCCAGCGGGATCGTTATACTCCTCAAGCGACATGTACTGGTCGTTGCCGGCGAGGTCTCTTTGGAATATTCCGGGTTGGGAGTCAAAAGGCCGATACTGAGCGCTTGCTATCGGGGCTGGATCAACGCGCCAGGATTGTCGAGGCCACCCATATGCATTACCGTACATGCTTATCAACGTCGGCTTATCAGCTATGCATTGACTACCTAGTAAAATTGGGAGAGGGACACATACGGATCATCGTCAAGAACACGGAACCCATGGTCAATAACCGTGGAGGTCGAGATAACTCCAGGCTGATCGGTGTAAGTGTATGTAGCCCAGCAAAGCGAGTTGACCGTTTGCTCGTCGAAACCATAAGCATCTATGAAGCGTTGTCCACTACCAGAACCGCGCCCCGCGGGCAGGGGCCCAAACGCCCTATTTCAAGGTCAGGGATGATCGCATGACGATAGCTTGAGTCTTACATACCAGGTTGCAGGCGGTCCATCGTCTCTAATGCCGCACTTGGTAGAGCGGTACGTCGAGCAAGGCCTCCATTGCGCGTCCTTCCAAGCCTTATAATCAATTCCCTGTCTCCCATTCGCAGGGCCGTTGACTAGACGGCAAGCTTGCGGAGAATTATTTCCTGATTCCCTGAGGTTGCCCATAGGAAACTCATCCAGTTGACATCGGGCTACTTTGTTGATCGGTGCTTGGGCCCGGGTTCGGTATGCGCTAATACGCTGGTTAGCTCTCCACGATGAATACTTACGGCCGTTCTGGGATGCCAGTGGTTGATAGACAGTCCTTCCGTTAAGCAGCTTGTTGATCGCCCATCTTTGGTTATCACAAATCTCGTCCCAACCCAAGCCATAGCGGCACGTATATGTGACCTCACAATCGCAGCTAGTCGTCGTGGCGCCGCCGTTAAAGTCGAGAAGCGACCACTGACCATACGCAGTTCGGGTCCCAACTTTTGTTGGGACGCCAACGTTGGGTTTAGATGGGGAGCCGCCGAAAGCCCACCCAGCTATACCTGAGATAATTTGCCAACCGACGTAGACCGTAGCAGCGATGCCGGCAAGCGCCCCTAGAGCGCATACTGCCCCCTCCCCAATAAGGGATAGGCCGAACGTGGGCAGTGCTCCAATAAGCGACGGGACGAGATCAGCGAGGCAGAGAGATCCTAATCCCAAACCGGAGAGTATCAAGCCAGGCAAACCACGCTCTTCAAGTCCATGGTCGCGTACATAGAGACTGAGGCCAGTATTAGAGCCGCCTCGCTTGCTAAGCGCAGAAGTCTGGCCATAGAGCACGAGGTTCCCAGAATTGGTGATTGACGAAGGGACAAATCCCGTGCAGCAATATGCTTGAAAGCCACCAGTACAGGTCAGGTCTTCAATCTGCCCTCCATCGGTCTCCTGGTACGAGTTGCTATTACGGGCGACAATGGTGGCCTCGGAGTCAGAGCATGCCGGTGAGCAAGGCATTCCCACGCCTCTAAAACCCTCCCATTGGCAGGTACCCATCGTGGTTCCTGGAGCGCAACATAGTGTCTGGACTTCGCCTGGAGAGCATACGGAGTTCTGCTGGAAGCCAACAATTTGGCCGCGGGCTCCAGTTACATCAAAATACCCGGTCGTACACTCCCCTCCGCATAGAGACCAGTAGCAGCTCGATGCGATAGCGTTCTGTAGCGTAGCATTGGCCATCTGCTCCTTGAATGAAGCCGCAGCTGTCTCCGACACCCCGTTTGCTGTACCGATGCCCATCAAGTCGTTCATACTATCGCCAGCTGTGTTGTCCTGATCAATCGACCACTGAAAGAAAGCCTTGGTTAGATGGTTTTTCAAAAATGAAAAATGAAAATGAAAAGAAAAAATGAATGAAAGGAAGGAAGGAAGGAAGGAAGGAAGGAAGGAAGGAAGGAAGGAAGGAACTGTAAAAAGTGGTCTCTTACAATCATGACACCCCCAAGACACAGGCTATTAGCGAAGGCCATCTTCTGCTGCATTGTCACTCCATCATCGAAGCTTACCCACTGGTTCGTATCAAAGGCAAGCCAGCGGACCCCTGCAGTGGCATCATATGATTCGGTTCCCGTTCCGGCCGCTAGAAGACGTTTGATCTCGGCGTTGGAAAGCGTCCCGGATGACTGTGTGCACTCTCCCGCATTACCACCGGTGGTGAACTGGCATACGCCGTTAGGCGTGGTGCAAGACGGATCAGCGAGCGTAAAGGAACGCCCATACCAGCCCAGTCCAAGCACAACCTTGGACGGGTCGACTCCAGCCCTCCACAGCAGGGACAAGCCGTCGTTGATTTCAGTGAGATTGGTGTGCGGGCGGATGTAAGGCCCCGTGAACTTGTTGGACGAGTCCCACACGCCATGGATGTCGTAGCTCATGAAGTTGAACCAGTCGACGCTGGGCTCCATATCAAGGACGTCGAAATGCTGAAGGTACCAGTATGAGGATGGAAGTGTAGTGCTGATTCCCAATCCGCTACCGAACGAGGCCCTCAATTCGGCCAGGAAGGTTGGGAAGTTGGTGAAATCGGCTGCGACGCCGCCTCGGTCGTCGGCGGCAGGGTATTCCCAGTCAATGTCCACACCGTCAAAGCCGTATGTCTGCATGAAATTGCGCAGTGAAGTAATGAAAGCTTGCCGATTTGCCGAGGAGCCGACCATGTTACTGAAAGCATTCTGCGTGTTTGGCGTATTCGTTGCATCATTGAAAGACCAGCCGCCGACTGATAGCCACGCCTGCAGTCCTGGCTGCTTCGTCTTGAGTGCCGTGAAGCGCGAATAAAGGCCGGCCGCATTTGCGTCCATGGGCGAGATCTGGAAATTAGACGGGTCGAAGAATGAGAAGGCAAAATTGATATGCGTCAGACCCGTCAGCTCGAGGTCTTCAGGTGTAAACACATCACATGGCCGCTCCGTCGCCCAGCTCTCGTAGTATCCGATGCGCCGCGCAGCCGCAGCATTGCTACCACTGGAGCAAGAAGGAGTCGGAGCTGCTCCACAGCCGCCATACCCCTCCTGACAACCAGTGCCGCAGAATTCATCAGTGCTGCCGCCTGGGTAAAATACGGGTCAGTATCTGCTCTCATGGGAAATGCCCAAACAAACTTCAGGCGGCTTACAGAATCCATATTGCGAACAACACACGTTCAGAGGGCAAGTTGCGTTATTGGGATCGGCATATTCGCCACAAGGAGCTTTTGCGTCGCAATTGGAAATGCAGACGTCAGCCCCGCAACTCGAGGGGGCGTAAGAACAAACGCCAGTGTTTGAACAACATGCTCCATTTGTGCAAGGTACCCCAGGTGCGCAAGTGCCTATGGGAAGGTCTCTTTTGCGCAGAGAGCCAGAGCCAGCGCCAAGGTCAAGGTGGTCAATTCTTTGCTTTGAATGCTCAGAGAATTGCCGGATGAGGGCCTCGTTTTGGAACTTAGGTTTGTTCTTTGAATAGGCCTCGTAGAGAGGTGGCAGGGCCGAAGACGAGTTCTTTGGCAACTGGGGTGCTGGAGTGAACTCTGGCGATTGTTTCGCGTTGTTGCGTTTCCCATGATCGTGTTGATGATGACCTTGGGAAATCCCGCAACTTGCTAGAGCAAGAAGCGCTGGCAAAAGGATTCGCATTGAAGCTGCTGCCAAATCTCAACCCGCAATGGTATCAATGAGGACTGATGAGCAAAACCTACTCCGGCCTTTGTCGTTGAAGTCTCTGGAGTAATGGCACAGCGACCTCCAGCCTATGGAGAAGACAGGAGTACAATTTCTGTCAACCCAGATATGGGGGCCACGGAAATGACGGCAAGACGAGAAGCCGGTCACACGCCATCACTCATGATTTTCCATCCATATCGTTGAATTGATGGCGGATGCATCCCCGCCGGGAGGTATTCTGCTCCTCAAACTACCGCCAAATTGCCCAAACAAGCTAGTTCACCGAATACCCCTGCAAAGGCTTGTGTCGGGGCCGAAGTCCAAAAGTACCTAGTGTCAGCACTTGTTGAACTAATAATTCTTAGTTCCCCAGGAAGCATCAGAGATTACGCATGTCGCCTCAGCCATTGGCTGCAAGAGGCTAGTCCGTTGACTAAATAGTCTAGATATCCCGAGTCAACAGCCCCCTAATTTCTGGTATCCTTCTATAGGCTGACAGGACGGGAAGCAGGTGCGAATTCACAAGGCACGAACCTCCGAATTTCCCGCAATATCCTAGTACCTGCATCCTGCAAGGGAAAGTAGGCAGAATTGTGGGTGGCGTGGTTATCGAGGGGGGGCACTTCAAGCAGCCCTTCGTGAAGAGGAGAGGAAGAGAGAAAAGTGCCCCCGACATTTCTGTTTTCCATGTCTTCGGATCCATTCTCGTGCAAAGAGCAATTCGAGCATCATAGTCTCTTGTCTACCCAATGGACAAAATGCTATTCTCCTCCTTGAGACTCTGTTTTGTTCTACTTACGGCATGGACAACTTGGGTTGCGGCCGATTTTGCGCTGTATGAAAACTATGATGAAGACGCCTTAATTGCTGGGCTCGCTCTGAGTAGTACGTGTCTTGCAGCACTGTGAGTACTCGCCTGTGGTTTCTTCTCCCTAAAATGCCCTATCTCTTTAACACCTGTACAGGAACACCACCGTCACTTGCAATGAAACCGCTGTTGGCCTATTAGGGCACGGGGCAGACATCCATTGTAAGCCTACTATTTCCAAACATGTTGTTGTCTGCCAACGAAGAAGTGAAGCTAATAAATTAAGTCTGGACGACTACTGATGTAGAGAACCTCTGCACCACAGACTGTGTCTCGTCTCTGGGTTCCTGGAAGGATAATGTTGCAACAGTCTGTGCAGAGGAGACCACAATCCAGGGCAATGTCGTGGTCAAAGCGAGGGCACTGCCACTGACATTTACCTACAATTCTGATCTCGTATGTATGCAGGACAGTTCATCAAATTGGTGTTTCCTGGACTCTCAGACATGGCAAGGAAGTGACTATATTCGTTGGGAGCCAACAATGTGCTTTACCAATGGTGATGACAACAGCACAGTCGCGCCTGAATGTGCCGATCCTGATTTTGATATCGGTGATATTAGTGATGATATGGCCGCTCTAACTAATCTATATGATAAGGAATTGGTATGTGAACTCCCTATGAAGTACATTGATCAGTGCCATTGAGGTTGTCTACTAACTGGGCGTAGTTCTGCAATGAGTGTTTCTTGAATCTGTATCGGCAACGTCTCCTGGATCCTTGGCTACCAGTTACCAATTTCACAGATTATTTAATCGATCAGTTTGACCTTGTTCAAGCAAACTGCTCAACAACGCTGCCTTACAGCACTTCAGCCTCCACCTTATACGTAGGGACGGCAACGGCTACTACCACCACCAGTGCAACGACGACGACAGACTCAACAACTACAGCGACTTGTCTGGGTCAAATGGTGCAGCCACTGCAAAACTGGCTCACCTGCAATGATCTTTGCGATACGTATGACATCCCTCCGCTTCTCCATTAATTAGTGGGCTTGCTGATTCAATGTTGCTAATATGCTGCATGCGGCAACTAGGTACAATATATCAACGGGTGACACTAGAGTTATCACTGGGGATTACGCCTGCTATTTCGACCAGGCTACCTGTTTCCCCCTTCCATGCGAGATCGATACGGTTTGGGACACACCAAGTTGGTATGTAGGACATAACGGTGGCCTGAAGCCACGAGATCGTGATCTGGGCTAAGCCCTGTAAAAACAGTGACGAACTTGCTACGAGATATTCCAACTCAACTTACAGCGTGACCACTGCTCAATTCCTCAGTTGGAACACCAATATCCAGGGCAGTTGTTCAGGAATTGCTGCAGGGCAGCGTGTATGTAAAAGGTAAGTCTAAGATCAAGGAGGTCGTCAAAATAGAGAATTTGCGGCATTCGGTGATGCTAACCAGACTCGACGAGAAAAAAGTGCCCCTGGAGGCACGTTTCCTAAACCCAACGCGACCATCACGGCGCCTGGCGCGACCGGCGAGCCTACTTACTACACAGCAGCCACTGCGGCTTATCCGACCCAAAGTGGAACCATCAATGAGTGCGGCGACTACTATCTCGTTGTAGCCGGTGACGACTGTGCTACCGTCGACCTGCGCTTCGGTCTGAACTATACTCAGTTGCAAGAATATAACACGTACCTTGACGCCACCTGCAGCAACCTGTGGCTTAATTACGACATTTGCGTCGCCCCTGTCACCGCTCAGACAGTCTCAACAGACGGTACATGCCCTCTGGGGGTAACCTGTGTTGGAAGCGCCTTTGGTGACTGCTGTTCTCCATTTGGCTACTGCGGAACCGGGTCAGATTACTGTGTCACTACAACCAACGGCACGGCGACGCAGGATGGCACCTGTGGGCCTGATTATGGGGGCACGACTTGTGTTCCCCAGTTCGGGGACTGTTGTAGTATATACGTAAGTGAGCATCCTTCTTATTCACTTCAGCCGCTGATAATAGACAAAAGGGCTACTGCGGCAATGGCACCACCTATTGTGGTGCAGGGAACTGCTATTCTGGCAGTTGTGACACTGATAATGGCGGCCCGTCTACAAATGGAGAGTGTGGCCCGAGTTTTGCCGGAAACAAGACCTGCACTGGTACTCAGTTTGGAACTTGTTGTTCCATATCTGGTTATTGTGGAAGCACCAGTGACTATTGCTCTGGGTCAAACTGCTATAGTGGTGCTTGTACTTCGTAATGTTGCTCTGGCTATGGAAAAAGGAGTTTCTCAATGTATATACCATGTCCAAGTAAACATTCCATTCACTTTTGAGGTTATCTTCACTCATGCCGTTTCAAGGCTGATCCAGAAAAACATTGATCAACTACCTAACTACATTCAGCCATATCATGGCCTCTCTTTTTTTCAACTTAAAAATATCAGTCCTAGTCAGATGATGGCTAAACTCCTTCGAAACCCCCCAGACTCCAGGGCAGAGAAGAATCTACTGCGACAGAAAAGAGCCCGACGCAAGTCGTGCCTGGAGAAAAAGGCTCTAGAGTGCAGTGAAATGTGCGGGGCAGATGTCTGTCTTAGTATACGCATTCAACAGTCAGGAAAGGTCTTCATTTTCTCCGCCGACGCTTCAGGTTTTTGGTCATTCCTCGGCTCTCAACTAGTGAGTGTGGATTGAATACTATGACTACGACTTTACTGGCTCTACTAGGGTTCCTATTACCCGACGCCAGTCGAGAGAACCGAAAAAAAGTCTTCAAGCTGCGAGCTTTATTGCTAGCAACTGAAATATCTTGTTCTTGTCTCATGCGGCATCCGAATCAAACATCAGCAAGCAACCGCATTCCTCCCAAGAGCCTCGACTCTCGGATTTTGGGGTTATGTAGCAAATGATTGGACTATGGCATTTCACTTTTCAGCCTAGTCTGGAGGAAAGAAATAGGGAATAAAGCTTAACTTGAAAGCATACTGATTTGGTGATCTAAAACTTTGTTATGAAGTTCTTTGGCCCCTATGTGTATCTCGCAGGACTTTTCTCTTTGTAGGACTGCACTGGGATGTGCTGAAACATTTTTTCTAGTATATGTACATAATCTCCACGCCCGAGCCGTCGACTTGAATATTTGAATTATGTATCACTTTACATATACATATAGCTCACGAATATTCATTGTGTGGTTCTTCGCCAGAAGTGGGATGTCTAGGGCAGTCTCTTAGCTAACCTTGGAAGATAATATGTGAAACGCTTACGAAACCACGTTTATGCCTCAACAGACATCCACCAACACAAAACCTTTGCGGAAATCAGAGTCCCACCCATCCGAAGTAGCCAAAGATATCAGGCTATACTTTTAGGCAGCTACATATACAAGGAAGAAGTAATGCAATCACCAGGGTGATCTGAGCCTAATCAGGAACTTTGAACGTACTTTGTAGTCGCAACTAGAATTCCGTCTTCAGTCAAGTTTGCTATCATCTCCTTTGGGATTCAACTAGAGTAATTAAACAAGAACCATTAAAGTGACCGAGATACAAGTTAATATTAGACTAATCCATGCTCCCGTCTTATAATCCACTCGTTTGGTCTTTCAATATAGGTATCTACTATGTAGTGCTAGAGCACGAATCTTAACTTTTTTTTTTTCTCTCTCCAGCTAGATACATACAAAGTACTAGTAGTATTTATAAAAAATATGCGGAGCAGACAAGCATAATCCAAGTGGATCCAGATGCCCCACATCAGGGCGTATTCGTTCAGAAATTACCCGATTAGGAATCTAGAAATAGCCCTAGATATGCAACAGCATTAGACGTCTATAAGTCCCTATGAATCCCATATTTTTCTTTAGATGCTAAAGCAACATTCCTATTGGCATCGCTAGTATGGACATCGTTTATCACCCCGGCAAAAACGGAACTGCGCCCTCGGTAGAATTCTATCCATACACACCATCTGCCACAGCTGGGTATGCCTTCATGGGAATTTTTGGGGTTTCAACCCTCGCCCATATCGTGTTGATGTTTCCTTTCCGTGCTACCTATTTTATCCCACTGGTGCTAGGAGGAATTTGTATGATGACACCACCCCACCTTTATACAAGAGGAACCATTAGGGCTAACGATGAACGAAACCAGGCGAGACATTTGGCTACTACGGCCGAGCATGGTCACACCAATCTCGATTTGAGATCAAATCTTGGGCCTTGCAGGAGATGCTCATTCTATGCGCACCCCCTCTTGTAGCAGCCACTATCTATATGGTCCTCGGCTGCATTGTCCGCTCCTTCGGCGCTGAACATCTTTCAAGCCTGCGTCCCAAATGGCTCACCTTTGTCTTTGTTATGAATGATGTGCTCTGCTTTTGTACACAGTTGGGGGGTGCGGGTGTCCAAGTTACTGGGGATCAGCAGGTGATGGAAATTGGCAAAAAGGTCGTTTTGGCTGGCTTGATCTTCTCCTCGGTTGTCTTTGCCTGTTTTATTCTGATCGTGGCCAACTTTCATCGGCGTCTTCAGCGAAGGCCTACACTTCTTCTTATTGAGAACCCCGATCTACCTTGGCAGCGATACATGTGGGCAATCTACACTTCTTGCTTTGCATTGATGCTGCGCAATCTGGTGCGGACTATTCAATTTGAAGCCGGTCATACAACTGATATCAACACCAAGGAGGTCTATATCTATATTTTTGATGCTTTTTTGATGTTTTTTACGATGTTTGTGCTGATCATTTATCATCCGGGTCGGCTTATCAAGAAGGCACGTCGCCTGACCAAAACCCTCGCCAGAGATGGGAATTCTGATTTGCTTTTGAATGGATGTGAAATGGGCCAGATACTTACCAAGTGATTGGTTACTGTTCAAGGGGACAAGTAGTTATACTAGACTGTGCATATATTCAGCATATAAATCAATAAACATCGCAAGCCCTGAAGATGTAATCGTCATGATACATGGTATTTCTTGGGTGATCATGAGAAGATGAGACCCTGTAAGCCGGCCATTCTTACTGAGAAGACTGGACTTGATTCAATTCAGCCGGTGTCCGGGTGGTTGATGTATGAAAAGAAGGAGCCACGGTGTGCCAACAAGCACACACCAGCCCTCTCACAGAGCATCTAGGGTATTGGATTGGTCATTGGTCAAACAAGGCAAATGAAGCTATCGGGTCCGTTGGTTGCGTCCATTTCAATTTCGCTTTCGTTTGGAGTGTCAATATCGCACTGCTCACCAATCCCCAGAGATAGCTAAATTTTTATTGAGAAACTTTTGGGAAGTCTTTTCTTCCCTTCTTGGTGTTATAATCAGAAGGAGTATTGAAAATGGGATAGCTGTAAATAGTAGAATAATAATGAAAAATATTATTTTTACAGGGCTTTTCAATATAAAACATAAGGTATTTAGATTATTACGATAGAAAGGTGGATCTATAAAGATCAAAAGCGACTGCTTGATCAAATTCCCATTGCTGACTATAACGGAATTCAGAATAGCTAGAGACAGGCAGTCAATGACAGCTCCTGATTCCCACACTCTGTGCTGTTTGGCGCAAGTGTTCACAGGACTTGCTATTAGCGGTGTCTATGATACAAGCAATCTTGAAGGCTCGTTGATCTAAGATATCGGAGAACAATCAGCCTAGTGACTGTGATTCTGTGTCACAAATCATTCCCTCGGCCACTTCGAGAGCTTCCTCTTAGAGGGCTTTGACCATTGCGATCTTATGAGGCACGAATGTCACGTTCTCAATCACTGGGTATTTTTCAGTTCTTGTCCCACCTGCAGAGACCTCTCTCTTCGCACCAATACAAAGGTTCCACAGCCATCCCCTCTATCCCTTCCAGCAGGTGTCATTATTATGACCGAGTTGATGGCTCAGGTATTCCATCTTAGGCGTAGCAGTATGGCAATGTTTTTGGTGCCATGGTGAGAAGCGTTCTCAGGGACTTCAAACCATCGATTTCCCATTTCCATGGGTCAGCTTAGTATTGCGGCTTTCCTCTGGACTAGTATTTGTAAGAGGGGACAAACGCTCGTTGAGAAAGGGAGTCCTTCCGTAGTTATTTGTTTGTTCTATCAATTCCCTCGTAATTCAAGCTCCTTCATTCGGCTTTTTTCGTGGTCGAGTCGCTTTATTTTCTGTATTGCACAAGCTGGCTGACGATGTTGAGTCCAATTGCATTGATCAACGGTAACAACTTATGGATATTTTCCTTGTTGTTGCTAATGTGGAGTAGGATCTGTGAAACAAATGCCACAACTGCTCGCTAGAGAAGAGATGTGTTGCACTGTACATGTCTAAATATTAGCTTTGATCAAAAAGCAGATGGAGGGTGAAATGCCTCCGGAAGATACACCCATTCATCGGAGTGCAATATAGTCCAAGTTCCCTTCGGGTGAGTCCTGTCAACTTGGCCGTCGGATTCAATAGAAGTGCGATATATATATTTAGAGAAAGTAAGTCGGTCACCTGTAGAAATGTAGAAATGGGCAAGTGCTATCTGTGGAGACCTCTTACCTTAGAACCCTTGGTGTCAGGCAGCAAGGCCTTGCTTGCTTACACTTATATCTCTCTTTGTCCCCATGTAGACAGCATATACAAAAAGATTCATGTCAGGTAGTTCATTCATCATCTGCATTTATTCTTGATTGTCTTCTTGCTTTGTAGCGCGCCTCTCTTGTATCTAAAAATACTACACAGGAAGTGAAAAACAAACTCCAAACTAATCATACAATTCATATCAATTCCTAGAGTAATCCGTCCGTCCCAGTTTCGCCTATTCCCAATGATACAAGCCCAAACCCAGGATTCAGAGCACTGGTGTAAAAAGAGCCAGTGCATATCAAGTTCAAATAAATGATGAACATCGTTTTCAACAAGCCAAAAAGATGAAAGAGCACGCATGCGGTAGAGGTCAACAAATGGGGTAGGTGTAAGTGTAGGTGTAGTTGTAACCGCGAGAATCCGAGTCAACGGTGAAAGACAAAGTGTAAAAAATAAATCAGCATAAGGGTTGGTGTAAGTATGTACAGACGAACGTAAAGTGAGGGAGAGAAAAAGGATTTGCAATTGTATTGCAGAGGGACAAGAACAAGGCAAATAAGCTCCTAGCTGGTCGCGGTCTGGGCTGCCGGAGCATGCGGGCTCTTGCTGGAACCTTGAACGGCGCCAGCCTGGGCACTACCACTGCGCTGGTTTTGAGGAGTGCCACTGCGACTAGGGAGAGGTGCAGCACCGTTCATGGCCGGCGAGCTAGTTGGGCCAACACGGTTTTGCTGACCGGGCTGGGGGACCCGCATCATTGGAGAGAAACCTTGGTTTTGAGGGACCGACATTGCAGAACCGCCGTTCGGAGTCTGGAAACTAGCCTCGTGGGGAACTTGGTAGTTAGCCTGGACGGCGTTTGCATTGATGCTACCTGCAGCAGCATTCATCGCTGCTTGTTGGGACAAGCGCTGCTGTTGCTGCTGCTGATACTGGTTAAGTCGATCCGTAGCCAGCTTGGTCACTTGCTCGGGGGGCATATTCGGGTTCGTGCGTTGAATCTGGCTTTGGAGGGTGCTGATTTGGGGCACAACACCACTTGAAAGAGGATTGGGCTGGCCCATACGAGGCGATGGGGTTGAAACACCCTGGGGCGTACTACCGTGGAAAGAAGGACTCTGCATTCCCCCTTGGCTCTGAAGGGCAGCCATCATAGCAGGGTTATTAGGAGTACCATTAACATTCGACATATTCATGTTCGGCGATCCCTGGGACCCGAATTGCGGGTTGTGGAATTGCTGACCCTGCTGAGGTGGGTGTGGCTGCTGCTGCCGAGACTGAAGAAGACGCTGCTGCTCCTGCAATCGATTGGCTTCTCGAATCACACGTGTGTTATCAGGAGAGGCTTGCATTGGCAGGCCTGGTCGTGCCCCTGGTGTTTGCTGTATTTGAGCTTGCGGCATCATTTTCATGGCGATTCCATTAGGCATCTGACCATTGGGTTGTGCACCATTAGGCATGTTCGGCATTGAAATGGGACGGCCTTGATTGACGCCAGCACTAGGAGGCATCCCATTGATCATTCCATTCGGAGTTCCACCTGGTAGGCCAGGGTTGGAAGTGGGAGGCATGGTGTTGTTCCGCCCCGGCGCATTCATCATTTGCTGCTGATTAGGTACTTGGCCGGAACGCTGCGCTGCGAGACTAGCCTAGATGGGGGATAAGCCACAGTGCTGCTGGGTAGGGACATTAACAACCACTCACTCTTTGCTGCGCAATCATTTGCTGGCGGTATTGTTCCTGTCTTTCCTGCAGCTTCATCTCTCTGTCATACTTCAGCCGACTGAACTCAGCCGGAGACGAGATCGGAGGCTTGGGCTGGTTAGCCTCATTGGCCTTGCGCAATGAAGCGAGATGGGAAGCTAAAAAACGAAATGTCAGTAGAGTTCTTATCACAATGTGACCTGCTTCTATTCCAAACATACCATGTTGCTGTTTCTGGAGCATAGTTTCCCGCTTCTTGGCCAGCTTCCGCATGGCATCAAGCAAAGCAAGATGCTTCGAAGATCGTCTCCGGTCAACTCGGAGAGGCTGAGTGGTCCTCCGGCGGACAGGTGGCTGAGGCTGAGCATTAGCGCCTTGTTGCTGCTGTTGTTGTTGTTGCTGTTGCTGAGCAGCCTGCTGCTGGGCCAAAACAGTGCGTTGGGCCGTCTCAAGCCTCTGGTGGTAAGCCCGGAAGTACTGAGTTTTGGACATATCTGCAGGAAGACCTTCCAATCCTACCCATCGCTCGAAACATTCCCAAGGAGTCCGTCTCTCGGCACCAGAGGTGAAGAGTGACGACGGGGTAAGACAGCTAGAAATTAGAGACCAATTGTAAGAGTACTCCTTAACCAAGCGTCGGAGTTCATCATCCTCGGCGTAAGTCCATTGAGAGGATGAACGTGATTCGAAGAAGCCAACAGATGGCATCGGGTGTTCAGTCGGAGGCCGGAATTGATGACCAGGGTGAATCCGATCACGGATGGGCTTGTTCTCTGGTCGGAACAGCGCAACGTTTGTCTGCTCAGGTGCCAACTCAGTGATGCGATTATCCGAATCATTGCCGTACTGGGAGTAGTCATATCTGCTCCGTTTGCGAGGCTGGTCGTCATCGTGGAAGGTAATCTTTGCCGATGCAAATTTGGATACTGGTAGTAGTTCCGTTTTCCAAACTGTGTCAGGGGAGACTTTGAATACCGGTGCGTTCATGCCGGGGGCGATCTGGAGTGGTCCATATATCGGCAGTTCATCTAACAACTTTTCGGCGGCAGGGGTCATGTCGATTGAGAAGTTGAACTCATCCGAGCCTAGGGAGAAAATAGCAGCAGGAGCGACTGTGTCGTGAATATCATGTCGAGGTTCATCATTGAACCCATCACTGACTGATTCCTCCTCGGCAGATGGGATGAGATCGGGAGTGGGATGACAAACACCAAATACTTCATCGCCAGCGTCCTCAGAGCGTGGGCTGAAACCAGCCTTAGAGGTATCCTTTTCTGCCAGACTGGACGTTGGAATCTTTGCTTGGACACGAAGCAAGGTTCGATGTTCCGCGTCGCAGTTGACATATTCTGCACACCAATCGGCACAACTTTTTGCAGCAGCAATCTTCCACTTTCGCTCCTCCCGGAAGTCAGTTCGCATCCACTTCATGTGATCTAAAACAACGTCCCAATGTGTTCCCTGGCGAGGAGGTTCAACGGAGCGTTTTAATTGTCGCAATGGCCATCGGTTCGCATTTTGAAGAGCATAGATTCGCCTGAGAGTACGGCAATCCATTTGTTCTTGATATTCAAGCAGATGATTGCTAGTACTCAAAGTCTTGTGCGCGGACGCCAGCAAAGTATTGAGGTTCGTTCCCCGGGGAGGAGCGTAAGCTCTGTTCAAGAATAACGTGAATAGATAGTCTTGTTCCTCATTCAGCTTGGCAACTGCATCCGTGTCTCGGTGCGTCAGGTCCATAGAATCGGCTTTCTCCTGTTGAGCTGGCTGCTTTGGAAACACAACAGTTGAGAGTCGGCTTCGCTCCTTCTCCCGCTCCTTCCGGTCCTTGAGGCGCATCCTTGCGACAGAATCAGGAGAACCTTGATCAGACGGGGTAGTTGGGTGGCTTCTATCATAAGCGACGCTCTTAGGGGTTTCTCCAAGGATCTCGGAAACAGACTTGTGTCGAATAGCTCCTGATGATACTCGAGTGGTCATGCGCTCCGGTTGTGTTGAACCAGGTTGAGTGGGTGGAATAGAAAGTTTTTTAGCCGTAGGAGTCCCAGCACCTGAATCTGCAGCAGCTTCGGCTTGAGCATTCGGTGACAACGGATCTCGCTCGGTCGTCTCAACTTCCTGTGGCGGTTTCGCTTCGGAAGGGACGGGGGCAGGCTCCTGATCGATATCCATGCGGTCTGCATCGGCGCCAGTGTCCACGCTCTCCACAATCACCTCTTTCGATGAAGATATGTCGGTGACCACATCACTGAGGGGCTTATCAGGTTTAGACAGAGCTTCTTCCAGGCGCAATTGCTCGTCTGGGGTCGAGGGAACCAAACTCGGACGAGCATGGGCAGGTCGGTCATGCTTGTGTTTTGGGCGATCAATTGTCTCAACATCCTCAGTCACTTCTTCTGCGGGGCTTGTGTCGGGTGACGCGACAACTGGAGCGGGTGTGGTATTATTGTAAGGGTCAATGGAGGAGGCGGGTGATGGTGGTTGTTCGTGTTGAGATGGCCCTGAGGTAAGAGAGGGTCGCGCTTCGTGTTTCTTTCTAAGGGAATCGGAGGGAATCTCCAGTGAGGGAGCTCCACTCGCAGCTAGCCTCGACACGTGGGGAGAGATCTTTACTTGATTTCCGTCATTGTCATGGGCACCAAGCGGTGTTTCCGCGATCGGTACATTAGTTTGCTGATTGACGCGCAAGGAGTCGAGTGGCTGGGCAGTGATCGGTGGCACATTGAGATCCTTGGACAGTTTAGGGCTGATGGCTGGTACTGAGGGCTGACGTGTTCCGATTGCATCCACAGGAGTGGATGGGAGATTAGGTGTCGCGGTGCGATGTTGATGTAGAACGGGCGTTCCGCGCTGTTGAGGCTCGGTCGCATGCGGAGCTCCGCCATCGACGGTTAAGAGTGGAAGGGTCCCAGTGACTGGTTTGGCATGGGTGATGGCAGCTGTTGTCGAAGGGGTTGCATTTCGACTTGGTGAGCGCGCGCGCGCATGGGTTGGCGGTGGAAGAGTAGCTTCATTGAAATAACGACCTCTAGATAGGGAATCAGCATTGGGAAATTATAAAACAAAATATAAATAGAAGTAAAGTAAAGTCAATTTCACTAATAAAGCACAAGAACATTGGACTTACTTGGAGAGGTCATTGGCGTCAAGGAAGGCCTGTTCTTTCTGGTGGTAATGAGCGTCCTCGGTCGCGCCAAACCCGACCGTGGCTAGATACAATGCGCTGAGCTTGCGCTTTCTGCGCGACAAACAGTTTCTAACCCCAAAATTAGCGAGAAATTCATCGGTTTTTAGGATTCCAAATAGGATTCCCATCGCGACAAAATTAATACTTACGCGATCTCATCGTTTTTAGATCGTAGGAGCTCGTCACGGAGCATGGAGTCTAGCTTCGGAACGCAGCATCCGATTAACGCGGGAACAAGGGGAACTGATCGAGCGAGGTCATCCAGATGGAAAAAATCGCTCGGAAAAGATGAAAAAGATGGGTGGAAGGTGGTAGGCGATGAAAAGTACCTAGAGCAGGATCTTTTCGAAGGGGGTGAAAATGAGGTTACAGGGCGGTATGAAAAATGTGGAAGAACGGGAAGGATGTTGGTTTAGGTACAACCAGTTACTCGCTCCCTCTATAAAAAATACACGGCTTGGCCAGGTACCTGGTACTTCTTAAGAATTCCCTTTGATGTAGGAAAAATAAAAAGATGTTTTACGAAATTAGGGATATAAAGATGGGTTTCTACTTTAATGAGTTATAATATGGTCGGTCAAAGACTTATGTGTTTCAAAGGCTGTCCTCATCAACTGGTAACTGTATTATTTGTTCTTTCAATCTTCTCCGCTTGCGTATGTGAGGCCTCAGGCATAAATAGACACCTTATACATCAGTGGATAGTTGCTATCAAGGCGGCCGATAAACAGCTGGCAGAAAATCAAAGAAAAAAAGTTGTCCGCCCTCCAGATCAAGCCTTCACATCTACAATATACAAAAAATTACAATCATTCTTTCATCATGGTCAAACGCAAGAGAACCGATACCCCCAAGGAGGACAAGACGGCTGGTACCCCTCCCAAGATTACCAAATCCGTCCCTACTGTCTCGGAGACTCCCAATGCAGCTCTCACTATCCAAGTGGTTACAGGTTCTTATGAGCGGGTGCTCCATGGCTTCACGGTCGGAATCCCAGCCTCTAGCCTGAAAGCAAAGGATGAGGCTGACCCCTCGGCCATCCAATGCATGGATACTTTCTTATTCGAAGCCCATGGATCTGCAATTCGTTGTCTTGCATTGTCGCCACTACCTAAATCCACCGACTCTGTCGATGCCCAAAAGGTGATGCTGGCCAGTGGTAGTACAGATGAGCGTATCAACCTGTACTCAATCTCCGCTGCACCCCCTGCCGTGAATGAAGACTATCCGTCTGTGCCGACCTTCGCCGGAAACAAGATTCTCGAAAACCCCCGGAACCGTGAGCTAGGAACATTGTTGCATCACACTGCCAGTATTACCTCGTTGAATTTCCCTTCGCGAACCAAGTTGCTCGCAGCTGGAGAGGACAACACAATCTCCGTTTCCAAGACCCGTGACTGGACCGTCGTATCAACTATCAAAGCACCAAACCCAAAAATTCAAGGTCGACCAAGCGGTGACACGGCGCCTCCCGGAGCTGCTCCTTCTGGAGTGAACCACTTTGCGGTTCATCCCAGTATGAAGCTGATGCTGAGTGTCGGACGAGGAGAGAGATGTATGAGATTGTGGAACCTTGTAACCGGCAGAAAGGCTGGTGTGTTGAACTTCACCAGGGAGATCCTACAGGGTGTCAAGGAGTCGAGATGGAGCACTGGAGAAGGTCGACGCATTGCATGGGACTCCGCGGGAGAGGAGTTCGCCGTTGCTTTCGAATGGGGTGCAGTCGTGTTCGGAATCGTAAGTTTGTCTAGATGGGATACCCGTTGATCAAATTTCTGACTATTAGCATAGGACTCGATTCCAAGATGCAGACTTATTCCTGGCCCACGGAGCAAACTCCACCAGATGAAGTATGTTTCTTTGCCTTTGAAGGGCAATGAAAAGGAAGATTTCTTGGCCGTCTCTACGGAGGATGGCCGAGTGATCTTCTATTCGACCAAAGAACTGAAAAAAGCGGAGGATGACACCGAATGCTCAATTCCCCATGCCACCGCTGTTGCTCAGCTTGGTGGAAAGCAAGCTGGGTTCCCTGGTCGCATCAAGGATTTCGACATCCTCACTCTTGAAGATCAAGCAAAGGAATTCCGCAACGACTTCTTGGTCGTCACCGCCAACAGTGACGGCGTCGTCCGTGTTTGGAAGGTTGCTGGAAAAGAAGTTGTTGCAGCAAAGCAAGAAAAGGATACAACTCAGTTTGGAAAGCTCTTGGCCACCAATGAAACTGGCAACCGTATCACATGCATGGCTTCCTTCGTCATGTTGCCTGCGGAGGATCCATCTACACTGATAGACTCTGAAGACGACTCTGAAGATGAAGTGGAGTCATCGAGTGATAGTGACGATGAGTAACGTCTCATTGCTCTCAACTGTTATACCCTTTGTACCGTCAAATAGATCCCCAGTGATAACCAATGTATCATGAGTATGAAAAGACCTGAGTCTATTATTGCCCAAGAAAATAATTATGATTATGTTTTTAAAATTTTCTTCTTTTAAATCTGAACATAAAATCAACTTAATTAAGAACATTTTAGTTTGTTACAACCATCTCTGCTCTACTATAAACCTCGTGTGGCGTACCTTGATGGTGTAGGTATGTTAGTTGAGAGGAATTTTCAGGCAAAGATAAGTGAATTATCCACAATAAACCAAGACACACAACATCAAAACTGTATATAATGACTTGAGACCAATTTAATTAGCTCCCTACATGTAGTATATTAACTAAAACTGTTACAACGTAGAAGAAATGTAGAGTTGCCATCCAGACACCGCCCGGCTCTCCACTACACACAATCCCCCACCTACATTCTTTCATTATCATATCGCCCGCGGGAAGCAATTTTCATCGACCTTCCACCTCGACCGTTCCACCCAGCTTCGTCTATCGACCTTGCGTTTTCTTAAAAGTCGCTGATCGCAAGTTGATTCTCTATTCCATTTCGCAATCATGGCTTCCAACGGTGATTTCTCCGACGAGGGATCCCAACCCGGCTCACCTTTGCTCGATGCCCACAACGCTCGCGGAGAGATTGAGGATCAAGAGCCCCTTGAGCAGGAGGAGAAGCCTATCAAGTCGGCCATGAAGCGGTCCGAACCTACTCCTCAGATCAAGCGCCCAGAACTGCCCGAGCAACCTAACCCGGAAACCCTCGACCTCTCCAAATTGACGCCTCTTTCGCCAGAGATCATCTGCCGGCAAGCTACTCAGAACATCGGTATGTGATTGATTGTTGGTTTTTGAAAGTTTTGCGTTCGGAAATGCCCTTCATTTATTGGATTCCATTTTTCTAGACAAATTTACTGACGGGATTATCAGGCACCATCGGTCACGTCGCCCAGTTAGACACCCTCTCTCGTCCTTTTCTTCATACACGCATACTAATCTAATCATAGCGGTAAATCCACCGTCGTCAAGGCCATCTCTGAGGTCCAGACTGTTCGTTTCAAGAACGAACTTGAGCGTAACATTACCATTAAGCTTGGTTACGCCAATGCGAAAATTTACAAGTGTGACAGCCCCGAGTGCCCCCGGCCCACATGCTACAAGAGTTTCAAGAGTGAAAAGGAAATCGACCCGCCATGTGAGCGCGAAGGATGTACTGGCCGCTACCAGTTGCTGGTATGTACTCCCGATTTTTCCCCTTTGATGGCCAAACTCAGAGCCTGCTTCAAGTGGTCCTAATCTAACTTCTGGTACAGCGTCATGTCAGGTATCATAAATCCCCAACCTATGCCCCAACCTGGAGGGGGTTTTTTTTTATTGATTATAAGCTAACCTTTAATCCAAAATAAAAGTTTCGTTGATTGCCCTGGTATGTTCGCTATATCCGTTTCTGTCCAAAGTTGGAACATTGCTAATCTTCAATCATAGGTCACGATATTCTGGTTAGTATCCATTCTCTTGCGCGACATCCAGCTTCTCTTTGGGAGTTGATGCTAACCAGCTTTGCACAGATGAGCACTATGCTTTCAGGAGCCGCGGTCATGGTAGGTTTCATCCCCCACTGCAGCACTTGAGATTTCAAGGGATCGGTGACAAGCTAACATCATCTCACTAGGATGCCGCTCTCCTCTTGATTGCCGGAAACGAAACCTGCCCCCAGCCTCAAACCTCGGAGCACTTGGCTGCCATTGAGATCATGAAGTTGAACCACATTGTCATTCTCCAAAATAAGGGTAACATCATATTCCTCGCAAACTGTCGATGAAGTGAAGAACTGACATTCGAAACTAAAACAGTTGACCTCATGCGCAGCGATAACGCCCTCGAGCACTATCAGTCGATTCTCAAGTTCATCCGTGGTACCGTTGCTGACGGCTCGCCCGTTATCCCCATTTCAGCTCAGCTGAAGTACAACATCGATGCTGTCAACGAGGCACTTGTTCACACGATCCCTATTCCCATTCGTAACTTCCAGGATACACCTCATATGATGATCATTCGTTCCTTCGACGTCAACAAGCCCGGTGCCGAAATCGATGAGCTCAAGGGTGGTGTTGCTGGTGGTTCCATTCTTACCGGTGTTGTAAAGCTGAACGATGAGATCGAGATCCGCCCCGGTCTCGTTACCAAGGACGAGCAGGGCAAGATCCAGTGCCGACCAATTTTCTCCCGCATCGTGTCTCTCTTCGCTGAGCACAATGACCTCAAGTTTGCTGTTCCCGGTGGTTTGATCGGTGTCGGTACCCGTGTCGATCCTACTCTTTGCCGTGCCGATCGTCTTGTTGGTTTCGTTCTCGGTCACCGTGGCCGTCTTCCCGCTATCTACACCGAGATCGAGGTCAACTACTTTTTGCTTCGCCGCCTGCTCGGTGTCAAGACCGCTGACGGCAAGCAAGCCAAGGTCGCCAAGCTTGCTAAGAACGAAGTCCTGATGGTTAACATCGGTTCTACTGCTACTGGTGCTAAGGTCCTCGGTGTCAAGGCCGATGCCGCTAAGCTCAGCTTGACCAGCCCCGCCTGTACGGAAGTTGGCGAGAAGATCGCCATTAGTCGCAGAATTGAGAAGCACTGGCGTTTGATTGGATGGGCCAACATTGTTGCGTAAGTCTACTGGTTTGGTATTACTTCTAGTGACAAATGCTGACTATTTCAATTCACAGTGGTAACACCCTCGAGCCTGTGCAGCAGTAAAGCAACCCTTACAACGATTTCCCAGTTCGAAATGGGGATCTTGGGGAATGAGGTCTGTTATGTCGGAGAATTTGATTTGCACATAAATCTTGATATATCCCCGGACGACGATCTCAGCCCACCTTCCCTCGAACACGAGTCTTGCAATCCATGATTGCAAAAAAGTTTATGGTCATAACGAGTCGGAAAATTAAAGACGTGATTTAACTGATTCCCCGGGCTGAATAGAGAAGATGGAGGAGACATGCAGTCCTGTATCGTCGCCACCTTGATCGCTTTACCTCTTCATGCATGTCGGCGACTAGTCTACCTGGTCCGCGGCTACATGTTAGGGTTTGATCTGAGGGACGGACGACGAACAAGATGCAGATGAAGTCGGCGAATAAGATATGTGCTTTTTATTTTCATCGTACGAGGGAGTTGTTTTCAAGAGGTTTCCTGTTCATTGCTCATTTTTTGTCTGCATCATCGGATCTTTATTATGTAGATAGGCCTACACAGGTCTGTGGTTAAAAATGCAGAGAAATTAGGGCTGACACAATTCAAGAACTTCTACCTGTTTAATCGATGTACACATAGGCTTCTCGTCTGTTAAGGATAATAATAAAAACACCTACAAATGAGGGTAGATGCTCCCACTATACAGTTCGCATGTTGGATTGGATATATATTCCACAATTACAAAGTGTACAACCGCTCATACCGCCCCGCAAAGGGATGACGGTGCGCTCTAAGCCACCGGTAGTATTACATTTAGAATAAGTCAAGCGATAGTACTCCATAGGTAATATTTAAATATAGACGACATATACAATCTGTCGAGTATTGCCCTGCTTGGCCGTTATACCAGCCATCCGCAAAAGTTATTCCTGTAAAATATCGGTATAATCAAATACAACCAACTCCTTTTGACTCCTCGTCTCATATGGTAGATTTTTGGCCTAAAATCAACAAGAACCTAGTTAATTAATAGGCCCAATTACTGAGATGACGTTGCGTTGGGAATGGCCTTGGGGTGACTTCGGGATGGCCCCGGGGATGCATGAGATCTGACTAAGGCTGCCGATAATAACAAAGTAGCATCTTCTGCTCTGAACAACGTCCCCTTTCTTCGCCTAGTTGCGCGATTTCAATCATGTATATCCTCGAGGTAAGTTGATTTGATTGAGATATTATTATGTCTGCATGATGAATATGCTTTCCACCGTGGATACGTCGCTAATGACCGTCCCCCTCTAGCAATTGGCGCGCTTGCTCGACCGCCCGTTCTTCCCATGGAAGAACGTGCTTGTGGGCTTTTCACTGGGCCAGTTCGTCCTTGAAGGTTTCCTCTCGCTTCGACAGTACAAGTTTTTGCAACGGACAAAACCTCCCCAGGTTCTCGCAGGGGAGGTTACCCAGAAGGTCTTTGACCAGAGTCAGGTATGAACCCGACGAGGGAGCATTTAACCATATACAGAGGCTCATTGGAATATCACTACAGGCATACGGTCGCGCAAAGGCCAAGTTCAGCTTCGTCTCCGGTCTTTACGGTCAAATCCAAAACCTTGCATTCATCTACGGCGATGTCCTTCCCAAGATCTGGGGCCTCAGCGGTCTGTTGCTGGCTCGGTACCTCCCTGATCGGTTCCAAGGCGAAATTTGTCAAACATTGGTATTCTTCTTCGGTTTCAACATTATAAGCACTATCCTCTCGCTGCCCATCTCGTACTACAACACGTTTGTGCTTGAGGAGAAGTTCGGTTTCAACAAACAGACGGTCAAGCTTTGGGTTACGGATATGCTCAAGGGTCAGATGCTTGGAATTGTTTTGGGAGCTCCCATTATCAGTGCCATTCTTAAGATTGTTCAGAAGTTTGACAGCTCATTCTACTACTACCTCTGGCTCTTCGGTGTCTTCCTCCAGGTCTTCGCCATTACTATCTACCCCATTGCAATTCTGCCTCTGTTCAACAAGCTCTCGCCTCTTCAACCCGGTGAACTCAAGACTGGTGTTGAGAACCTGGCCAAGAGACTCAACTTCCCTCTCTCCGAGCTCCATGTCATTGACGGCAGCAAGCGCAGTGCCCACAGCAATGCCTACTTCTACGGTCTGCCATGGAAGAAGCACATTGTCATCTACGATACTCTGATTGAAAAGACCGAGCCTGAAGAGGTTGTTGCTGTGCTGGGCCACGAGCTTGGCCACTGGAGTCTCAGCCACACCACCAAG